CCCCTCCCCTTCTCTGGTGTCTTGCATTTTATTTCCTCTTCCATCATGCCTGTCAATACCACATATCACATACTGACCGGTTCTAAATTTCTGTACTGATCCATCAAAGCTTGCATTCGATCCTCAAATCCGTCAGCATAAACTTTAGGATTTATTGCTACAAAACACTGACCCTGTCGTAGGAAAAAAAAAAGGAACACATATGAACCTCACTTAAGAGATTCAAAGGCAAGCTGAAATCAATTTCAAATTGTTACCAAATTTTGCACTCTTTCTTCCTCTCCTTGCCAGCGTTTGATGTTTGTCCCAAATTCAGATCCCGATAAAATCCCACAAAACACATCCACCATCATGGCTAATCCAAAACCTTTATAACCACCTGGAAATTAAAAAAAAGACATGAAGGTAACTTGAATATGCCATGCACAATGAAAAATGTGTCCCTTGATCTTCATACATCATCAAAAAGGGTTGCAGGAAGAAAGGACGGAACAGGTTTTAACCCTTTAACTCCCAAGATCTGATTGTTAATTCTCTTCTCTAACTGCTGCACATTTCTTTATAGATTAGTTACGAGAATTTGGTGTTAGATCAAGAAAACTACTTAAACTTGATAAGCTTGAGTATTCTCATTACCTACTTGCTGGATAATGTATGGATATTATTGGAAGAAGTAACATATTAATCACCTCTGAGAGTTAACCCTTTACACCCTAAGGAGAAGGAGAGCTTATTTAAAAATCAAGAGTTTCTTTAGAAGTTGATGATCATTTCCTTTATTCTCGAGAGCTCAAAGTGTGACTCAGAGGTGATATTGTAAGGAGAAATTAGATACGAGTCACTCCTAGGGGCTCAAAGGGTTAAACATAGTTTTCAGGACAGCGGCGTCAGGACGGGCACTACTCTTTCTGCTTGGTGGATTTCGATGAAGAAGAGAGATTGAATTAAGACACGGAGCCTTACAAGAGACTTTATCGCCTACTCATAATCACTTTTATGAGACGTTTATAATGACTCACTGGACAGAGAAACGAGAGAATATTAATCTCTTAAGGTAGATAAACACCAAAATGGCAACAGGAAAGCCAATTAGAAATGAAAAATTGAAAAATGTAGACCCAATATTTGCCAGATGGTAATTCAAAGACAGACTATTAGGTTCAGCAGCCAAAATAAAGCCTCCGTTGCTAAAGCTCCGTCTACCTGTAAGCATAAAAAAGGAACAAAAATCTAAAAACTTTTTTTAAAACTGGTTAAATTTAGCTTTTGAGTCACCTGTAATTTCCTTTCCTCCCAGAGGCAGTAATCCACCCTCTTTTAGCGCCTTTTCAGGATCAACAGTTTCCTAAAAAACAGATACAGCTTTTTTTTTCCAACACCGTAACTAGATGGACTTTCGTAGCAAACTTAGGAAGGTGACGTATCATGCTTAAGCCTGTTATTAAAGCGGAAAAAGGTACGACACCCTTGGGGGAAACTCCCTTATTTGGGGGAAACTTCCTTACGTGGTCTGATTTTCGCCATCTGCGGGGAGGAGCGTGGTTCATTTTCCAAAGAGTGGCTTGTTTTCGAGCCTAACCACAGTGTGGTTTGTGGGTCTTCAATTTTAAATACCATTTAAAGTCTTAAACAGGGGGCTTTTTAGACCCGATGTTTTTAATGGGGCGACAAGAGACCACATCTTCTCTTATGGGCGATTACGGTGACTGTGTGTGTTCCAAGAAAACCAATATGAAAGCTATTGGAAAGTCACATATTCATCAAGAAGTGTATGTGCCATTTTTGAAACGAGATATCTTACCGATCCTTTCGAGTCCACACCCCACCCCTGTGGCATTTCAGTTCCTTTTAAACGGCATAGTTCAAGCTGAAACAAAATAAGGGGCAAAATGAATTGAGATTCAGTACATCACACGCCTTGAAAAAAGCTTATAATCACCAGCAATGCTGACGCTTTGACGCTTCGCTTCGTTCCTTCGTTCTATTTCTCTATCTGTCAGTCTGTCCATCTGCCTATCTGTCCACCTGTCTATCTATGTGTTCGTCTGTCTAACTGTCCATCCGTTTGTCTGTCCACCTGTCTATCTGTCTGTCTATTCATATGTCAGTCTGTCTATCTGTCTGTCTGTCTGTCCATATGTCAGTCTGTCCATCTGTCTGTCTGTCCATATGTCAGTCTGTCCATCTTTCTGTCTGTCCATCTGTCTATCTGTCCATCTGTCTGTATATGTTTCCGTCTGTCTAACTATCTATCGTTTTTCTGTCTATCTGTCCATCAACCTATCTCTTTGTTCGTTTGTCTATCTGTCTGTTTGTTCGTCGGCCTGTCTGTCTGTCTGTCTGTCTATGTGCTTGTCTGTCTATCTTTGTCTGTCTAACTATCTGACTGTCCTTCTATCTGCCTATCTGTCTACCTGTCCATCTGTCCATCTGTCCATCTGTCTATCTGTCTGTCTGTCTGTCTGTCTGCCTGTCTGTCATTCTGCCTGTATGCCTGTCTGTCTTTCTTTCCGTCCACCTATTTAGTCACCTTTACCTTGCCATATGCCACTGCTGACACGGCCATATCCAGGAGGAAACTGTCCCCATCCTTCCCTGGGGCAGCAACTGACAACGGGTTTGTTCCAATAGATGGCTGTAATGAAAATTAACAAAGACTGATTCACCACGCGTACGAAATAACGAAAGAAAAAGGTAACTTATTTATCCTTACATTTCAATTAATGGCCTGGTTAGGAATCCGCAATGATTGTCATACTGCAATGCTTATAAAAAGTTACCTTAGCTGCTTTGGTTGGTACCACCACAGGGGAAGTGTTTGTCATGCTCATACCCTGAGAAGTGAATGAAGTAGAACAACTCTTGCTTATCTTGATAAGTTTTTCAAGTTACGCAAACGTTGGTGCACACCTAACAATTACAGCAATTTTCAATTGAGTGTCGAAAGTCATCCGGTATTGCCTTAATTGGTTTTACTTAACTTTGCTCTGTGATTGGTCCAGAAAACTGGCGCCATCCTCTGAACCAATCAGATGCAAAAATAAAAACAATTGCGACGCCTTGGTCATACGCGTTTTCCCGCGCTTCAAGCAGTTTCGTTGCTTTCACTTTGAGTTCTCATTGGCTATTGATAATGCAAACCCTTGTTTTGATTGGTTGATAGAATTACTTTTGTTTTGGTTTTTCGACCCTCAATTGAAAACTGCTCTTATGTCTGTTATTTTCGACTTACTATCATTCCATGTTGTAGTGCTTGACCGCTGTACCACGCTGCGATACCGAAATGTGTTGAGCCTTAAATAAAAATCAAGGGAAAATTGCCAGTCCTGATTATGATCTATCATAATAGGGGGCGGATCTGAGGGAGGGCCGCACGGGGTCGCATATCCTCCCCCCTTGAGATGACCTGCGGCTCACTTCACGGTTATACAAAATCTGTTGTAACCCTTCAGTTTCGTCACTCCTTAGTGGTGCACCCCCTCCTGAGCAAAATCCTGGATCCACTCGTGCGCGTACAAGCAGAGAAAATGTCTAGTATACTTGCAATTCCCTTTCACGACAACGTCGCGGAAGGACTCCCACAAAACCTCCAAAGACGCAGGGATTTTCAGAGCATAAATAGTTGAAAGTGTGACGCAAAGTGCGCTGGGTGTGCCAGGACGAGGCATATCTCTTAGGAGTAACTGTAACGCACTCCAAGTCACAATTCAGCAGCAGCTATCTGTAATGAAAGAATACGTTACCTTTACATGCAATCCAGCCAATTCCATACTCTTTTGCTTTCTTTATGGCTAAATCCATGCAAAAGTTACCAACAACCTGTTTAAGACAGAAGAGGGTGAATCAAAGCTAGTTAATGCATCGAGAGCTATGCATGTCATGCCTGATTTTCTTGTATTGCGTGACAAGACTAAAAACGAAAAACGTGACTAACGAGGAAAATAAACGTCTTTCCGAGCCGGACAAACTTTAAAGAAATTTAACACTTTTCCTACTCAGTTCACTTGAACATACAGTGGTACATAGCTTCTATTCGGCTTGCAGAAACAAATAAGACTGAAGAGAGCCAAAATGATTTTGGAGGATCCAAGATCCATGTAAGTTGATTGATTGTTGTTTAGTAAATAAAACGGAACGCGATAATAAACGCCGCGAAAGTAGCGGAGGAGTGAAAAAACGAGGGGAGTTTGGGTCGAGTCGTTGGGTTGTTAAAGAAATGTATAAAGAGCAGTAAGGAGAATATGCACTCTGATGTTGGAGTGCAAAGGGTCAAATTTAGAAAGAAAATGTGTTGAAATTCATACCGGACCAAGAAGATTGTTCCCATCAACCAGTGCGGAGGCTGCAAAGTCCTTTTCAATGCTTGGTTCACCCTTCGGTTGCGTGATGCCATTCTTTATGTCACGAATGTAAATTTCTTAAAAGTAATGTAACGCAGAGTTAAAAGAGTGTTAGCATTGTTAAAAAAATCGATGAAATAAATTGATTAATTTCTCAAAGATATTGGCTGATTATAGCTATCATAAAATCCTAGAGTAATATAAGTTATGGGTACATGCACGTATGTAGCAGACGGCTAATTCCCTTTTACTACTTAATTTCTGGCTGGAATGAACACAAATAATTGAGTTCGCCGTAAAGTGTGTTAAGTTTGTCTTTTGACCTCGGATTTCCTTATCAACATACGCAAGAATTAAACCTTATATTGCATGTTAAGTACTTTTGAGATCCTAAATTTTGAAGAAGACGGAAATTTTGAAGAAGACGGAAATTTTGAAGAAGACGGAAATTTTGGAGAAGACGGAAATTTTGAAGAAGACAGAAATTTTGATCTCGTAAAAAATTTGAAGTAAAACAGTCAGTAAAATTACTTAACACAAGTAGATAATCGTCTCTTGGTCATAGAAGCTAAGGTGATGAGTAGGGAAAAAACTTAACGGGCATAAAAGAAATGATTCCGAGCGTGAAGTCGGTGACATCGACGAGCCAAAATGAAAATATTACCGATGAAAAGCGAAAGAAAGTGCTTCTAATCAACTCAGCTATAGGAAGAAAACAACGATTATGTTCGATTACAACTTTCAAAAGATGTTTCCTTCGATCGGATTCCTTTCCTGTTATTTTTAAGCTTCATAGCTACAGAAGAATTAATATTTTGAGTAATTAATACAAATCATAATTGACCTAATGGCCGGAATATATATAACGGCGTAATATGCGATTAACACGGTCTATATACTATAAGATTTTACGCCAGTAACTAACGGTGTTATTTCTTCCAGTCGGTTGTGTTTATATGTACGATTATATGCCAGCAACTAACGGCGTAATTTCTTCCAGTCGGTATATTATATATTGTAAGATTTTACGCCAGTAACTAACGGCGTAATTTCTTCCAGTCGATGATATATATATGTAAGATTTTACGCCAGTAACTAACGGCGTAATTTCTTCCAGTCGGTAAATTATATACTGTAAGATTTTACGCCGTTAGTTAACGGCTTAAAATCTTACATATATATACACCGACGCACATAGTGGCGTAAAATCTTACAGTCTATAGACTGTGTTAGTCACATATTACGCCGTTATCTAACTACCAGACCTAATCTGTTTAACCCGTGAGTGAAATGTCCCCTGACATCAGCCTCTGTGAGAACTTGAGAAAGAGCTGCACCGTGCTTTGGATCTGTGCCCACTGATACCATACACCGCTCAACAAACGAGCGCACTTCGGCAACCAGAACCCGCCTGTGCATTTTGGTTTACACTGAGTCGACCACGGTCGGATGTACTTTACTATCCCAATGACGGAAAACCATGCGCAAAACAAAAGCAGTTGCGTGACACACTCGGCCGTTTCTTGTTAAGTTTTCACTCGTTGCGTGACTTTCGTTACCACCAAAGTAGCAGGGTTCCAATGAAGGGCTAACGCTAACTCGAAACGTCAGCTTTATAAGCTCTTTACGATGGCCAATTTACATTACCAACTCAGTTGATAATACCAAATTATCTCGAAAAGAAATATGGTTTGCTGAGTTGTCAGTGTATTTTTTCTTTTCTATTTGCGACAAAGGAACTGTGAAATAGAAAATTAACAGGATAGTAACCCTTTCTATGCCCTCTCACCTCCAAGAGGGATATGCATCTGATTTCTCCCAAGTATAACTCCCTGAATCAAACAGTAAGGTCGTGAGAATAAAAGAAATGATTGCGAACTCAAGAAGCTCTCTTGATTGTTAGACAAATCCTCCTTGTTAGTAGCTTAGGAAATATACTTAGAAAACTGTATGGAGAATATACATACTGATGTTAGGGTGTAACGGGTTAAAACCTGTTTCAGAAGTACAAGACGGAAAAAGGCTGGGACTAGCTTTAGAGACTACACCAGGATCTTCCCTCCATTAGGTAATAATTAACAGCAAAATTGTTCATTTAATTATGTATATTCTTTTGTTTTACTCCATCTCATTTTTATTTTAATTTAGTTTCACACTTTCCTTTCAATATATAACGTAACTGAACTTATAATAATTTTACATTTGATACTGGTGACACGTTGTCGCCGAATCTTGCGATAAACTAATGAATTTTATTGCATATTAAGCAAGGCTTTTACTGCCTCAGTAGGTAGGCCACACCTAATCTGTCAGCAATTTTATCCTACAAACAAAAAAAAAACCAACACTAGTCATGTAAATAATTACAATGATTTTATCATAAATGTAAGAAGGCAGTTTCTTGCTACTACCTAGTGCCCACATCTAGAGGTAAGTCAACTAAGATACCTTCAACCCTTTTACCCCTAAGAGTGACTAGCATCTAATTTCTCCTCACAATATCACCCCTGAATCACACATTAAGGTCATGAGAATAAAGGAAATGATCACTAACTACAAAAGCTCTTGATTGTTAAGCAAATTCTCCTTGTCAGCATCTTAGGAAATGTAAAGAGAACAGTAGGGAGAACTTGGATACGTATACTGATGAGAGGATGTGGAGGGCAAAACTAGATGACAGGAAAGACTACAAAAGTAGGTAGGTAGGTCGTGTATGGGACTTCCATTTCTGGATTCTTTAATTTCAATACTTCCCTCGCGATGTCTTGCCAAGGGGGTTAAAATGTAGCAAACTGGTTTCACGCATGGTGGACAAGACGACAAACCAACATGTTTTGCCTAGATAATTGTTTGAGTGGTAGTGTCATACTAACAGTGATAAAATTAGATCTTTTTGAAGTCAAATAAACTTCAAACCACGAGCACGAATTGGTTAAGAAAATTTTCCATTTTGCAAGGAGTCCCACGTCTGCCGCGAGGAACTCTCACGTTGCGGGAAAATCCCCCGTCTACAGCAAGGTAGTTTCACAGTCGCTCCGGGGAGTCCCACCCACGTGGCTGTGTGCTGTTTTACAATCCTATGACAATTTTCAAACTTATAAACATACTAACCATGGATTTCAGCACATTTTCATGGTAATAAATGCCTCCATCTTCAGAAACTTTGCGCATGTGCTCTTTTTCAGGATCTCCAGCCACCAAAACCGCGGTCTCACCCTCCGCCTGAAGCACACAAATACAGAGGGAAATTGGTTCAAAAATTTTACAAACACAACGTTCATCGTTCTCTCTGCTCTAACTCTCTTTCTCCCACCCTGTCAGTCAGATGGTCTGCTTGTCTGTCTGTCTGATAACCTGCTCATCCATCTATCTAGCAGTCTGTCGGACTGTATGACGGTCTATCTAATGGTCTGCTCATGCGTCCGTCTGTCTCTCCGTCCGTCTGTCCGTCTGTCTCTCCGTCCGTCTGTCCGTCTGTCTCTCCGTCCGTCTGTCCGTCTGTCTCTCCGTCCGTCTGTCCGTCTGTCCCTCCGTCCGTCTGTCCGTCTGTCTCTCTGTCCGTCTGTCCGTCTGTCCCTCTGTCCGTCTGTCCCTCTGTCCGTCTGTCCGTCTGTCCGTCTGTCCGTCTGTCCGTCTGTCCGTCTGTCTCTCTGTCTATCTTACTGCATGCCTACCCATCCTTCACTTTTTACTGTTATTTGTTTGTTTGCGAATTAATCTGTTTGCGTTTGGTTGCGTCTTCATTTCATAACTCTTAAAATCATCCGTCGCACACTAACCGGTTCCAAATTTCTGTACTGATCCATCGAAGCTTGCATACGATCCTCAAATCCGTCAGCATATACTTTAGGGTTAACTGCTATGAAACAATGACCCTGAAAAACAATAACAGATGGTAACATTGCCATTTCAACATGTCATTTTTACAAATAAGCAGTGAATAAAACAGCTGAAATCACTTTGTTACCAAATTATGTACTCGTTCTTCTTCTCCTTTCCAGCGTTTGATGTTTGTTCCAAACGTAGATCCCGATAACATCCCACAAAACACATCCACCATCATGGCTAATCCAAAGCCTTTATATCCACCTGGCCAACAGAAGAAATATGTTACGCACAACAGATAGTTTCGTCTGATTTCCAAACAATGTGAAAATAGTTGCAGATCAATGTCAGTATCTGAGCAACTTTGCATGCACCTACCCCTCCCCTAGTCCAACATTAACTCTAACTTGTTATCAATTGACTGTTGTTGGATTAGGGGAGGGGTAAGTGCACAGCTGCTCAGGTACCGACCTTGATCCGACTTACCAGTGATTTCTGCTCCACCTAAGGGAAAAAGTCCACCCCGGTCCATTGCCTCCACAGGATCAACAGTTTCCTAACAAAACGCATATTATCTCCTTCAGAAGTAACATAAAAACACCAACGAAGAAATTAAAAAGTTGAAATAATTATTGCAGTGAATTAAGAAGGCTGATTTTTCAAGCTATGACCCCTTAAGGGCCAGTAAAAAGGACAACCAATGAGCCGATGAAGTGGACTTTTTACAACACAGCGGTCAAATGTTGGGCATGCGCGAGGGGATCAATTTTGGCCGCTCACGCACCAGTTTCCTGCGCAAAACTCCGAAGGAAAACATAAGGTAACCGCTGTCTCGCCAAATTAGCGAAAGAAAATTGAAAAGTTCCTAAAGATCTCTAAAAAGAAACAAAGTAGGGAATGGAAAACTCGAGACTTTTCGAGCACAAGCTTATTCAAGTACGGGGATCTTGCTGATTTACCATCATTTTTTTGAGCTTTACCAAAAGAGTCATACGCTTTTAAAACACTGTGACTTACTGGCTTGAAGTGGCTGTTTGTAATATTTGTGAGAGAACTTTTTTCTGACGGCCTAAAAGCATGTGACTATGACCTGGTCATTACAACGTTCGCACATGCGCAGACCTTTGACCGGTTTTTTTATTTATTTTTTTTTTTACCAACTTCTTGGACAATCGGGATTATGTCGCGTTTAAAGAAATTCAAATATCATGAAAATGTCTACATGCCTAGGGTTAGACTGGCCCATAAAATACTTCTTCAGAGGATGAACTGACCTGACGTGCCGAAATAAATACAGGGATAAAAGAAAAGAAAGTTAAAATGTGAAAGCTCTTGGACTTCGACTGCAAAAGGCGTGTCTTCGCCAGTCGTAGCGTTGCTTGTTAACCGCGGATTTTTCACATGATTTCTTACCAATCCTTTTGAGTCGACACCCCATCCTTGAGGCATTTCAGTTCCTTTTACACGACACATTCTAAGCTAAATAAAGAAAGAAACTCTAAGTTTAAACACGCACATTTAGAAACAAAGAAAGTAAGCAGCAATCTCAAGGAACAGGAAACATATCCAGGAATTTTTTAATGAGGATTGCGAATCTACTTCTTGACCAACCGACGCCTACCCATTACCCCCCTCCTCCCCCTCCCTGCGTTACACAAAAGAACAAATCATACGTGATCCAGTTGCTGCTATAATTTCGATGCCAGAAAAGTAATAAAAGAACCCACAGATCCAATGAGGGGATCCAGACGCCCTCCCCACTTCCCACACACTATCTAGATCCGCCAATGAAGTAATACAGTGATTCTTTTTGTCTATCAGTCAATCTGTCAACCTCCTTTTTCTACCAGTCTGTTTATGTGTTTTCTCTCCTGCCTGCCTGTCTCCCTCTCTGCTTGTCTGTGGTCTGCACGTTGGTCAGTCTGTCTGTCCTTCTCTCAGTCTTTCTGTCGGCTCATTTATCTTTTTCTTTCGGAGGAAACAGACAAAGTCGAGTCGATCAAACGCTATTTGTTACCTTTCCAAATGCCACTGCTGAAGTAGCCATATCCAGGAGAAAATTGTCGCCTTCCCTCCCTGGGGCGGCAACTGACAGAGGGTTTGTTCCAATGGATGGCTGTGTAATGAAATAAGATTAAAACACTATGTGCAATCACTAAGGTAAGGAAATTACTTTATTCATGGTTTACTTGATTGGAATTTCGACAGATGCGATTCTACTTCAACTAAACATAGCTTAGTCAAGACGCTAAGCTGTCATAAAGCTATTTCAGGTGTTTTATATATTTTTTTTACAGAGCGTAGCCAATGAATAATCTTAACACAGTCGATAACGATTTGAAAGTAGCTTGTGCTCATGGAGCATTTTCCTCGCTATTCTCTCTAAATGATTGAAAAAAAAACTGCTCCTACTTCCTCAACCTGTCAGACGCAAAAATAAAATACAGTCATGGCGCGTTATTCCCGTACTCAAGGTTGGTTACCTTGTGTTTGCGGGCGGGTGGGTAACCTGTGTTACTTTGAATTTTGACTGGCTCCTTCCAAAATTGCCATTCGCTTTGATTGGCTCCTGTGTTAACTTTTTGTTACAGCATCCAATCCGAGAGCGCAAGCGGGTAAACAAGTAACCAATCCAAAGCGCAAGGGTAAAGCTTAAACGAAGCTAAATCTGAAAACGTATGAACACAAATAGCCCAGAGCGACGGCGGACGACAGGTGAGGCAAACATTTTTTACTTGTTTGATGACTTTGTTAATATTCTGTGCAATGTTAGCGTGTGCACTATTGTCTAGTCTGCGCTTGTAGATATGTCAAACTCTCTTTACTCTGACGCAAGCTCGGGTGTTTGTTTCATGTTCTTCATAAAGTAATCAGGGAACCCAATAATCGACGTACTATATTCTTGAGAAACTTACCTTGGCTGCCCTGGTTGGTACCACCACAGGGGAGGTGTTCGACATGCTCATACCCTAAGATACCGAAAGAATGAAGCAACTCTCACGTATTTCAATATTTTTCCATTCTGACTAATAATTTTTTACCGACGCGGAGGTTACTACTGATGGACAATTACCGCGCCGCTACCACTTTCCCCGACAATGAGGTCAGTATTTGTTGAGCATAAACCATACAAGGTGAACAACTTGCGGAACAAAAAACTGCTTTATTTTTATTAAAGACTGAGAGAGTTTAAAGTCTCGCGCGCCGTGCAAAGGCAGGTGCGCGGATATTGCTGCCCGTGTACCGGTAAAATATTTCTTTCAGTAGAAAGACCAAAATTATCACATGTTTCACTCTTAATATCGTCATCGATGTACCGTGTGCTGGCCAGTTTTCGTAAAGACTTTTTATTTTAGTATTTGCTCTAAAATTTGAGGTCGGAACGAAAAACTACGAAAATAGCAGCGAAATGGAAAGCCGCTTTATTTCTCTTCAGTGCCTGGGTAATCACCCTCGAGAAATCCTAACCCGCCTAAAGCACTAGTCACTTTTGTGGGATATACTTCCAAAATATAGTGCCGACATAGATGTGGGGTGTTTTTGACTTACTATCATTCCATGCTGCAGTGCCTGAGCGCTGTACCAAGCAGCTATACCAAAATGCGTAGAACCTGAAACGCGACAAGTGAGGTTTGACGGTTTTTTCCAAAGTTCTCATAGAAAGACCTAACTAAATTGGGGGGGGGGGAAGCGGAAACCCAATGTTTTTTGCTTTGATTTAACCACACCTCACGGAAACAGTCACTTCTTAAAACAGTCTACACTTTTGACACTAATCCACCCCCTCTGTCAGTTGACATATCTTTTAGCAGGAGAAAAAATGAAAAAAAATGGCCGTTTCAATTTTTCTCCGCTTTAGCGATTAGCAGTCCACCTGGAAGCCCCTTCCTTTTTCGGTGGGGTGATAAAAGACGGGCGGGGGAGGGGAAGGGGTGCATCGTTACATGACATTCCGTAAACGACTGCGAAGGAAGTCCGAGTGTTCACCTGATTGCGTTATTCCGTCGGAAGCAAAGCTTCACTACTTGTTTGGGACAAGTACACGCCTACAACAATGTTTACAGAAATATTAGTTACCTTTACACACGACATAACCAATTCCATATTCCTTTGCTTTCTTGATGGCTAAATCCATGCAAAAGTTACCAACAACCTGTTTCGTGACAGAAAGAATTAACTCAAATGGAAGCGTTGCTTTGTGTTGTATCCTAACGTAGATTAAGATCGTCACGCAAATTTCAATTACGTTGCGTGACACGACTTAATGAGAGAGATCCGATTTTGTAAGAATTTCAGCTCCAAATATCTCATATGCTTTAAAAGATTTGTTTACAGTTTCCTTTAAAAGCACTCACGCAAAACTTGGCACACAATTACTTAACCCCAAAAGACTATAAACTGGGATTTCACGGTGACTTGCACGGTGACTTTTCACATACAAAGGAACAAAATTAAAATAAAAAGAAGCTTGACTTTATTTACCACACCAGGAAGATTGTTACCATTCACCAGCGCAGTCGCTGCAAAATCCTTTTCAAGACTGGGTTCGCCTCTCGCTTGCGTGACGCCACTCTCAATGTCACGCATATACATTTCTTTAAAAAAGATAACGCAAAGTTAAGCAGTCTCGATTAAGGGTTGTCAAGACTGAGCATAATCAATTTTGAGAAGCGAGTCACATGTTTGTCGCATGCTCACGGGTTCGGTAACGCTTTCTTGGTTGCATAACTATTTTAAGGAAACCTCAAGCTCGGCGGGGCGAGGTGGGGAAAGCAAGATTCTATTTCTTGTCACTGCTTTGAGATGATGTAAAACTTAAATACACTTCTAAATATGAAATACTTTCTATAGATGTTTTATCGCCTTTCAGAACGTTTCCAGACATATGCCAGTTCTTGTGAAAAACTGCGTTCGTGTACGTTTGTTACATCGAAATTTCAACCAAGATTATTTTTGGCATATAAAAGAAAAAAGAAACATACTTTCTCTCGTCTGCAGATGCGAACAATCTTGCTTGCTTGTTTATAAGATTGTGCGTTAAACAATAATGGTCTATTATAAAAACGATGATTCAACTATAATCGCTTACCTAATCGGTAGAGCCCGTGAGTAAAATGACCTCTAATATCAGCCTCGATGAGTATATTAGCGATAGCTAAACTGTGTTTGGGATCTGTTCCTATGGCTGTCATACATCGCTCTATAAATGAGCGTGCCTTTACCACCGACACAAGCTTTGTCATCCTGACCTCTTTATATAAGTGACTTAAGGAAAAATCTTCTATGCAGTCGGGAGATTGCGTGACTCAGCTCTATGAGTAACACGAGATGCGAGTCCGCAAAAAAATTGAATTTTGATCGCGTTCAGTCTGTTCAGTACAACGTCGAGCACTTTTTTGTTGGATCAGTCATTGAATAAAAGTTAACTTTCACCCAGAATAAGGTATTCATGTTCTTTTCCTTGTCGCATAAAAACAAATAAACAGGTATTCGTGTTCTTTTCCTTGTCGCATAAAATAAACAAACAAATAAACAAATGATAATATAAAACAAAATTATGTTGACAAATTCAATCGGCTTATAGCCAATTAATACTGAGCCTGAGGAGTTAAGGGGGGGGGGGTTACAAGTTACCTCTATTTCCTCCCCCCCCCCACAGGAATTTGTATCATAAGCTCTGCATTCAGATAGTAATGATACAATCATAATTGTGGGTGGGTGGGTCTTGCTGCCTATGACTGGCATCTATAAAAAATATAAAAACATATAATTATTTGGTTGCTTATGAATGGGGGCCTAAATAGATTTTTAAAAAATAGTTTTACTAACACTTCTCAGTCATCCACCAAGACTTCTGGCTAAAGCTCTTTTTTTTTCATAAGTACAATGGAACCTATATTAGGCATCACCATATTAAGCAGTCAGTTTTCAAAGTCCCGAATTTTTCCCTGTTCATTAATTACAGTAACTCTCATCGCTATTAAACAGTCACCTCTCTGGTGGTCACTGTAGTGATGTATCTTTATCCCTTTTGCTCCCATGATCTAATTAGTAATTCTTCTTACTGTCATACAATATTTTACTATTATTTGAGAGAATTTAGTATTGGATCCACTTTAAGTCCCCTAAGTTATATTCTGCTTTATCCTCATCACTTTTCTGCTTGATATTTTACTGATATTTTAAGGCAGGAGAAGTTTTCTTCGGGTCACTCATGGGAGTTCAAGAGTTAAGAATGCCTTCATCATGGGAATGGTCGGCAAGACTGCATGACTAGATGTCAATAATGAATATTAATGTGGTGAAATGTATTTAAGTGAGGTGAATACTGATTTAAGAGTGTTGTAAGTTGTGACTGTATGACCAGAATATTGATAGACTTTACAGTCACCCTTTACTGAGTCCCAGCAGGCAATTTGTTTTGTCCTTCACCTGTATTGAACAATCATTTAAAATGGAACCGCTTAAATAAAACTGAAAATAATCTTTCAAGAAAAAGTTATTATATATTTATCTCCCAAAATCAAAATTAGAAGTATTTTTGAGCTAATTTTGTACATTAAGTGGTAAATTATAGAACAGCATGGCATTTTTTAGTGTTTTTTAATGATACTCCCACTAGATTCTCCTTCCAAATTGTCTAATATTCTATAAATGTGTAAAAGAGGGAGGAGAAGTCGTATATGGCTTTGCTAAATGCACTCCTACATTTGATACCCAACTAAAACAAGTTCCATTGAACTATATTTCTTTGGCTGGGGTTCTTAAATTCTTATCAATTTCTATAAACACAAATAATTTTAAATTACAGTCCTTCTTCATACTGAAATCAGTTTTCGCTGACCACTATTCATCGATACCTGTAAAAAGCCTTCAATGACTTATCATGGACTAAATTTTCTCACAATCCTTCATGAAATACAGGAGGAATTTAACTTTGCATCAAGGTTGCAATTCCCCAAGCACTGAGTGATTTAAGCCATGATGTTTTCTTGCTACAATGATTATTTTTCCCAGTACTAATTAATTTTAAACAGCTCAAAAATCAAATATAGTAATTCACTTCATCAAATAAATAATAATTAATCAGATGGTATATAATAATAATAATAATAATAATAATAATAATATAATAAAAATAATGATGATAATAATAAGTATGAGGCAGAAACTTTCAATTTTCTTCCCTGAACAATAACAAGCATTTCATAACAGGTTGGTGTTTTTGTTGTTTATTAAAACAGTAGTTTCAATCTATTAAGTTTTTACTTCTATGGTCATCTGTCACCCTTCATACGAATCAGCAAAATATTCAAGCATATTTTTGTGCAAAATAAAGGCAATTGTGTTTATCATCCTTCAAATATTTTGCAATGTGCGCAAAAATATGTTTACAAACAGCTCACTGTTTGCTGCATGGGATTTTTTCCTTTTTGTGTCCTTTGGTATGACTTTTCAAACAAATATTTTGCAAAAACTTTTAATGAAGACTTATTGAAGTGGACATAAGTTTGAAAATTAGAAAATTAAGGAATATCACCTGGGTGAACAGAGGGGGGTTCAGCATTGTTAACAGAGTATTAAGGGGAGGTCTATGGAAAATTGACTGCAAATGATGGGGGATCAGGTTAGTGTGACACAATCTCAATCCTAGAATCCCCCCCCCACACACACTGGCCCACAGGTGATAAATAATGACCAGTGCCAAAGTATGAATTTACATTGCAGATCAAAGGCCTCAACTGAAGTTGCTGCTCAGATAGGCAGACCTGTTGCATGAGTAAGACATTCAAGTATCAGTGTTGTCCTGTGTCAGTTGCTAATTGCTGTTTGGATGTAGAAATTTGTTGTTGCTATGGCTGGACTTGTCATGTCTATTCTACAGAATGTATAAAGCCAGCAAAGTTATGCAGATCCTTATTGCACATACCGGTCATACAGGTGTTTGGTACTGCTGGAAATGACTGTAAGGTGAGTAGAAGTGTTATATTTTTCCAAGAGGAACAAACAGTGTTAAAGAGAAGGGCAAGGATCAGTACCTTAAGTGACCAGTACTAAGCTTTATTGTAAAATAAGTAGAAAAGAAAGTGATAATGAAAAGTTTTTTTCATATATTTCTGATTTCAAATTTTCTATGGGAGGATAGCTTAGACATTGCATTTTCACACATGCATCATCACACACATATTGTCACATGCATTATCACACAAGCATTGTCACATATGCATTGTCAGACATGTATTGTCACACATGCATTGTCACATGCATTACCAAACATTAATCCATATAAAGTTTTGTAGCATTAAGGTGTTAATAAAAGGTGGGATGGTATGTCTTATCTCCTTGGAATGTGTTTGAAATGTAGCACGAAAACAGGATAGAATTGGGAACAATGTGGACGATTAAGATGGACTTCTTTTTGTTACATTCCACAAAACATTTCATTGCTTCTTTAAATGTACACTTGTGCATTCCAATTGATACTATTTTGAGTCTCCTTTGGATGTCAGCTCTCATCCAGTATAGCCTGATTCAAAGCAAATATCCTAAGCATGTCTTTTTCAATAAAATGCAAATGTCCAGGTATAATAAGAGAGTGTAAAGGTGGCCCGAGGTCATGTGACAAGAGCTCCTTCATGCTGCTGCAAACTATCTGCTGATTGGCTGAGCCAACTCGTGCTACACCCACAGCAATTGTATCATCAGTGTAAGCTAACAAAAAACAAAAAGGTATAACCAGAATGAGAAGATAAGTGAAAAGCTAAAATGTCATACACTGTATATACGGATCAATATCAGTATCTGGGCAACTGCCCGCCTACCCCTCCCCTAACTCAACATTAACCTTAACTTGTTGTCAATTTAGGGGAGGGGTAGGTGGGCAGTTGCCCAGATACTGATATTGATCTGTATATACCTTGAATAGCTGTCAACATGGCTGTGTCAAACAAGAAGGAAGTAAATCATATTAGTCTCTTAACATGAACATGAGAGTGATCATTGCAGTAATGAACTAAATCCTCCAATTAATATTTTTTTTCAGGCTTTATTTTCACTAATGCTCAGGTAGTGTTCATAATTGTGAAGATCACTCTCATCTTCATTTATAATCTGCCGTTCAAATTTATACTATTCAGATATTCACAGTCATTCATTTTTCATCACACAGGTTTATTACAAACCAACAAAATGACCTGCTCCCTGTTGGCTTGTTAGCTCAGCTGATAGAGCTAATTACAATTGGTAATTACTAATGAGATCTTACAAGTGGAAAGCCAGTAAAATTGAAGAAAAAATACCACTCAGCTGAAAAGAATGAGCAAATGTTATCAACTAATCAAAACTTATCAAACTTCTAGGTATGGTGACCCCAAAGCAACAGGGTAGACCATGTCCGATCACTTCTGAGGCCAAGGGCCTAATCTTTAACTCCTAGAAGCCATTAACAAGTAACTTCCCACTCATGATATCCATACATTATCCAGCAAACTGGTAGAGAGAATAATCAAAACTTATCAAGTAGAAGTTATTATAATTTTGATCTAACACCAAATTCTTGCAACTAATTTACAAGAAAATGTGTAGCAGCTAGAAGGGAGAATTAACAATCAGATCTGGGAAGTTAAAAGGGTTAAGATGATCCTACCTGGTGGTTCTCCTTGCAAATCTCTGTTCCTCACAACATCTAAAAGTTGACTCACTGCTTCATTTACACTCATGTAACGTGGAGGTTCATAAACCTTTCTCCCCCTAAAACAAAGAACTTGAAGTTAAGAAATACAGACCAACTGCAGTTAATGAGTCAATCAATCTGAAGCTTCAACCCCCCAGGCAACCCCCTGTGATCCTTTCAGTTGCCATGCCAAGTAGAAAAAAAGGTTGAGTGACTAAGCCCGAGGCTATAGTCAGATTAAATTTACCAACTACCACTCTTGAGTTGAAAACATTTCCTGCATTAACCTTTAACCCCTGAGGGTGACTTGCATGGAATTTCTCACTAAGGATCACTGCTCAACCCTTTAAACCCTATGAGTGACTAGCATTTAATTTCTCCTAACAATATCACCACTGAATCACACATTAATGTCATGAGAATAGAGGAAATGATCACCAACTAAAGAAACTCTTGATTGTTAGACAAATTCTCCTTATCAGCACTTTAGTAAATGTACAGAGAACAGTATGGAGAATATGAATTCTGATGTTAGGATGTAAAGGGTTAATCAAACTTTAGGCTCACGAGAATTTAAGAACATGATCCTAAACTTGAAAATCTCCTGGTTTTTCAACTAAAATCTCCTTGTCAGTGCCATAGGAGATTTACAAAGAACAGTATGGAGAATACACATGCTGATGTTAGGGTAGAAGGTTAACCTACCGCATCAAATTCTCCAAGGACTGTTCCTTTACTTTAATGTCTGCATAAAAGATTACCACAAATGTAAGTCCAGGGAAAATGAACCCCTTAACCCTCTAATCCCTGAGAGGGATAAGTATGTAACTTCTCCCAACAATACCCATACATTATTCAGCAAACAAGTGATGAGAAGACTCAGATGTATCAGGTAGAAGTTGTTATCTTGATCTAACACTAAATTCCTGTCAATTGCTTACAAATAAATGTGTGACAGCTCTAGGGGAGAATTAACAACAAGATCTTGGTAGTTAAAGGGTTAACTCCAAGATACAATTGCATACTCTCCCAACTGGCTGCCATACATGTCCTTGTAGTTTAGTCAAGAGAATTTGGTGTTATATAAAGGTAACATCCTCTGGCTGATAAGCCTGTCTAATTTCATTCCCTGTTTACAAGACAACAAATTTGAATTGTAAGGAGAGGTTGCGTGTCAGTCACTGTTGAGCGTTAACCCTTTAACTTCCATGAGTGACCAAGACAGAATTTCTCCTTACAATATCAATACAATATCATCCAGATGAGTGATGAGAATAAAGAAATATATCAATTTGGGGATAATTACTTGATCCAATACTAAATTCTCTGAACTAACATTATAAGAATTATATGGTTGACAGTAAGGAGAATGACAAACTTGATCTGAGAGTTAAAGGGTTACAAGGTTAATGTGAGAACACAAAATAAAATACCATTTGAGTACCCTTATTACCCCATGCACACACTTATGTTAAAAAAAACACTATGGCTGTTAATGCAACTGCATAAGCAGCATCAAAAAAGCCTTACTACCCTGCAGGATGCAAATAAAAAAGACAGCAAGGGAAAGAAGAGCAATGGTCACATTATAAAATACTTGTCAATTGAAAAAGGTCAGGCTGAAGAAGGAAAATATTCGACTCTAGGTCATGATGCATACTCTTATGCTTGGTCTGAATGTCATGCCCTTGAGCCAAATATTTTCCCTTTCAGCCCTCTCACTAAGTCATTAACAACAAACAATTCAACAACTAGGCTACAAATATTTGTCATCTTATCTTTTTTGCTTAAGTCTCAAAGTTTGACCCTTGTGAAAAACCAATTTCACCATCTTTCCTTATGAAACAAAATATCACCAAGAATCCCTTAAAGTATAAAATATTCTCGTCTTATCTACACTACAATAGGAAAAATCTTTATGACTGAGGAGGAATTTAATAGAGTTTGGGTTTTGTCCAAGCACAGAAATGTTTCTTGAAAATGAAAAGGAATGTTTACACTTTAAGACTAGCATCTTACAAAATCACCCCTGAATCAAACATTAACCTTGCAAAAATAAAGGAAATGATCACCAGCCAAAGCAGTTCTTGATTGTTTAACAAATTCCCCTGATCAGCAACTTAGGAAATGTATAGAGAATAGTATAGAGAACTTGCACACTGATGTTAGGGTTCACAGTTAGTATTTACCTAATAAACAAAGTGTATGAAGACCCTGTTTTCTGTTGCTTGCAATCTTATCGTAAAAACTGTCTGGTTTCCAGTTATCAGTCCAAAGTACAATGGACACTGTCTCTCCAAAGTTGTATAACTGAAAAAAAATTTGCAATGTTTATAATCAATGTTTAACATTAAAGGTTACATCTGTACTTGAGCTGAGTGATCCATCCTGTCAGATTTTATCCTGGTTTCCTTAACATGAAGCTACTCCCCTCTGGATGGGACATCAGTCTATCACAAGGTTATCCCTCAGCTTCCTATCAGGCCTCCCTGACCACTTGCCAATACCCATTTATGCTCCTGGGCCCTGTTGTTCAAAGGGCAGATAACGCTATCCGATGGATAAATAACTATCCTGTGGATAAAAGTCAAAAAACCCAACTAGGGTATCCACCAGTGAATGACATATCCAGTGGATAGCACTATCCACCCTTCAAATAACTGGTGCCTGGTTGGAGAGAGACCCACTCAAAGTAAAATGTTTTGCCCAAGAACACAACACTATGACTTGGGTAGGTCTCATACCCAGACCCCCAACCCAGACCTCTTGACAAGGATTCCAGCGCACTGACTGTAAGGCAAAAATATTTGTCACCAGTTCCCTTGAACAAGAGTGCATGATGTTTTTTTTTTCCTACAATTATTTTTTTAGAACCATTTCAAATTTCAATGGCATGGTTGTCCAGCCTTGGAGCCAGAAAAATTTTTAGACAATTGTTAAAACTGTCAAATTTTACTCTTTGCAGGCATTGATCTGAGTGACAATGTCAATCAAGAAAATTTGACCTCTCTTTAAAAGAGTCTAGGGCTGCACAAGTCTGCTAAAATATTCAATTCTACGCAAGGATCAAACTGTGAAGATGAAGAATACAATAGTAAAGACTGTTTATAACTACCATACATATATGTACAGTTACTGTACCATACACTTATATGTAAAATCAAAGCTTTGTGATAACTACCTGAAGTCCACAGCATCCAACTGCATTCATAATAGAAGCATTATGGATCACTTGATATTGAATGCCCATCTGGTGAGCTCTCAGTACCAGGTCTGTGTGGGTAGTGGCCCTTTGAAAAAAAATAGAAAAATAATACTTTTTCCTCTTATCACCAGCATGGCACAAAGAAAACATTCTAAGCCCTCAAGAAAAATCAAACCTCATGGCTTATGATTCTACCTCTCTGCAAAAAGCCCTGATGATCTGGGTCTTTTAGCTGATCTCAGACTTAACCCCTTAACTCCCATGAGTGACCAAGACAGGATTTCTCCTTACAATATCAGTACAAAAGCAACCAGATAAGTGATGAGAATAAAGAAAATATCAATTTAGGGATAATTAGTTGATCCAACACAAAATTCTCTAAACTAACTTTATAAGAATTGTATGGTTGATAGTAAGGAGAATTACAAATTTGATCTGGGAGTTAACGGGTTAAGTAAAGAAACACACCACAAGTTTCATTATTATATCTAAATGATATAAACAAAAAAACTAAAATAAAAGAAACTATATTTCAGTAGAGCAAGTCTATTACATTAAAATTTACAGGCCATGTTTACTGCAAATTTAGTAATACTTTGTAGACTCTGCTCACAAGGTAGACTACATTAAGCAATTTAACTCAATCAAGCTGACTGTTTCTTACCCAAAGGGATCTCCAACAACCAAGAAAGCAACATCTTTCTCCTTGGCATGCTCCAGAATAAGATCTAAAGAACAAACAGTTCATATTATTTAATCTTTTAGAGATAATCATCAGCTGAATTTATCTTAAGAGAACTTTCATGGTGGTTTTCTTTTTATCAACTAGGATGGGATAAGAGAGGATGTTGGTCTATCAAAAGTAACTCTAGAATTTTTTAACCTTTTACACTCTAACATCAGAATTCATATTCTCCATACTGTTCTCTGTACATTTACTAAGGTGCTGACAAGGAGAATTTTCCTAACAATCAAGAGTTTCTTTAGTTGGTGATCATTTCCTTTATTCTCATGATATTAATGTGTGATTCAGTGGTGATATTTGAAGGAGAAATTAAATGCTAGTCACTCTTAGGTGTTAAAGGGTTAAACCTTAAGAGTGATTGGTATCTAGTTTCTCATTGTAAAATCACCCCTTAATCATACATCAAGGTCTCAAGAATAAAGTAAATGATCACCAACTAAGTAAGCTCTTGACTGTCAGACAATTTCTCCTTTTAAATACCCTGGCAAATGTATAGAGAACAGTATGGAGAAAATGCTTACTGATGTTATGGTGTAAAGGGTTAACTCCCAAACCATTTGTTATGATTTTCAGTTGAGTGAAGTGTGATGGAGGTTCAGCAAATATGTTTTGGCATTAACCCATTAACTCCCAAGATCTCATGAGTAATTCTCCTTACTGTCTGCAATATAGTTCTTGTGATGTTAGTTTGGAGAATTTGGTATTGGATCAACTAATAATTCCCAAATTAAGATTTTTTCTTTATTCTCATCACTTGCCTGCTTGCCATTGTATTTATATTGTAAGAAATTCTGTCTTGGTCACTCATGGGAGTTAAAGGGTTAAATTACTCTAATGTCTTCACAAACAAAATGTACATTCTCATCATCTAATCCCATTAATGATCATTATAATATAGCTTGTTGACATGTCATTTACTATATCTGTTGTCTACAGTAGGTTTATTTATCTGCTTGTGAGGGAATCTACCCTTTCAAGCCTTAACCCTTTAACTACCAGATCAAATTTCTAATTCTCCTAAATGTCAACCATACAATTATTATTATGTTAGTTCAGAGAATTTTAGTATTGGACCCACTGATTATCCCCAAATTATTATTTTTCTTAATTCTCATCATTTATCTGGTTGATATTGTATGGATATTGTAAGGAGAAATTCTGTCCTGGTCACCCATGAGCATTAAAGGGTTAATGGTTTTTCATGGATTTCTCACCATTTATCTTTCTTTTCATTTGCGTCCCAGGGCTGTGACATGAATTGTGAGACCTGGAGTTCAGCATGATATCCATTGAGCCCCAGGCTCTCCTAACAATTATCCTTTTTAAAAATGTAACATTTCAAGTGCTACAAATAAAATTATTTAACACAAGTATTCACCTGAATTTTGTTCCACTGTTTCTCTATCAGCCAACTGGATTTTGCATCCATAAAATTCTTCCTAAAAAAGAGAAAAAAACATTCAGGATGAGTTCTAAAAAAAATCTGATTTGCTTACATTTTGATGCCTTCCCTCAAAGAATCTGGGAAGGATATAATTTTGAGATAATTTTATTCATATATTACATGTATTTCATTTTTTATCCTTTTTTTAAGAGGACATTTGAATCTGCCAATTCAAGTTGTAAATTTGTGGTCATTTTCAGATTCTCTGCATCATTTGACCCCAATAAGTGAATCAAGATTAAGAAATCCTGAGGAATGTCTTTACCCTTTAACTCCAAAGATCTGGTTGTTAATTCTCCCCTCCACCTGCTACACATTGCCCTTTAAATCAGTAACAAGAATTTGATGTTAAATCAAGGTAAGAACTTCCCCCTGATAAGTTTGGGTATTCTCGTTGCCTGTTTGCTGGCTCCTGTATGAATATTATAGGGAGAAGTTACATGTTCATAACTTCTAACTTTGGTCACGATTGACATTTCAGAAAAAAAACATAGTCCCTCTTTCCTATATGGAAAGGAATCCTTTGTGGAAGGAAACATTTTTTTCCGTATGATTCTATCCTAAACGGGAGTTTTACCGAAGCAAATAAAATATTTGATTGTTGTAATTTTAGTAATCCCTATGTGCTTACCAATACTTCCTTTCCTACACAAAGAATTGATGTATATGCCTCCAGAAATACATGGTCTGCCTTTTTAACGATTTCGAGTCCTTTAACAGTGATATCCTTCGCATCTCCTAACCCAAGACCCACAAGGTACAACATTTTCGCGTACTGTCGAGCTCAACACACAGCCGCCATGATGGAATTTTACGCCGAGTGCAGCCTGGGTAGAGATTGAACTTAGAAAGTCAGCGGTATCAGCCATCGCCTAGACCTAGCTCTCTCGCGACTTTTCACCTCATGTGGATTTCAAAATGGTGAGAAAGCTAAAATTTCACGAAAAGAAGCTCTTGAAAAAAGTAGACTTTATTTCATGGAAAAGCGATAATAACCTCCGTGAAGTGAAGATATTACGAAAGTATCATATCCAAAAGAGGGAGGACTACACTAAATATAACAAAGTTTGCGGAATGGTAAGATCTCTTGCCAACAAAATCAAACACCTCGATGCAAAAGATCCATTCCGAGCCGAAGCTACCGAGCAGTTATTGGAGAAACTTTACTCACTTGGATTGATCACGACTAAAAAGAACTTATCTTTGTGTGAAAAGCTGAGTTCATCGGCTTTCTGTCGTCGAAGGCTTCCAGTTGTGATGGTGCGATTGCGAATGGCTCAAGCAGTAAAAGATGCTGTGAAATACATTGAACAAGGACATGTTCGAGTCGGACCAGAAGTTATCACGGATCCTGCTTTCCTTGTGACAAAGAACATGGAAGATTTTGTGACGTGGACAGACACATCGAAGATAAGGAAACATATCATGGAATACAATGATCTTAGGGACGACTATGACTTTTCATGAAAACAAACAACATTCTTCAACTTAGTGAAAACTGAAAACATGCCATTTGCCGAAATGTTCGGGATTCAATTTGTTAGTACGTGAACCCTTTACGCCCTAACAACAGTATACTGTTCTCTGTGCTTTTTCTATGGCGCTGACAGGAGAGAATTTGTTTAACAATTAAGAGCTTCTTTAGTTGGTGATCATTTCTGTTATTCTTGGAACTTTAATGTTTTATTCAGGGGTGACATTTTATGACCTAACCTTGAATAAAATTAAGAAAGTGAACTTAGTTAACTGTTAAAAGTCCACTGTATCAGTAAGATGATAGTTAATGCATTGTGTTGGGGTTGCCTAGAGCAAAACAATTATAGCAAAACATGTGTGTTTTAAAACTTTGTACATTTTTTAGCTGTCCCATACAGAAAAAAAATGTGAAATCACCAACTTTTACGTCCTCTTGGCAAGGAAACCTCAACAGCAATGTAGTCACTTTTTCACTTTGAACTCAACACTACATTCACATGTTAGGCCAAAGTAAAGATGTGTTACCTTCAGAAACAGTTAACGCATCAAGCATAGACAAAAATCTTAGAGATAAATAAAATTACATTTTTTCAGCCCTGTTTAATCACACATCGCTGTTGTGACATCTTAAACCTCTCACTAAAATCCCTTGTTCAAACTACCTACACCTCCACCTGGTTCAAATATAACAAAGGTTGAATTCTGAACATGTAATTTTGTAATAAAAAACAGACAGTGTCACAGATGCCCTATAAAAGAGTGTATTAGTTTCTCAGATTTACCTCAGATTTTGTAGAAGTGAATACAATGGTGGGTGAAGAGGGTAAGTTTCTAAAGAATCTAAGGTGCTACATTAGTGGGGCTACTGCAAGATAATTTGGTTATAAATTGAGTTGATAATGTAAATTGGCCAACAGGGTAAAAAAATTCTTAAGCAGATGTTTCAAGCATTAACCCCTTCTCAGAGCAATTAAAGAAATGGGTGGTTTCCATGATTCTATATTACAGGAGAAAATATAGACAATTAATCAAAAACTGAGAAAAATTTTACATGAAAAACTGCAACTACTTTGTTATACGTGAAAAGGAATGGTTGTTGCAGTTAAGCTCTTATTAACCCTTTAATTCCCAAGATCTCATCAGCAATTCTCCTCACTGTCTGCCATACAGTTCTTGTGATGTTAGGTTGGAGAATCTGGGATTGGATCATCTTATAATCCCCTAATTGATATTTTTCTTTATTTTCATCACTTGTCTGCTTGATATTGCATTGATATTGAAATTATGTCTTGGTTAATCATGGGAGTTAACTGGTGGAGGACCCCCAAAAAATTCAGACATCCATAAGCTCACTTCCATGCTAATATTAATTAAGCAGCAAACCCACATACTGGAAGCACAGTAAGTTACTTAAACCCTCAACACACCAGCATCAGTTTCCATATTCTCTATACTGTTCTTTGTACATTTTCTTATACGCAGATGAGGAGAATTTGTTTGACAGTCAAATTTCTTTTGTTGGTAGTTATTTCCTCCATTCTCATGACCTTCAAATGAGATTGAGGGGTGATACTGTAGGAGAAACTAGACACTATTCACAAAGGTCGAAGGTCAAAAGGGTTAGTGTTGCTAAAGGAACAATCTGATATGATTTGGTGATCTTAAAAATTTCAATTTAATCTTTCTATGTTTTTTTTTTCAGTTTTCTCCTTCCTTTAGGTAAAGACAGTAACACTTGTTCTGTGGTATTTCAGGGTCTTACAATTAACCCTTTAACTCCTAAGGTCAATTTGTTAATTCTCCCCTCAAGCTGCCACATTTCCTTGTAAATTAGTAACAAGAATTTGGTGTTAGATCAAGATAACTTCGAACTGATAAGTTTGAATATTCTCATTACCTATTTTCTGGATAAAGTAAGGATATTATAGGGAGAAGTTTCATGTTGATCACTTCTGGAAGTTGACCCTTTAACTCCCAGATCAATTCTTTAATTGTCCTTACTGTTACCCATACAATTCTTATAGTGTTAGGTCACTGAATTTAGTATTGGATCAACTAATTATCCTCAAATTGATGTTTTTCTTTATTCTCATCACTTATCTGGTTGATATTGTATTGATATTGTGAGGGGAAATTCTGTCTTGGTCACCCATGGGAGCCAAAGGGTTAACTTGTACAAGTTTCCATGTGTGGCTTGGCAGAAGGGAAGCCTAATGTTGTTTTTTTGTTTGGACAAAATATGAACCTGCCACTCCCCAGCAATGTGATGGATTTTTTATCTATTGGTCTTACTGTCTTAACCCTTTAATGCCTGAGAGTGATAAGCACCTAATTTCTCCCTTCAATATCACTCATGAATCAAACATTATGGTTATGAGAATAAAGGAAATGATAATCAATCGAAGAACCTCTTGATTGTTAAACAAATTCTCTTTGCCAGCGCATTAGGAAATGTATAGAGAACAGTATGGAGAATATGCATTTTGATGTTAGGGTGTAAAGGGTTAATGGTACCCTGCAAGAGGCAATACTCATCTTCCCTACATTAATCCGTTTTACCCTAACAATTTCCTCTAACCAGGGGTGATCTGGTAAGGAGAAATTAGATGCTGGTCACTCTTAGGGGCTCAAAGGGTTGAAAAAAGCACAAAATTTTGACATCTTGACTCATTTCTTTTTTTTTTTTTTTTTTTTTTCAGAATCATCTAGTGAATTGTTGTTTTGCAGAAAGTGGTTTCTAAACTTTTTTAATACACCATTAGTTTATCATCCCAGAGCAAGTAAAAATATAAAGAATCCAAAGAAAATTCGTGCATTTGATTTACAATGTTTTGGGGTAAGTTTTATCTGATATGGAGTTTTTTTAGAATGTTGTCCCCAAGAATTCAGAAGTTTTAAAACTGGTAAAAGCTTCCAAAATGTTTCTCCTGTTGCTAGGTTAGGACTTATTTCTGTCAGGAAATCACTATATCATTGTAATCCAATCAATTTAATTAGGGCATGCGAGTTTATAATTGAATTGTTTCTGCAATGCACATGTCTAATACTTTCCTGTTTGAGCGACAATATTTATGTAGATGAATCTTAGTGATTTGCAATTCTTTAATCGGAGAACACAAAATTTCATAGTCCGAGCTTGAAAAAAAGTCAATAGGCGTACCATGCCCAATAGCCGTGACTTTTTCTGCAATTGCCATAGCGACAAAAGAGTAAACTTTTTAAACATTCGAATGTATCTAAAAATAACAGCTTGTTTTGGTTCGACCTTGATATTGTAGGATCGCAAATGAGTGTGAAATTTATCATGTCAATTTCTGTTTCGTACCGGTACTTAGGGAAAGAATTTTACATACTTGTTAAAAAATTATTTCGAAAAACGCAAGTAAATAATGCATAGAAGAGTAACTAAGTGTAGCTGTGTATAAGCTATGCAGATTTGTAAAATATAAACAGTGTGGTACATAAATTAACGATTGTCGAAGAAAGCTCCTCCCCCAATTCTGTTTATTACAAAACGAAGTTCAAGCCTCAAGGGAGTACTCAAGCATACGACATCTCATCGGTTTGATCACTATCGTGGACGGTTCATTGAAGCCAAAAAAAAATCCTCCTCCTTCCAAAGAGCCGTGCTAATTTTGAAGACAAGAGGTACTTGAAAGGAGAGAAATATCAGGGGTAGTTCGGCTGATAACAGCGGAAACAGGTAAAAAAGAAATCAAAATCAAACGAGCGAATATTTATAAAGAGCGTGCTGTGTAGTTGACAAAACAAAAAGCCCTTAGGCTGTAAAGGCATTGAAGCAAAAGTTACGGCGAAAAAGAGCTTCGTTTGGAATGTTTCACTTCATCAACAGCCGTTTACCTGACAATTCTGTGCTCAAATTCCACCCACAGCCGGCACTGACGAAAAAAAGCTGTTCAAGATTCCTGCAGCGCTGATACCTGATTTCGGAGTACCATGCCGTTAGCAAAGAAAGCCCCCAAGAATGACGTTAGTAAGTAGAAGAATTTTGTCGCATTTTTTGGTTGTTAAAATAGTTACTGTTGTCCTTGAACGATACTGAGAAGGAAATGGCTATTTGTAACTTAAGTAGACATGATGTAACGAGCGGTTGTTCGATGGAATTCGATTGAAAACCAAGCGCAGTAAACATAAATTGCATTCCAGAAGTGAACGCAAGTGCTTTTGACGTCAATTCGATCTCAAAGCAACCGCGCGTGTTGAGAATACTGATACTATTGCTCTTCTATCAAAAATTACTTCGTGCGTAACGGAGTTTCCCATTCGAGATATTTAATAAGTTTAATGCGAAAAAGATCCTCTTTCCACTTCACCTTACTGTTTCCACATTCTTTATTCACACAATAAATACTCTTAAAGTTCATTGTACTTATTTGTGAGCTATTTGCCGCCGGAATTCCTAAATGGCTTCTTCATGATCAAGGATTTTAAAGGTCATTTCGTGGTAGACATTAACCAGTAACTTTTAAGAACCAGAAAGCGATTTTAATCGGTTTAAGAATTAAAGGTACTTGAATTGTATTTCAGAAAGTGTTAGTGGTTTTACATTGCGCGCTTTCGAGGTCTGCCTTTACTCAGGAAATATTTTAGTGTTGATTGATTGAGAGAAAATTTATGAGACGATTCTGGATAAGATTTATTACTTATCTCCAGATGATACCCTTAATAGTAATAATCTGTGACTTAAATTAAATTTTCCAAGGTAAAGCCATAAATATTTTTTTACATTTCACATTTATGGGTTTTTTGCATAATAATTGTGACATAAATGTTTAGAGAAGTTGTTTCTTGGTTGACATTTGTATTTTGAGAAAGGGAGTAGAGGGGGTGGGGTTGGTACATGAGACATGGTTCACTTCTCAGATGTGAGTGCTAATAAAATTTCCTTTTGATTTCGCTTTATCATATACCAAAAGAGGATGACAGTTCAGTATCATTGATGCAGTGATTATAGAGATACACGTGTTCTGATTGGTCGGGATTGCATCATATCTTGCTATAATCATCTCGTGCCTGGTGATTGTGTTCAAAGCAGCTGCCTAGCGTTTTGTTAGTGTTACTAAGGAAGTGATAAATGTGCTAGAGGAGAATCCAATTTAGAAGTGCACTTAAGATGCTACTAAGTTTTTTGTAACACTTTCCAAAAGAAAAATATATAGTTTTTGCTGATTGAATTAAATAAACCTGTTAAATTATGGTGGAAACTGGCTGCTTATCTCAATGTTAGGTATCAAAACTTTTTTAGCAGAATTTTTTTAACAACACAATAAAGTTACATCAAAATTCAAAGGTACCTGAACAATCACTAAAACAATTGTTCACCTCAGGCTCCGTAAATATCATTGAATAATCCCCTTGATTTTGTCCCACAATCATTGAACACACTTTGCCTTCTGCAAATAATTTTTGATTTAGAGTAGCTAGCTCAGTGTCATTGGGCCATGGATTTTGAAGACTGCTGCCAAATGAAATCAATTTTATGAGGAAGAGAGAGGAACCCTTATAGCATGCCGAACCTTTTAACTCCCAGAAGTGACTAACATGTAATTTTTCCCTATAATATCCACACATTAACCTTCAAATATTCTTATCAGTAGAAGTCAATATCTTGATGTGTCCTTTATAACGATGCATCCATGCAAAAGCTATATAGCTTCAGTTGTGTTTCCATGTTTTTCTTTTTGTCTGGTGCAAAGTAATAAAAAAGGAAAAAGGAGTTTCAGTATTGTGTAAACACCTTGGCCATGCTTTATCCCATATAACAAATGACTAACAGGTAACTTCTCCCAATAATATTCATACCTTATCCAGCAAACAGGTGGTGAGAATACTCAAACTTATCAAGTAGAAAATGATTTCATGATCTAAGACCAAATTCTCATAGCTAAGTTACAAAGAAATGTGCAGCAGCTAGAGGTGAGAATTCATAATCAGATCTTGGGAGTTAAAGGTGTAAGGATACTTGATAGCCATGTCTCACTTTTTCTGGAAATGCTTCACAGTTACAAAATGATTTTTCTTCAAAGACATGAAATGATGACTGAGCGATATAGCTGGAAAAGAGGATAAGTTGGAGAAATGCTGTTCCCTGTGTTCAATGCCAAACTGAAATATTTTTCATGGAAAACATGCTCCAAGGTGCTCATTCATGTTATCCTTGTGGCACCCTTGGTTAACCCTCAAACTGCCAGAAGTGATTGAGATGTAAATTCTCCTTACGATATCTGTACATTCTCCTGCAAACAGGAAATGAGAATACTCAGACTTATCAGGTAGAAGTAGTTAACTTGACCTAACACCAAAATTGTCATAAGATATTTACAAGTAAGGATGTAGCAGCTAGAGGAGAGAATTAACAATCAAATCTTGTGAGTTTAAAACTCTTAAGTATTACATCAATGTTTTATTTTTATCATTGTGGTATTTCAGAATTGTTAGGAAATGTCCATGAATCAGCTTAAACTTAAAGCACTAGCAGATAATTCCTTTGAGTACTAGTGCTTCTCATGACAAACTATATGTATATGGACTAAAATGTCTGAGTGGAATTTGGTGTTGTGACAAAAAGCCAATGCCAAGTTGCCGTTAATCATTCCAATTTTACCCTAAACGCTTGATTGGGGAAATTATTCATTTGTTACAAAAGCAATCAGAATTTCTCAAAAAATAATGCTTTGTTCCATCTAGATAACACAACTAGCCAATTAAAAAAAGTAGACTTCTGTGTCATCACTTTGGTAGCCACAGAAAGAGAAAGACTAGAAAAGTTGAACAGTAAAGTTTTTTTACTAACATTATCATGCTAATAAGTGGTGTCATTTCCACAAGACAAGCTCTTGGGATGAAAAGATTTCCATGAACTTAAAAAAAACTCAAGCAAAATGTATAGGATATGCACTTGCCTCACTACCCATCCTTAGATGTGTCATGTAATTATATAGAACAATGTGACAGGTAAAGAGAGAGTATTTCAGGTTTTCCAGATTTTGTCTTTTAAGTGCTCATGAATAATAATTTAAAAAGTAGGTACAACTCCCTTAAAAAGAACAATCTTAAACACGACTGTCATCTTATATTTTAAGTGTAATACTAAACTTATGGTGATAGTTGAAGTTCATTTTTGAATTGGAAAATAAATTTTATTGGAAAATAATTTATTAGGCATCTTAGCTCAAACTATGGTAGCTTGTCTTATTCAGCATTCCCACTTTATTTTTTAATGATCTTTTTAAAACTATATTCGGGAAAAAAAATAATCATTTTTTGTAGCTTCATTCATATTAAAATGTGATGATATTCGTCTTAAAAATCCTTGGTTAACCCTGTTAATTTGGGTACATGATAGATGGAGAATTCCACTGTCTTATTATTGAGTTTTTAGTCAACAAAATAGTTTTCCTCATAAATAAACCATTACCTAGACCTAATGACTCGTCAAACTGGTGAAATTAAAGAATCGTTGATGCATTTTTCATCATTCGGCGTCAATCTTTGAACAAATTGAACCCAAACCTTCCTAGAATTTATGTGGCAATTCTCCTCCGCTTCTGTTTCGTTCAGCTGGACATTGCCGAAAATCTCCATATTTAGATGTTTCCGATTGTTTCGTTTACAGCCGACCAATGAAAACGCGTCGTTGTGAAAACGGAAAACGTCACTAGTAGGTCTATCTTTTCGCCAGAAGGTCGTCTGTTTCTTTGATACCAGCTAGAGCGGAAAATACTGAACAAGATCGCGAGTCATTTTAGGCAGATTTGTGTGTTGGGTATCAATATTTTTCATCGTGACGAGAGCTTTAAAGAAGCTTTCACAAGAGCTCGCCCTTTGAGAGATGGGCAACACTCCGACGAAGAGAGGAGACCCAGAAAATGGTATAATAAATTTAGCGGGGGCATCTGTTGTTATACTCAACCAAGCGAAAAAACCTTAATGTTTTGTTTTCGTTTCTTGTCCTTAAGTAAAAGCTTTCCTGACCGAGGCCAAAGAGGAGTTCAATCAAAAATGGGACCATCCCTCTCAGGTGAGCAATTTCTTCTTTATTCAGTTAATTATACAGTCACATCTTCGTTCGGTTTCAACTAAAATATATTCACCTTTTTCGTGTACGCTTTTGTTGGGTGAGACTTGCAAATTATTTTAAACGGTGTTCTGTTCTTGAGAGATCGTGTTACGAACAATTGTGCTTGATTTCTTGGCGTGCTCAAAGCAGAACAGTATTATTTTAAGTTTTTTGTATTTTGCAGACCTAAACGTGGTTTTCTCACAAGAGTATATTTTCTTTGTTGATTTTCCATGTCTTTCATGTCATTTCTGTTTGATGCATTCAGAATACGGCTAGTTTGGAGGACTTCGAGCGATTGAAGACCCTGGGTACCGGATCATTTGGTCGGGTTATGCTCGTTCAACATAAGAGCAGCAACAAATTTTATGCTATGAAAATTTTAGATAAACAGAAGGTAATTTTAGATTTATTCAGATGCATGTAAGCTTATTTTGTAAGGGAGCTGTGCGAGGATTAGTTTTCGAGAGACTGATTGACAGTGGTATATGTTTAACTTGCGCGAAAATTCAGCGTTACGAATCGTCACTTCTCATTTTGTACATTTATCATTGCCGTTGATTCTTTTAACTGGTCCTTAAATCACTCTGCTTTATCAGACAAATGCGTTTGTGATGCTCTCAAATTTCAGTCCGTCATGTGAAATGTACAGTGTAAGTTGTTAATAACAAGCTGCCGTACACATTTTCAAAAGTTAATTTAACATGCGTTCGTCACGTTTTAAGACAACTTTAAAAAAAATAGTTGTACTGGACCTAGGTTTTTACCAAGTATTTCTCCAGACATCGAATTACCGCATTCTTTATGCGCTGTGTTTGCAGTAGTTGATCATCTTCGGTGTGAATGATTGCATTTTGTAAGGCTTGGGGACCAATTTTTAATGTAACAGGTGTTATGATAAATTAATAATCTTGATTTGGACTACATTTAACTCTGGTGACTTGCCTCAAACTTGTAGGTGGTGAAGTTGAAGCAAGTGGAACACACTTTAAATGAAAAAAGGATTCTGCAAGCAATAACTTTTCCATTCCTGGTGAACCTGGAATGGCATTTTAAGGTTGGTTGCTTGCTTAAGTAAACTTCTTTTCATGATCAATTAGCTGCAATGGAGTATACTTGTTTAATTTCATAAGACGAGTATTTATTCCATCACTAAATTAAATTTAAATCAGGTAAAGTTGCTTATTTTCAATGTTAGATATATTTGACTTAAGACAGATACATTCCTCATATATTCAACTATGTATATGTTAATACCATTGTGATAAGTATGTTGGCCAGATGAAACAAAGGCTCGTTGAAAATATAGGAGAATGTTGTTAATAGGACTCACTTTATGTGTGAACCTGGAAGACTTGAGTATGTCATTTGCTGTTCGAATGCACTCTTGACAATGATTATTTTTCTTAGAACTTGAAGGTTTTGTTTATTATTCAGTACTGTATGGCATTGGCTTAATATCTTCACAGGCACTGGTTTATTTAGTTCACGAAATACTCCTGTTCTCCTTTGAGGCTTTATTGGTTGTTGCCTTAAAATTTGGTGCTTTCTTGTCATGTACAGTACTTTGTTACAGACCAGTCCTTTGTACCTTAAAACATTTTACATAATAGAATGATGTGGGAGCATTACTTAAAATTATGATTGGTTGTAGATAAAAAGAATGTTCACTGAAGCTTACACATTCACTATAATTAAGATTGCAAACACAATAATTAGCAGTAAATGCTTTTCAACATCTACATGATCGGCATCATGCAAGCCCACTTGGAAAGCAACATTTACTTGTAACCTTCTCAGAAGGCAATGTGTTGGGGAAAACTTGAAAATTTTACCTGAGCGATTGTTCTTTCCAATGTGTTCATGTTGAAGGGCCAACATAACCTTTCTGTATTTTGACTGTTCACGAGTAGTCTTCTATGCAACCTCTAGAGTGGCATTGAAGGCAATGGGATGAATTCATACCCCAAGATGTCACAACTTTGTGATTGTTTCAGGATAATTCCAACTTGTACATGGTTCTGGAATTTGTTCTTGGTGGTGAGATGTTTTCTCATCTACGACGTATTGGAAGATTCAGGTAATATCCTAATATTTGTAGAATTATTGAACTAAATCTGTAACTTCTATCCAGAATTACTTTGTCCATGCTGTTTCGAGGGTCAGAGAGTTAAAACCGGGCAATAAGGTGTTATAGGGAGCTAAATTTCAATGGGCAGCACTGCTTTGGTTTAACTCACCTAGCCCTTACTACAAATATCACATCTTATCTTTACAGAAATTCTTTTTTTTTTTTAATATCTTCAAAATAGAACCATTTCATTATGTCAAATTTGGTTTTAAAAAAATGGGTTGATTTTGAATGACCTATTCCAAAATTTTGTTTGCAAAAAACTGCAAAAGTTTGCAAGGGACTGTTTCTTCTAGCACTGTGTATATAAAGACTGTAAAAGCAACTTTATTTTAATTTTACGCTATAAAGGCTTATCATGGAGTAAATAAATTACAGAAGTTTGGAAAACAGCAAAAAATACATATGGTTAATCAAGGAAAGCTGTAATATCTCTAAATTTTCTAAATATCATAGAGACTTCGTAAATATCTCACAAATATCCGGGTAAGTTTGGAATGTCCGGAATGGACCATTTATTTATTTAAGTGTCATCTTTTCTTCTGTTTCAGTGAAACACACTCAAGGTTTTACGCTTCACAAATTGTTTTGGCATTTGAGTATCTTCACTCTCTAGACCTTATATACAGGTAAAATAACAACATCTGGTCCAATATGATCCTGAATATTTTGAAGTGGCAATATTTGTTTCCTGTTATGTTCCTGTACTGAAAGTTGTTAAGACATTTTCGTGGTTTTTCCATAGCGTTTTATAGTTTTTCTGTGCTGTGCATTTTGCATATTTGCTCTTTCATTTGATAGCTGAACACTTGTTTTTAACATGCTCTCTGTATGACTTATAATACTGTTGTTGATGACTCCCTATCCTTTCTTTGTCCGTTTAAAAAAACATGTTTCATTTGGTTGAAACAGTTCTAAAACAACTCCCTTTTTATTTGCATTTTCTGGCATATTTGTGAGGACGTCAAAAAGTATTCAATATCAAATGAATTGCATCTTAGGATTAAGGGCTTGACTTTAAATTTTGAGATGTAGTTGTTAACCATTTAAATTATATAAGAGTTTTCAGACATTTTCCTTCTGTTGTGATGTGACTTCTATCTTCTCCCACAGGGATCTAAAACCAGAGAATCTTCTCATTGACGAGAAAGGTTACTTAAAGGTAAATTAATTAGTAGTGAAGTTAATGTAATAATCCAATATTTGTGGGATAGCTTTTTCTCTCCTCTGCAGAACTGTTCTATGGAGGTTCATAGGATAATTTACTTATCATTCTGCAGGTAACAGATTTTGGGTTTGCCAAGAGAGTCAAAGGGAGAACATGGACGCTTTGCGGCACTCCAGAATACCTAGCTCCTGAGATCATCCTCAGCAAGGTAAAGGCCTCATTACTTTCTTCAGGGTCCAGAAATTTTATTTTGGAATTTTTCAGGGCTGGAAAGTCCTGATAACAGACTATAGGTCCTGGAAAGCTCTGAAAATCTGCATAAACCAAGTGATAAAGTTTTCATAACTTACACTATAAGAAATGTAGGTTTACAGTAATGAGAATTGATTTTGAAGTCTTGGAAATGATAGGTTTTAAGGTGAAATTTGGAGTCTTGGAAAAGTCAGTCTAAGTGCAGGAAAATCCTGGAAAATTCCTTGAAATTTGTGTCTGAAGAAGAGTACAAACCCTGTTTCTTCATTTTCATCATTGGTAAAGCATGAATCTTTTCATTAGATTTTCCTTTGGTTGATCACTGTTGGAAGTCAAGAAGTCAACTCTGGTGTTATAAAACTAATGAAATTCTATTTAATGTTGGTACATGTAACCTGTTTTGATGTTAAGCATTTGACCCCAAAGAGTGACTAGCTTGAATTTCTCCTCATGATATCACCCCCTAATCAAAGATGAAAGTCACAAGAATAAATGAAATGATCAACTATTATGAGAAGTTCTTGATTGTTCTGCAAATTCTCCCTCTCAACACTTTAGGAGATGTGCAGAGAACAGTATGGAGAATGTACATACTGATGTTTGGGTGTGAAGGGTTAACCATTTTATTTTCTCTTCAGGGTTACAACAAGGCTGTAGATTGGTGGGCATTAGGTGTCCTTATCTATGAAATGGCAGCTGGTTACCCTCCTTTCTTTGCTGACCAGCCAATTCAGATCTACGAAAAGATTGTCTCTGGCAAGGTAATTGTGATGTAATGATTGAAATCTTTGCTTAGGTTCATGTATGTGATGTTCAAGGAAGTGTAAGGGAGACTGATTTTTGTTAGCTTCAGACATCATAGTACGTCTGTTAATAATACTTGCAATCTTTTGTTTAACCCCCTTTGCATCCAGGTACGTTTCCCATCTCATTTCACAGCTGATCTGAAAGACTTGCTTCGAAATTTATTGCAAGTTGACCTAACAAAAAGATACGGGAATCTAAAGAATGGCGTGGGAGACATCCGTGGTCACAAGTGGTTCAGTTCCACAGACTGGATAGCTATCTATCAAAGAAAAGTAAGGAATACTACCAATATATAAAATAAATAAATAAATTATAAAATAGCCATTTTCCAATTTGCTTGAAGGTTTGTGCAAAATTCATCAATGCCTAGGAACATTTTTTATCTAAATGGTTTCCATTCTAGCATGTGATCTGACAGAACAACAAAGCATCCACAATAACCTCACTACCTACATACTTCTTTCTAACCTTGTTTGAGGTCTGTACTGTCAGATAGGGACCAAGTTTTACTTGCAATCAGATGTATTGTAAAAAGTCCAAGCCAAATAAACCAGGTTCAGTAACTTTCAGTAGGGAATGAGAAAGTGAGGTTTGGAATATATTTATTATATCTCTTTAATTCAAACAAACTGTTGAATTGAGTTGAATGTACTGTGAAAATACAGCCTACTGGATTGATCAATCCCAGTGCATGTGCGAACTGAGAGATATAATTATAATATTTCTTATTTGCCTTTTACTTTTTAACTTGTTGGTAGCCCCATTGTGCTAAGTAATTTTCTTGATGTCATGATGCAGGTTGAAGCCCCCTTTATTCCCAAGTGCAAAGGTCCAGGAGATCCAAGCAATTTTGACGATTATGAGGAAGAACCACTGCGCATCTCTACCTCTGAGAAGTGCGCAAAAGAATTTGCAGATTTCTGAAGAGTAATCCACCAACCTAAAAAAAAACTATTATGTACCTAAGTTATCCTAAAATGTACAGAACAGTGACTTTAATATATCGAACATTCTTGAAGAGGAACAGGCAAGCCCTCGACAGACAGACAGACAGACAGCATCTTGCATGTTGCCTTTTTTCTTATTGTTCCTTGTATTGTTCTAGATCTACTTCAGAAAACCCTTTTATTTATATAAAACAATTCAATTACAGTAGATTTCTGCATAAAGAGTTTTTTATAGCAGGCATGTTAAATGTTTTATTTGTAAATTGTGCAATCTTAAATTTGAAAATTCTTATTTCATGACATGAGAGTTCTCTATATTATCCGATTGGAGTTCCATCGCTGTGTTCATGTTTTTATCTTAAAAAAAGATTTATGTGCCTGCAAAATTGTAAACATCTGCATAATTTGTTTCCTTGAACAGTTAGACATCTCCAGTAGTTTTGGATTATGCAAAGGTTCCCAATTCTAGAAAAGGATAAATTTATTTATTTGTGAGACATTCTCAGCAAAGAAATATCATTGCAATTTAGTTGTGTCTTCCAAAATGATTTCCATCACAAAGCAACCAGTGTTCGGATTCTATGTTCGGTAGTCACTGTATGTTTTTAATGTCCCTTGGTTGTTTCTTAAAGTTTGAAAAAATATATATATTCTAGAATGTTACACATGCCTTGTATGTTTATTTATAATCTAGAATTAACCCAGGGCAATAAAATTTAAAGAATAAAATGGAATTAGATGCAGTCGTTGTACTTTTTGTTTGCTTGTTTTTTATTTCGGACATTCTTGAATGAGCAATTTAGTTTCCCCTAATATTGGGCATTCCCAGCTTCATGAAAGTAGCTCTGTTAGATATGGCCTTGTCTTCACGTGAGTGGTTTGAAGAAAACAAATTTGTGCAATATAACCCTTCGTATCAGGATCCCTAGTATTGACTTAAATGTTCACACTGCAAGGAGCTTGTGAGGTAGTATCTCCTGTCAATGTTATTCAAAGCTCTCAGTTTAAATTTGCCTTTGAGCAATTTGGATCTAAAAAGTGAGTGACAAGTACTGGTATTCATCAAACAAAGCTTCTTAGGTTTGGTGATCATTTCCTTTACTCTTGTGGTCTTAATGATAAAATAATGTTTGATAATTTATATTGCACAGATATCAATATATCATTTGCAGCTGCACATCAACGATTTGGCAACGTTACTGTAAGGAGAAATTAGACACAAGTCCCTTTTTCTCTAAAAACATGCAAATTAATTTTGTCTGAGCAGAGTTTTCAGGCTACATTTACAATTTCTCTACTATGGCAGGTCTGGAAAAGATTATGAATTTAAGTGGCCAGATGAAAACAGGAGTAGGGAAAAGAGTGTTGTAGTTGGTAGGCAAGTCAGAATTTGGAGAAATATACAGAATTTAGAGAAATACAGATGGCAACCCCAACCCCCCTATGAAAAGAATTTTAGGCAGTCGTGGTTTGAATCTAATCGGTGAAAGGCAAACCTCAGGTTGTGTTTTCAAAATGGCAGTATTTAATCTATTGAAACATGCAAGTTCCCACCAGTTTGTATCTTTTTCTTCTGTTTCCCTCAAAATAAGGATGGAAATCATTTGAGACTAAATGGATTCACTGTCCTTACTTTTGTAAAAGAGTCTTGATTACTTTGAACCAGGGAATATGCATGCTTTCATCTTTCAGTAGTGACAAACTTAGTCACATGGCTGGGTGGAGCAAAAACATCTGAAGCCAAGTCCAATTATAATTGTAAAGTTTATTAATCTTATTACAGCGAACAAACTGGTTTATTTACACAAGTATAATTACATTTCACTTTTGTTCAGAGGTAGCTGTTCCATTTCCACTAGGATCATGTCCATTTTCTGTAACTGTAGGTACAGGTTTTGGCGGCTCTTCTTCTTGCCGAGCTTTCTTCACTGGTACCTCCGTGTCCTGGGCACCAGAACTACCACTCTCTTCCTCCGGCTTCCTCTAGGAGATTCAAGCACACAAGAATGAATAGTTGAAACCAAACACAAACTTTAACTCCTACAAGCAACCAAGAGAGAATTTCTCCTCACAATATCAATAAAATACTAAGCAGACAAGTGAGGAGAATAAAGAAAAACATCATTCAGGGGATTACTTGGTGGATTCAATACCTAATTCTTAAAACCAATGTCATGAGAATTGTAGAGCAGACAGGCTTATTCTATTTTGCGAAACAAAATGACATGAAACGAAACCAGGCAAGATATAACGAAACTAAAGGAATAATAAAGAAAGATGTTTTTCATCTTGTCACGAGCATGGGACAAAGAAAAAGTTCCAAGTTCCCATGAGGAACCGAACCTCAGACCTTCCGATTCCGTGCTCCAACACTCTACCAGTGAGCCACAGAGACTCCATGGGCGAGCGTGGTCTATTACAAAGTTCATATAACACACATCCTGCATACCGCTAGGATCAGCAATGTTGATAGCATAATGGTATGATGCAGATAGGTAAAGATAACTTTCACAAGGATTTGGAGTAATCATCAATTCATAAGAAGGATTTTTTTTCTCATTTCCCAAAGTAGCTATTCCAGAAGAGTTACTATTTTGCAAAATCAACCATTTTCAACCTGCAGTGTTGCTTCATTTCACAAAAAACACATTCAAACATTACAAATTAGTATATCACCAAAGATTTTGACCTCCTTTTATTTCTTAAACCGTATTAAAATATATTTCATAAAATAGTAATTTTAGGTGAGATACTAATTTGTGAAGTGGACTAGTAGTCTATTTTGCAAAATAGAAACTCTTCTTAAATTACTACTTTGCAAAATGAATAACATTCCTTGTTAATTACCTTATTACAAAAAATATCTGCATTATTCATTTAGTTTTGTCATATCTTGCCTGGTTTTGTTTGTTTTGTTTTGCAAAATAGTATAAGCCAAGTAGACAGTAAGAAGAATTACTAATGGCATCTTGGGATTGAATTTGGTTTACTTAGTTCACTTTGCACAATAATTCTCTGTAAGGAATTCCAAAAAAACTCTTTGTCTTGGTTCCAAGCCTTGATTGAGGACAAATAAATTTTTTTCCTTGGCACAAGTCAACCCTGCATAACTTCTGTTCCCACAGAAATAAATTGTCTCAGCAAACTATCAGGGACTGTTGACAAAATCACAGGCAAAACAATTGTGTACAAAATTTAAAAAATATCTCCATCCTGGTTTTAAGCCTTAATCCCTTAACCCCTTTGAGTGATTGGCTTCCAATTTCTCCTTACAGTAACAGCCCTGAATCCAATGTAACCATTACGAGAAGAAATAGAGTGATGATCAATTTAAGAAGCTCCTAATCGTCTAACAAATTCTCCTTGTCAGTATAAAAGAAAATGTATAGAGAACAGTATGGGGAATATAAATAATAGTGTTCAAGCATGAAGGGTGAATTGAGAGTAAATAAATTGTTTCCTTCTCGTGGGACAACTTTTACTAAGCTCCCGTCCCCGCAAAAATAAATGGTACCTGGCAAACTATCAGGGAGAGTAGATAAAATCCCCACTAGGTACCTGTGAAGGACTAGTGTCCCATCAAAAGGGAAAAGCGACGAAAAGGGGAACTCTGCTTGCACATCTTGGCCAGAGAAATAAATGGTACTTAGCTTCCTCTCAAGGACACTTGAAGGACTGGGTGCCCCATTAACCCTAGGAGTGACCAGAATTCAATTTCTCCTAACATTATCATCCCTGAATCACACATTAGGGTTATGAGAATAAAGAAAAGGTTCACTAACTAAAGAAGCCCTAGACTGTTAAACAAATTCTCCTTGTCAGCACCTTGGGAAATGTAAGGAGAATATGTATACTGATGTTGGGATGTAAAGGATTAAAAAAAAAAAAGTTGCTCTGAAATGGGGAACTTGGCTTGCACATCTTGGCCTGAATGGCACATCAGCATGACCCACACAGGCAACCTTGTCTCTCACTTATGATATCTTAAGAGTTATGTCAATATGTAATTTTAAGGAGCTTACCTTTCTGCGGACTTGTATGAGAGTAGCAGTTTGTTTAATTGGTATCTATAAAAATTAAAAACCACAATTGGAAAAGGAGCACTTCAGTGAGAGTAAAACACCCCGTTCTCTTCTAAATGATTTCTTTTTCCATGCAGTCCAACTTTCTAATTTAATACACTAACGTGAGTGAAAGGAAATGATGTTTTAACAACTTATTACATTCTTTGTAACTCAGAAATTAAGGTAGGTTTAGACAGAATTTGCATTCAAAATAATACCCAATCTTAAAAATTTGGTAAACAAATAGAATGAAATGCTGTTATTTGGACCCAAACAGAACAGAAAATGTTTTATAGAGAGAAAGTGAGAGCTCTAGAGATAGTTTCCACATGTACTAGAAGAATCATTGCTTGGTTTTAGCATAGTAATGATAACTTAGTTAAATCCTGACAGAACACAAATTTTTCTTAGGAGAAGAAACATGAGGGGACGCAAATCATCTGCACTGTAAGTACATATCAAGCTCTGTAGGTGATTTAATCCCATTTTAATCCCATCCGATCTCAAAATTTACGAAAACTTCATTATTCTTGTGAAAAATGATAGCCGTCTTATTGAAACTTGATGACAAGTATAAGCCGGCAAAGAAAACAGTGCAAAAGCAATTATCTGTCACATCGATGTCAGCAGCAACAGGATTATGACACCTTACAGTCCCCATACATTTTCTTAGACTAAAAGTCTAAGAAAATGTAGGGGACTCTCCGGGATACTTACAGTACAGACGATTTGCATCCCCTCATGAGAAAATGTGAAAGTTGAAAAAAAAATGCAAAACTATAAAAGGACAAATTTAAGATGAGCAAATCTTGTAATTCTATTTCTTCCTCACCGTGGTTGCAGGAACATCTTTTGTACCACTTGTTCCAAAGCCCTCTGTTGTCTCTGAATCAGGCTTAATTATGGACACAAAGCAAAACATTAATCAACGCATTAATCAATTTTGGAACAAAATTCAAAGAGTTGAAAAGTATAGCTTTTTTACATGGCCACAGCATAAAACAATAAATTACCTCTTTTGGAGCTGAATTCATCATTTCTTGAGCATCATCCACCTTTATAAAAGACAACAGATAAATAATCACCACATTTCACTGCAAGTACATGTGGGTTATTTTAAAAATTTTTAACCCCTAGGAGTGATACCCATCCAATTTCTCTCAACACTATTACCCCATTAAGGTCATGAGAATAAGCAAAATGATCACAAACTCAAGAAACTCTCCAAATTTCTCCCCACAATATCTATACAATGTCAAGCAGACAAGTGATAAGAATAAAAAAAATAAATTAAAAGATTATTAATTGATCCAATACCAAATTCTCCTAACTGAAGTAATAAGAATAGTATGGCAGACAGTAAAGAGAATTAGTAATGAGATCATGGGAGTGAAATATTTAAACTGACCCCCTGAATGACTTACTCTTGCTTTGATCTCAGGATACAAGTTCTGTAGCTCTTCAAGCTCTTTTCTATCCACAACACAAGGATCTTTATCTGATGCCTTTCCTTTTCCTTTGCTCTTTGACTCCCACTCTGCCACACGAGCCTCTAGCTTGGATGTTTTGAGTTTTATACATTCTAATGCTTTGCTAAAGAATTCGTGTGCCTTAGAGTAATTTGGTTGTAAACTGTAAGCTAGTCCCATGCTGTAAGATCTTTGAGATCAGTTAAAGGAATAAACTCTTCAACAAGATTTCTCAACTACGCAAGACACAGTTATGTATCCCCCTTACTTTAATCATGACAGGTAAAAGAAATTTTCAAACTGGTACAGCAATCCTTTCACCTTTTGTTTTTTCAAGAACACCAAGTAGTTTTAAGCAATAATAAGTGGTACTTCAGGCAAAACACTTCACCTGTTGTAGCATGAAAAGTATAATGCTGATGGAATAAACAGAAGAATTACACATATGATGATCTTTTGATTATGTTATTCATGTAGTTATTATTCCAGACGCACATCCCAGTCAGCTTAACTTTACTTTGGTGAAGGGGGAAGAGGACCATGTTCATAGCTTAATCAGTGGTATAAGGAACTAAAGATGTTAACCTCTAATTTCTTCTTTACAATATCACTGCTGAATCACACACTAAGATCATGAGAATAAAGGAAATGATCACCAGCTAAAGAAGCTCTTGATTGTTAAACAAATTCTCCCTATCAGCACCTAAGGAAATGTATAGAGAACAGTATGGAGAATATGCATACTGGAGTTGACAATGGCTGTCAATACAAAGGATAAGCTAACATCAGAATGTGTTTAACATTATATTATTTATTAATTTGAAATCAGATGAAGTGAAAGGGTACATGTATTGATTATTTCAACAACAAATGCAAAAGACTTGATTCAAACGAGAAGTCCAGGCATTTGAGATTTGTATATCTTTTGTGTAAATTGTAATTTGCATTGTGGGCTCCTTTTGTATTTTATATATCTGAATACATTTTGTTTTACTTGGTACATCCCATGCATGCCCCCATTCAACTTGAAGCTGAACTGGGTCAGCCTGCATAAATATCACTAATAAATAAATAAACAAATAAATCAGGTGCTTGAATGAAAGCGCAGCAGAGGGGGAGCATTGGGTATTGCACTAAAGTAAACTGCACATTCAAGGAATTCTAGAAAATCAAAGGATACGTTTCTGCAATGAGTCTGTCATCAGCTTCTAAATGTTTTGTTTGAAGATCAAGACAAGACTGGAATTCCTCTACAGCGTTAACAAATTGTTCTTGGAAAAAAAAAAAAAGCAGAGACTTGCTTATTTAAAAAGCACTTTAACAAGACCATTTGCAAGCAAACTATCACAAGGTTTTTACAATGAAAATATTTAAGGAAATGACGACTTGTAAACCCAAGCATGACAGAAATAGCCCTTACCTTGTTCTAGTTTGATCTCACCAAGTTTAAGGTGAACTTCAGCCAAATTCAACTGAGCTTCTTTGTTTTCTTGTCTTAAAGTGAATACAAGACTATAATTACTGGGAAATTAATATTTAAAAACTGTCATTGACCCTTAATCTCCCAAGATCTGATTGTTAATTCTACCTCTAGTTGCTTCACATTTCCCTGTAAATTATAGTACTAAGAATTTGGTGTTAGATAAAGATAACAACTTCTACCTGATAAGTTTGAGTTTTCTCATAACCCATTTGTTAGATAGTGTATGGAAATATTAGGGAGAAGATACATGTTAATCACTTCTGGGAGTTGAAGGGTTAGCAAGCTGTTCAGTAATAAATATTTTAAATAAAATGTGTTACTGATGGCTGAAATGACTTTTTTGGAGACTTTTTGTTATTGTACACAGGTTAAATACTTGAACTAGAAATAGTTTGACTTGTGTATAAATTTCTTAAACTTATTAGCAAGTATTAGTCGCACTTTTGTTGATTACCTTTGTTTGAATCATAAAAACCAAGAGAAGCTCCATATTACTGCCAGTTTACTCCTTATCAATTTTGTTTACTACTAAAACATCACAATTTTTGAGTTGCTTCCTCAATTTGAATCACACAAAAGTCAAATACAACCTGAAATCCTGTTAACCCCCAAAATTGACCTGCATCTAATATCTCCCAACAGTAATGCTGCTGAATCATTTATTAAGGTCATGCGAATATAGGAAATGATTGAAAACCTAAAAAGCTTGGATTGTTGAATGAATTCTCCTTATTGGTACAAAAGAAAATGTGTTATGAAGAGTATGAAGAATATATATGCTCATGTTAGGGTGTAAAACTTAATCATAAAAAGTTGGTTATGTGTGGCTTCCCTTCAATTTTTAAAACATTATCCATTCAACAAACTGGTAAAATGTTAAGAACAAAAAAACTTGTAGGATTTCACTTGATATAACACCAAATTCTCCCAACCCAGTTTCAAGGAATTGTATGGAAAAGAGATAGGGAGAATTGCTGATTTGACATTGAATTACATACACTGCATTTTTTTTTTTTTAAATGCAATTTAAGAGAGTTAACAACAAAGAGCATTCAGCGTTCTCTAGTTTTTTGCATATGTGCATGCGTCTGAATTCCATGTGCTCTTCATTGGAGGCATTCTTGCATGTGCTTTAAGCATGTATTTGCAGCATTGTTTGGAGTAACAGCTCAACATCCAGGCAGTTTTCCCCACCCCTTCCCTCCCTCTTTCCACTGTTTTTCAGTGTGATGGGTGCCTTTTTCCCTTTCCTGCATGGGGGCTCATGGCTGAGTTGCCAGGATTTGCCAGCCATGGGAGACATTCTCTATCTAAGAGCTGGCTACCAATAGTGGAAGCTCCTGGACGTCTCAGGCACCTGACCTCCACTAAGTGATGCAGTTGTTAATATATAAAAGTTGAGATACAAACCTCCCAAAAACAATACGAGCTAATTCCAAGAACTCCCAAGCTAACTGCATAGTTGGGACATCCACTTCCTCCTTATTAAAAAAAAAAAAAGCAGTTCCCTAAGTCATTTGAGCCTGTAACTCCTTGAGGTAATGAACAAGTAACTTCTCCCTTATCAGCTATCAATAAAAAACATCCCGACACCACTGTCAGGAAAATTGATATTTAAAACAACTTAAATCATATACACCATCTCACACCTCTTGTTCCTCCCCCTCCTGATCACCATCTGCTTTTCCTTCTCCTTCAGTTCCTTCCTCCACACCTTCCATATCTTCGTCGTCATCCTCATCATCATCTTCATCTCCCGCTTCATCATCTTCCTCAGCCTTCTTGCCTTCTTCAGTATTCTCCTCACCTTCTTCTGCTCCCTCCTTCTTCCTACCTCCTTCATCCTCCTTTGCTTCTTCATTCCACTTTTTGCCTTCTTCTGCATCTTTCTCAGCTCCTTCACTCTCCTTTTTTTCTGTTGCTCCTTTTTTCTCCTCCTTCTCATCCTTGTCTGTTCCTTTATCGCCATCTTTATCAGCTTCCTTCTCTTCCACTGCTTTTTCTTTAGGTTCTTCCTCTGATTTTGTTTCCTTTTCTGTTTTAGTTTCTTCCGCTGCAGTCTCGTCCTGTTCATTATCTTTCTCTTTTACACCATCTAAAAATCACAAACATAAACCCTTTAACTCCTAAGATCTGATTGTAAATTCTCTCCTTTAGCTGCTACACATTTCCTTGTCCATTGGTTACGAGAATTTGGTGTTCGATCAAGATAACATTTTGTACCTGATAAGTTTGAGTATTCTCACACCTGTTTGCTAGATAATGTATGTATACTCTAGGGAGAAGTTACATGTTAATCAATTCTAGGAGTTACATGGTTAATAAAAGTGAATATACAAATACATCATATCTTTGAATGTTAGTCTGTTCTGTAAATTTAGTGTTAGACCAAATCCTTGGTTAATAATTTTTCTTCTTTCTGGGTAAGTGGTTTGCGAGACACACTGGAGCATAGCTAATCCTTGAGACTTGTGGGAGTTGTATTTTCATTGACTATTTTTCACTCCCAAGGTCTCATTAGTAACTCTCCTTACTGTTTGAGATACAATTGTAATGATGTTAGTTAAGAGAATCCGGTAATGGATCAACTAATAATTCCCCTAAGTGATATATTTCATTACTCTCATCACTCGTCTACTTGAAATTGTATCGTGTTGTGGGGAGAAATTCTGTCTTGGTCACTCATGGGAGTTAAAGGGTTAACCCAAATCATTCACTTGTGGACTCTCTTCTTCTATTGCAATTAATAAAAGCTTACCAGTCTTCTGATTAAAATGAAATCGTGCTTTAAACATGTGAAACTCATGAAAAATTTCTGCCACTTGCCATCTTTTTTCTCAGCCATGGCATCTTGTACATCCTCCCGAATCTTGTCTTTAGCACTAGGACTCATCTCACTGATCTTGGGTCCAACTGAAAAGCATAAAAAAAGAGAGAAAAACTGTTATAAAGTTAAAGTCTCCACTTACATAAAGTGGCCCATACTGCCAAAGATCACCCTGGCTTATTTTCTGTAGCATAAAGCAACTAAAAATATTGCTAGCCCCCCCCCCCCTTAAAGGGATGCTTGTTCATTACAGGTTACCTCCCTCTCACCCTCCCCCCCAGTATACATTTATACTCCTGGGTGGAGAGAGAGAGGCACTGTGAGAGTTAAGCAATCAGCCAAAGAACACAACACTGTAACCTGGCCAGGTCTTGAACCCAGGCCTCTCAATGCCTGTCAAAAGTCCCAGTAAAGTAAAATAAAAATTGGACCTCTTCAAGGAAATTGAGCATTATGAGTGGAAAGATGAATTTGAACAAAACTGTTCTCCAGGGTTACAGATCTCCTAATCCAATTCTGGCTGCCCACAAAAATGTACATGTGAGTTTGCAATGCTCTTTTAAGTACTACAACCTTATTATAGTGGAATCTATATTAAGCAGTACCATACTATCCTATCTCAAACAGTCAGATTTCAAAGTCCTGAAATTTTTCCTCTTTAAGCACTGTAATTGTTGTCTCTATTAGCACTTTAACCCCTAAGAGTGGCTGGTATCTAATTTCTCCTAACAAAATCACCCTTGAATTACATATTTAAGTCATGAAAATAAAGGAAATGATCACCAACTAAATAAGCTCCTGATTGTTAGACAAATTCTCCTTGTTAGCATCTTATGAAATGTATAAAGAACAGTAAAGAGAAAATTCATAATGATGATAAGGTGTAAAGGGTTAAGAGGTTGTACAGTTGTTATCAAATGGTCAATTAAAGCACAACCACTCAGATGAAATTCACAATAATCTCTCAGTTCAAATTTAATCTATGTTAAACTCCCAAAATCAATGTTAGTAGTATTTTAGAGCAAGTTTTTGTTCAATTATTGGTTAGTTCTGAGAAAACATTTGTTTTTTTCATCATTTTTTAGTTTTTTTTTATGATTTTCTAGCCTGTGGAACCTCTATTTAGCAGCCAACATGTATTAGGTGGTCACCTCAAAATTCCCCATGGGTGACCACTTAATCCTTTAACCCCTAAGAGTGACCAGCATCTAATTTCTCCTTACAATATCACCCCCAAAATCACACAAAGATCACAAGAAAAAGGAAATGATCACCAATGACAGAAGCTCTAGATTGTTAAACAAATTCTCCCTGCCAGCACCTTAGGAAATGTATAGAGAACAGTATGGAGAATATGCATACTGATGTTAGGGTGTAAATGGTTTAAACACAGTTTCAACTGTAAAAGGAAAGTTAGTTCACCTGCCCCCATCTTCTCCTCATCCTCATCACTGCTTTCTTCACTTTTTGGCTCAGCTAGAAAACAATTTAAAGTTATCATAAAAATATACAGGTTTCAAGTGAGATATTTTTATGGCATTTGAGTGTGGTTAGAAATATTACATTACTTTTTATATGCATAAAGTATTTTGGATTTAAAATTTCACCGAAGACTGAACTGACTCAATTGAACATACGTTGGATTTAAAATTTCACCAAAGACTAAACTGACTCAACTGAACATACCATCTTTAAGTGCATTTCCAAGGACACCATTTTCTGCTCTGCAAAAGTAATCCATTAAAGTTTGTGAATGCTACCGTTCTCCAAATTTATTTTCCAAAATATTGCATTAAAAGAGGGGAAGTTGTGAAAACTAGCAAAATTCCTAATTTTTTTTACAACATTTTCATCTGAAAAGTCTCCAACATGAAATTAGACTAACTTTTCAGAACTGCCATTCATTCTGGAATTTAAAACTGGAACACACCAAAAGTGTGCACTATATACATTGCATTTACAGCTACACCAGAATTTCCACCACCAAAATTTCCAGAATCTTTTTTCATGAGGAAAACTTTGTAAGTGACTGTGTAGTGTGAAACTGTCCATCAGGGGGGAGGGATCTTACTAGAGAGGAGGGAGGAGGGGGACCTCAATGATCATCATAACATTTACCTTGCCAGTTCTAATAAGGCCTTTCCAAAGAAGAGATATGCTTCACCACATTCATCAGCTCCTGTGCCATATTTTCCATCTCTATTTTAAGTAAAAGGCGGTAAAAACTGAGTAAATGAAGTAGCTTTGATAATAATGGCAAATATTTCACCTTTAGGAATCTAAATTTACCTAAAATTATTCACAAGATTGGAAGTTTTCCACAGAAGCTAAAAAAAACTGTTGTAATACTCCCACGAAAAGCTTCTCACATGTCAAGTTTAGCCACATCCGTCCATGGAATTGAAAACTCTTACTATGAGCAGGATGGAAGTTGTACAATTTTTTGTTTGTACTTGTGTAAAAGTTTAAATGTACAATGGACAACTCTGATCCACGTGCAGAATAGCAAAGTTTTTACGATTCAAGGCCTTGTTCTAAGAAAACAAGTCTAAAAGCATCCGCTAAGCAAGTGCTGATCCAGACTGATATCAAAAGATCAGAGTCTTAATTCCATCGTTTGTCGAAACCAAGTTAATCTTGCATTTGAAAACTGAAATTGACAGGCTTTGAAGTGTGTATTCAATAATGTCATCCCAAAACCGACGGCCAGCATTTAAAATAAGTTTTCACTCTTGCTTCACTTCAATTTAAGAGGACATAACAGCCTAAATACAAAAATTGAAGACATACAACTTCTGAGTTGCTTCCTCAAAGCATTTGACAGCCTGGACGACTTCGTTGCAAACAAGGTGACGGCGTCCTTTGCCCATCAACTTTGAGACTTCATCGCTGGAAAACATCATAAGAAAACCGAGATTTAGGAAAGAGTATTTACTGAAGACAAGGTTAACTAAATTAGAAAGAATCACTTCGAATCCAAGTTACCACCATTACCTGAAGGAAGATTCTGAAGCAGCGCTCTCCGAAGATGTGGCCATGATTGTAACGTTTGATCGTACCATGCAGAAGATTTCGCGCTACATATTCCCGCGATGTGACGTCAGAGGCATGTGACCCACGGGGGAATCTATTTGGAACCAGTCTATGTATGTCAAATAATCTGAGATTAATTTTTTTTATATCACCACCGATGCAGCACCACAGATATTTTATAAACTTGTCCCCTTTATTAATGTCCGTCAGTTGATTTAACGCCGAAATTTGGCTCTAGTTCGCAGCTAAAAAGCGTTTTGAGTGAAGACAGAACAGCGCCAACAGCGTGGAAGAAGAGAAAAAAACGAGTCCTGCGAAAAGTATCTATCCTCCGACCAAAACAACCCAGGCCAAATATTATCAGAGTCCGGAGGTATCCCGACTGGAAAATTTAAGAAATTTGTGAAACATTCCCTAACGCATTTTGGCCTATCTTGGACAAGTTTTTGAGGAAAAGCTTTTTAAAATTTTAAATCTATTTTTTTTTCTTTGCATTTGTCCCATACAGTACAGTACGTATCATCACGCACGCCGGTGCTGCGCATTAGTCTAAAGACTACCTCCCAGCTCTTTTTACAATATCAATACATATCAAAAAGAAAACTGATGAGACGGAAAAAAGTCATTGACAGTTTAAAGTCATTTAACAAGTTTTCAGAGCTACAATTTTAAAGACTGTATTGAAGACAGAGGAGAGAATTCGGTTTTAGTAAAAATCGCTGAGCGAGTTGGCGCCGGTGCTCCAGTGTACTTGGCTACTGTACTCGAATATCTGAGTGCTGAGATCCTTGAGTTGGCGGGCAACGCTGCTCGTGACAACAAGAAGACAAGAATCTTTCCCCGTCACCTTCAGCTGGCTGTCCGTAATGACGAGGAGTTGAAAAAACTTCTTGCCGGTGTCACAATCGCACAGGGAGGTGCTCTTCCTAACATCCAAGCTGTACTTGCTGCATATAAATAAACGAAAAGGAAAATCGTGGTCGGTAACTTCATTGCCTCCGATGATTTCGGCTCCCGCGCCTCAACCACTAACGGGCACAAAAATCGCGCCATTTTCAATATTTATGAATATACAATGAAAAATTTTGGAGACCTTACAGATGGACTGATTCAATAAGATTTTCACTCTAAAGGGGGGGAAAGAACAGCAAAACGTTTAAAAACCGCCAACTCTCTTAGCGATTTTTACAAAGAACGCAATGATGGGGGGGGGGCTTGTTTGAGGGCTGTTCTTGATTGCCATATGAACTCCTACGACCCGCGAGTATTTGAAAAAAGTAACGGACTTTAAAGAGAATTGATCTATAGCTCCAGCTAAAGCTAGATACGCATGAAAATCTATAGGGTATTTTTTTAGGGACAAGACTATTGAATTTTTTTTCCAGATTCTTAATAAGCGAGATACACATGCGACCTAAACATGCATCATAAATGTTAACACGTTTATTGATCATGACTATTTTCGTATTTGGTGGCTCCTAAAGGAGCCGTTTGTTTTGTATCAGGATGGTGTGTCTAACCGCCAAATCCGTACAGAGTGCGGCCTTGTCTCTTCAGAGCGTACACCACATCCATGGCTGTCACAGTCTTTCTCTTAGCGTGCTCCGTGTATGTCACAGCATCACGGATCACGTTCTCGAGAAAGACTTTGAGAACACCACGGGTCTCCTCGTAGATCAGGCCAGAGATTCGCTTGACACCGCCACGGCGAGCAAGACGACGGATGGCTGGCTTGGTGATACCTTGGATGTTATCACGAAGGATTTTTCGGTGACGCTTGGCGCCACCTTTTCCGAGACCTTTACCTCCTTTACCGCGACCAGACATGTTGATTATCACTCGTGTGTTTGAGTAATGGCAGTTGAACGAACGTTATTAGGTTTTATACAGAAAGATAGGACCTCTCAGAAAACAGAATGGGAATAAGGGTTGCTATTGGTTGAGTCAAATATCTAAGCATAATTTTACTGTTATAACATAAATCACACGGTTTTCCCGCGCGCGTATGTTTCAATGGAAAACAAGTCTGCTCCATCCAAAAGTCACATGTGAACAACGCTAAAAAAATTTGTTTTTCCTCTTTAGCTATGCTATGTGTTAAATTTAAGCAAGGATAATACTTAGCCTATGCCTAAACGACCATCCATGTTACTTCGGATCAAAATAGGATCGCAGATCCGTGAAATTATGCACAGCTTTCATACCTAACCAATCAATTCTCTTCATTTTGAGCCAATCACAAGTAAGCCCGCCAGGTATAAATCAATTTCAATATACAATTTCCCATCATCAGTTATTCAGAGTCGTTGAACAGGATGGCACGTACGAAACAAACTGCACGAAAATCAACCGGTGGAAAAGCTCCACGAAAACAGCTCGCCACAAAGGCAGCTCGTAAGAGCGCTCCTGCCACCGGTGGAGTCAAGAAACCTCATCGTTACAGACCTGGTACAGTGGCTCTTCGTGAGATCCGTCGTTACCAGAAATCCACCGAGCTCTTGATCCGCAAGTTGCCCTTCCAGCGCCTTGTGCGAGAAATCGCTCAAGATTTCAAGACAGATCTGCGTTTCCAGAGCTCTGCTGTGATGGCTCTTCAAGAAGCTAGCGAGGCTTACCTTGTTGGTCTGTTTGAAGACACCAACTTGTGCGCCATCCACGCCAAGCGTGTCACTATTATGCCCAAGGACATTCAGTTGGCCCGCCGAATCCGCGGAGAGAGAGCATAAGTGGACTTCACTTCGAATTACAAACGGCTCCTTTAGGAGCCACCACATGAATAAAAGCAATGACCAAACTATGAGTCCCTCAACAACCAACTTAACAGCCTTAAGCTGGAAATATGAAATGAGAAATTATACCATCTGAAATTGTCCTACTCTCTGAGTGGCAAGTCCTAACCGCACAGAAAACATAGTTGTCCAACCTAAAGCCGTTCATAGGAAAATATTTAATTTTCATCTCCAAGATAAGCTAAACATTCTATTTTTTTACCATTTATCATTTACATGTATCTATCTCTGAGACATGTAATATTTTTGGCGCTAATATAATGTAAATCATCAGCGCTCCCTGGTAAGTTTCGTAGTCACTCTCATGGGCTTCTTTAAGTTAAAAACATGACACATTTTTCATGAGTTATCAATTCACAATAAAAGACACTTTTACCTTATTTACCAAATTAAGCACACTTCCTATCGAGGTTGTGCATTAAGTGGCGAACGTTGTTTCTTCAATCCTGTTTGTATCTTAAAACAAGTTTTGGTCGTTGTTGAAATTTAGATGCCGGTCTGTCTTTGAATTTTTACTCATTTTTTACACAAAGGCTTAACTTAGGACTCCGTCTTTCCGACCGTAACCATATGATGTTTGTAAACTTGAATTTTCTTTTTTTGGGGTGCTTGGTTTGTCCGCAAGCCCGGAGCTACTACCTCGCCCCACAGAGGATCGTAAAAGTGACTCTATATCGATCGACAATGGAGTATACTAGATACTCACAAACAGCATGCTATTCCGCGAAGTTCTGAACTTCACAGCACAACGTATAGGAGATCTGTTGCAGAATTTAGCAAGCACATCACATTGTCATCTGGTGTGCAATTTCTGCTTTGTGAATAAACTTTATTTCTGAGAATAAAGCTCTCTAACTCCACTCCACTCGTGGTATAAAGTCTGCTCGGGAGTTGAGAGCGCGCAACTGATTCATGCATAACTAGCATGTTAGAAAGCGAGGCAAATATGCCACACTAAGCAGATAACCTTGTTCCATCACCATTGATTTCAAACGATTGCTATTTAGCCATATTTTCGGGTCATTTTGCTCATTCAAGAAATTTAGCATACAGGTCACGTATAAAATGGCGGAAATTGTAGTTTTGTTCTTCTTGTTCAAATTTAAAGTCCGCTCTGCCTTTGAATATGCATCAAAATGCTCATTTTTTCATACACATGCAAAGTCTAGGGCCTCTTCCTTCCTAAAATGTCTAATTAAATGATGAAAAGCGACTTAAAGAGAACTTCTTTCGTCATTTATCCAAAGTTCTTCTTGGAATCTCACCGCTTTGTAGACTTTTGACCGTAAAACGTCATTCTAACTTTGAGTAAATCAAAGTATATTTCACATATGATTGTTGCCATATAACGAAGCTTAAATATTTTTTATTAGCGAGGACTTGAAGTTATTGAATGAGCTTGTTATCGAGCAAAATGTCAAGCAAACTAGCACAGTTTGAACGACGCCATTTTGTAACAACCCTGTTTCCTCGGCGGTTCGTTTACGACGAATAACATCACCTTGCGCGCTCCATGAAATCATTACTAGTCTCTGTTGCGAAGGATCTACAGCATACGACATGTCCGAAGAAAAGTCCCCAGTTAAAAAAAGCCAGCTGCGCCCAAAAAGCCAGCTGAGCATCCACCTTATTCTGAAATGATCAAAGCTGCTATCTTAGCGTTGAAAGAGTGAAACGGTTCTTCCCGACAAGCCATCGAGAAGTACATCAAGGCTAACTACAAGGTTGGTGAGGTTGGCTCGCACTTGAAGATGGCTTTGAAGAGGGGTGTTACTAGTGGCAAGCTTGTCCACACCAAGGGAGTTGGTGCTTCTGGTTCTTTCAAAGTGGCCAAGGAGGAAAAGAAGGAGAAGAAGCCGAAGAAGAAGCCAGCTGCAAAGAAGAAGCCTGCTGCCAAACCAAAGAAGCCCGCCGCCAAAAAGGCAGCGGCGAAGAAACCAGCGGCGAAGAAGGCAGCAAAGAAACCCGCCGCCAAAAAGCCAGCAGCGAAGAAACCCGCAGCTAAAAAAACCAGCTGCAAAGAAATCTGCGGCCAAAAAACCAGCAGCGAAGAAGCCTGCAGCTAAAAAGCCCTCCAAGAAAGCTCCGAAGAAATCTCCGAAGAAGGCGGCCAAGAAATAAGGAGGATATCAACTCCTCATTTAATCAAACGGCTCCTTTAGGAGCCACCACATTCAAGAAAAAGTTATGACCAACTGAGTTTTAAATCCCTCTTCGATAATCGAGTTTAACTTTTCGATAAATTTGGTGGTGGCTCTAACTAAAAGTTTTACCCGATAAAGGTCGCTTTACCGTCAGATAAATTAGGTTTTATGAGGATATCGCTGCTATAGGGATGCATAAGTGCGTAGTAATGTTACGCATCGATTTAGAGTGGGCGCCTGAATCTGTCCTTGTTTATTTGTGACAATTTTCCTACAGACAGTCCATGACAGATACACTAAGTACATAGCGATGTTAACCTCGTCACGCATCGCGTTCCCTCAGGCAAAGCAGGGAGGTTTTCTCAATAAACTGCCTCTTTTTTATCGCTCTGAGCGACTATCGATCTCTGGGGAATATCTCCAGGCTAAGCAAAGTCGTCAGTCTTTCCTTGTAGCTTTCAAAGTTTTCTGTTTTCTTGAAACTCCAACTTTGACGAGTATCACATGTAGCTTGCGGCATTTGTGCTCCGCTTTGAAGCATAAAAACAAGCCGAGGATTTGGGACTAATCACTAACGCTTTAAGCACACACAAGACCATTAGCTTCGCAGGCTAGCTCTCGATCTTTCATGTTTTGAAAGTTGAGGTGCACTGAGTGAGAATGAAAGAATGGGCTTAAGTGAATGTCTGACTCTACTACTCGGGTTCTTTTCGGGCCGTCTGTGTCTCGCAGCTCATTCAATAACCACTAGCATATATTTCCGTCAAAGAACCCGTAACACTTTGTAAAGGAAATCATGAACAATACTATTCGCTTCCCTACCCGTCCTATCGATGACTCATGTTTGCTGCGCTCTTTCATTTAATTTGTTACATTTTGTTTCGCCTGGTCAAGAAACAGTTTGCGCGGTCAGTTTAAAACAGACCTTATACACAAGGAAAACTCTAACCAAATCCAAACCATCATAGTTGATATTAAGAGAAACATTTTCATTTAAGCTCGTATTACGTTAATGATTGACTTTCTTAACATTTGGTGGCTCCTAAAGGAGCCGTTTGTTTTGGCGGGAAACCCACAAAGTGAGTTTACTTGCTGCTGGTGTATTTGGTCACCGCTTTGGTTCCTTCGCTGACGGCATGTTTTGCCAGTTCACCTGGCAGAAGCAGCCTGATAGCGGTCTGGATCTCGCGAGAGCTGATGGTCGACTTCTTGTTGTAGTGGGCAAGGCGGGAAGCTTCGGTGGCGATGCGCTCGAAGATGTCGTTAACAAAGGAGTTCATGATGCCCATGGCTTTGCTGGAGATACCAGTGTCGGGGTGAACTTGCTTCAACACCTTGTAGATGTAGATAGCATAGCTTTCCCTTCTCTTTCCTCTCCTCTTCTTCTTTCCATCAGCAATGGCTTTAGCCTTTCCGGCTTTCTTCTCGCCTTTCTTTCCTGCAACTTTGGCTGGCATCTTGCTAAATCACAAAGATGAATAGATGAGCAGCGCAACTCGTCTTGTATTTATATCAGAATCGTAAAAGGATCTATTACCATACGGATCGAAATTCTCGATAAATGATTGGTTTATTACGATACTAACCCCGTGGGTCAGTTTGCTTGTTATTCTATCATACTACTGAAGATTCATGTGATTGGTGACTTTCGATCTCTCTTGCATATTTAACGAACTATAAATAACCGAGGTTGCTGGTACAATAGCTATTCTGATTTATAACAGTCAACGCATTACACGACAAACATGTCTGGTCGCGGTAAAGGAAAAGCAAAGGGCACTAAGTCCAAGAGCCGCTCATCTCGAGCAGGGCTTCAATTCCCAGTTGGTCGAATTCACCGTCTTCTCCGCAAGGGCAATTACGCTGAGCGAGTTGGCGCCGGTGCTCCAGTGTACTTGGCTGCTGTGCTCGAATATCTGAGCGCTGAGATCCTTGAGTTGGCGGGCAATGCTGCTCGTGACAACAAGAAGACAAGAATCATTCCCCGTCACCTTCAGCTTGCTGTCCGTAATGACGAGGAGTTGAATAAACTTCTTGCCGGTGTCACAATCGCACAGGGAGGTGTTCTTCCTAACATCCAAGCTGTACTTCTGCCCAAGAAGACCGAGAAGAAACCCAAGGCATAAATCAGCCTTAACCCATCAAAAACGGCTCCTTTAGGAGCCACCACATAATAAAAAAGTCTTGACTAGCTGGATACGATGAGGTAAATAAGAACTATGAAAAATCATCTCAGAACCCCTCAACCCCAGTTTCTAATTTTATGTTATGAAGTGATAAAGAATCTTTGGACTCGAATGTCGATCAACGACCAAATAAATTTATTAAGTTTCCACACACCAAAATCGTAGAAATAACGACTTCCGATACGTTACTCGACGCAAAGGCGTTTAACTATCGCTCCAAAACCGCAAAATCCGTACAGAGCTTACACGCACCAAGATCTTAGAAACAACGCCGTTGGAACTTTTACTTGACGCAAATGTGCGTGAGTTGCGCGCCAAAATCGTTTATCGTTGAGGTAAGTACTAAAACATGGAACGACCTAAAACCACCTGCAACGACCTACAACCACCTCAAAAATTGCAAATTCTGTGGTGTATTCCTCTTTCTTAGAGTAACGCAGCGGGTAGCGCGAAAAAAAAACAATTGCGCTTACATACGTGTAGACCTCGTTCTTTAGCGTGACCAAACGGTGTGCGCAAACACGCAGACCTTGTTTCTGAGCAGTTCGAAAAGAGCTGACATATTCAAATATATAATCTTCGTTCTGAATTTGAACCGACATATTCAAATGTATATTCTTCGTTCTTCATTAAACCGAACCGAAATTCAAATTGAAATTAAAAGTCATACTTATTCCTCCTTCTTCAAGCGTAATTCAAAATTAAATCACTGAGCATTTCGACTTCGCTGGCTAGTAAACTGACAAATATATATTCTTTGGAGCACTAGTTTAGCTGACCTCTCCTTCATTCGACTGCGGGAGCGCGGGACTGCGTGAGCACTAGTTTAACCGACCTCTCCTTTAATTTTTAATCAACTACGGGAGTGCGGGACTGCGTGAGCACTAGTTTAACTGGCCTCTCCTTTAACTATTTTTCGACTTCGGGAGCAATTGATTTTAGTAACGTTCAAAAGAGGCCGGGTATTGTGAAGTTGCGTGCAATGTTCTTTTTCCAAGCTACTGCCCCATATCGTGACGCGCGAGGATGGTGCAATCCTTTTGTTTAGCAAATGTATGAGCGAGATGTAAGCGTTTGTAACACACTGAGAAAAGGCATTTATGTATATTGATCATGACTTTCTTTGCATTTGGTGGCTCCTAAAGGAGCCGTTTGTATTGTGTCAGGATGGTCTGTCTAACCGCCAAATCCGTACAGAGTGCGGCCTTGTCTCTTCAGAGCGTACACCACATCCATGGCTGTCACAGTCTTTCTCTTGGCGTGCTCTGTGTATGTCACAGCATCACGAATCACGTTCTCAAGAAAAACTTTAAGAACACCACGGGTCTCCTCGTAGATCAAGCCGGAGATTCGCTTGACACCGCCACGGCGAGCAAGACGACGGATGGCTGGCTTGGTGATTCCTTGGATATTATCACGAAGGATCTTTCGGTGACGCTTGGCGCCACCTTTCCCGAGACCTTTACCTCCTTTACCGCGACCAGACATGTTGATTCCTACTCGTGTGTTTGAGTTATGGCAATTGAGCGAACGTTATTAGGTTTTATACAGAAACATAAGACCTCTCAGAAAACAGTATGGGAATAAGGGTTACTATTGGTTGAGTCAAATATCTAAGTATAATTTTACTGTTATATTAACATGTATTAACATAAATCACACGGTATTCCCGCCCGCATATGTTTCCGATGGAAACAACTCTCTTTCATCCACAAGTTACCAGCAACATTCGCTGAGAATTGGTTTTACTCTTTAGTTATGTTACCTATTAAATTTAAGATGAGGATTACATTTAGCTTATGCCTAAACGACCTTCCTTGTTACTTCGGATCAAAATAACATCGCAGATCCGTGAAACTATTCACAGCTTTCGTATCTAACCAATCAAATCTCTTCATTTTGAGCCAATCACAAGTAAGCCCGCCAGGTATAAATCATTTTCTATACTCAACTTCCTGCATTCACTAATTCAGAGTCGCTGAACAGGATGGCACGTACGAAACAAACTGCACGAAAATCAACCGGTGGAAAAGCTCCACGCAAACAGCTCGCCACAAAGGCAGCTCGTAAGAGCGCTCCTGCCACCGGTGGAGTCAAGAAACCTCATCGTTACAGACCGGGTACAGTCGCTCTTCGTGAGATCCGTCGTTACCAGAAATCCACCGAGCTCTTGATCCGCAAGCTGCCCTTCCAGCGTCTTGTGCGAGAAATCGCTCAAGATTTCAAGACAGATCTGCGTTTCCAGAGCTCGGCTGTGATGGCTCTTCAAGAAGCTAGCGAGGCTTACCTTGTTGGTCTGTTTGAAGACACCAACTTGTGCGCCATCCACGCCAAGCGTGTCACCATCATGCCCAAGGACATTCAGTTGGCCCGCCGAATCCGCGGAGAACGAGCATAAGTGCTCTTCGCTTCAAATCAAAAACGGCTCTTTTAGGAGCCACCACATGAATAAAAGCAATGACCAATTGTATGAGCTTCTACTAACCAAATTCTCTGGAGTAAATATCATTAGCAACTCAAAATATGTTAACACGTTTACTAAGGGCGCGTTTGCGGCAAGTTCATTTATAGACATTTTCTGATTTAACACCCTGCACAGTATATGAAAACAACGGTTATTTCACTCCCTATATAACCAAAGCGTACTAACTTTTTATCACTCCTCGTAACGTGTTTAAGTCTTCACTTCGCCCTTTGATTTTGGCGTTAGTATTATGCAAATCATCGGGGCTAACTGAAACGTTTCGCCATTTTTCCAATCGGTTTCTTAATTAAAAACTTAACTCAGATGTCTCATAAAATATAAGTTTTCTCACTGGAGACATTTAGCACAGGTCTTATCGAGGTCAACTATGAAATGGCGGACGCTGCAGTTTCGTTCTTCGTGTTCAAATTTCGAGACTGCTATGCCTTTGAATATGCAACGAAATGCTAATTTGCTCCATATACAATTAAATTTTTAGGCTACGTTCCCTAACGTAATTTTATGATTTTTAAAAACTTGAAGTTAGTTAGACAATAAGCCCGTGCCTTCGTATTTCTTTGCGTCATAAACTCTCAATCGATCGACAATTGAATAAACTGTTTACATCTAGTATATTACTGCTCTTACTTCTAAACTTCACATATCTCACGTATAAGAAACCTACTGCAGGTTTATTAAGAATATTACATCGCCAACTGGTTTTGATGTTTTGCTTTGTGAATAATCCATTGCAATCATATTTTAAGAATACTCTCAAAGTTGACTCCGATCTTGCCCCATGATCGAGAGCGCGCGACCAATTCATGCAAAAACTGGTTTGGCTGATCCGTAACGAGGCAAATCCAAAAAAACTATGCACAGAAACTTGCTCAATCGCTGTTAATTTTTAAAAAGTTTCTTACAAAAGTAAGACCTAGTTTCGAGTCATTTTCTTCAGTCGGGACATTTAACATTATACCATTCGTCCAGGTGAGTCACATATCACAAATGGCGGATGTTGTAGTTTTGTTCTTCTTGTTTGAGTTTAGAGGCCGCTCTGCCTTCGAATATGCATCAAAATGTTCATTTTCTCAAACAATTACAAAGTTAGGGACTTCTTCTTTCATATGATATTGAATATACTATTGAAAAGTGACTCAAACAAAACTCCTTTCATCATTCATTCAAAGTTTTCGTTTGAACCTTCATGCTTTCTACACTTTTGACCCTAAAAATTCATTCTTTATTTTAGTAAATCAAACTTTTCATTACACCTACATTTTATGAGATAACTTAGCTATGCTCTTTATGGCTAGAAAATATCTGATGTTATTTAATTAGCTCGTTATGAACCGAAATGTCAAACAAACTAACACAGTTTGGGCGCCGCCATTTTGCGACAACTCTGTTTCCTCGGTGGTCCGTACACGAAGAATAATATTACCTTGCGCGCGCTCTTAGCAATCATTATTGCTCCTAGTTCCGATAGTTCTACAGCAAACAACATGTCCGAGGCAAAGTCCCCCGCTAAAAAGAAGCCAGCTGCGTCCAAAAAGCCAGCTGAGCATCCGCCTTATGCCGACATGATAAAAGCTGCTATCTTAGCGTTGAAAGAGCGAAGCGGCTCTTCCCGCCAAGCTATCGAGAAGTACATCAAGGCCAACTACAAGGTTGGTGAGGTCGGCTCGCACTTGAAGATGGCTTTGAAGAGGGGTGTTACTAGCGGCAAGCTTGTCCACACCAAAGGAGTTGGTGCTTCTGGTTCCTTCAAGGTGGCCAAGGAGGAAAAGAAGGAGAAGAAGCCGAAGAAGAAGCCAGCTGCAAAGAAGAAGCCTGCTGCCAAACCAAAGAAGCCCGCCGCCAAGAAGAAAGCAAAGAAACCAGCGGCCAAAAAGCCAGCAGCGAAGAAACCCGCCGCTAAGAAACCAGCAGCGAAAAAACCCGCTGCTAAAAAACCAGCAGCAAAGAAACCCGCGGCCAAAAAACCCGCAGCGAAGAAGCCTGCAGCTAAAAAGCCCGTCAAGAAAGCAGCGAAGAAATCACCAAAGAAGGCGGCCAAGAAATAAGGAGGATATCAACGCTTCATTAAATCAAACGGCTCCTTTAGGAGCCACCACATAAAAGGAAAAGTTATGACCAACTGAGTAATAAAACCGTCTTAGATGTTCCAGTTCGACTTTTCGATAATTAAGGTCATCACTCCGATTTTACCCATTAATGGTTGCTTAATCGTCAATCAGAATGAGTTAAAATGAGAAAATGGCTGCTATAAGAGCGCATAACGCGTCAATTTCGAATAGGCACGTAAACTTTTCTTTATGTTATTCTGACAACTTTGTTACAGACACGCCATGTCAGATACACCAGCTACATAGCAGTGTTAATCTCGTCACGCATCACGTTCTCCCCTCCTACAGACAAAAGATAAACAAGAGAGATACAACCATCGGTCTCTGGAGAATATTTCCGTACTAAAAAAAGTCGTCAGTCGTTACTTGTAGACTCCAAAGATTTCTGTTCTCTTGCAACTTCATCTTTGTCGGGTATTGCATGTAGCTTGCGTGTGTTTGCTCCACTTTAAGTGTAAAAACAAGTGAAGAAGCTGCGGAAGGCTTGGCAAGAAAAAATGTTCTTCCTTTTTTCTTTCCCTACTCGCTAATCCGTCGCTTCCGCTCAAGATTAAGAGCTTCGCTGGCTAATGTACACTTTTTATTACGCGAAAATGAAAGAATATGCCGAGGTGAAGGTCTAACTCTATTACACAGGTTAAATCAGACCGTTTGTGTCTTGCAGCTCATTTAATCACCATTTGCATATATTTGCATTAAAATCCAGCGCGTCGAGTAGGTAGGCCGCTAAGAAAAGCTTTGAGCTCCGGAGATCTACTGTATATGGATCGCGTTTCTGGAATAAATCAGCGTTTGGGCAGACAATATGTGATTGAGCAGTTACCGTTGGCAAATTGAAAAGAAAAAAAAACACTGGCTCATTAAAGCGTTTATGTTCAGTGTGACATTTTTTAAAATAAATCATGAACAGTAGTCTTCGCTTCATTCGCCGGTCCATCTATGATTCATATTTGCTACGCTTTTTCATTTGTAAAATTTTGTTTCGTTTCGTCAAGAACACAGTTCGCACAATCCGGTTAAAAACAAAATACTAGTTGATACTAGGGGAAACATTCTCATTCTCTTGCGTTCGCAATTGACTTTCATAATATTTGGTGGCTCCTAAAAGAGCCGTTGGTTTTGGCGGGAAACCCACAAAGTGAGTTTACTTGCTGCTGGTGTACTTCGTCACAGCCTTGGTTCCTTCACTCACAGCGTGTTTAGCCAGTTCACCGGGCAGAAGCAGCCTGATGGCAGTCTGGATCTCGCGAGAGCTGATGGTCGACTTCTTATTGTAGTGGGCAAGGCGGGAAGCTTCGGTGGCGATGCGCTCGAAGATGTCGTTAACAAACGAGTTCATGATGCCCATGGCTTTGCTAGAGATACCAGTGTCAGGGTGAACTTGCTTCAACACCTTGTAGATGTAGATAGCATAGCTTTCCCTTCTCTTTCCTCTCCTCTTCTTCTTTCCATCAGCAATGGCTTTAGCCTTTCCGGCTTTCTTCTCACCTTTCTTTCCTGCAACTTTGGCTGGCATCTTGCTTAATCCAAAAGATGAATAGATGTGCATTGCAACGCGTCTTCTATTAATATCAGAATCGTAAAAGGATCTATTAGCATACGGATCGAAATTCTCGATCAATGATTGGCCTGTTACGATATACTAGCCCAGTGGGTCAATTTGTATGTTATTCTTTCTTTAATCAGAATTTTACAATGCTATCAAATCGCGCAAAGCTTAAAATTGATTGGTGCTTTTCGATCCTTCCTGCATAATGAACGAACTATAAATAACAGACTTGGTACAAGTTACCTATTCATTCTCATTGTTAACAGTTAAGCAATTCACGACAAACATGTCTGGTCGCGGTAAAGGAAAAGCTAAGGGCACTAAGTCCAAGAGCCGCTCATCTCGAGCAGGGCTTCAATTCCCAGTTGGTCGAATTCACCGTCTTCTCCGCAAAGGCAATTACGCTGAGCGAGTTGGCGCCGGTGCTCCAGTGTACTTGGCTGCTGTGCTCGAATATCTGAGCGCTGAGATCCTTGAGTTGGCGGGCAACGCTGCTCGTGACAACAAGAAGACAAGAATCATTCCCCGTCACCTTCAGCTGGCTGTCCGTAATGACGAGGAGTTGAACAAACTTCTTGCCGGTGTCACAATCGCACAGGGAGGTGTTCTTCCTAACATCCAAGCTGTACTTCTGCCCAAGAAGACCGAGAAGAAACCCAAGGCATAAATCAGCCTTAACCCATCAAAAACGGCTCCTTTAGGAGCCACCACATAATGCAAAAGTCTTGACTAGCTAGATACGATGAGGTGAATAAGAACTATGAAAATATCATCTCAGAACCCCTCCACCCCAGTTTCCAATTTTGTCATGAAGTGATAAATCCAAAGAAACTTTGGACACAATGTCGCCTAACGCCAAATGCGCTTCGTGAAGTTTTGTTTGCGCGGACCAAAATCGTACAAATAACGACTTCGGAGATGTTCTTAAACGAAAAGGTGTGTAACTCTCGGGCCACAATCGTTGATCGCTGAATTTTGTTTTTGTAGACATCACTGGCGGTTATAACAAATTGCGCCCAAATCCAGTTTGAAAGTTTGAGGGTAAGCCGGTATGAATTTTATTGTACTCTGTCTATGTATCTCATGCGACCCGCGAAACAAAAATCCGATTGGAAAGAAAATGTATTAACAGGCGTGCTTGAAAATACAGCTTGATGATTTGTAGCTTGGAAGAAAACTATGGTCGTGTCAAATATTAAAATGGCGAAACAAGACTTGAGAGCGAACAGCGAAAGCGAGTCAGGGCTACCACGTGATAAAATGTTTGGGCGACTTTTTTCATTATTCCTTTGCATGCGATGTGCTGTTCTTCGCGCTTCAGTACTTTATAGTGACGCGCGATTTGTTTAACAGAATGAGTGAAGGATATACGGTTTTTATTCACGCATAAAAGGAAACAAATTTATTGTTCACGACTTTTTTTATAATTGATGGCTCCTACAAGAGCCGTTTGTATTGCGTCAGGAGGGTCTGTCTAACCGCCAAATCCGTACAGAGTGTACATGCACCAAGATGTTAGAAATAACGCCGTCGGAACTTTAACTTGACGCAAATGTGCGTGAGTTGCGCGCCAAAATCGTTTAAGGTTGAATCTTTTATGTCGACGTCACTTGGGGTTATAGGAAATTGTGTCTAGTTAAGTTAGTTAGCTGGCTTGATTTTGATTTTATAGCCAATTTATACTCATGCGATTCATAAAAGAACACTCGGAAAGGGAAGAAAGTGATGCAGGTTACTAACAAGCGACAAGCCAAGTATGCGACGAGATTTCATTGCGCGCAATGTTCTCTTTCCAAGCTACTGCCCCATATCGTGACGCGCACTGATGGTGCAATCGTTTTGTTTAGCAAATGTATGAGCGAGATGTAAGCGTTTGAAACACACTTAGAAAAGGCATACATGTGTATTGATCATGACTTTCTTTGCATTTGGTGGCTCCTAAAGGAGCCGTTTGTATTGTGCCAGGATGGTCTGTCTAACCGCCAAATCCGTACAGAGTGCGGCCTTGTCTCTTCAGAGCGTACACCACATCCATGGCTGTCACAGTCTTTCTCTTGGCGTGCTCTGTGTATGTCACAGCATCACGAATCACGTTCTCAAGAAAGACTTTGAGAACACCACGGGTCTCCTCGTAGATGAGGCCGGAGATTCGCTTGACACCGCCACGGCGAGCAAGACGACGAATGGCTGGCTTGGTGATACCTTGGATGTTATCACGAAGGATCTTTCGGTGACGCTTAGCGCCACCTTTTCCGAGACCTTTACCTCCTTTACCACGACCAGACATACTTATTATCACTAGTGTTTAAGTTATGGCAATTGAAAGAACGTTACTAGGTTTTATACAGAGAGATATGACCTCTTAGAAAACAGAATAGTAATGAGGGTTGCTATTGGTTGATTTAAATATCTAAGCATAATTTTTTAGTGTTATATTAACATGTATTGACATAAATCACAAGATATTCCCGCGCGCATATGTTTTCGATGGAAAATAACTCTGTTCCTGATCCAAAGTTATGTGCAACATTCGCTTAGAGTTGGTTTTTCTCTTTAGTTATGCTATATATTAAATTTTCGATGAGGATAATATTTAGCTTATGCCTAAACGACCTTCCATGTTACTTCGGATCCAAATAACATAGCAGATCCATGAAATTATTCACAGCTTTCGTACCTACCCAATCAAATCTCTTCATTTTGAGCCAATCACAAGTAAGCCCGCCAGGTATAAATCCATTTCTATACATAACTTCTTATTATCAGTTATTCAAAGTCGTTGAACAGGATGGCACGTACGAAACAAACTGCACGAAAATCAACCGGTGGAAAAGCTCCACGCAAACAGCTCGCCACAAAGGCAGCTCGTAAGAGCGCTCCTGCCACCGGTGGAGTCAAAAAGCCTCATCGTTACAGACCTGGTACAGTCGCTCTTCGTGAGATCCGTCGTTACCAGAAATCCACCGAGCTCTTGATCCGCAAGCTGCCCTTCCAGCGCCTTGTGCGAGAAATCGCTCAAGATTTCAAGACAGATCTGCGTTTCCAGAGCTCGGCTGTGATGGCTCTTCAAGAAGCTAGCGAGGCTTACCTTGTTGGTCTGTTTGAAGACACCAACTTGTGCGCCATCCACGCCAAGCGTGTCACCATCATGCCTAAGGACATTCAGTTGGCCCGCCGAATCCGCGGAGAACGAGCATAAGCGCACTTCGCTTCAAATCACAAACGGCTCCTTTAGGAGCCACCACATTAATAAAAGCAATGACCAATTTTATGAGCCTTTAAGAACCACAACCCTCGAACTAAATATCTTTAGAAACTCAAAATATAATACCGCGTTTACAAAGTGCGCATCTTTAGCAGCAAGTTCAGATTTCATAGATTTCTGATTTAACACCCTGCACAGTATATGAAAACAACGGTTATTTCACTCCTAAGATAACCAAAGCGTACTTGTGTTTTACCAGTCTTTATTTACAGGTTTTATCCTGTTCCTTAATCCTTTGATTTTGGCGCTAGTATTATGCAAATCATGAGCGCCTTCTCCCCATTTTTCTGGTCGGTTTCTGAATTAAAACCTTTACGAAAATGTTTCATTAAGTTTAAGTTTACAATATAAACTGCATTTCCTCATTCAAGACGTTTAACACAGGTCTTCCGAAATTCACGTATGGCGGGCGTTCTAGTTTTGTTCTTCGTGTTCAAATTTCGTAATCACTCTGCCTTTGAATATGCAACGAAAGCTCATTTCCTCCATACGCATTCAAAGTTTAGCACCTCTCCTTCCGTTACTTTATCATAAATTAAAATTTGAAGCTTTTTTTTCTTGGGGTGCTTAATTAGACGAGAAGCCCGGGCCTTCTTATTACTTAAAAATAGTAAGAATAGTTAAATATAACTCTCAATCGGTCGACAATTGACTAGACTGTTTACATCTTGTCTATTACTGCTCTTACTTCTGAACTTCACATATCTCACGCATAAGAAACCTATGGTAGGTTTAGCACGAATATTACATCGCCAGCTGGTTTTGACGTTTTACTTTGTGAACAATCCATTTTAATCATATTTTAAGAATATACTTTCAAACTTGACTCCGATCTTGCCCGAGGGTCGAGAGCGCGCGACCAATTCATGCAAAAACTGGTTTGGCTGATCCGTAACGAGGTAAATCCACAAAACTATGCATAGAAACTTGTTCAATCGCTGTTAATTAAAAAAAATTGCTATAAAAGCAAGGACCAGCCTCGAGTCATTTACTTCAATCGAGACATTTAGCATTGTACCTCTCATAGGTGAGTCATATACAAAATGGCAGATGTTGTAGTTTTGTTCTTCTTGTTTGAGTTCAGAGGCCGCTCGGCCTTCGAATATGCATCAAAATGTTTATTTTCTCAAAAAATTACAAAGTTAAGGACTTTTTCTTTCATATGATATCTAATATACTAATAAAAAAAGACTCAAACAAAACTTATTTCATCATTCATTCAAAGTTCTCGTTTGAACCTCAATGCTCTGTAGACTTTTGACCCCGAAATTTCATTCTTAATTTTAGTAAATCAAACTTTACTTTACATCTACATTTATGAGATAACGTAGCTATGCTCTATTTGACTAGAAAATATCTCATGTTATTGAATTAGCTCGTTGTGGACCAAAATGTCAAACAAACTAACACAGTTTGGACGCCGCCATTTTGCAACAACCCTGTTTCCTCGGTGGTCCGTACACGAACAATAACATTGCCTAGCGCGCCCTAAGCAATCATTGTTACTCCTAGTTCCGAAAGTTCTACAGCAAACAGTATGTCCGAGGCAAAGTCCCCCGCTAAAAAGAAGCCAGCTGCGCCCAAAAAGCCAGCTGAGCATCCACCTTATGCCGACATGATAAAAGCTGCTATCTTGGCGTTGAAAGAGCGAAGCGGCTCTTCCCGCCAAGCCATCGAGAAGTACATCAAGGCCAACTACAAGGTTGGTGAGGTCGGCTCGCACTTGAAGATGGCTTTGAAGAGGGGTGTTACTAGCGGCAAGCTTGTCCACACCAAGGGGGTTGGTGCTTCTGGTTCCTTCAAGGTGGCCAAGGAGGAAAAGAAGGAGAAGAAGCCGAAGAAGAAGCCAGCTGCAAAGAAGAAGCCTGCTGCCAAACCAAAGATGCCCGCCGCCAAGAAGAAAGCAAAGAAACCCGCGGCTAAAAAGCCAGCAGCGAAGAAACCCGCCGCTAAGAAGCCAGCAGCGAAAAAACCCGCTGCTAAAAAACCAGCAGCAAAGAAACCCGCGGCCAAAAAACCCGCAGCGAAGAAGCCCGCAGCTAAAAAGCCCGTCAAGAAAGCAGCGAAGAAATCAGCGAAGAAATCACCGAAGAAGGCGGCCAAGAAATAAGAAGGATATCAACGCTTCATTAAATCAAACGGCTCCTTTAGGAGCCACCACATAAAAGGAAAAGTTATGATCAACTGAGTAATAAAACCGTCTTAGATGTTCCAGTTCAACTTTCCGATAATTAAGGTTATGGCCCTCACTCCAGTTTTACCATTAATGGCCGCTTAGTCGTCATTCAGAATTAGGTTAAATGAGAAATTGGCTGCTATAAGAGCGCATAACGCGTCAATTTTCGAATAGGCACGTAAATTTTTTGTTTTTGTAATTCTAACAATTTTGCTACAGACACGCCATGACAGGTACACCAGAAATTAATAATCTCGTCACGCATCACGTTCTCCCTGCCTACAGACAAAGATAAACAAGAGCGAAACAATCATCAGTCTCTAGAGAATATCTCAATACTGAAAAAGTCGTCAGTCGTTACTTGTACACTCCAAAGATTTCTGTTTGCTTGAAACTTTAACTTTGTCGAGTATTGCATGTAGCTGGCGGCATTTGTGCTCCACTTCAGGTGTTGAAAACGAGCGAAGATACCGCGGGAGGCCTGGGTCTTAAGAGAATAGGTTTTTTCTACTCGCCTAACCGATGTTCCCGCTTTAAGCGCATTCAAGATCATGAACATCACAGGTTACCTCTCGATTGTCTAGATGGAGCGCGCTTGAAGATAAGAGCTTTTTAGATAACAGCTAATTAATGATTTGTAAAACGCTAAAATGAAAGAATTGGGTGAGGTAAATGTCTGACTCTACTTCTCAGATTAAGTCAGGCCGCCTGTTTCTCGTAGCTCATTCAATCATTACTTGCATATATTTGCGTTAAAATTAAGCCGCGTCGAGTAGGTAAGTCGCTAAGGAAAGCGCTGAACTCCGGAGATCCACTGTACATTGATCTTGTTTCTGGAATAAACCAGCGTTTGGTCAGACAATAAGTGATCGAGTAGTTACTCTTGTCAATTTAAAGAAAAAATAAAAAAAAACCGGGGACTCTTCAAAGTATTATTAGTGTGACATTTCGTAAGATGAATCATGGACAATAGTCTTCCCTTCCTTCCCCAGTCCATCTATGACTCATGTTTACTGTGCTTCCTCATTTGAAATATTTTGTTTCGTTTCGTCAAGAATACAGTTCGTGCGGTCCGTTTAAAAAGCGAACTGACGTACAAAGCAGACTTAAACTTGATCAGAACTATCATGGTTGATACTATGGGAAACATTATCATTTTTTAAAGCTCGTATTGCGTTAATAATTGACTTTCATAATATTTGGTGGCTCCTAAAAGAGCCGTTGGTTTTGGCGGGAAACCCACAAAGTGAGTTTACTTGCTGCTGGTGTACTTCGTCACAGCCTTGGTTCCTTCACTTACGGCGTGTTTAGCCAGTTCACCGGGCAGAAGCAGCCTGATAGCAGTCTGGATCTCGCGAGAGCTGATGGTTGACTTCTTGTTGTAGTGGGCAAGGCGGGAAGCTTCGGTGGCAATGCGCTCGAAGATGTCGTTAACGAACGAGTTCATGATGCCCATGGCTTTGCTAGAGATACCAGTGTCGGGGTGAACTTGCTTCAACACCTTATAGATGTAGATAGCATAGCTTTCCCTTCTCTTTCCTCTCCTCTTCTTCTTTCCATCAGCAATGGCTTTAGCCTTTCCGGCTTTCTTCTCGCCTTTCTTTCCTGCAACTTTGGCTGGCATCTTGCTAAATCAATACAAAATGAATAGATGTACAGCGCAACTCGTCTTGTATTTATATCAGAATCGTAAAAGGATCTATAAGCATACGGATCGAAATTCTCGATCAATGATTGGCCTGTTACGATATACTAACCCAGGGGGTCAATTTGTATGTTATTCTTTCTTTAATCAGAAAATTACAATGCAATCAAATTGCGCGAAGCCTAAAATTGATTGGTGCTTTTCGATCCTTCCTGCATAATGAGCGAACTATAAATAACAGACTTGGTGAAAGTAACCTATTCATTCTCATTGTTATCAGTTAAGCAATTCACGACAAACATGTCTGGTCGCGGTAAAGGAAAAGCTAAGGGCACTAAGTCTAAGAGCCGCTCATCCCGAGCAGGGCTTCAATTCCCAGTTGGTCGAATTCACCGTCTTCTCCGCAAAGGCAATTACGCTGAGCGAGTTGGCGCCGGTGCTCCGGTGTACTTGGCTGCTGTGCTCGAATATCTGAGCGCTGAGATCCTTGAGTTGGCGGGCAACGCTGCTCGTGACAACAAGAAGACAAGAATCATTCCTCGTCACCTTCAGCTGGCTGTCCGTAATGACGAGGAGTTGAACAAACTTCTTGCCGGTGTCACAATCGCACAGGGAGGTGTTCTTCCTAACATCCAAGCCGTACTTCTGCCCAAGAAGACCGAGAAGAAACCCAAGGCATAAATCAGCCTTAACCCATCAAAAACGGCTCCTTTAGGAGCCACCACATAATACAAAAGTCTTGACTAGCTAGATACGATGAGGTGAATAAGAACTATGAAAATATCATCTCAGAACCCCTCCACCCCAGTTTCCAATTTTATGTCATGAAGTGATAAATCCAAAGAATCTTTGGACACGAATGTCGATCAACGACCAAATTAACATTATTAAGTTTTCGCGCACCAAAATCGTAGAAATAACGACTTCCGATACGTTATTCGACGCAAAGTTGTGTAGCTCACGCGCTAAACTCGTTGATCGCTGAATTTTATTTTTGTGGACATCTCCGGCGGTTATAACAAATTACGCCCAAAATGAGGGAAGGCCGGTGTGAATTTTAATGTTCTGTCAATGTATTTCATGCGAACGACGAAACAAAAATCAGATAGGAAAAAAATGTATTAAACAGGCGTGCTTGGAAAATACAGCTTGACGATGTGTAGCTTGGAAGGAAACCATGGTCATTTTAAATATTACAATGGCAAAACAAGGCTTGAGAGAGAACAGTGAAAGCGAGTCAGGGCTGCCATGCGATAGAATGTTTGGGCGACTTTATTCATCATTCCATTGCATGGGATGTGCTGTTCTTCGCGCTTCAATACTTTATAGTGATGCGCGATTTGTTTGACAGAACGAGTGAAGGATATACAATTTTAATTCACGCATAAAGGGAAACAAATTTATTGGTCACGACTTTTCTTATCGGGTGGCTCCTAAAAGAGCGGTTTGTATTGTGTCAGGGCGGTCTGTCTAACCGCCAAATCCGTACAGAGTTTACGCGCACCAAGATCTTAGAAATAACGACGCCGGAATTTTTACTTGACGCAAATGTGCATGAGTTGCGCGCCAAAATCGTTTATCGTTGAATCTTTTATTACGACATTACTGGCAGTTATAAGAAATTGCTTCTAATTGCAGTTTGAAAATTAGCTGGCTTGACTTTAATTGTATGGTCAATTTATACTCACGCAATTCATGATACAATACTAACAAGCAACCAGCGAAGTATGCAACTGGATCGTTTATAGCTTTAAGGAAAATCATTATGGTTGTACAAATATTCAACTGTAGAAACAAGGTATGAGGAAGGGAAGGAAGAGGGGAAAGAGAAAGCGGGCAAGTAATGCCAAGGGGATTTCATCCGTTCTTCGTTTGCGCGCAATGTTCTCTTTCCAAGCTACTGCCCCATATCGTGACGCGCACGGATGGTGCAATCGTTTTGTTTAGCAAATGTATGAGCGAGATGTAAGCGTTCGTAACACACTTAGAAAAGGCATACATGTGTATTGATCATGACTTTCTTTGCATTTGGTGGCTCCTAAAGGAGCCGTTTGTTTAGTGTTAAGAGTGTCTGTCTAACCGCCAAATCCGTAAAGAGTGCGGCCTTGTCTCTTTAGAGCGTACACCACATCCATGGCTGTCACAGTCTTTCTCTTGGCGTGCTCCGTGTATGTCACAGCATCACGGATCACGTTCTCGAGAAAAACTTTGAGAACACCACGGGTCTCCTCGTAGATTAGGCCGGAGATTCGCTTGACACCACCACGTCGGGCAAGACGACGGATGGCTGGCTTGGTGATACCTTGGATGTTATCACGAAGAATCTTTCGATGACGCTTGGCGCCTCCTTTTCCGAGACCTTTACCTCCTTTGCCACGACCAGACATGTTGATTGTTACTCGTGTGTTTGAGTTATGGCGATTGAACGAACGTTACTAGATTTTATACAGAAAGATAGGACCTCTCAGAAAACAGAATGGGAATAAGGGTTGCTATTGGTTGATTTAAATATCTAAGCATAGTTTTAGTGTTATATTAACATATATTAACTTAAATCACACGGTCTTTCCGCGCGCGTATGTTTTCGATGGAAAAAAACTCTCTCTCATCCAAAAGTTACTCGCTGAGACTTGACTTTTCTCTTTAGTTATGCTATATATTAAACTTAAAATGATGATCATATTTGGCCTATGCCTAAACGACCTTCCATGTTACTTCGGATCCAAATAACATAGCATATCCATGAAATTATTTGCAGCTTTCGTACCTAACCAATCAAATCTCTTCATTTTGAGCCAATCACAAGTAAGCCCGCCAAGTATAAATCAATTTCTATACACACTTTTCCATTATCAGTTATTTGGAGTCGTTGAACAGGATGGCACGTACGAAACAAACTGCACGAAAATCAACCGGTGGAAAAGCTCCACGAAAACAGCTCGCCACAAAGGCAGCTCGTAAGAGCGCTCCCGCCACCGGTGGAGTCAAGAAGCCTCATCGTTACAGACCTGGTACAGTCGCTCTTCGTGAGATCCGTCGTTACCAGAAATCCACCGAGCTCTTGATCCGCAAGCTGCCCTTCCAGCGTCTTGTGCGAGAAATCGCTCAAGATTTTAAGACTGATCTGCGTTTCCAAAGCTCAGCTGTGATGGCTCTTCAAGAAGCTAGCGAGGCTTACCTTGTTGGTCTGTTCGAAGACACCAACTTGTGCGCCATCCACGCCAAGCGTGTCACCATTATGCCAAAGGACATTCAGTTGGCCCGCCGAATCCGCGGAGAACGAGCATAAGTGCACTTCGCTTCAAATCACAAACGGCTCCTTTAGGAGCCACCACATGAATAAAAGCAATGACCAATTTTATGAGCTTCTACTAACCAAATATTCCGAAGTAAATATCATTAGCAACTCAAAATATATTAACGCGTTTACCAAGCGCGCGTCTTTAAATTCTCGCGTATATAGGAAACTTGTTGCAGCGTTTAGCAAGAATACTACATCGGCAATTGGTTTTGATGTTTTGCTTTGTGAAAAATCTATTGTAATCATATTTTAAGAATACTCTCAAACTTGACTCCGATCTTGCCCGAAGGTCGGGAGCACGCAACCAATTCATGCAAAAGCTGGTTTGGCTGAACTGTAACAAGGCAAATCCACAAAACTATGCACATAACCTTGTTCAATCGCTGTTCATTTTCAAAACATTTGCTATAAAAGCAAGACCCGCTCATCATTAACATGTTTTATTCTTCACTTGGCCCTTTGATTTTGGCGCTAGTATTGTGCAAATCATCAGTGCTTTCTTGAACGTTTCGCCATATTTCAGATCGGTTTCTTAATTAGAAACTTTACTCAGATGCTTTATGGAATATTAGTTACAATAGACTACATTTCTTCGTTGGAGACATTTAGCACAGGTCTTATCAAGGTCACGTATGAAATGGCGGACGTTGTAGTCTCGTACTTCGTGTTCAAACTTCGAGACCGCTCTGCCTTTGAATATGCAACAAAAAGCTCATTTGCTGCATATGCATTTAAAATTGGAGACTTCATCCCTACTGTAATTTTATGATATATAAAAACATGAAGCCTCTTCCTAGGGTGGGTAGTTAGACGAGAAACCCGGGTCTTTTTATTCCTTTGCGTCGTCAAATAAAACTCTCAATATTGATCAACAATTGAATTAACTGTTCACATCCAGTCTATAATAGCGCTTTCTTCTGAACTTCATACATCACACGTTTAGTAAACCTATTGCAACGTTTAGCAAGAATATTACATCGGCAACTGGTTGATTTTTTTCGCAGGTGTAAATAAATTATTGTAATCATTATTGAGAATGCTGTCAAACTTGATCTTGCCCGGGAGTCGAGAGCGTGCGACCAATTCATGCAAAAACTTGTTTGGCTGATCCGTAACGGGGTAATCCAGAAAACTAAGCTCAGAACTTTGTTCAATCGATGTTAATTTTAAAAAAAATTTTCCATAAAAGTAAGCCTCAGCTTCAAGTGATTTACTTCAATCGAGACATTTAGCATTGTACCTCTTATCAAGGTCAGTCACATATAAAATGGCGGATGTTGTAGTTTTGTTCTTCTTGTTTGAGTTTAGAGGCGGCTCTGCCTTCGAATATGCATCAAAATGTTCATTTTTTTTTAACAATTGCATGGTTTAGGACTTCTTCTTTCATATGACATTTAATTTACTAATGAAAGGTGACTCAAACAAAACTTCTTTCATCATTCATTCAAAGTTCTCGTTTAAATCTTCATGCTTTCTTGACTTTTGCCCGTGAAGTTACATACATACATACATACATACATACTTTATTTGTCACGTAGGTCGATAAATGGCAGCTAAAAAGCTGATGTGGACCTACAAAACTAAAGAGTGTCTACAAAATTTAAATAATAACAATAACAAGTAGCGAAATTATGGTAAGTAAGAAAGGATGTAAGACCTAGTAATATAATATACAGTTGATTTACAGTAGTAATAAAAAGTAATAAAATAAATAAAAGTAGTAAAATAGCTTTAATATATGTAATTTACAACGTCTTTATTTAGTCCCTGTAAACCATTAAATGTTATTTTATCTAAAATGTCGGATTTTGCTTTGAGAGCAGATTTGAAAGAAACAATGTTCGGTTTGCTCTTCAAGTACACGGGTAAGTTGTTCCATAGAACAGACGCATGGTGAGAAAAAGAAGATCGACGGAAGTCACTTTTAGGGCGTTGCACGAATAGCTTCAGATTGTCCCTTAGATTTCTCAACGGAGAGTGTTTAGTAAACAAAGAGCTTATAGCAGCCGGAGCTCTATTGTAAAATGCCTGATAGGATATAGTGGCAATCCCTTTTTTATAGAAATATGATAAGGACTTCCATTTTGTCGCTGCCAGAACTTCAGTATTGGGGTAGATTCCTTTAGGTTAAAAATAAATCTCGCGGCTCCAATGTGAATGTCTTCCAGTGTCTGAAGTGACTTAGAAGATCCCCATAATGCAATAGAATACGCAATACTTGGAATGATACCTTTGAAATAAATTGACTCTAAGAGGCGATTGTCGAGTCCTTTTAGGTGTTTGAGTTTCTTCACTCTTGCCGAAAAACGTTTGCTCAAAGATTTTATATGTGGCGACCAAGAGAGTTTATTATCGATAAGAATCCCTAAACATGTAGCTTTGGAAACAAATGACAACTCATTTTGCCCTAAACAAATTTTCTGTAGGGGTCCGATGAATCTTGATTTTGATAACAACATTAGTTCACTTTTTGCGGGATGAATAGTCATGAAGTTATCCTTAGCCCATTTGTTTAAGTCAACGATCGCTTTCTGTATCTTAAATAAAACTTCATCAACAGTATTTCCAATGCAAAAACAGTAGTATCATCTGCAAACATTTCAACGGAAGCGTTCGTTGTGGCTCCGGGCAGATCATTTGAGTAAATGCTGTAAAGTCTAGGACCAAGTAAAGACCCTTTGGGGTACACCCGTATCTATTTCCAACAATTCTGAGTTTGAACCATTTACGGTGACAAATTGTTTACGATTATCAAGATAATTTAAGAGCCAATCGTAAAAAGAGCCACTAATACCTATAGAGTGTAATTTATCCATAAGAACTGTGTGGTTGACGCAATCAAACGCTTTCCGAAAATCAATAAAGACTACGCCAATAATATTGCTTTCATCCAAGGCTAAACGCCATCGTTCTGTAACGGAAAGTAAGAGCAGCTCGGGTGAGCTTCCTTTTCTGAAGCCCCATTGATTTAAGGAGATCAGATTGTTGCTATATAAGAAGTTATCAAGTTGTTGGCTTACAACATTCTCCAATAGCTTGCCCGGAATGCTAAGAAGGGAAATAGGCCTGTAGTTTTCACAGTCGAGAGTATTCCCCTTCTTGTGAAGACATTTTACCTGTGCCTGTTTCCACTGGCTGGGGAGTTTGCATTCCAAAATACTTCTTTGAGCCAGTGGCATAAAGCAATCCAAAAATGCGTCTCCAATAAGGTACAGCTCTTTGCTGGATATGTCATCAGGTCCACTCGCCTTGCCAGGTTTCAAACACCTTAGAGAAGATTTTAAAAGGTCTCTGTTAAGGGCTATGTTATAAAGAGAGGCACTGATTTTTCTTGCGGACTGACAAGGAGAGTTTACTGAAGAATCTTGTGTTGATTTCGAGAGGGATTTTCCAACATTGACAAAAAAGGAATTTAAAGTGTTGGCCTTTGATGTATCGTCTGCGTGAATAACTCCGGAACTATCTTTAATCGGTCCGATATTTGTAGCTGTTTGTTTTCCCTCGAAAGATCTTACTGTCTTCCAAAAAATCTCGAGCAGAGGTTGTCTCATTAAATTTTGTTAGCCAATAACTTGATTCCGCTAATCTAAGGAGTTTGGTGCATTTATTTCTTGCCTTCTTGTAATCTATCCAGGCTTGTGAGCCCTTCGGTGTTTTCTGTGCTTTAAGGAGTAATTTGTAGCGTTTGTTCAGCTCTTTACGTATGGAAGAGTTCATCCAGGGTAGGCCCCTCTTCTTATCTTTACTCGTCGAGCATGAAGGTGAGATTTCATAATGTCCTTGTATAAATACTCCCAAGCCCAAGTAGCATCGTCCAGATTGTGAAAGACATTGCAGATACTCCATGGGGCTGCAGCAAAGTCCGTTCTTAATGAGTCTAGATCTACTTTTTATAATCGTAGACTGTTTTGAGCGTTGGTTTCTGACGTTTTCTTTTGAGATTTACGATTGCATATATTAAGTGGTGATCTGAGATTCCTAAATCACAAACACCCTGGTGAGAAATTTTGAGGTGTCAGAGCAAATCACCAAATCAATCAGCGTTGTGGAGGTGTCAGTGATCCTTGTTCAAAAGTTGACGGAATTTCAGGTTAATTTAGGCAAAACCTTCTTAATTTTAGTAAATCAAACTTTACTTCACACCTACATTTTATGAGATAACTTAGCTATGCTCTATTTGACTAGAAAATATCTGATGTTATTGAATTAGCTCGTTGTGAACCAAAATGTCAAACAAACTAACACAGTTTGGACGCCGCCATTTTTCGACAACCCTGTTTCCTCGGTGGTCCGTACATGAACAATAACATTGCCTAGCACGCTCCAAGCAATCATTGTTACTCCTAGTTCCGAAAGTTCTACAGCAAACAGTATGTCCGAGGCAAAGTCCCCCGCTAAAAAGAAGCCAGCTGCGCCCAAAAAGCCAGCTGAGCATCCACCTTATGCAGACATGATCAAAGCTGCTATCTTAGCGTTGAAAGAGCGAAGCGGCTCTTCCCGCCAAGCCATCGAGAAGTACATCAAGGCTAACTACAAGGTTGGTGAGGTCGGCTCGCACTTGAAGATGGCTTTGAAGAGGGGTGTTACTAGCGGCAAGCTTGTCCACACCAAGGGAGTTGGTGCTTCTGGTTCCTTCAGGGTGGCCAAGGTGGAAAAGAAGGAGAAGAACCCGAAGAAGAAGCCAGCTGCAAAGAAAAAGCCTGCCGTCAAACCAAAGAAGCCCGCCGCCAAGAAGACGGTAAAGAAACCAGCGGCCAAGAAGGCTGCAAAGAAACCCGCCGCTAAGAAGCCAGCAGCGAAGAAACCCGCCGCTAAAAAGCCAGCAGCAAAGAAGCCTGCGGCCAAAAAACCCGCAGCGAAGAAGCCCGCAGCTAAAAAGCCCGCCAAGAAAGCAGCGAAGAAATCTCCGAAGAAGGCGGCCAAGAAATAAGGAAGATATCAACTCTTCATTCAATCAAACGGCTCCTTTAGGAGCCACCACATTAAAGAAAAAGCTATGACCAACTGAGTATAACACCGTTACGATAATCAAGTTTTTCTCGGTACTTCTGGTTGTGGACCTTCACATAGTTTTACCTACTAAAGGTCGCTTCATCATCAGTCGAATTGGGGTCAATGAGAAAATTACGGGTGAAGAGGGAATATTAAGTGCGTAGTAAGGGTGATCGGCGTTAAAAAAAAACGGCGAAATTCGTAATTGAGTTCGTCTATACCTACGAGCATTTCTTGCGGCTACTGAATTTTTCGGTTGATTTATAACTGATATTACCGACCATAACAAAGCGGGTAAAGCAATGACTTAATGGCTACCACATTTGTGTCGGTATATAGGGAAATCCTAAGAGCCAGTAACGCAATGACTTAGCGGGTACATTTACGTCGGTATAGTGGGAAACTCTAAGACAGCCAGCAACGCAATGACATAGCGGCTATATTTGCGTCGGTATATAGGGAAATCTATTCTAAGATAGCCACTAATCAATGGAAAGAATTAATGGTTATCTTTGCGTCGGTATTAAGGGGAAATACTAAGATAGCCACCAACGTAATGACTCAACGGCTACCTTTGTGTTTTAGACCTACAAAACAACGAGATTTGCGATTATCATAATTCCCCTGACACATTAGTTGTTGAATAGTTACCCTGCATCGGTCTATCGTTTACAATTTGCAGACGCATCATAACAAATACACCATGGACATAGCAAGGTGCACACTAAACCGCTGACAAACTTGGTCTGATCAAAGGCCCTCAATGAGGCAGCGTGACACCGCCTGCAATGCCAGTTATAGTTTTTACAAAACTTGCGATTAAATGAGCCACAACAGGTCAAGGGATCGTTTAAAATAAGCATATCACTTCGATAATAAGGAGCAATACAACAAAGATAGTCAGTTTTAAACACACTTTCTTTCGAATGGTAAAGTCCACTTCCTTCCAACAAATGACTAATAAATATTTTTAGGGAAAACTGTACAACAACTTAAAAACGTCCAGACATTATGCAGCACTCTTCCTTTTTAGTGTCCCAGCACCAAAACCTTCTGGCGAAAGTCCTCATCCGTGGTAAAACGCATGTTACTAAGTCTTAATTGGACTTTTTCTTAGATCTGATTGGTCGAGAGAGTGGCGCGAATTTTCTTAACCAATCATGGAGCGTAGGAAAGAAAACCCACGACAACAACCGCCTTTTGATTATGGCTTTGAAGTATATTACTACACAGTTCTAGCGTCTTGAATGCGCAGCGGGAGCAGTATTTCCTAACAATGTTCGCAAACGAACAATTTCTTCTTGGTATCTGCAATATAAAGAGAGAAGGATGAGAAGCCTAAATGAAGCAAGACGCAGAGCAAATATATAGCTTTGTTCCCGCTTCAATCCTGTCCCCCGCTTCCCTCCCGTTCCCCCCCCCCCCCAAACACAAACACACACACACAGGAGGGTGATGTCTTTGCTTCATCAGTACAATCAGTTTGTTTCATCAGCACCTTCTAATCAAAGGAGGGAAAAAGATTCTTAGACCAATAATCAAGGAAAGGTTATTCTCAATAGATAATCAGTAGTACCTTTTAAGATTTGTATCTATGTAGTGCTGAAGGCGCGCAAGTTGTTCTTCCGCCATAATACAACGTGTCATCAGTGAAGCGCGCTCACTTTCCAGGTCTTGCTAAAGGGTAAAAAAACCAACGATGTAAAGTATATTTAATACGCTTCAAGATTAACCCGAAAGATTTCAGCAGTTAGGCCATAATATTTGTCGCCCTTTTTTCAGTCCACCCAGAAACCATGAAATAATTGTTTGGTAAGATAGTAAAACATCAAAAATAAACAACAAAGGAACGAAGATGGGTAAGGATAAAAAAGATTGACTGGGATTGACAAGCTAGTTGTTCGAAATCAGCAGAAGTCATCGTTATTTCGCTACCTGGGTATTCAGTGTGAATTCGCGGAGTTGCTTTCGGAGGTAGCCCCAACCCATCTCCACTGTTGCCTGACCTGCTGGTAACAATCTGGCAAACAAAATACAGCCTTTAAGAAACCTTATAATGTACATGAAAAAATTGCGCGCTTCTGATTGGCTAAAACCGAGTGTATTCTCATATAACACGAGAGCAAAGTTGTAACACGAGTGCAAAGTTACAAATAGCACGCACACTCTATCAAAATTTACTGTGATGTTTTTTCATGTACTTTACTAACAAATAATAACATGATTTCTCTTGCAGTTTGGCGTTAAGAAGCACTCGTAAATTTTCAAAGACTACAAATTGCAATTGCCCTGCGGGCTCAAACAATTTTGTTCCCTTTGAAAAATTTTCTCGTGCTTTTTAACACCAAATTTCACCCAAAACATGTTATTACCTATACTTTATTGGATTAGACTTATCAGAAATCCTGGAAGGAGCACATTAAACTCACAGTTGATCCGGTTGCTGGTCATCCGCTGTAAAACGCGAGGTGTTGGAGGCCAACTGGAACAAAGTTAAGAATATAAAAACTGTAATAAAATGTTTAGTTGTTACAAGCCCGATTTCAACGCTACCTGAACAGTGTACGCTTCATGCTTGTAACTGAACGGAGCAATTGGACATTACGCGTCTTGCTTGTAATTCAACAGTGTACTTGGACAGTACGCGTCATGTGCAAGCGTACTCCTTGTGGCGCAATTCGCCGAGTTAATTTTTGTTATTCTATGAAGACGTATAAACCGATGAATAGTTTGTTTCTCTAATTGTGTAATAGCTTTGATTAATTGTTAACACGACTTCGTGTAGTCCTATATTCGTAATTAGCAAAATTTTGTTAATCACTCGCATTACTAAAGGCCAAACTGGACTTCACCCGGTCCTATGACCATTACCAACTGTAATGGCCTTCTGGAAATGGCCTTCTTTCTGTCACAGTCGATAGGGTTTACACCGACAGCTTTAATTATTGCTTTACGAATATACGAAGAATTGGTAAAAAATTCATAATGTCAGCCACTCAGAGATTTGAAAAAAAAGGACAAAAAAAATTCTATGTCAATGGTACCTTTTGTCTTAGTTCATCATTACTTCGTTTTAATTCTTTGAGATCCGCCGTCAGTTTCGCAATTTCACGACTCTGTTAAAAAAAAAAAAAAAACAAAATACGGAGTTATTGACGCAGAATAGGCCTGCTCTCAGTTGTTTCCCAAAAACATTGCTGAAAACAAGAAGCTCACCTGGGCAGTCTGCAGTTCAGTCTCTGAAGGCAAATACAAACTAGCTTGGTTAGTCTGTGGCACTGACTTTGCTTCTTTACTTTCAATGTCGTACCGTAACATCCTAAAATAATGACAAAAAATATGTCAATCATGAATGAAGATTGTTGGAAAGGGGGGAATTGTACCTGTTTTTTTTTTAAGGGGGAGGAGAGGGAGGAGCCTTTATTGTAATTGTGCGCACCTGTAAGCTGAAGAAAGATTATCGTGCTTTTGTACCAAGTCTCTTATGGTAGCTTTCAATTCTCGCAGTCTGCTCTCCAAGGCTTCTTCTCTTTTCTCGTGTGATTCTCTGATTTGTCTCACCATCATATCAATGTACCCCTGAAATGACTCCACTGAAATCTGCCTCTCGTTAACCTTTCCACAGAACTCCTGTGGGTAACGAAAAGGAATGTTATAATCGAGATGTTGTTTGAGCCCATAGGCTGTTCATCGGCATGTTTCTGATCCTTAATCCCCAGGGTTATAAAATAGTTAGCAAATAATGATATGTCCTGTTGTCTAAGAATCGACCAGGAATGATGCAACTTTCCCTGCAAAAAAGAGTCTACGAGAGGTTTCTTGAAGATTTGAAGTTGAAACGGGTGCAGCGGTTACCACTCTCGTTCACTCTCGTCAACCATCGTCAATATTCGTTCTCTCTCGGAAATTTTCGTCAATTCTTACTCTCGCGATATGACTCTCATTATGTTGGTTTGGAGAATTTGGTATCGGATTATTTAGTAATTCCATAATTGATATTTTTCTTTATTCTCATCACTTTTCTGCATGATATTGTATAGATACGGATATAGTGGAACCTAATCATGGGGCTTCCTGAAGACCACTTAAAATGTCCTCCGTGTAAATGTTCCATCAATAAAGGTAACTGATACAAATTTCGTGTCCTTTGGATGACGGTGTCCCCTAAATACAACGAGAATTTAAAAAGCTCTAATAAATATTTCTCACCGCAATATCATGAATATACTGCTGAAGTCTGTTGGTATATTCCGCGCTGAGCTCTTTAAGGCGCAGGTCCAGGTTGTTACTTTCTTCTTGTAAACGGTGCCTCTCCCCGTTGGCAGAGATCAGTTCCTTTATAATGCAACAGAATTATATAACATCAGTTACATTACTGAAATGAAAATAAAAATGAAAGGCCCTGTTTTTGAGTCCTAACAAGGGTGATCGCGTTGTGCTCAATAGAAACAGCACAGTGCCTCTCTTCCGCCAGAATTGGAGAACATTCCTTCATTTCGAAAACCGAGAACTTAACGTAAAAACAATTGAACCGCTCGAAGCGCGGGAAAACGCGGGTGACCAAGTCGCGATCGGTCTAAGTTTTGAATCTGATTGGTTGAGAAAGTGGCAGACGTCACGGACCATTCACAGAGCAAAATAAAGCAAAACTAACGTGATCTGGTATCACACTGATTCTGCTTTACTTCGCTTTGTAAACTGAGTTGCTCAAAGAACGATATGGAAAAGCCACTAGGGCTTTTAAGAGTAGAATCTTATCCACGGATGGAAACCATCTCGTAGCCTTTGCTGGTTCTCATAAGAAGGAATGGATTTCTTTAAATTTTTCCTTCAAAAATCGTGCCCCAACATTAGAGGCAATAGACTGAACAGAAAGAGTATGAGGCGTTCCTAATTTGTCAGAATCAAAGTTTGCCTTTCTTGAAGATAGATGTCCCCTACAGATGTCCCAGAGGTAAGCTATCACAAACTATTACTCGAGCAACAATAACATTACTTACAGAAGACTGAAGGGCTAATTTCCGCTGTATCACCCGAAGAGATTCCTTGGAGTCTTTCAGCTCTTGAGTCAATTTGGATCTAAAGAAACAAATCTTTATGATTAAATTTTACACAGAGTAGATCCCTATCACTGAGACCACCCTCAACCCTTCATATCCTGACATCTATATGCATATTATCCATACTTTATTCCATGCGTTTTCTGCGGAACTAGTAAGGAGAATTTGTTCAACAGTCGAGAGCTTCTTAAGGTTGTGATCATTTCCTTTATTCTCATGACCTTAATGTGTGAGTCAGGGGCGACATTGTAAGGAGAAATTAGAGACTAGTCTCCCTTGGGGGTTGAAAGTTAAGGTCTATGAAAAACTAGAAGTTGGAGACCAAATACAAGAACAGGAAAAGCTATATACATTCTATCTTCCAACTTGACCAGTTCTCTTTGATGCTGAGTCCTGAGAACCTCCACCCGTCCTTCTCGTTGTTGGCTGTTTTGAAATAACTGTAATAACAAAAAATGAAACTGTTAGCAAGCAACATAGGATGTCTAACAGCCCTTCAACTGCCTGCAATATCGGAAAGGTAATTCTCCCACTTGATGCCAACATATTTCTCTTCTAGTTTGTCCTGGGAATTTGATTTTAAATCCAAAAATTACTCCCTGGTTAATAAATTTCTCCTCTCTCAGTAACTATCAGTTTGCTCTTTAAAATAGCAGGAAAATTCAAGTAACGTTCACTTCTGGGTGTAGGGACAGCAATCCAACAGAATTTCTTAGCTAAAACGTTTTGGCAGAAACACTTTTGGATAGATGAATAATACACAAATTATCTCAGTGTGCAAGAGGTTAAATCCTTTGGACCTTTGGATCAAATATACATTACCTGTTTTTCAAGTTCGAGCTTCTCGGACTGTAAGGAAAGCACACTTTTGGACAAATCATCCTGTATTGAACAAACAGTCAGAGAATCAAGCCATATTAATTACTGCACACATTGTTACATGATCAATTTGAAAATTAAACATGAAGCAACAAAGTTTGAATAGAAATCTGGTTTAGGGAAAGAACAATAAAAGGTCATGCTACCTTCTCACGGAGAGAGCTCCTTGAAAACTTGCTGGCCAACCTCCTAAGTTGGTCATAATACTCCTAGAAGCAAAGAAAACATCTGATATTATTATCATGTTATTTCGTTTCATGCTCCTTTTGAACTGAATTAGAGGTCAGATTCTTTGAATTTAGATGTTCTTTACTTCAAAACTACGACCCTAAAAAGGACTGCAGTTGGTAACAGTGGCATTGGTCTTGACAACCTGAGTGGGAGTCACAACTCTTAACTATGATGATTACCAACACTCATGGCCGAGAACTTCCCTCATAGGTTCAATTTACATAAACTTGCAATTCTTTTAACCATCTCAGCTGATCAGCCTATAGTAAGTGCTTATACAGGAAAATTGTGCCATCTGAATTATACCAGCAACAACTTTAACAACTGCACCAGTAGCATGCAGATCAGGCCAGAGTAGCATGTAAAGAAAAATTGGCTTAGTTCAACTACCAGTTCTCTGTGGCTGAGTTGCTAGTAGAGCACACAAACTTGAAATTGGGGAGCAAGTACTCAGTATTCTCTAAGTGAAAATTATAGTTGCCATCAATGAAAGAGATTTGTACCCCTCGCAATGCCTGTACCTTATCAACCCCTCCAACTCTAAATCAAACATGGCCGGCCAGATAAACAATTGTGAGCATGTAAAACTAATGCAACCTAATAAGACCCCTGCTATTGAATGGATGATTGCACTAAATATTCATTTTCAACAGAAGCACATGGATGCTCCTGGTTTTAAATAACATATTATTGTAATAGTCAGGTTAATCTTTAGACAACAAGAAAGTAAAATAAAGTGTTTGTTAAATGCCCTCAACCTTCATTGTTTCAAGCTCCACAGCTTCTTTATCACTTTGTAGTTTTTCCTTTGTGTTGAGCAGCGTCACAAGTTCCAAACCCAACTCTTCATTTTTGGCCACCTTATAAAAATATAAAAAAGATTATTTAGCATAAAATTGAAATCATGTAGTAGCTTTGTGTTAGTATAATACATGGAATCTAAAAATAAAAAAGATAAGGTTAAAGACCTGACTGGGTCATTGTATAATGTTCTCAGAAGGGAAATTTTCTTTTCAAAGTGCCTCTCTTGACCAAGGAGTAATTGGGTACAAGGAAACTTTCATTGAAATCCTGGGGGAAGGAGTAAGATTCTGATGGACTGGGACCTATCCTCCTGTGTTACTTCTTAGTCCCTTCATGCCATTGAAACCATGCAGGATATCATTTTCAGGAACTCAGATAATTATTTTGTGTGCTTTTGTCTTTTAATAGCAGTCCCATTCTGCATAACTCTTGATCAATCACTCAACTCCATCTTTCAACTGTCTAAGAATCAGGCTCTTCAGGCCTGACCTGAGGTCCATTGTACAAGCAAGCTAAATTTCCTCACAGCATCTCATACCAAGTTTTTGCATGACATCAAGTTTTTGCTTGACACAAATTTTTTGATGTACCGATCTTGTTCAATTGTGGGAATGATTCATTACAAAGCTGGAAATTGATAGAGGAACCATATAATTTATACTCTAAAATGCTAGGGGATGATTTACAACATCTCCATCATCTCATTTTAGCCTGATAATATGTTTGAGTTAGAGTGGTTGGTTGGGTACAGGGATTCTGTGAGGAGTACAAATTTCTTTCATAGAAGGCTACTATAATTTTTACTAAGAGAATGCTGAGCACTTGCTCTCCAAGTTTGTATGCTCCACTACCAACTCAGCCACAGATCAGAACTGGTTGGTGCACTATTAACAATATCCCACCTCCTTTTGATAGTCTGCAGTTAACTGAACATGACTGGTCTTTAAAGCAATGTACTCATTTGCCAGCTCTTTATGTTCTGTTTCCATGACAGCAAGATCTTCTTTACTTGCTGTCAAGTCAGCTTGAGCCTTATCCAAAAACATCTGAAGTTCCATGACATTATTTTCAAGAGCAAGCACCTGAAATGAAGGGGAAAAAATCAGGGATTTTCTCACATCCTGTTCAGTAATTGACACTGTATCTCAGAGGCTTATGATTATAATTTTAAATTTAAAGGTTTTCTGCCCTACCAACTGAGGCACAGAGAACTTGTTGGTGCTCTTATAAAGCCAAATGACAGACACTATAATAAGTTTTTAATGATAGAGGATCTGTACGAGTCATATGACTCATGAATACAAATTATACAATCTGTAAGGATCATACATAGCGAAAACTCAGGTTGACGAGTAGTTATGACATTGGACATGGATGCAATTACACAGACCTGACCTGGATGCTATTGTTGTAAAGTTTTTGCAGGTGTGATTCAGATGACATAATGCATGTGTAAGTAATATTGTATTAAACTGATCAGCTTTGATAGTTAAAAGAATTGCATTATGTAAATTGGACCTAAGAAACCCAAGGAAATTCTTAAACACATTTCACCAACAAACAAAGTACAAGTTAGAACAAAATTGCTTCTTGAGGTTATTTATTGAAGAGTACTGCACGGTCTCTACCTACCTTATTGTTGAAGTCAAAATTGACAGCCTCTGCATCTTCCTGGATTCTGTTGTTTTCCAACTGAATGTCAACCAATGTCTTGGAAATCTAATGAGTATCAAAAATATAAAGTTTTCATGACAAATTCAAGTCACTCAACCACAGTTTTAAAAAACTGTTTTTTCAAGGATATATCCCCTCCCCTGATCTAGTTATCTAAGCACTTTTTCAAGACAAAATATTTAAAAGATATAGCACCAAAAATAGCACAACTGGCATTCTAACATGCTTTCTGATCAACTATATTGTATCTCTCCATTTTCTTTAAAAAAACTTAGTACTTAAAAATTATCTAGGATACTATAACAGAAGTTTCAAAAACTTTTTTCAAACTTTAAGGTAGTTGTCAATGGTGAATTAGACAGCTGTGCAGACAATGAATAAATTATATCAATCAGATCCCTTCAATCTTGACAATTGTTTAAAAGCTGGCCAGTGGCCCACTATAAAATAAATAAAATTTGACTGAAACCCCTGATACAAGAAGAAACCAAGAAAAAAAAGAACAAGAAACAAACCTGTAATTTTTCTTCTTCACTGGAGATCAACTTTGAAGAGAGCTGTGTCTTTGAATTCATCAGTTCACTGTATCTTGTCTGTATCTCGTCAAGCCTTGTATATAACTGCTCATTTTTCTCCTGTAACTTAAACTACAGCCGCAAGAAAATACAATAATAACCAGTTAGGGGTGAGACTCAATTACTATAAAATAAAGTCTGACATTATGGTTTTTAGTTGCATCTGCACTGAACCCTTAAATTCCAAAGGTTTGATATATTTGTACCAGTAATTGTTCCCTACAGCTGATAAGATTGTCTTTTCTCACTACGTGTATAGTGGATAATGTACTGATATAGTAAGGAGAAGTTAATACATTTTAGTCAGTTCCTTAATCAAAAGGATTGTCGTTACCGACTAACATTCCCGTCATTGAAATCATTAAGCAAATCAAAAAAAGGAGGTTGTTTCATCACGATACCATTCTCTCAACCAATCAGACGCAAAACTAAAACCAATCAGAAGTTGGTTGCTTGTGTTTTCCCATATGCTTTAGGTAGTTTGGTCAGTTTTACTTTAAGCCCTCAATTTAGCTCTCTAACACAAAGGGATTTTCCTCTTGTCTGATTAGTCCTTGTGATCACTTTAGTTTATGTTTTTTAACACGCAAGCAAAAGAGCTCAGCTATCTTGCAAGTTAAACTTACATTTTCCTGTGTGAGCTGTGTCATTTGATCTTTCAGTTCCTGTGCCCTGCCTGGAGTTTCTCCTGTACCTAAGCTCCTACCACCACCTGACATTTGGATGTCATCTTGAAGTTTCATAATTAGGGTTCGATACTGACATAAGAGTTCCTGTGTGAAGACAAAAGACAACCTTTCAATCACAATGTCAGCTAACACAATCTTCTAACTAACTCAGAGAGTAAAGACCATTTCCCACTTGGTTTCATTTACACATAGAAGATTCTTGAAAAAGTCTCTGAAAATTGTGTGGTTTGGTGGTCATGTGAAGGTACATGATATGTTGAAAAGGAATGTTCTTGGTGATGATCACAGACATTTTCCACAAGCTCAGTAGAGGTCAGCATTTTTGTGAAATGGTGACCACCACTTGGATGATCTACTCACTGTGACTGCTTAGAACAGTCCCATTTGACTTTGCACCTGTTGACTTGGACATCCTAGCTTCACTCAGTGCTTTCAATAAGACCCAGCACCCACCGGAGCTCCAGCAGGTATTCTGTTGGGAATCGCCGGGTCAGCCAGGTATACTTTGTATGCTTTCAAGCAAACTCACAGAGTGAGGCCTAAAACACCTTGAGTTCTTATAGAGTTCTTTCATTCAATTTTTACCTTTATATGTGACTTTTGATGAAAATGATTGATATTGTGTTATCATATATTTGAGCATACGTTTCATACATTTCCAGCAAAAAACGATCAGTTAAATAATTTTTTTTAAAGGAGACTAAATAGTTAATGATCAACTTTGGAAGTAACACCAAAAACCTCTATTGAAGCCAGTTTATTCTGAATGGAAGTTATGGGATATTAGAGGGAAATTGTAATTTATATTATTCTCTGGCGGGTGCTTGACAAATGTAGCCACCTTCTTCAATTCTTATTGAAAGCACTGTTCTCTTCTCACCACTTCAAATCAAAAACTTAAATTTTCACATACACACACACACACCTTTGCCATAAAGTCATTGATTACAGGATAATTTTGTACTTGAGCAAGTTGCCCAGCAGTTCTGAGTACAGTTGAAAGACTGGAACTATCAGAAGGGTGCAGTGTCACCAACGCTTTTGTTTTGCAGTTTCCACCAAGTGCATCCTTTAGTAACATGGTCACTTTAGACTCTCTGAAAAGTCAAAAAATGAGCACCACAACAACAGTTTAAGTTAATCAGAAGTACACATTTTTAAACTTATTATCACCATGAACATAGCATTAGCTCAGATATAACTCAGCTAGTCTCTTTTTTTTTTCATTCCTTAGCTAGCATTACAACCAATCATTTTTTTTTCTCCTGAATAAAGAAAAAAGTGTTTGGAGAAAAAAATCTCACCTATCCCCCAGTCCCTCTCCCAAGCATTTCTCAGGTTTCACTGTCAGTTTACCAAAACCCATTTATATTCCTCAGTGGAGAGACATGGAGTGAGATGCACAGTTATCCATCTTACCTAACCCCAACCCCCCATACCAACAGTTTCTCTGATTTTCTTAACATTTCACCGGTACAAATTTGTACTCCCAGGTGGAGAGAGAGAGAGAAGCACTTTATTTTATTTAAGAATACAACATGATGACCTGAACAGGTCAGACAGAGACCTGCTGATCCAGAGAACCACACACCTCTCTCAGGTACAAAAGTCAAACACTCACCCATAATTGATGACTCTTGTAGACTTTGGAGCTGCAGCTAATTGAGCTACAAGATTCCCAAATGCAAGTAGAGACCTATTTAAAGTAGGACCTTCCCTCATGCGCAGCTGTGTAGGGTCTTCAGCTAGTTTTTCTGCTCCAGGTAATTTCACCACAAGAAAACGAGATGTAAACAGATCCTGACCATCTTTTGGAACCTTTATGGGCAAAGAAAAGCTGATTCAGGAAGAATAAAAGCATGTAACGTCTCTCTACAATAAGACTACTAAATCATGAGATTAAAGGAAATGATAACCAACCTGGGAAGCTTTGATTGTTAAACAAATTCTCCCTATCAATATGAAAGGAAATGTGTACAAAGGAATATGGAGAAAATAGATACTGATGTCAGGGTGTACAGGGTTAAATGTGACAAATATACAATGAGCAAACCCATTGCAGCCATATCTCCCACAAAGAGGAGCCTGTTTTACTTAGATTTTCTATCTGAGTGTGTTTTCAAGTCCTTGAACCCTTTAACTCCCAAGATCTCATTAGTAATTCTCCCTACTGTTTGCCAAACGATTCTCATTATATTATAGTGTGGAGAATTTGGTATCAGATCAATTAGTAATCCTATAATTGATATTTTTTTTTATTCTCATCACTTGTCTGCATGACATTGTATAGATATAGTAAGGAGAAATTCTATCTTAATCACTCACGGGAGTTAAAGAGAACTTGTGGATTTAAAAGGAAAATATTTCAGGGTAAAAACTTGTTGTTTAATAGGTGAATACTCAAGTATGGTCATAACTTTTTCACACACTCACCATTGACATGTCAAGTGAGAAGAAAATTGTGGTTCTTGTTTCAAAATCTGTTTGTCCCATGGCTCTGTTTGACCACCCCTGACGAAATACATTGGTACACTCTGCTGCATCAACAACCCTCTTGTAAGTCGCATTCTGCACATGCACTCCATTACGTCCATCTTCCACAACATCAATATACTTGTCTGATTATAAATTAAATATGATTAAGAAGTTAGTATGGTACAGTATGCCTCTATAACATCTGATTACAGAGCTATTGAGTCTCAAACCTTGAGTATGAGACTCATGTTTACTATTAATGAATTAAATCTTACACACTCATTTAAGTTTCTTACTTAAACTGTTGACTTTGAGAAAGACAACTCTTGAATTATATTATATAGATTTAGCCTAGCCTACAAGCAGAGCTCGCTTTTTTTTTCCCACATGTCTCAAGGGGCACAACACCTTGCCCTGGCCAGGACTAGAACCCGAGTCATCCAACTCGGAGCCCAGTGCACTGACCACTGGACTACTGGACAAAGCCGTGGTGTTGGCGTGCCCATGGTACAGTTGACCATGCATGTTAAAAGTAGCACCTTGTAATTATGGAGCTACACAAGCTCTGCTATAATTTACTCCCCTTTCCCTTTTTACTAGCTGCTTCAAACACTTTCCAACAATGGAAATTCTTGCTCAGATAAAAGAATGCAGCTGACTTAGAAACTTAATTTTCACCACCCCCTCTCCCCCCTCTCCCTAGAAGGTGATGCCTGCAATGTCAAAATCAAAGGCTGTATACTCCAAAATCTCACACCATGCCAGCAAATAGACTTAAAAACTCTTCACTGTACTGATCAAAATCAAAGACTGCTGTCCAAAATCCCACTCTTTGCCAGTAAATAGACTTGAGAGCTCTGCACTGTACTGTGCTGTATTGAATAAGGATGGACCCATATCGATACCAAATATTCAATACCAGCAATACCAAGGTATGATCAGACAATAATGCTATTAATGTAAAGTATCAAAACTTTTGATATTGCATGCAACCTGCCCATGCTTTGTCTCACACAGGTGCCATTTGCTGGTAAGGAGCCAAAAAGATTTTGGGCTTGAGTTTGGGCAATGAGCACCTCAGTGTACCAGTCTGAGTGGCTTGCAAGTGTTGCAAGAGTGAACTCATTGATGACCGTGAGTTTCAACTTAAGTACAATTGGTTTAAGTTTTTGACTGTCTTATTGATGCCTCTGTGGAGTATTCACAAAACATAACTTAACAGTGCAAGATAACCCTATATCAAGTTAATCAAATCATGTGACTTATCGTATAACTTTATGACGTCACAGTATCGATATCAGTAGCGATATGGAAGAAAATCGTGAGCATCACTCTCGGTAATTCGTATCTACTCGGAAAAACCATTTCGGCCCATACTTAGTAGTAAATCATGCAGACCTACCTTCATGTGGTAGTAGCAGCAGATCTCTTACTTTTTCGTTAAAGACCTCGTAAAACTGTACAAACACAACTCCGTCATTCGGATCATTTCTCTGTACTCTTTGTTCCCTTCGAGCTGACCTTTCACCTTTTACTCGAGTAAAAACAGAATTTATTATCAGGGGAATCAACCCAGCCTTGGAATTCTTCTCCCCTGCAAGAGAGAACGATTTTCCAGATCCTGATTCTCCAAAAACCAAGAAACAAACATTGTAACCAGCGATGAAGAGTTCTATCAGTGGCAGCAAGGAGTCTTTGAAAATATCATAGGTCACTGATTCCGATTTGTAAACAGATCCAAATATGTGACCAGTTCCATCACTTGCTTGCACGCGGGTACCCGAAAGATTTAGAGAATAATGCTCTCCCCGTATGGGTGGTCGAATACGAGCTAAAACCTCCACATTCATTTAGAAATTTGTGAAAGTATTGTACGTTTGCAAAGACGATTATTGACCGCCATTTTTAAAGGTAACAACTGTAGCAGCCTGGCCTGTTGAAAATCGCGAGGCCACCAAGTGGGAATATAACATTGATGTCAAGAACCTTTTAGATGAACTTGAATTCAAAGATGAAGGAAACTTCGAGCAAGGAAAGAAAAAGGACGTTTTACTGTAGCGTAGCCTTGGAACTTTACCTCTTATAATCATTCAAGTAGCACATTGGTGAATTTTCGCGACAATGTTTCCTACAGCAGGGTATTTCCGGAGTACAAACTGTCCATTCTTTGTTCACGGTCTGTGCCACAGACCGTATTGCCATTTTCGTCACAGTAAACCCGGTACGTGGAATTTTAACACTTAAGAGGTAGAATTTGTACCTAGGGATACATTGCCCTGGACGCTAGAGTCAGACCTTTCTTTATCTTTAAATCTTAAGGTGAAATTTAGTAGATAAAGAGATTCGTTGTGGAGTATCGAAATTAAACTTATTACATGAACGAAATCAGTGCGGGTTACTTGAGTTGTTTGGGATAATTACAGCAGCTATTAAGCGCTTAATTGTAGTCAAATGCCTTTGAAATATGGTCAATTACCGTGTAACTCTCAGGGATGATTAACTCGAAAGTTCTCCCCACAATTTCAAAAGGAGAATTGACAACTGTATTGACTAGAGACTTTTATCAAGCTGTAACTCAAAATTCTCTTTCACAGCTACAAGATTGGGTAGCACACAACTGACAAGTTTGCATGGAAGCCAGGAAAACTGTCTCTATTTCCCAAATGTAACCCCTTGTACCCTGATTTAAATACAGTCAAACTTGTATTAAGTGGCACCACATTAAGTGGTCGCCCTGTATTAAGCAGTGGATTGTGAAAGTGTCTAATTTTCTTCCTCTTAGTCATTGTAATTTTCACTTCTATCAAGCTATCACCTCAATTAACTCTTAGTACTCCCAAGATCTGATTGTTAATTCTCCCCTCTAGCTGCTACTTTACAAGAATTTAGTATTAGATCAAGATAGGAACTTGTTCTGATAAGTTTGAGTATCCTCATTACCTGTTTGCTGGATGATGTATGGATATTATAGAAAGAAGTTACTTGGAAATCATCTCTGGGAGTTTAAGGGTCATGAGATAAAGGAAATAAGGAGAATTTGTTTAACAATCAAGAGCATCTTGATTTCATGATCATTTTCTTAATTCTCTTGTCCACAATGTTTGATTCAGGGGTGATATTGTTAGGTGAAATTAGAGGCTGTTAGCAGTTAAACTTGAGCCTTAAGATGACTTGTGAGTCTGCAATAATATTTTTAAGTCAGAGTTGATTTTGGCAACAGTTCTAATACTCAAGGTTGCAATTGATGACTGTGAAGAAATCAATGAAAAGCTGGTCACAGAACCCTGAAGTGTGCATTTTCTCTCTCAAACAGGGCTCAAGGCTTCAAAGAGCAGAACTTCACCTCATAAGAATAATATTGAACTACAATCCAACAATGTTAAGACTACAACACCCAGTCCAGATGTATCTGATGGAGATAAACAGCGGGCTGACATTAGAACAACTCCACCAGAAGCAACAAAAAGGAGGGTAGAAACAGTGGACAGTACAAGTCCTGAAATTGAAAATAAATTTACCACACAAACAAACACAGCTTCTAAAAGGGGCATTCTGAATAGAGGTGATGAAGAACAGAATATTCAGGATGATCAACTTTCTAGTGTCAAAGAATCTTTGCTCAAGACCAGCAAAGATGTAACTGAACCTGTGACTAGCTCACATATGATCAGCCCCAGTGATGAGGGCATGGAAATGTCTGAATTGGATCGGAATGATTGTGAACAACCCATTGCTTCTCTGACTGATGAAGAGATGAAAATCATTGGGTTGAACACAGTTTCTTCACCTGGTTGCAGTCAAACTGCTGTTAAAAGTACCAATTTAGGACAAAATTCAACTTCAAATGATTCTAGTTGCATTGTTTCTCAAAGTAACTCCCCAGTTGTGGGAGAATTTTTTGAGAATGACACTGAAGGAGGAGGCCAAATGAAGAGTAACTTGTTTGATGTTAATGTTACTGAAAATTACATTGCTAAGGAGGCAAGAATTGCTCAAATCAAGGCTGATAGTTTAGCAAAGAGACTTAAATCCAAAGCTGTGAAGGAGAAAAATGATTCATCATTGGTTTTGGAAAGTAACTGTATAGAAAAGAAACAGGAGCTCAGTGGAGGGAAAGAAAAATATGACGTGACTCAGGAAAAGCCACAAAGACGAAAATCTGTTCAGCTTCAAATCTCTGTTGAAGGAGATGAAGACACGAAAGAGTCTTTGGATATACCTGCAAAGAAAAGAAAATCCCAGCAGTTGCCATGTGCAACTAGCTCTTCACTTCACTCTTCTGCACTAAAGAGTGAGGATAGTAACAGGGCTACGAAAAGGAAAGATAGCATTTCCAAACAGGAATATAAACTACATGAGTTGTTTTTGTCTGCATCAAAGTCACTGGAACACACCATTCACTCTAGTAAATCACCTATGGATAATGATTCTAAAGACATAAAAAAAGGCAAAGCAAATGCATCAAAAAGAAAACTAAGCCTTGCAGAGACTGAAATAAATTTCTTTGGTCCTTCTAAAAGGCAAAACAAAACTGAGAAAATGGAAAAGCAGAAGAAAGTTAAGGAGGAAATAGTTGCTGTTAAAACTTTGAAACCCAAAAAATTAGAGAACAGAGGATTGGAAAAGAAGAACAATTTTCAGAAAACCAAACTTCAGACAAGTGCCAAAGGTTTAACAATGTCAAGTGAAGATAGTGATTACATGTGCAGCCCTGCAGGAGGTGACTCAAGCCATGAGGAGAATGATTCACTGAGAAGGATTTGGAATAACTTTGAACTGCCACAAGACAACCTTGTGATAGAGAAGGATTCACAATCACCTGTTAAAAAACAGGCAGAAGAATCAACAAGGAAGAGAACATTGTCATCTGTGTCTAACGACTCTGACGTGATTAAACAACCATCTATGGCTGATGCATTAGGACTTGGGAAGAAACAGCGAGTGGCACATATGCCCAGTCATGTAAGTTAACCATTTGCACCCTTTCATCAGTATGCATATTCTTCACACTGTTCTCTGTAGGGAGAATTTGTGTAACAATCAAGAGCTTCTTTAGTGTGTGATCATTTCTTTTATTCTCATGACCTTTAACTCCCATGAGTGACCAAGACAGAATTTCTCCTTACATTATCAATACAAAATCAGGCAAACAAGTGATGAAAATAAAAAAGTGTATCAATTAGGGGATTATTAGTTGATCTAATTCTAAAGTTTAAATTCTAAACTTTCTTTCTATGTCATGAAAATTGAATGGCAGACGGTAAGGAGAATTACTAAATAAATGAGATGTCGGGAAAGAAAGGGTTAACATTTGATTCAGTGATGACATTTTAAGGAGAAGTTGGATGTCATTTACTCTTGGTGGTTAAGGGATTAATTATTGAAATAAGTAACATTATGAATTTTAGCTTTTTCAAGACACAAGCCTGAGTTTTGCCTTTACATGTAGTTAAGAGGTTAGAACATCTGAGAAAATTTATATCCATTGATTACTTGTAAGTTACAATTGTCCCTTAATCCTTTAACCCCTAAGAGTTATTGGCATCTAATTTCTCCTAACCCCTATTTAACTGTTGTATCAAACATTAGGGCCATGAGAATAAGGGAAATGATCACCAACAAGAGAGCCTCTTGATTGTTGAGCAAATCCTCTCTGTCTGTATCATAGGAAATGAGAAGAGAACAGTGTGAAGAATATGCATATAAATCTTAGAGTGTAAAGGGACTGTTGTCCTTAAGAGCAGCTGCAGATGTTTTGACAACCTTGTTGAAGGTCACAGTTGAGTGTTATGAGTCTGGCCCATGAAAACCAATTTTAGTAATCAGTTTGTTCATGATTCTATTAGTCATAAGATCCTGGTAATGTATGAAGTACCATTACATGTTTCAATTGTGTTCATAGGATAGTGTTATTTGTATTACAGCTACCTAGGAGATTATCATCAAATGCTAATCCTGTACGAAGGTACCCTAAGTCTTTAACAGCCGTACAAAGGAAAGAGGAGTCTGAGGCACCTTCAACATCGGTAAGAACTGATGGGGAAAGCTACTCTGTTTAGCTAATTTGAATTGTCAGTGAGCAAGGTGTTATTACTTAGGGAAGCTTCTTTTTATGTGTAAAAATTGTTCCATGGGGTGAGGTACATGTTGTGAGGACTGAAATAAAGCAGGGATTTCAAAGCAAGCTGGTGACCACCGCAGTTCTGCTAGCTACTTGACAACATGTCACCGGTTACTCTGGTCAAAATAATAACTTGAAAAGTTACCTTTTGGCCCTTAATGAACTTTTCACAGTCACTTACTTTTGCTGAGTCCAATGGCTACCTAAAAACATTTTGAAACCCCTGATCAAGGGAACTTAACAAGCATAGTAACTTAATCCTGTTTTGGTGTCCTTGAATCTTCTTATTAAGTCTAATTTTTAAGTTGCCTGATGGAGAGCCTGTGCATCACAGTGTTCTTCCCCTTTTTTTTTTCTAATTTGGCTAATTAACTATTAATTGAGCAATTAAAGGAAATTTTTTCTTCTTTTTATCCTTTTTAAGGATAAATAAATTGTTAGTAGACAGTTATCAGTAATTTGATGATTGTTCTTCTGATCCAAGGGATCTCCTGTGAAGGAGGCAGAGGGTTACAAGCCAGCCAAACAGAGGGTGGCTCATGTATTAAAGAATAACTCCCCTGCAGGATCACTGCCGAGACCTAGGATCCCTGTGGAGTATGGTGCTAAGGTGCCGCAAAGTCAACGTCAGAGATACCTAGACAGAATCGTTGATGAATACCTTAGAATTTGTAGAAGTGAGAAAGAAGCATTTGAAAAGGTAATAACAGCATATACTTGTAACATGGAGTCAGAAGCTTGAAATTAAAACTAAAAAATTAATCAAAGGTTTTACATTATAGGCACTTTATCTATTATTGTTGTATTTTCCTCTGACCCCCAGCTCGTACTCTTCCTTCCCTCTTAAATCTCTACAGATCTGTTCAAATTTTTAGTTGTCATTTATGTAAAAAAATCTTTCAGATCTTCAAAATACTGGAGTAAGTTATTTGGGGGTGGGGGGAAGGGGGGTAGTGAATACTAGTAAGGGGAGAAATTTTGCAGCAGTTGGAATATTAAAACATAAAAAACACATGGAAGTCACTTGTCATTTAACTCTGCCACTCCAGTCTAGTTGCACAACAATTGTACCTTGCAGAAAACTTGATTTGAAGTATTTTAAAGTGCTAATTTTTCCCTGACCCAGGCTGTTGAAGAAGAAAAAACTCTGTATGAAAGGAGCACCAGAAGACAAGTTTATTTGAATCTTTGTGTGAATGCTATCAAGAAACTTCGAGGTATAACACAACTGGAATCACCTTCTCCTGTTAAAAGTGAGACTACAACAAAAGTGATGGTTACTAAGACACTGTCTTCAGGGGCAGTTGTTGTCAGTACCAAGAGCCCTGTGAAACAACAACCAGCTGTTCCACAAATGGATCCATTTACAGGTAATTGATATATGTTGCTTTACAATTGATTATGATTTTAGGAGGGGGGAACCTTCTTTCTACAAGGACAGCCCAGCTTTGTTTGTGGGATCTGATGTCTTAGATTTTCTTTATTCTTTGGTTTTGAGAGTTATTCAGTTATTCCCTTTATGGCTTCTCAAATTTTCTTGTTTCATAAAGCCAACTTGCCACAATCCAGTTTATCTAGATACACAGTTTCATTTGACAGTAAAAGAAGTGAAACTCTTTAATGGAAGGAATCATGATCATGATCATGACAGTCAGTCACAAAAAGAAAATGTCTCAGTGAGTTAATGAGAAATATTTGTGAATACTTGTGAACTGTCTCAAGCCCTGTGAAAAAGTGAGTGCCCACTCAAGATCAGTGATAGATTTACATCTGACTGAGAAGGGAGGGCTGCTGAAGACAGCATGGCCAGTGTTGACAGCCTTCTAAAACAATTACAGAGCTAAGTAAAATACAATGAGTGCAATCCCTGATCCCTTTTGACACCAAATTTAAAATTACTTGTACTTAGTTACAACAGCCAGCTGGGCCAACAATCCTCTTTTCCCTCTCTTATGATTATAATTTTTTAATTGATGTTATAGAGGAGTTGATGTATGATTTCCTGTCTAAGTATCTGATGAGTGAAGATGACTTAGTACAGAATGGTTACCCACGTCCCTGTCCAACAGCACCCGGAAGAGCTGTTTTTAAAACTAAAAAGGAGCCATCTAAAGATCGTAAGTGTTCAGAGCCTTCCTTTGCGCAGTAGCAAAATAGATATAATATGTTGATAATTTTGATCAGTGTTCTCCGGAAGACCCTTCAGCCAGCATTTTCATTGGCTAGTTACTTCTGATGCCCTTGCTACTTTAATTAATAGACCAAACAGTTAAACATCCTTTCTGATCCAAGCTCAATTTATAAAACACTGTTTTATGACTTATATGTAAAAGTTAGGATGAACTTCTTTGTCAGTTGATGTTACTGGAATGAGCACCAGCTTTTCCATTTAACCCTTTCACCTCCAGGAATAACCAAAAAGGAATCTCTCCTTGTACAAATGAAGACACACTGTTAAGCAAAAAGGGAAAAGAAGAAAGAAAAATATCAAATATTGACAGAATTAATTTTAGTTGGTTAGAGTTTTAAATTATAATTTTTTTTCAAATTATGCTGATTTGAAATGATCTTCCATTTAGTTACACGTAGGACTTGCTGTCGTTGTGGCAAGCCTTTTGTTGTTCTTGAAGATGGAGTTTATCTAACAAGAGAAGAATGTGTGTATCATGCTGGGAAATTATTTCGAAGAAGAGGTAATTTTTTTCATATTTGCACATTAATGGTATGACTGTGATGACAACTGACAATCAATCAGTGTTTTTTTTTTTTACACAAATATGTAATATAGAAATTAACTATTTTGTAAGTGCAGCACAGAATGTGGCTGTCTATAAGAGAGAACTTTGTTGTTTTTTTTTGGCAAGGTTTTTTTTCCTCCATGGAAAACTGAGGAATTTATGAAATTGGTTGATCTAGAATCAACTAGGATTCTTGAAGTTGATGAAAAAGTAACTTCTCCCTAGAATATCCATCAATTATTCAGAAAAGAAGTAGTGAGTCCAACAGACAGAATACTCAAACTTATTGGGCAGGACTTGTTATCTTGATCCACCACCAAATTCTTATAACTGATTTACAAGGAAATGTGTAACAGCTAGAGGTGAGAATTAAATGATCAGATCTTGGGAGTTGAAGGGTTAAGAAAATTTAGTATCAAGACTATTCAGTTTTCACCAATTGCACAAAGTTGCTTTTACAAAACTTCTTTAGTGCCAAAACCTTTCAAGGTATATTTAATCGACTGAACTGAATTTTATTCTCTCAGGGGAACCAATTACAAATTATTCTTGTTGTCAAGGAGATGCCGGTAGCCTTGGGTGCTGTGTTGGAAAGGTAGATTCTTTTGGGTCAAAATTTTATTTATTCATAATTAAGTGTCTAAATCACTCTGGTTGTGATAGTTAATTTTAGTCAAGCACCCTTGACCTATCTTGAACCACCTCTCCCATCTACCCCCTCTTTCCCTTCTCCATTTTCCCCTCTTTCCCCTACCCCTCCTCTAGAATCTAAGATGACAGCTTTGAACATGGCAAAATGTATTTGTTCTATTAGTTTTCCCAACTTAGGACTCCCCAGTACACTGTTTATAACAATTAACCCTTTACACAGGCTAACACCTGAATATGTGAAAATATTCTCCATACTGTTCTCTATGCATTTTCCAAGGTCCTGACAAGGAGAAGTTGTTTAACAATTTGTAGCCTCCTAAGTTGGTGGTCATTTTCTTTATTCTCATGACCTTAATGTTCAATTAAGGCATGATATTGTAAGGAGAAATTAGATGCTAGTCCCTCTTAGGAGTCAAAGGGTTAACTCTGAAAAGATATGGAAACATCTCACTTTTCTGTGACAGGTTCATGTGAGTGACAATGTGAATAACACAGAAGGCTTTATGACTACCATAGTGAGTCCACTGGTAGAAAAACGAAAGAAAATATTTTCCATGGACTGTGAAATGGTAACATTATTTTCTTTGTCTTATCTCATGGTAGCTTTTAGATTTCTGTCAACTCAAACTTTGATAGTTGTCAGATTTAGTATAATGTATTTGATTTTTATGAATAATGGAATTATGGAAACAGATTGACAGATTGATTTACAGATGAAAGGGGTGATTTTCAGATTGAAGTTTAAAAAAAAAATGGAATTGGTATGTGTGAGAGAGGGAAAATGCGTTGGCGCAAGGTTGATTTGCTGAAGAGGTCTGGTTTAACTAGTCCTGGCTGGGTCATTGTGTTGTGGTCTAGCACAGGATACCACACTGTCATAATCTCTCTTTCCACCCAGTGTATAAATGGGCACTGGCAAACTGTTAGGGAAACCAAATAAAATGTGGTTGGGGGAAGGGAGAAGGAGGAAACTTGTGATGGACTAACATCCTGGGGAAGCAATACTTGTAGTCACCTCATGTTGAAGAGACTGGGATGTGTTCAGCTGGATGGATCATTTAGCTTGAGTGGACTGCAAACTTCTCCTTATTTCTTAGGGATAGAAATGAATTTGATTGGTACCATGGGGATATTCCTTGAGATTTAACAACAATCTACCACTTAGTGATTGATACTTCATATTACCAGTAGTAACAGCATTTAGTTATTCACTATTAGAATTACAGCACAGCTGATGTGGTTGTGTTATGAATAAACATTTTATATACGAAAAATGTTATAAGAATATTGAATTAAAATACATTTTAATACTTAATAAAACTAAAACTTTTCAAAATGATCTCAAAACAATTAAGGGTGACTTATATACAGAAATCTAAATTATATACTGGAAACTCAATTAGTTCAACATACAGGGGAAAAACTTGTAAGAGACACAGAACCTTGATCAATTCCTAAGACTAAATGTTGTATGGTCACTGCATTGTTATCTCCTCAGTGTTACACCACTTCAGGGCTGGAGCTGACCCGCATCACTGTGATAAACTGGAATTTGGAGCGAGTCTATGACACATTTGTCATTCCAGAAAGAACCATTGTTGATTACAATACAAGGTAAACATCAGGTCCTGATTGTTGGGAGTCCAATTAGCAATCAGGGTTTCTTTATTCCTTCGTTCAAAAGCCTTTTTCTAATAATTTCCTAACTTCTTTGTAAGGCATCCAATAATCAAATTGTAAACAAAAGGAATAGTATTGAACTTTCTCCCAAAGCTTTCAATTCAGCTCAGGATCCTGAGCCCCTTCTCCCCTTTCAATGTTGAACAATTGCAGAAAACCAAAGACCAATGTTTTGTGGACTTTGGATAATGGGTGAATTAGTAAGGGCACTGGGGCTGAAATTGGTTTGCTACTCAAGAATACTTTGATCTCAGTGGCAAGATTTAAACTGTTTTGATGCAGTTTAAAGCTAGCTTAGCTGAATCTTTTACTCCCACTTGCCTTCCTATGTGCAAATCCTCAAGGATGAAGGGTTAAACAAAGTATTTTTTTTTTAGATTCAGTGGAGTGACTGAAGAGTCACTGCATGGTGTGACAACAACAATTCATGAAGTGCAAGCTGTATTGCTGAGTATGATTCACAAAGACACTATACTAGTGGGACACAGCTTGGAAAGTGACCTCAAAGCAACAAAGGTAAGTTTCCAGGGTACAATATAAACAGAAATAAAAAGGATGAAGAGCAGCATTGTTCATTCATGTTAACCTGGAGTTTTACCCTAGCTTAGGGTTTCAGTAGGATTTCAAGAAGGCCCCCTGGGAACTTCCTATGGAGCTCTAATAAATGCTACAGAATGTGATGTGCTGTATCTAGGTGCATCACCAAGGTATCAGTTAAGTTGTCTTTCCTTTTAGGCAATTGAAAATTGCAGAGACAAAGTCTTATTTAAACCCACTCTTCTTTTAATTCTCGGATCAGACTAGTATGTAAAAATTTTAAACTCTCTTTTCCACAAGAATCTTGCTTAATTAACCTCCCTGTTGTTCTCTGCAAGCAAAGAGGGCATTGTGGCTCAATGATTTGCAAATTAGATGCAGGAAGAGAAAGTCTACATTTCAGTATTTCCTGGGTTGGGTCATCAGGAGGATTCCTGGAACTAGAAACATTTTGTGGCTTGCTGAGTTGCAATAGTTATGCGACTAGACATTTCCAATATTTGCACCAAGTATTAGCATCATTACAGCTTCTTCAGTGATATTTGGTCATTGAGTAAGGTTTATCTCTCCTCAGATAATTCACAATAAAGTGGTTGATACCTCTGTGGTATTTCCCCACCGACTGGGACCTCCTTATAAGAGAGCTCTTCGTAACCTCACGGCTGAACACCTCAAAAAGATTATTCAGGATAGTGGTAAGTTTTGATAATGGTGATGAAAAAATGGTTACAATTTTTTTTGAGGAAACCATGCAAAATGTGCACATCAGTCCATTGTACTACAAATCTTTATTATGACTTATTTGTTTGGATCCCTGAAATTTCTTTAGTTGTGTAATAGTTCATTTTACAGTTTCATGCTGAATTGATTTTGAATAGGAGGGAGGCTAAGGGTGACCTTGTTATCATGCAAACGTTGCTGCTTTTCAAATGTGAATTACTCTGCTATCATGCTAACTAGTTACTGGTCTCTATCATAGCAAGGTCACCTTCAGCCTCACACCCAATCAAAGGCATGACAACTAAGTACACAACTGTAAAATCAGTGATTTGTCTCAGTCTTTAAGTGAAGCAGTTTGGGTAAAAAGTTGTCAAGAATTTGTCTTTCTAATGGGATATTCACATGTTTTCATATTAAGAAACATCAGGTAATTTGACAGGATTTAGAGACCTATTAGGCTTTTTATTTAGTGATGTCAATATTTGGATTCTTGGATCAATAATAGTATCTGAGCAACTGCGTACCTATCCCTCCCCTCCCCTCACCCAAACTTAACCCCAACTGCTTTCAGTTGATTGTTGTTGGGTAAGTGTAAGGGTAGGTGTGTAATTGCTCAGATACTGATTTTGATTTATTCTCCCAGACAATCTCCACAGAAAGTGTGTTACATTAGATTTCTCTTTGCCTTACGCTTTCAGAAGTTTGATAGATATTTAAAAAAATTATTCCCTACTATTCTACTACAGTTGATGGCCATGACAGCTATGAAGATGCATCTGCTTGTTTGGAGCTCATGAGGTGGAAGGTGAAAGAAGACATGAAAAAGACATCAAGACAAAAGTCTCTGCATCAAGCATTTGCAGTTTCATAGCAACACTTCAACATTTCACACAGCAATAGGCAGTTAGCAGGCACTTTTTGCTAAAAGATTCGACTTAGTTTCTTAGTAAGTCTCTTAAATTAAGAAGTTTTGTTCATCTGTTCTGTTAACAGGGGAGCTGACAGTGAAATTGCAAACTGTAATAGTTAGATTTAGAATTGTGACAGTCACCCCTTTGGGTGCGTTGCTTGGGTTTTGCCACAGGTAGTTAGTGTAAGAGTTGAAACTTATTTAGTTGGTACTGTCATCTTTCAGGTTTAGGTGAAACTTCACATGGAGCTGTCTGTGAAGTCTATATGGAAGAGGGGGGGGGGCAGTTAATGAGAAAGATTTCACTTTGATATGTTTATTCATTCAGTATCTTACATGTGACCTCAGTAATTAACACTTGTCATTTCTGAACCACTGAAAATATATCCAACAGTTGAATCATGAAATAAGGAGAAAATGAATCATAGGTATAAAGTCAAACAGACATGAATGAAGATTTAGTGTTGGTACAATATTTTATTTGGTTTAAATATCAGATTCCAAATTCCCAGGTGGCTTTAAAACCCTAAAGGAGAAAATACACCAAATGATAATCATGTTCTTTTGCAGTTATTTATTACAATAAAATATTTTTTTTAGACAAAAAGTTCAGGAACTTCCTGACAGAGAGACTTACTGGCAACTTCTCCAAATCAATCCAAAATGAATAAAATAATTGTTACTATTTCAGATTTACAAACACAGGTGATAGTATATGCAGATAATTTGGTTTCATCAAGTGAGTTGATGATTTAAATTGGCCTAAATAACAAGTTTTTAAAGCTGACATTTCAAGTGTTAGCTCCTCTTCAGAGCAAATGATGAAGGGTTATCACTTTAACAAAGGGCCAATGCTTGAAATGTCAGCTAGAGAAACTCTTTGGGGTGGCTAATTCCCTTAATCAATTCAGTTGATAAAATTGACACAACACCACAGTTTCTTTAGAAACTTACCCTCTTTACTCATCTGTCAAAATATTCATTTGGGTTATGGAAAGAGTTCTATATAGTCTAATATGTATGTTATTAATATCAATTACTATTTATACATTTGTTATTGCTTCATTTAACCCTTTAGTGCCCAATAGTGACCAAGACAGAGTTTCTCCTTACACTATTAGTACAATATCAAACAGACAAGACAACAAGACGAGAATAAAGAAAATATCAATAATGGGATTATTGGTTGATCCAAATCTAAATTCTCCAAATTAACATCACATAAATTGTATGGCAGACAGTAAGGAGAATTGCTAATGGAATCTTGGGAGTTAAAGGGTTAAGTAAATTTAACTCAAATTGGAAGCATTTTTGTTTTGTTGTTACACCTTGTGTAAGAATATAAAAAGACATAACCTATTTATCATGAAATAAAAGTTTTAATACATCACTGAATGAAATCACCTCAATCCATAAACAAATATGACATATTACTATACCAAACCCACAGTATTTCTTTGTTTGTTATTATTATTATTATTATTATTATTATTATTATTATTATTATTAAACGTTTTGTTACAGCAAAAAGCCACTGAAAATCCCATTCAATCTAATTATTTCCTTGTACAAGTGTAAACTTACTTAGTTGACAACAGTATTTAACATCATGGATATGTTATTTACTGGGAAGAATAATCATATGAGAAAACTATACCAGAGATTTTCAGCCAAGGCTGAAGACTAAAGGCACCATTCTTCACGCGGACAGACCTTAAAACCGCAAAATACCTTTATTTTTTTTTCCTGCTGGTTTGCTTTTTTCTATTTTGCAACAAATAACACTGAAAAAAAATCATGATTGTGATCTGTATTGCAAAAACCTAGATCAGTTATGAGCACAGGATTAGCCAATAGGATTCAAGGATTCAAGATTCTGGCCCACTGACAGAGATGCTTCAGAAAACAAAAAAATAATACTCTATCTTACAAAGCCTGTCCTAAGACAATTTCTTAATGGTTAGTTTACCAAAAGGGTGTGCTCATCACCTTCAGAACATAATTACCTTTGCTGTTTTCAAATTTCATCATGGGTTGTATTTTGTTTCCCTACAAGCAAGAATCTGGCACCTGCAGAGAAAGTTTTCACATTATGCATTCAGTAATAAACTTAGATTTTTAGTAAAGTTTAATATAATTTGTGCCCAACTGGAGAGCATTAATCAAATAAAACACAGTCTGTGACTGAATGTACCTACAGCTGTATAGTTGTAGTGTATAATTTGCAGCAAAACTGCAAAGTGGTGTAAAAATGAACAACTCCTGTGGATGCCAAAATCGAGAAAAAAGGAACAGAGTTGTACACTGGTTAATTGACAGGCCAGGGACAGGGCAAGAAATTTTAAAACACAAATAGAATAGGTACATGAATTGAAAGTGCATCAAATGTAATTTTATACAAAACATCGCTACTCCTGGCGCTCTATGTACCTAACACAATGGTTATATCTACTCCTTTTGTTTTATCTTTCTTTTTCCTTTTATTTTCCATTCTTCCTCAGAAGATATGTTAGGGATGTTCAGAGTCAAACACATGTGATAATGTTTGACAATGTAAGCTTTTACGTTCACATGGAGAACAAGAGACATTACAAGTGTCTCGCAATAGTGGACTATCTTCATTTGATAATGTGATAGGTTTGGGGAAGGGTTCATGGATTTACACGCTCAAACACATGGCTCATCCAGCACATCTTGCAATTGTGTACAACTTTTGTGTGTGAAACAAAAGCCAAAACTATGAATTATCACATTTTAGATATTAGATATATTACATGTATTTATAGAAATTAGTGACAAAGGTACATTACATTTAGTAGCAGTAATAATTTCCCATAAAATTGAGTTTTAGTCACCCTCAAATAATATTGCATAGGACTGGTTGTTCTCACTATTAGGTAAGCCTTCCAAGATTTGATTCACAATTTTCCTTTTCAGGCTACTATATATTTCCTTGTGAATCATTTAAGAGAATTTGGTGTTAGATTCAGATAATGCCTTCTGACTAATAAGCTTGTCTATTCTTATCAGCTGTTTGTTGCATTTTGTATCGATGTTGTTAGGAGAAGGTACAAGTCAATCATTTCTTAGAATGGGCTTGGAACTGCTTAGTTCCATGCTCAGGGCTATAAAATTGTTACTCCATGGATTTCTTTTTGGTTGCTGCTAGGTTAAAAGTGGTGGTTGCACACCAAAGATAGTCAGCTAGTTTGTGCAAATAGCTTGTTGGGATTTTAATTGAGTTATGTTTACAATTTGGAATTTTTATACCACTCTTTGTTTACATTGGCACTGAAAAGCTCCAGTGCATGGGGTAGATGTCAAATAATTCTTTCCAGTCATAAACACTGTATTGCGCTCCAATCTTTAATTAATTTTAAATTTATCTCATTATTTTGCACAAGTCCATTCAATTTACCGCTTGTTTGAGGGCCTGGTCCAAGTCATCAATCAAATCCTGAGTATCTTCAAGTCCCACTGATAAACGAATCTAGGGAATTATAACAGATTCTATCATGAATATTGTAAGAGCAACTTCATACTCTATGTCTTTAAAGATTTTGAGTAAACAAGACTGCCAGCTGTCTCAAACTATTGATAAAATGAAACATGTTATCAGTGTTTTCCTTGGGACCAGACTTGTTGTTTCAAATTCAATTCTCTTGTCAGCCAAAGCTTGGTCCAAAACAAGATAAAAAGAGACTGCCAGCTGAGTCTCAGATTCATAAACAAAATAACTATTGCTGTCCATGCTGACTATGAGTGATATCATACTCACCAGTGTATCTGATATTCCTAATACTTCCCTTTGATCTGCAGGAACTGATGCATGGGTCATTATTGCCCTGAAAATAAACCAACAAAAGATCCCTGATTTTAATGAACTTTTCTTTCCATTCCCAAGTCAATATCTTTTCAGCCAATCATTCTAACAGTCTTGGCTAGTTGTTTTAAGTATATGCAGAACTTACGGTAGTTCTGTCAGGCTTTCAAAACCACCAAGACTCTCGGCAAGTGTAAATAACTGAAAGAAAAGGATAAACAAAGACTCATGGCATTTAGTGACATGAGACATAAAAAAATCATACTTGTAAGACAAATGGGTTTCCTTTTGGATTTCCTGAATGCCACAGGAATTCCAACCTTAAGCCTATTTGAAAATAGCATTAACTTTATGTAAACATTATTAAATAAATATCAATAGTCACCTTAGATGATTTGAAAAACTTTCTGGAATTCTTCAAATTCCCTTTGATGAAAAAAGTCACCATACCACCAAAGCCTGTCATCTGTTTTTTAGCAAGTTCATGCTGTGGGTATGATTCCAGACCTGAAAAAAAGTTTTACATCAATGATGCTATACCATGTAAATATATCTACCTCGTCAATAGTTTTTGAGCAGGTCTGTTTAACCCTTTAATTCCAAAAGAGACTAGCATCTAATTTCTCCTTACAATGTCATCCCCAGAATCAAACATTAAGGGCATGAGAATACAGGAAATGATCATCAACCAAAGAAGCTCTTGTTTGTTATACAAATTCTCCTTATCAGCACCTTAGGAAATACTTAGAAAACAGTATGGAGAATCTACATATTGATTTTAGGGTGTAGAGGGTTAAATAAGAGATATGCTATCTCTTCACACATGTTTCCATATGCCTTTCAATTAGTTCTCCAAACCTACCTTTGAAAAATTTGCATTCACTATAGAACTTATTAGCAATTTGTGACCAAACTAACATACAATTTCTAACTGCCAGTGTGTTACTTCATTGCAGCTGACCTCTTCATAGAAAATACCACCGCAACTCTCCCCTCCCTAACATACCTGGATACATAACTTTCTCTACCCTGGGGTTTCCTTCCAGAAATTTTGCAACAGCTGTAGCATTAATTTCATGTTGACGCATTCTCAAGTGAAGAGTTTTAAGACCACGATTGGCAAGGTAACAGTCAAAAGGACTAGGCACTGGACCAATAGCTAACAAAATAAAAAAGAAGAGTTTATAGATTGATTAATTTGTAAACTTTGCTAAATCTTAAAGGTTTGAAGAGAACTTTTTTCAGTACAGAGACAATTACCTATTTACTTACCATTTTGAAGGAATCTCAGCCTGTTGCAGATTTCATCATCATTTGTGCACATAACTCCCATCACTGTGTCAGAATGACCTGCAGTTGTCAGTAATAATTCTATCAAGCAAGTGCATGGGGTATTCACAACTTTCATAAAACTATTTTATTGTCCGCTGGTATGATCTATCAAGCTATTCCTGACATGGTAGGCTTGGCTATAATATACTGTATTCACCCAGCTAGTGCTTCCCAGAGTTAAAAAGCACCTTAATTTCTTCTTTATCAGAAACAACAATAAAGAAAAATGGTAGAGCAAAAAGAAGGAGTGAGGGGTTATGGAGATATTGGTCAGGGCTGTTTTGCAAAAAGGGAACAATTGTGAAAGTTAGAATCTTCCAATTTGTGGACCTAATTTGTATTTAGCCCCTCCCCAAATGTAAGAAAACTTAATTATTTATTAAAAATCAAAGTGAGGTATCCTACTTAGCCAGAGTTATCACACTCAGACAGCTCAGCAATGGCTTATAATTTCAAAAGAGAAATTATCAAAATGAAACCCTCATGTAAAAGCTCCATACCATTCATGTACTTTGTCACTGAGTGCATGACAACATCAGCCCCAAGAGACAATGGGCGCTGCAAAGGAATATTTCACAAATTTTAATTTAAGATAAGTCTGTTTTATTCACTGTGAAAAGGTCCCAAGATAACACCAAAAGGTATTCCCTTATAGTTTGTACTAATCTCTTAACTGGTACTTGGTAATCCTGTTTTAAATCTTGTTATACATTCAAGTAACTATCTCTTTTCTAATATGCTGAAATTGTACAGTGAATTTACCAAATCAGCACCTGGGATGTTATCTAGCTTCATATAATACAATAATCATGTGGATCAATATCAGTATCTGGGCAACTGCCCACCTACCCCTCCCCTAACCCAACAACAGTCAATCAATAACAAGTTAGGGTTAATGTTGGGTTAGGGGAGGGGTACGTGGGCAGTTGCCCAGATATTGATATTGATCCAATCGTGTCAAGGTCATTCAAGGTCGCAGGGATATCTTGTCATGTATGACTGCAGCGCATGATTTCTAAGGGTAATCATGTCAAGTTTGCAAGCTTTGTGTTGCTTGCCATTGGTGAAGAGGCAAAAACATTTTTTTTGTTCAATATATAATAAAATAATTCTTAGATTTGGTTTTAGTGATATCCAGAAAAATCAAGGTCTTGGTAAGGGTTATCTACTGAAGCCGAAGGCTTCAGTAGATAACCCTCACTGAGACCTTGATTATTCTGGATATCACAAAAACCTCATCCAATAATTGTTTATTGTCAGTTATTTAGTATGTATTTTAAGTCACTGTACTCATTACAGTCCTACCGCTTGACAAACACTTTCACTGACCACCTATGCCCATGCCTTTCTGGCCTTTTTATAAATTTATCCCTAAAAAATTAAAAGAAATCTATATATCCTAAGGTAATTAACAGGTAGAAATATGGTGCCACTCAAATACCTGAAAATATGATGACATGAAAGTATTATCCACCACTAAAATAACTCCCTGTCAGATAAAAGATTATGAATATGAGATAATGTTAGTATTGAGAAACGTCTGCATCCAGTATGTGGATAGACACTCAAGCCACATAGCTAAGGCCAGAAAAACTCTGAGTTTGTTTCTTAGAGGTCTGTGCATAAAGTTAACTGCTTCCAATACAAGTTCTTGAGAGTCATTTTTTTTCCCTGCATTCATTGCACCCATTCAAACAAGTTTTCATTTGTTTGACTAGTTGGGGGAACCGATTTAAAAAAAAAGTGTAGTGCAGGTGCAGAGATTGACAGAAAATTATTCACACCACATCAACCCTTTCACTCCCAAGATCTAATTAGTAATTCTCCTTACTATCTGCCATACAATTCTTATGATGTTAGTTCAGAGAATTTGGTATTGGATCAACTAACAATCCCATGATTGATATTCTTCTCTATTCTCATCACCTGCCTGCTTGATATTGTATTGACACTGTAAAGAGAAATTCTGTCTTGGTCACTTGTTGGAGTGAAAGGGTTAAAGCAAATTGTTGCTTTGACCTAAACCTTTAATGTCTTGCAGCAACCTGTTGCCATTTGTTAACAAATGTACCTCACGTTGATGAACAACCTCAGCAGCGCCTTGGATGTCCACAAGTTTCAGTAGAGGGTTGGTTGGAGTCTCAATCCATACCATCTAAATTGAATTAATGGTAATAAAATTTAATTTATTCCTCAAATCTAAAAAAGCATAGTATGTATATTAAAGTATATATTTTTACACCTTGGAAGGGTGTGGTGCCTTAATTTAGCTCTTCCAAAAATGTCCGCAAAAATTGAAAGAATTATTGATAGGTGAAGAGGAGATTTCTCTATCCCCTTTTTCATTAGTTTCATTATTCTCCCCATTTAAACTTAACTGATTACTATTTAATTTAGGCCAAAAATTGATAGATAACACATTTAAAGATGAAGTAATTTTAATAATTCCTCTTCTTAATGCTCAATCCTCAAAAAATTATTTAGCAAAATATTTTTTTGAGATTACTCAGAAGCAAACTGCATTCTTTTGCATGAAAACTTCTGGCTTACCCTCAATGTATGAGACTTCTGAACTATCATACTAATATTCATCAGTAATGTGTAGCATGTAATTATAATAGTTTGCTGAAAAAGCACCACTGAAAATTTTTTTCACCTTAGTTTTAGGTTTAATGGCAGCTTTCAGTTTACTCAAATCACTTGCATCCACCATTGATATTTCTATTCCCATATTTGCTGCAGCCACTTTTGAGAAGTACCTATTGGTACCTGTCAGTACAAAAAAAATCAGATAAAATGTTTGGTATAAAAAAGCTGTGTATTATAGAAGTTGGGTCCACACTAGACCTGGAAGTCAAAACAAGCACTTGACAGCTGTCTGTACTTGTTTTTAGACACAAATTTGTGGTTTGCCTCTATAAACTTTTCAACTCCTGTGATTTATAATGTTGATGTGATGTTGATGTTGCTTACTCTGACAGCAAACTTAGCGCTTTCAATAATTTTGGGCCTTTCACATATAATAATTTTAATGCATTACTTCCTTTCTTTCTTTTTGGTATAATGGTTTGTTGTATACTGTAATAAAAATACACCATGCAACTAAAATACATCATGTAAAGAACTCTCTTAATGACATGTTGCAAACTTGGGATCTGCATACTTTACTTATTATAAGAAATAGTTTTGTGTATGTCTTCTGTGTTTATTCACTTACAGCTTATTCAGTAACTTTTGTATATCTCTCTTGTACTTTTATAATTAGGAATCAGGTTATTAAAACCTTAAATCATCAATGGTAAAACATTGTCTCTACTTTACAACATGGTTTTCCCATGCTTAAGCCTTTACAACCTAATATCAGTATGCATGTTCTTGTGTTGTGATTCCTGAAAACAGTTGTCTGATGGTAAAACAATTATTGAGTATCGTAATCTTGAAATATTGTGAATTGTCGGTGTGTTATCAAACAATTATTTTTCCCAGTCAAAAGCAAATGATTTATCAGCTCCCCATTGCCAAATCTCAAGATTTTGCTTGACACTATCCAATAATTATTAAATATCATATAAATATTATTCAATCACTGCATACCTCCATATACATCATCCACGCAAACAATGTGTTCCCCACTCTTAAGTAAGTGGGTCAATAACATTGTGGCTGACAGACCAGAAGAGGTAGCCAAGCCTAAGGATGTGTCGAAATAGAGAGGTCGTGCCATTAGTAATTATTAATATCAACTTGCACATTTCATAATAATTTTTTAACGCATACTGGTACTTCTAGTCAGTTCTCATTATTCCTTCTCCCCTCTATACTCCCCTAAGTCTGACTATTTCTAGTTGTGGAATTACCAGACAACGAAAGTTCTTATAAATAAGCCAAAGTCTGTATTGTTCACATGTAGACTCGACTGCGTAAGTAACATTCATCAGTAGGACATGTTCAGGAAATGTCTTGTTACCCACCCCTAGGATATTCATCAGAAACACCAGGTGGGTTGGGGGGGGGGAGTCTGAAAGCTTGCCAGAATCATCAAATCCCAAAAAAGAAACGTGATGTGTTTATTGAAGAAAGAGGTCAGAGAGCATAACAAAGGTATTATAGAGTTTTCACAATTGAGGTTATTTGTTAGGGTTTTCTGATCTCTGCTCTTTTATGAAAACGATTGGGATTGCCATCAACCTTTTTCATACCCCGGCCAAGATTTCTCATAAAGCAATTCCCACTAACCCTGGGGCAAGAAACATGTTTGTTCATTTTCCATTAGAAGAAATCACCTTGAAAACCAGTTTGACAAAATATTTCCAGCAATTATTTCTGTTTTCTTCAAAGTTTATAATGTGGACTAATCGTGATGTCCTTATAAGTAACCAAAACAAAAATTTTATCCACGTGTGGGGTTCACGTGGAGGATAAAGGCTATATTTCCTTACCATGCTTGGCACCCTCCAAAGCCGCCACGCAAGCCTCAAAGCAGTTCCTGGTAGGGTTCCCCGATCGCGAGTATTCGAACCCCTAGAAGAAGCAGAAAGATCAGAGGTACAGCAGCGTTGATCGTTGCAAATTTTTCACGTAAGATGACGAGAAACTCACACGATGAACTCCTGGGTCATCCTGTTTAAATGTTGTAGCCATAGAAATCGGCGGCACAACTGCCCTAGAATTCCACTGTTCGGGTTCTTGGCCAGCATGGATCGCCAAAGTTCCGAAATGCGGAAAGGGTTTGAGATTCTTTTGTTCGGCTTCGTTCGCCATCTTGGAAGAAGAGGAGAGGGTAGACCGGGGCACAAAGTGACGTAATACTCTAAACAACAACAACCTGCTTCGTTGCACAATCATCATGGCATTTGCGGCTCAAGATATGCATTGATCTCCCCAAAATTACTTAAATGGACAAACATACTGGCTCTCTAAAAGAAAACAAACGGGCTCCATGCTAAAACAAGTAGATTATTCTCAAAAAGAAAGGCTTCAAGCTCGATGTAACCGTCCCCTCCCCATAACACACCCCAACAGTTTTTAGCCGCGCACGCCGCCGGCTCCAGAGCCCCATCGGATTTAAATATGGCGGCCTCTTAGTAGCACACTAGCGGCCAGGCCGGAGAGGGATGTGAACACATTACTATACTAAAATGGTTTGGTAAAATGGCCAAAATTGGTATTTATTACCATACGTGGTAGGTAATTTTACAGCGTGTTTTAACCAAGAGTTTCATTCAACTACATATATCTAACCCAAGGTATCTTTCTGGACTGGAATGTCAGAAATGGTATGGTACTGTGTGTGAACTAACTTTGTAGGTATAATTTTAAATAGTTTGCCTGAGTATGTCAGGATAGCTGAGTGAGGCTGACAATTTACAATGTTCTGCCTTTTTTTTTATCTTAAACAAGGTCATAACATGAAGCAATTTTGTCTTCATTCTTTAACTCCCAAGATCTGTTTGCTAATTCTCCTCTCTAGTTTCTAGACGTTTCCTTGTACATTTGTTTTAGGAATTTGTTGTTAGATCAAGATAACGACCTACTCTTTTGTTGGATACTGTATAAATAGTTTAGGGAGAAGTTACATGTAAATCACATCACATGGGAGTTTAAGGGTTAAACAGCGTGATGTGATACACTGCTACCTAAATTTCACTGAAGTTCGAAATATCCAGGACTTGTGCATTCCCCACAAATTTGTTCAAACTGCAGCTTACTAATTCTGCAGAGCAGTTGCAATATGCAACTCTAATGCTTATTTCACAAATTATTTTGACAAGAATTAGTTAATCTTTCATTTACTCAGACTGAAGGGAAAATGAAATTGTTCATCAACTTGAAAGGTGATTGATAAAGAAACCTTGAGACTTCACCTTACCCAGACTGTTTTTTCCACAAGCCTGGTGTAACCAACATGCCAGCAATAAATTTTAGATGAGTTTAATTTCCTGATGACTGGACTGAACTCTTCTTTCTACATGCCATTGCCAGTGGTTTCTAAGTAAAGTATTACAAACATAATACATCAAGAATGGAATGACGAATTACGAGATTGGAAATTACATAGGAAATACAAATAACATGAAATATGTATAACATAGACAATACTAATAATATAGGAAACATGGGTCACTTGACAAAAGAGCAATTTACCTGACAATTCTGGAATATGGCTGGCATAACAATGTACTTGCAATTACCTTTTAACTAAAGCTCACACCTTTTTTATTTGCATGATCTGTGGGAAAGTCAAACTTATATGGCTAGTTGCATGGACTGGGGCTTTAAGGGGGTTGGTTTCTACATCTGGTGTCTTCTCTTGATTTTCTGAGCCAGAAGAAAGGAAAATGAAGATTATCAGAATTAAAGCTGGTTTAGAAAATCTGCAGATCCAGTTTACAGGAAAAAATTGTAAAATGCATGCTTTGATAGACCCTTTTTCTCCCAAGATCTCAATAGTAATTCTCCTTACTGTCTGCTATACAATTCTTGTAATGTTAGTTTGGAGAATTTGGTCTTGGATCAACTAATAATCCCCTGATTGACATTTGTATTTATTCTCATCACTAGTCTGCATGATATTGTATTTATATTGTAAGGAGAAGTTCTGTCTTGGTCACTTATGGGAGTTAAAAGGTTAAACAAAAAAATGTATTTTATCCTTTTACTATCAGTTGATGTTCAAATGTTGGTTCAATGTCAGTGTCTGAGAAACTGCACAACTACCCCTCCCTTAATACAACATTAATCCTTAGTTGTAAGCAGTTGACAGTTGTTGGGTTAGGGGGAGGGGTAGGTGTGCAGATGCTGACATTGATCTGAAAATAATGTTTATGATGTATCTATAGAGTTTTTGACTTTTTTGCTATTTATAACTTTTCAGTTTGGACAGTATCAAGAGGCCTTCAAGGGAAGAATTAATTATTTGTCTGCTCATCTTGAATTATGCATGCACTTGGTAATTTAATTTTTAGGAAGCAGAAAACTGTTTGGATGGACTGACATTTGTTATTACAGGAATCTTGAAGAGTATTGAGAGAGAGGAGGCAGCAAATTTGATTCAAAGATATGGTGGAAAAGTTACCCACTCAGTGAGCAAGAAAAAGAGTTATATTGTCATGGGATGGGATCCTGGGGAGAGTAAACTTTCTGGATCCAAGGCATATTGTAATGTACAGCTCAAAAGAGCGAAAAAAAAGAACTCTGAACATAAACATATAAGCTGCACCTTTTTCCCTAAATTTTTATAACAAATCCAGGTGCAGCTTACAGCTAAAACACCTGGGAAACTTACCTATAGCAAACTAACAAGAACTGAAAAATTTACCTTGGTAGAAATTTATCATTTTCTTTTTGTTGTTGGCTTCTAAAAGAGTTTTTTTTCCATGAGCGTAACCTTATATTTCTTGCTGTGGAGTTCATCTAATGTTTCTTGGTTAAGAAACCTTTTTAACTGGTTAAAGGTCATCTTTCCTTCCTTGAATAGCTAAACATTACTTGGCAAGAAACCTATGGTTTCTTTGTTGTTGTTGTTGTAGTCGTTGTTGTTTCTTTTTTTTACTTTGGTGCTTATCTGTTAGGTTAAGCAATGTGGAACATCACAAATAGATGAAGATGGTCTGTTTGAGCTTGTCAGAACAAAACCAGGCAATGAGACCAGCTAATGAACCACCAAGTGTGGAGAAGAAGACAAAGAAGAAGGAGAAAACTGAACCAATGGAGTCCCTCAGCCAGGGAAAGGATCAGTTTGAAGGTGATTTGTCACAACTGGGTGAAAGATCTGTGTCATCTCTAACAACACAAACACCATCATCATCACCTGCACTGAAAGCTGGGTGTTTCAAACCTTTCCAACAATTAGCACAAGAGCATGACTTCACTGAAAATTTAATTCACACTTCAGCTGTATGCCTTAAATTATTTCCTCACCAGTAAGCATCCTACATGTATTGTGCGATGATTACACTTAGTGAATATAATTTCTTTTGTGTGCATCTAGGTACTGTACATGACTTTGTATTAAAATTACTGATAACATAAAAATACATGCATATGTATGTGATATACATGTACCAGTAAAATGTCATAAGTGCCATAGGCTAGTGTGTAACTGATAACATAATTTGTTCATCCTCGTTTCCCTTCTTCCATCTACTTAATTTACAGTGTCATTCAGATTGTCTGTCTGTCTGCTCTTTTGTGTACATTCATTCTTCCATTTATTGTCCTTCTATCTGTCACTTATTCTCTTTGTTCTCCTCTCTCCAGTCACCCACACGTCAGTTTTACCACCACTCTTAATTCCACCTTTAGGTTCATCTGTTGGATCATTTAACTGTACTTCCATCTGTAGACTTGTTTGTGTTACTTAAATTGAGTTACAAGAAAGTACAGTTTTTTTGTTGCTTTATTTTTTTAATCTACATAAGATTTTGACAGCAAAGGTAATTTTTTTTGTGTGTGTTCAGGATAACCAAATCTGTTATGGGTAGACAAATATCAACCTCATGCAGTGAAGCAGATTATTGGTCAGTAGGGTGATAAGAGCTCAATGAGAAAGCTGATGAACTGGCTGAGAGACTGGGAAAAGAATAGAAAGAAACCAGCCTCTAAATGTGAGTACACATGTATCTGATTGTCAAGATGCCTTTCCCTTAAATACATGTACATGTAACTTCTCTTCAGGCAAGTATACAAACAGATCAGGAAAACTGATGCAGAAAGCAGATGAAAAAGTTTGGGTTGTAACCAGATAGGGGAACCATTCTAGTGGGAGAGTAGCAATTCTCCTAGTCACCTGATGCTACTGAAATTAATTTAAGCTTTGGCAAGATTAGTCCTCTGGCTCTTGTGCTGACTTTACCTTTGACTCTTTAACTCCCATAAGAGACCAAGACAGGATTTCTCCTTACAATATCAATACAATATTGAGCAGGCAAGTTATGAGAATTTAAAAAAAAAAATTAATTAGGGGATTATTAGTTGATACAATACCAAATTATCCAAATCATAAGAATTTGATGGCAGACAGTAAGAAGTAATAGTGAGCTCTTTGGAGTAAAAGGGTTTAGTGCATGAACCTAACCTTAATCTACAGATATTTTACAGAAGACCTTAAATTGAGTTGTGATACAAATGTTGTCTAGCTGTAAGCTGAATACCTTTCACACCGAATCCAGATTGTTTCTCAATTCCCACATTCAGAGATACATTTTTTTAAAGAGCTGTAACTTATTAACTTTGGTGAATTTATTTCATTTGACAGTCACTTATACATGTAGTTAGTATGTTAGTAATGGAATCACAATTGTAAGCATTTTTATTCTGTACAGATTCCTTTTTCAACAAAGACCAAGATGGGTCGTCCTTTAAGGCAGCTCTTGTGTCCGGTTTCCCTGGAGTTGGTAAAACCACATCAGCGACACTGGTTTTTGAAGAGCTTGGTTTTACGTACATTGAAATGAATGCCAGTGACACACAGAGCAAAAAGACCTTGGAAGAACACATTTCTCAGTCACTGAACAATTAAACCATGGATGGCCTTCTGACAGGTTGTCAAATTTCTGTAAGATTTGGAATTACTTTATTGATATTATTAAAGATGCTTCATTCATTCTCCTGTCCTACTAAACTGATTTTCCACTGTAGTTTATTTATTATAATCAACTGAGTTGGTAACGTAAATTGACCACCGAAAAGAGTTTTAAAGCTGAGTATAGCACTTCATCTATACATTGCTGCCTACGCCTGGCTTATAAGTTAATATGAAATTCAATCCTTAATGATTATCAATATATGCATTACTTGTACCTGGAAAAGCTCACCTTTCAGTTGGTACTTGAAATCATTAAAATTTACCTGACTTTTCTTTGCCAATGATGATAAGAACTGCCAGGGTTATTTAGCACGTTAGTGAGATCTTTAAAATATTGTGCTAATTGCTAAGCCAAGGAAGGTTTTGTGGTAAATTCAGGACGGTATGAGACTATATCACATGATGAGAGGCTTATACCTTTTATAGTTGATTGAACGAAAATGCCATAGGCTTTGGTACTAAGTAATGAATTGCTTTTTGTACTTTTAAAGCATTGACAACAGATCAAATAAAATATGAAAGTTCGGTGATGTAATATCAAAGTGCTTTTTACATCAATCTGTTTTTTGCTTCTTTTGCATTGTTATTATTATTATTATTATTATTATTATTCTGTTTTGAACATCAACGCCATTTCAGTAATATATTTCAACACAGCTCACAGCTCTCCCCAGTCCTTTCAAGACCTCTCGTATGGCAGTCTAGCGCCCTTCGATCAACCTAAGCAGGCGATGGTTTAACGACCATCACATCAGCAAAAATAAAATTAAATTGAAAAAATAGCATGTTTATGTCATTATGCTATAATCCGGATTAATGAAAATGAAAAGTTAAAAAATGTAATATGAGGCCCTGTCCAAACTTGGCGTATAAATAGTGAAACAGCATAGCTCCAAAATACAATCATGGATCACGAAATAAACAATGATACACCATTTTCTGTTTCGAGCTCGATGAGTTCATATTCAGCTTCTTCAATACTGCTGGTGTGACCAAGTGCACCGTTTTGTTACACACTTGTGGGGCAAATCACATTTTCATAGGAGTTAAGGTGAGGACAGAATAAGTTCATAGCGATCTCATGCAGTGAATGAGATAAACTGGTATTGACTAAAGATACAAATAGAAATAATTTGAGACACGAGACACTAGAATGAAAGAAATGTCGATCTTATTTACTCATCACGAACGCAGGATCGAATCTTAGACCATCAGATTTTACGATCAGAAGTTTTCACATATAGCTATGGATTTCTCGTTAAAGAGCCATGACATACAGTGGATACATAAAGGATCATCCTGCATACTGCCTAGATCACCAATGTCGAAAGTTTCATGTCTTAAAATACATAATGATAGAAAGGAAATTTCAAGCCCTTTCGTGACAGAGGAAAAAATCATTTTTAACCAACGACCGAAAAAAAAAACCCTATCAGTCGGATCAGGTTAAACGACAGATTAAATATCAATGCTGACATGTAAATAAACATACCAGACCTTGAGGTGGCTTATTTATCTTCCCATGAGGAATTCACGAAGCTGCGGCATTTCTGATTCCAGTATCAAGTGCGTCACATATCCGTAGGAACTATTATACAATTATTTATGGCCTCGCTTACTGTATCCAAACTCAGCAGACAATTCTGGAGCTCAAAGAAACAGAGAGCTAGGGCCTCAGATTTCTCCTCCAACCTAAAGACAACTGGTTCAGTAACAATTTATTCATAAAATTCCTGCAAGATACACTGAGGGTTTCTGCACACAGAGATGCATGGAGTACATAGATTTAAAAAATTTCTTTAAGAAGAGTACTTATGGTATTCGCTTTAATTCTTTATAGCACGCGAAACGATTTAAATATGCTTTTCTCTAGATACAACGAGAAGTCAAGTATTTTTCTTGGAAAAGAACTTTATTGGAGTTAAATTTATTGCAAGTACTCTTCAGGTGAGGAAAGCTAATGAAGAAATATGTTGCATATTACAATCGAAAGACATGAAAATTGGAAAAAAAAAATATAAATAATACATATTATTGATGTGATTTCTTTAGCTTTGTATCTCCCTCCGGTGATGAATATGTGCAACTTGTTATTACAAAGTACACGTAGATATCAACGCAACAACCAGCAAAAAAATTAGTGTTCGTTGAGAGCAGAGAAAGTTATCGCTTATAGCGAAATATCTTGGTATAACACTAAATTTTCTTTGCATGTGAGAGAAAGTCAGTGAATGAAAACAACTGAGGGATGGATGCTCATTTCAACTTGTTCGGGACTCGACTACACACGAACAAACCCATCTTGATCTTGTGAATCAGCATCGTTTTCATATAAGGAAGGAACATATTTTATTATTCAAAAACTGATTGTATCGGGATGACATCCAAAGCGCTTCTGAATTTCACTGGACACTTACGCTTTTGACTGCAAAAATATTAAGTGCAGAATTGGCGAGAGTTGTTTACGGTAAAAAAAAGTTCACCGTTATTATATTTAGAAACGTTGTCACGGTGAAAGTGGAAAATGAAAATTTGAGAGAACTGTAACGCTAAAGGGAAGATGACCAAAAACAAATGTTTATCATATAAAATACGCTGATTGGTATCGCCAATCAGCTGCTGGACGTCACCCGCTTTTCGCGCCACTTTATTACGTTCGTGAATGAATGGCAAATTCTCATTCCTTAATAAAGTCGCCTTTCAAGTTGTCTGCAAATGCCTATGGTGTTTATATAATAAACAAAATAATACTTGGCTGCTTGTAGATATGGGATTACTATTGTCATAGAGAGCGCATTGAACGAGGGATATATCGAGTTGATAACTTGAAGAGAAATTGCATTGGTACAATATAACTCACGGTGTGAATTCATCTTTATCGATTCAGTTATGGCAGAATGTAACATTTCCTGCTCTGAAGACAAAAGGGATTTTGCGGATTGCGAGTATTTCGCACTAAAAGAGAAAGAGCTGCATTAAAATACAAACTGAATTAATTAATAGTCGTGCAGAAACATGTAAACAAATAATAACCATAAAAGAATAAAACAAAGAAAAAAACAAGCACAATAACTAAGAGGAACAGTAATTTTGATCGGGAAACTGGGAATTAGACGAGGTTAGATCTTCTAAACTCGTGAATATGTAACCTTCATTTTTTTATCGAAATTGTTGTAAAGCAAAGTATTATTCTTAATATTTTCAGGCATGTACGATTAACAAATGACATCGTTTGGAGAACAGAGGGATTCAGAGGACGACAGTTTAACAGGTACAAACCAATTTTCATTCTGCAACTGATTATAGCTGTAGAGCTCATGTTATTTACAATGAAAGATGGTAATCTTAATTTCCTTGCGGCAGACAACAATTAAGTTTAATTTCAGTCAAATTTTCTCGGGTTATTGTTGTCAGACGTAAAAATATTTCACTTGCGTACAATTACAAATTTCATTGGTTCCTCTCATTTGCCTCGTGGTTAAATAGTTTGAACTAAACTCCTAAAAGTGATATAACGTGTAATTTATCCCTGTAATATCAATACATTATCCAGCAAACAGGTAATAAGAATATTCAAAGTTTTATCAGGTAGAATTCGTTATCTTTGAACTAACACCAAATTTCCGTACCTACTTTGAAAGGAAACATGTAGCAGCTTGAAGAGAAGAATTAACAATTAGATCACAGGAGTTAAAGGTTTAACTGTACATGATAATTATGCGGCAGAAGCGCGTGATGAGCATGTGACAAAGCTAGATAACTTGCTGTACATAATTATAGCTCTCGTCAATATCAAAACCAACTATTATCTCTCGAAAACAAACGAATTTAAGAATATACAAAATGCTTACGTTTCTTTTGATATCGTAACACTAGCGATATATAGTAATAATAACGGTAATATGCTTGTCGGTGAGAAACCAGTATTTTTTCAGTTTCCAAAACGTGACATCTCCACCGCACGCTGTAAGCGTACCATTTGTATCTTCATATATAAAGGTATCGATGTCGTCATGATAGCCGGATTTATCATCATGACAGTTTTACTTTCCATGTAAGCTGTTTTTTTTTTCTATTGTCTTTTTTTTTTCATCTAAAGCTGAATTCAATTCGTTTTAAAGGAAATAGTTCTTGCAATGAGAAATTGTTGTATTGCAATTTCTGAAATTGAAGTGGTTTTCCGGCGAGCTGACTTTCGGCGCAGCGGTCTCTGTATTCGATGCTCCTATATAAAAATTGTATTGGATTCCAATTTTCAATCAATATCTTTTGAACAAAAAGGATGATACATGTCCACTACGTATCTACAAGGTGGTTAGTAGTATCATTTCTGACTGGTTATCTGTCAGAGTTCGGTTTTAGTGGATATACATTTTCGCGCAATGCCGGACTAAATGGGCGCAATGTTTGAGTGTTTACATCGTGCGCTGGAAGATAAAACTGTGAGCTCAGTAAATGCTGATATCGGAGCAGAATCCTGTTCTGTAAGGCAAAACCACCTCAGCAGCTTCACGAAAATTTCCCAATCACTATTATATTGCAGAAGATTCTCTTTTGATCAGCAATTCGTTCACAAATAAATATAAAGTTCTTTTTTGCTTTACGATATCGAAATGTTTTTTTTAGCGTCATTTCGCTTTCAGTCCACTTCCTCCACCAAATGCTCATTTGGCCTGGCAGTGAATTCATTCGATGGCCTACAAGATCAAGCTATACAGGAGTCTGCGTGTTGCGGTTGGCTTTCAATTTGATGTAGATAAAGTTTCTTTATAACAAGAATTTTGATGAAAAGGACACTTTCCAGTGCCATCTTCTCCTGTCCCTCAGAATAATCTCGTATTCAGTGCCTTTTTTGAATTCGAAATGAAAAAATCGGGTCCTTCCCCATAATATTTTGGTAAAGAGCCAGCTACTTCCAGTTATTCACAATTTCCTGGCTCCTTCAAAAAAAAAAAAAAATGAATGGAATATTTTATTTACTAGAACTTATGAATTTGTTAAAGAACCTTTGTCCAGCAATTTTCGATAGCTTTGGGAGAATTTTTACACATGCGCTTTGTAGAAGAACAGAGATCTTACACTCGCTACCACGGGTCGATAAACGTGTTTTGTTACGCAATAGGCTTGCGGGGCGTCGTGACGGTTACGTAGACCTTCGGAAGTGTTTCGGGCTTGAATAAGTTTTGCGAATTCTCTCGGCCCCACACGCGATGAAATGAAGGAATAAGAGAAAGAGTCTTTTATTGCATAACATTTTATCTGTGTTTATCCATGCCTAGTTGTAATTGCACATAGTTGTGATCACTAACAAAGTTGAAATATCTTCTCGGTAATTTCAGCGACAGAGAAAAGTCAAGTTACGTCAAGTGACGCTGAACTGGAGGAAGACGATGACCTTTTAAGAGGTGAGAAAAGATTTTTTGAAAGAAGTCCCCATGAAGTTTTTCACATTTACATCAAAATTTGCGTATGTTCTATGAATAAGTTTTTGAAACAGCAAAAGATTGTTTCTTCAAATTTCAGACTTTGTTATCGGTAAAATGAAAACAAAGGAAAAAAACAAGTTACCCTAAATTAAAGAAGAATGGGCCAAAATTGGCCTACTAGGCTTTGTAAAACTCGGTTTTTCTGAGTTTTAGAAGTGCTTACTTGTAAATCAACACACAATGTTTTGGAGATTAACGGAGGATATTTGCGTAGTAAGAGTATTATCCTTTTGCACTTGAAAATATTGTAAACTTGGTCATTTTTAGTGTGAAAATCATATTCGGCAAGAGAGAGCTGTTGGTATCTGTGGGCGAATACCAATTTTCGAAGTTTTGAAAAATTTGCAAACGGATAACTTTTTGAGGCTGCCAAAAGGAAAGCATTTACGTTAACACATTTTTTCCCCTTATTGCGGTTCAGTACGTGTTTAGCAGAAATTTTACGCAATTTGAGAATTCTACGGAGAAGAGGAAGCATTTTGTCTCGGTCGTATGGCCTGTTTTGGTCCTCTAAATATTTTACGCCCCTTTAGACAGTTAGTCAACACCAGGCCCACGCTGTAAACCACTAGCCAACAAAATGTGGAGCCGCTGACTTTCACAACAGGCAAAATGGTACTTCGCGGGAAAGTGATACTTTCCCAATCAAATTTCTCCAGTTAGCCTCTTCGAGTATGTTCTCAATAGATAATTACATGTATGAGAAAAACCAAGTGATAAAGAGAAAAATACAAAAAAAACCCTTTTTCCAGCGCACTTTTCTGAACGATGGTAAAACCACGAACTCGTCACTCTCAGACTCTCAGTACGATGTTCTTTTTTTTCGTTATCAGAACATTCACAAGTTTTAACCTTTTTCGGTCCTGGCTTTGCTTTACTCTATGCAATAACTTATGTGGTTTTACATTCTAACGTGAAATTTTGAAAAACGTAGCCCATGTGTAAAAGGGTCATTAGAAAGTCTCTCGACCTAAATGTAAACCGATCAGACTTGATGTGGTTATAGCCAAGCTACAGCTAAAACTCCAAATAGCTTGCATATTTTAAAGAAAACAAAATACACAGATAAACTCTCCTGAAGGGCGATTGTAAACAAAGTTGAGTTAAGATAGGATCTTCCGGTGAAACTTGTGATATTTTGGAAAACGTAAGCCAGGTGTAAAAGGAGTTTGGAAAGCCTCTCGACCTAAATGTAAATTGATAAACTTGTGGTAATAGCCAAGCTACAGCCCAGACTCCCAGCAGCTTGCACACAAACAAAATGCACAGATATTAAACTTTTCTGGTTGTTTTTTCTCATAGCTCTAAGCTCCTTTAACTTAAAAGTTCGTTTGGATATATAGAGTTGGCACCATCCGTCAAGGGTCGTATCACTCATTACTAAATCATTAATACTAAAACGTTGTGTTTTTAGAAATAGCGAAAGCTTGTCTCGAGGAAGGTAACAAAGAATACAGACAAGGAGAAGCTAATAACGCGATAAACTCGTACACGGAAGGACTTCAAGTGAACTGCAAAGATAAACGACTGAACGCCAAGCTTTACAGCAACAGGGCAACAGCTCATTTCCGTTTGGGTAACAATTTCATATGTAAACATAAATCTGTCGTGCAGCGTTACAAGATAACGGAATACACAATCCGCATCAAGAAAAGAAAAAATTGAGCAAATGTAGAAAAATAGCATACAAACATAACTCGCCCTGTAGCGGATGAAAATTAAGCGAAGAATGACCCTCGTTACATTTTAAGCAATTGTGATTTTTTTAGGCTTCTTTGTTGCAATTCCATATGATGACCACTTTTTTAAACCTTATTTCCTGAATCTCATAGAAAACTACGTGGAATGTCTCGATGATGCAACAGTTGTCGTTCAGTTGGAACCCACTTTAATCAAGGCTATTAAGAAAGGTGGGTTTTTCAGACAGGAGCCATCAACATTCTATTCTATGATTTCGTCAAAAGAGGATTGTGTGGTTTGTGGCAGGTTACTGCTCCCCAAGTGTCAATTGTATCTGGTGTGTCAATGTCTGTAATGTGGGTAAAAAGCATAAGATAATGTCAATAAGCTCTCAAATACCGCCGCCTGTTTAGTTCACGTTGTAAAGCGCCGGAGGTCGAGGGTTCAAGCCTTAGACCGGACCATCTCCCTTAGTCTTAAACATCTGAAGACAATGTGCTGCCGCCTAAGCTGTGACATCTGCAAATGGTTTAATATTCTTGTCCCGGATAAGAACGGAAAACCGTAAGCCCCGTTTCTTGCATCTTCTCTGTAACTCAAGGAGGCACCTGAAAAATTCCCTTTCAAAAGTTGTAAACTGCTCAATGCAGTCTGCCCGAAAACTTCCTCGAAAAGTGCTGAAAAGCGCATAATAGCACATTTAAATGAAGAATGTGCGAGATAAATTTATTGTTATCATCATCAATTGAAGCTTAATTGGTAGCCGCTTTCCATTAGCTCCTTATTGTTTATTTTCAGTTCTTCTACAAGTTCAATTTCCTTCATTATCAAAATTTTTGTTCCCAGCTAAATGGGAAATTAAGTCCATTTTATCAATACGTTTATACTTTAACAGTGATGAATACTTCGTACCAACAATTATTCTCTCCTTTTCAGGAGCCAGAGCTTGTGTCGAACTTTGCTTGTATAAAGAAGCAAGGAGCTGGTTGCATATGGGATTGGCCGTATCCTTTAACGAACGCTTCAAACGTGATACGAGATGCAATGCGAGTAATATTTCAAGGGAAATCAATACGTTCCGGAGAGATTCTTCAACACATAATGGAAGCAATGTTATCTTATACTGCACTGAGCAGTTTAAAGAAGCTAGAATATTCTTAAAGAGTTCTTTCGACTATTCCACGAAACTTTACTCAAAAGAAGAGGCCATATTAATTAATTCCCGGAATTTGAGCTGAATACCCCTCATTTTTGTCTTCAGACGAGCATCACCATGACGACCGAACCTAAACCAATAAATACGCTTCAGAGCTAGATAAAACTCTCCAATAACTTCAAATCAAATCTCCAAAAAAACCCACGTTCGAATTATATTTCCAGTTTTAAGGTTCTATCTAATACTCTCACTGTTTTTTTAAAAATACACATTTCCATTGCATTTTCGCAAATCTGCTGATTTATCGACCCTTGACACGTTTTAAGATTGAAAATGACGACAAACGTCTGCTTCGATTACTAAGGAAGACTAAAGCTAATCTTATAGTCATAGCAAACAGTTCTTCCAATCTCGGCAACGCTTATCAAGGTCTAGGACAGTTCACAACAGCCATCCAGTACCATCAACGTCATCTAGAAATTGCTAAAGAAGTGGGAGACAAGGCCGGAGAGGGAAGAAGTTATTGCAATCTCGGCAACGCTTATCAAGGTCTAGGACAGTTCAAAACAGCCATCCAGTACCATCAACGTCATCTAGAAATTGCTAAAGAAGTGGGAGACAAGGCCGGAGAGGGAAGAAGTTATTGCAATCTCGGCAACGCTTATCAAGGTCTAGGACAGTTCAAAACAGCCATCCAGTACCATCAACGTGATCTAGAAATTGCTAAAGAAGTGGGAGACAAGGCCGGAGAGGGAATCAGTTATGGCAACCTCGGCAACGCTCATCGCAGCCTAGGACAGTTCAAAACAGCCATCCAGTACCATCAACGTCATCTAGAAATTGCTAAAGAAGTGGGAGACAAGGCCGGAGAGGGAAGCAGTTATGGCAACCTCGGCAACGATCATCTCTGTCTAGGACAGTTCAAAACAGCCATCCAGTACCATCAACGTCATCAAGAAATTGCTAAAGAAGTGGGAGACAAGGCCGGAGAGGGAATCAGTTATGGCAACCTCGGCAACGATTATCAAGGTCTAGGACAGTTCAAAACAGCCATCCAGTACCATCAACGTCATCTAGAAATTGCTAAAGAAGTGGGAGACAAGGCCGGAGAGGGAGGAAGTTATGGCAACCTCGGCAACGCTTATTGCAGTCTAGGACAAATCAAAACAGCCATCCAGTACCATCAACGTTGTCTAGAAATTGCTAAAGAAGTGGGAGACAAGGCCGGAGAGGGAGGAAGTTATGGCAACCTCGGCATTGCTTATAACGGTCTAGGACAGTTCAAAACAGCCATCCAGTATCATCAACGTCATCAAGAAATTGCTAAAGAAGTGGGAGACAAGGCCGGAGAGGGAAGAAGTTATGGCAGCCTCGGCAACGCTTATGACGGTCTAGGACAGTTCAAAACAGCCATCCAGTACCATCAACGTCGTCTAGAAATTGCTAAAGAAGTGGGAGACAAGGCCGGAGAGGGAGGCAGTTATGGCAACCTCGGCAAAGCTTATAACGGTCTAGGACAGTTCAAAACAGCTATCGAGTACCATCAACGTCATCTAGAAATTGCTAAAGAAGTGGGAGACAAGGCCGGAGAGGGAGGCAGTTATGGCAACCTCGGCAACGCTTATCAAGGTCTAGGACAGTTCAAAACAGCTATCGAGTACCATCAACGTCATCAAGAAATTGCTAAAGAAGTGGGATACAAGGCCGGAGAGGGAAGAAGTTATGGCAACCTCGGCAACGCTTATGGTAGTCTAGGACAGTTCAAAACAGCTATCGAGTACCATCAACGTCATCTAGAAATTGCTAAAGAAGTGGGAGACAAGGTCGGAGAGGGAGGAAGTTATGGCAATCTCGGCAACGCTTATGAAGCTCTACGACAGTTCAAAACAGCCATTCAGTACCATCAACGTCATCTAGAAATTGCTAAAGAAGTGGGAGACAGGGCCGGAGAGGGAAGCAGTTATGGAAGTCTCGGCAACGCTTATGAACGTCTACGACAGTTCAAAACAGCAACTGAGTACCATCAACGTCATCTAGAAATTGCTAAAGAAGTGGGAGACAAGGCTGGAGAGGGAAAAAGTTATTGCCTTCTCGGTAGGATTCATCAGGGTCAAAGAGAGTTGAATACAGCTATTGAGTGTTTTCAACGTCACCTAGAAATATCCAAAGAAGTGGGAGATAAGACTGGAGAGGCGTGCTCACTCTGTTCCCTTGGAAGCAGTTTTGAGCGCCAAGGAAATCTTATGATGGCCTTTGATTGTTATTACTCGAGTGTAGAATTGTATGATGATATCAGGGCCAGTCTTCAACTCAACGATCAGTGGAAGATTTGTTATCGTAATCAGCACCAAGGAGCATACAAAGGTTTGTGGTGTACAAATCTCAATCGAGGTCAAGTTGTGAAGGCTCTTCTTGCCGTAGAGAAAGGACGTGCTCAAGCTCTGAGAGATCTCATGGTCACAAAATATCAGCCTGGAGATTCTGTAATGCCCAGCGCATCCCGCACTTCTCTGAGGTGGGTTCCATTGAGCACAGTTTTCATAGCTATTAATGGACCATGCGTTTACTTCTGGGTTTGCCTCAGTGAAAATAATATCCAGATGAGAGAAGTACACGTGAACAAATACAAGTATGAGAATGAATTGAAATTTTTCATCCAGCTACTGAACAAAACTGTTCTTAAGGAGATCAGTAAAAGAGATACTGTTACCATCGAAAATCCTCCGCTTGACTCGTCGATAGACGAGGAGGTGGCCAATGATGTGATCCGCGTTGATGTGAGGCACTCTCAATCGAGTGCTTTAAAGAAGCTGCATGACATCATCGTCACTCCTATTGCTGACCTCATCGAAGGCAACGACGAGATCACAATCGTTCCTGAAGGGCCATTTTGCCTTGTACCTTATGCAGCGTTGCAGGACTCCAACTCATCTTATCTAAGTGATTCTTTCAGAATTCGTGTGCTTCCCTCTCTGACGACCTTGCAACTAATTCATGATTGTCCAGCTGACTTTCACATGAAGACTGGTGCATTGCTTGTCGGCGACCCATGTTTCAAACACATCATCTATGAGGGAAGACGTTTGATGCAACTTCCAGGAGCAAGAAAAGAAGTGGAGATGATCGGACGTATCCTCAATGTCTCCCCTCTCACTGGAGAAATGGCAACAAAAGATGCAGTGTTAAAACGAATATCATCAGTGGCCTTAGTTCACATAGCAGCACACGGTAAAATGGAAACTGGAGAAGTTATTCTGGCACCAAACACCACAGGAGATAACCCTCAGCCGTTAGAGAAAGACTATCTACTGACGATGAAAGATGTCATAGAAGCTGGGTTGCGAGCACGTCTGGTTGTACTTAGCTGCTGTCACACTGCTCGTGGGGAGGTCATGGCCGAGGGTGTGGTCGGCATGGCGCGTGCACTTTTGGGTGCCGGTGCCAGATCTGTTGTGGTAACCTTGTGGGCGATTGGCGACGAGGGAACCCTGGAGTTCATGAGTTTCTTTTACGATGCACTTTCCAAAGGCAAGAAGGCAAGTGAAGCTCTCAATCAGGCCATGAAGTGTACGAGGGAAATTGAAAAGTTCAAAGAGGTGATTTACTGGGCACCATTTGTACTCATTGGTGACGACGTCAACCTGGATTTCAATGAGATTTAGAGGCTGCAGTAAGTATTAATTCTGTTGATAAATTCTATTCAATACAAAGTTTCATTAAATCATAACCTTTGCTCATATGTAAGCAGTGATACGTGCGTGTTATTTTCCTTTCAGTTGGGTTACGAATTTATTTTTCTCTTCGCACACCGAGATGCAGTACAATCAAGTGGACACGTTTACGATAATAATATTCTTTTTTGGAAACACGATAGGAGTAAAATAGAAAATTTCTTTTAAAACAATCCTGTTGTGCAATGTATCGTTTCATGTGCTAAGAAATATTTCCTGGCAACTCAACTATCCTCCCTAAACTTAGATTCTTTTATTTTTCAGTTAAGGCAGTGAGCATTGGAATCCCGGGGAGTTTTCGGATACCTACAAATGCTGATGTTTGGACCAGAAACCAGTAAGCTACCGATGAAAGCTTTGTCAAGAGTCTTCTTTTGAAAGCAGGAAGGAGCAAAAGACGGCCAAAGTCAAGTTTAACAAGAGAACAGATTTCCATTGATTCGGAAAGTTGCCTTTTTGCTTGTTTGAACTGCTTTTACGAGCTTAATCTTTGATATCCTTCTCAAACTACTGTTTGTTTGTTTGTTTGTTTGTTTGTTTTTTTTTTCATATGATGTCTTAAAATTATCATGACTAGCTATGTGAGAAGCTATTCTTGATCTAAGTATTTTCTACTGAGAGGATTTGGGCGTTACATTTACGTCGAAGTTGAAACGTCTTGAAAACGTTTTCCAGAGTTTTTTTACAGAGTTTTTCACAATCGGTTTAGTCTTATGAGTGATATAAAGCTATTACATGCGTGTGTGGAGAATTTCCACAGCAATTGGATAATAATCAGTTGTCCGATTGCTCGATTATCTTAGTCTATGTCAGATAGAAATTGTGATGAACTTTTCGAGGATTTATACTCAGTCATTGGTACTTAAATTCAGTTTCTTCCGATCAGAATTCGGTTTATCTGGACTTAAAATGACAGATTTTGGCCGTAATAGCAAAGATATAGTCTTGATATTAGTTAATTTTCTGAGATTTCTCCTTTAATTTTGAATGCGATAAATTGTGTTATTTTTTACAAGCAGAACGATGCATTTTAAGTAAATTGTTTAAACTAATCGCCCAAAGGCAAAACGAGAAGTTTAATTTTATAATTTTAGTTATGGCTTACAAAGAATTGATGGAAGCTCAGAGCGAGCTGGAAAAATTGGAGCCAAATGATTTATTTAGTTTCTCCGATTAGATTGTTTACTTATTATCTAAGTACAATAAACTAACATTTGAATGTCAAAGAATGAAACAAGTCGCTTGTTATTTTGTTAGAATGAAAGAGGAAATCAATAACAAAGGGAAGAAAATTCCTGCATCAACCTGTGAATAGGTTTACTGAATGAGAGATAAACTTCGATATTTTCTGACTCTATAACTGCTACTATCGATCATTGGCAACCGTTTCTCAGGATGTCACGCGACGCACTTCTTTAGGACGTTATGTGACAGATATGATGTTTTGTCACATCTTTTCGTTTGGAGTAGCGAGCGCACCTATGTCCTAGTCGCTCAACTTTTGCCCATTTTCTTGGATAGAGTTATTAAACGAGATATAAAATTCCGATTTTATATCTGCCAGTTTCATTGACAGCCGTTCCTTAGGATGTCACGCGACGCGTTTTTTTTTGCATGTAAAACGACATGATGTTTAGTCAAGAGGCAAGAAAAAGGAAATAACCTTTCACTTTGGGAGATGGTGCTTTCTTCTGTTTATAGAAAGCGTTCTTATTATGGGAGGTACCCTAGGTCAGTGTGGTTCCCCGTGTGTAGAAAATATTTATGATTTTTTTTCCACGATTGCAAACTTAACTAAAACAGTCTGTTAAAAAAACTGAAACTTTCTTAAAACTGAGGGCTGGCCGATATAAACTTTTTACGGCTAGCGGTAAAAATTGTGGCCATTTTTCTGCTTCGGCTAACCCAGAATAACACTAAATAACACATTGTAGGAGGGAAAGATTTTTATAGTTGATTTTTTCTACAGCTAAGGGTTCAAATTTGTCAATTTTTACGCCTAACAGCTAGTTTTTTGACCGGTTTACGGCTAACGGTTAACCCATGCAGACCCTCGACTGGGTGACATGCAAGATGTGAAATAAAAACTGTTTCAGAAGGTGGTATTTGCAACTCGAATTTAGAGTGCTGGTTTTTGAGGAGTAAGGAAAACCGGGATAAACAAGCTGTGGCAAAATCCTGGAAGTAAGGATCAACCTGAGAGAGACGGGCCTGGGGAGAGCGTTGTCGCTAGGCATTCCTGTTACGTTCAATCTGAGATGCTTAATGAAGTTAACGCGAGATATTCACCGAAGTGAGGGCGAGCAAGGATAAATTTCCTTCCCCCTTTAAAGACCTTGTACCGGATCCAAAAAGTCAGTAAGCCCTTATATTTTGACTTTCCCCAGATCTAAAGAACTGCGACAACGTAATTGTTTCATCAGAACATCTCTACAGACGATAGCATATATTACAATCATTTTTAAAAAAGAGCCATGGGAAGGGGGGAAGGGTGGGTTGAGGTTTCGTGTTTCCCCCTGGTTGGGAGTGTGGACGGCTACGTGCTTAGATACAACACAGGTGTTTACACAAACACGTTTCTGGCCCACACTGTGCAAGATTAAGTTGGTTTCTATTTCATGTAGAGACAAAAAATTGAAGCTTCTCCTTTTCATCAAGGTTCCGACTCCCTTCTCCCCTTTTGGTGTTGTACAATCACAGAAAACAAAAGGCAACATCTTACGGACTTTGGATAATGGGTGAAAATATGGGCACTAGAGCTAAAATTGGGTTGCTACTCAAGAAAACCTTGATCTCAGAGACAAGGTTTAAACTATTTTGATGCAGATTAAAGCTAGCTGAGCTGAATATTTTACTCCCACTTGCATTCCTATGTGCAACCCTGGAGGTGAAAAGTTAAACGGAGAATTGTTTTTTAGATTCAGTGACCGAAGAGTCACTGTATGGTGTGACAACAACAATTCATGAAGTGCAAGCTGTATTGTTGAGTATGATTCACAAAGACACTATACTAGTAGGACACAGCTTGGAAAGTGACCTCAAAGCAACAAAGGTAAGTTTCCAGGGTACAATATAAACAGAAATAAAAACAGTGAAGGGCAGCATTGTTCATCCAAGTTAACCTAGGGTTTCAATAGGATTTCAAGAAGGCCCTTGGGAACTTTGTATGGAGCTCTGATAAATGCTACAGAAAGTCAGAATGTGATGTGCCGTTGCTAGCTATATCAGGTATCAGTTAGGTTGTCTTTCCTTTTAGGCAATTGCAAATTGCAGAGACAAAGTCTTATTTAAACCCACTCTTCTTTTAATTCTTGGATCAGACCAGTATGTAAAAATTTTAAACCCTCTTTTCCACAAGAATCTTGCTTAACCTCCCTGTCATTCCCTGCAAGCAAAGAGGACAATTTGTGTATGGCTCAATGATTTGCATATTAGATGCAGAAAGAGAAAGTCTACATTTCAGCACTGAGTTGGGTCATCAGGAGGAATCCTAGGGGGCAAGAAACATTCTGTGGCTTGCCAAGTTGTAATAGTTATAAGACTAGACATTTCCAATTTTTATACAAAGGATTAGCATCATTCCAGCTTCTTTAGTGATATTTGGTCATTGCTTAAGGTTTCTAAATAAAGTGGTTGATACCTCTGTGGTATTTCCCCACCAACTGGGACCTCCTTACAAGAGAGCTCTTCGTAATCTCATGCCCAAACACCTCAAAAAGATTATTCAGTATAGTGGTAAGTTTTGATAATGGTGATGTAAAAATGGTTACTTTTTTTTTTTTTGAGGAAACCGTGCTCAATGTGCCTTTTAGTCCATTGTACTACAAATTTTATTATGACTTATTCGTTTGGATCCCTGAAATTTCTGTAGTTGTATAATAGTTCATTTTACAGTTTCATGCTTGGTTGATTTGGAACAGGAGGAAGGCTAAGGGTGACCTTGTTACGATGCAAACATTGCTGCTTTTCAATTGTGAATTACTCTGCTATTAAGCTAACTAGATATTGATCTCTATCATAACAAGGTCATCTTCAGCCTCACACCTAATCAAAGGCTTAGCAACTAAGTACACAACTGTAAAATGGCCTACTGGTGATTTGTCTCAGTCCTTAAGTGAAGCAGTTTGTGTAAAAAGTTGTCAAGAATTTGTCTTTCAAACGGGATATTCACTTGTTTTCATATTAAAAAAACAACAGGTACTTTGACAGGATTTAGAACCATATTATGGCTTCTTTACTTGGTGATGTCAATATTTGGATTCTTGGATCAAAATCAGTGTCTGAGCAACTGCGTACCTATCCCTCCCCTCACCCAAACTTAACCCCAACTGTTATCAGTTGACTGTTGTTGGGTCAGGGGAGGGGTAGGTGTGAAGTTGCTCAGAAACTGATTTTGACCCATTCTCCCAGACAGTTTCCACAGAAAGTGTGTTACATTATATTTCTCTTTGCCTTACACTTTTAGAAGTTTGACTGATATTTAAAAAAATTATTCCCTAATATTCTACTACAGTTGATGGCCATGACAGCTATGAAGATGCATCTGCTTGTTTGGAGCTCATGAGGTGGAAGGTGAAAGAAGACATGAAAAAGACATCAAGGCAAAAGTCTCCGCATCAAGCATTTGCAGTTTCATAGCAACACTTCAACATTTCACACAGCAATAGGCAGGTAGCAGGTACTTTTTTCTAAAAGATTATTCATAGTTTTCTTAGTGAGTCTCTTAGGTTAGGAAGTTTTGTTTGTCTGTTCTGTTAACAGAGTAGCTGACAGTGAAATTGCAAACTGGAGTTCTTAGATTTAGAATTGTGACAGGCACCCCTTTGGTGCGTTGCTTGGGTTTTGCCATAGGTAGTTAGTATGTAAGAGTTGAAACTTATTTATTTGGTACAGTCATCTTTCAGGTTTAGGTGAAACTTCACGTGGAGCTGTCTGTAAAGTGTATATGGAAGAGGGGGGGAGGCAGTAAATGAGAAAGATTTCACTTTGATATGTTTATTCATTCAGTATCTTACATGTGACCTCAGTAAGTGACACTTGTCATTTCTGAACCACTGAAAATATATCCAACAGTTAAATCATGAAATAAGGAGAAAATGAATCATAGGTATAAAGTAAAACAGATATGAAAGAAGATTTAGTGTTGGTACAATATTTTATTTAGTTTAAATATCAGATTCCAAATTCCCAGGCGGCTTTAAAAACCTAAAGGAGAAAATACACCAAATAATAATCATGTTGTTTTGCAGTTATTTATTACAATAAAATATTTTTTTAGACAAAAAGTTCAAGAACTTCCTGAAAGAGAGACTCACTGGCAACTTCTTCATATCGATCCAAAATGAATAAAATAATTATTTCTATTTCAGATTTACAAACACAGGTGTTAGTATATGCAGATAATTTGGTTTCATCAAGTGAGTTGATGATTTAAATTGGCATTAATAACAAGTTTTTAAAGCTGACATTTCAACAGTTAGCTCTTAACAAAAAATAATACTCTATCTTACAAAGCCTATCCTGTTTTTGAACCGTTCAGTGGCTCATTGCTGCTAACAAACAAACCCAGTGAATTTCCCCTCCAACATGATCCCAGCTTGTGCACGTTCTACGCTTAAATTATTTGACAACAATATAAGACAATTTCTTAATGGTTAATTTACCAAAAGGGTGTGTTCATCACCTTCAGAACATAATTACCTTTGCTGTTTTCAAATTTCATCATGGGTTGTATTTTGTTTCCCTACAAAAGAGAATCTGGCACCTGCAGAGAAAGTTTTCACATTATGCATTCAGTAATAACAAACTTAGATTTTTAGTAAAGTTGAATATAATTTGTGCACAGTTGGAGAGCATTAATTAAATAAAACAGTCTGTGACTGCATGTACCTACAGCTACCGTATATAGTTGTAGTGTATAATTTGCAGCAAAACTGCAAAGTGGTGTAAAAATGAACAGCTCATGTTGATGCCGAAATTGTGAAAAAAAGGAACAGAGTTGTACACTGGTTAATTGACAGGCCAGGGACAGGGCAAGAAATTTTAAAATGCAAATAGAACAGGTACATGAATTGAAAGAGCATCAAACGTAATTTTATACAAAACATCGCTACTCCTGGCGCTCTATGTACCAAGTGCAATGGTTATATCTACTCCTTTTGTTTTATCTTTCTTTTTCCTTTCATTTTCCATTTTTCCTCAAAAGATATGTTAGGGATGTTCAGAGTCAAACACATGTGATAATGTTTGACAATGTAAGCTTTTACATTCACATGGAGAGCAAGAGATGTTACAAGTGTCTGGCAATAGTGGGCTATTTTGATAACGTGACGGGTCTAAGGAAAGGTTCATGGATTTATGTGCTCAAACACATGGCTCATCCAACACATCTTGCAATTGTGCACAACTTTTGTGTGTGAAACAATAGTCAAAACTTTGAATTATCACATATCAGAGAAATTAGTGACAAAGGTACATTACAGCATTATAATAATTGCCCATGAAAGTGAGTTTTAGTCACCCTCAAATAATATTGCATAGTACTGGTTGTTCCTACTATTAGGTAAGCCTTCAAAGATTTGATTCACAATTCTCGTTTTCAGGCTACCATATATTTCCTTGTGAATCATTTAAGAGAATTTGGTGTTAGATCCAGATAATGCCTTCTGACCAATAAGCTTGTCTGTTCTTATCACCTGTTTGTTGTGCTTTGTATTAATGTTGTTAGGAGAAGTTACAAGTCAATCATTTCTGAGAATGGGCTTGGAATTGCTTAGTTCCATGCTCAGGGCTATAAAATTGGTACTCCATGGATTTCTTTTTGGTTGCTGCTAGGTTAAAAGTGGTGGTTGCACACTGAAGATAGTCAGCTAGTTTGTGCAGATAGCTTGTTGGGATTTTAATTGAGTTATGTTTACAATTTGGAATGTTTATACTACTCTTTGTTTACATTGGCACTGAAAAGCTCCAGTGGGGTAGAGGTCAATTAATTCTTTCCAGTCAACAATATGAACAATATTCAGGTCTTCTTGGGTAGGTAAACACTGTATTCAGCTCCAGTCTTTAATTGATTTTACATTTATTTCATTATTTTGTACAAGTCGATTCAATTTACCGCTTGTTTGAGGGCCTGATCCAAGTCCTCAATCAAATCCTGAGTATCTTCAAGTCCCACCGATAAACGAATCTAGAGAATTATAACAGATTCTATCATGAATATTGTAAGAGCAACTTCATACTTTATGTCTATAAAGATATTGTTGTTCATTCAGGGATGACATAATTTTAGGGATAAAATAAGTTGCTAGTCACTCATAGGGGTCACAGAGTAAACTCATCTCAGCAAAGCCAGCCAATTTAAATCAAAATGGAGCTTGTGAGGAATACTTATTTCTTTTATTCCTACTTTGCTGAAGGAAAAGAAGTAATTAGTCATACTTATGTAACGCTTTGCTACTCCATCCATCTCAGAAAATATTAAGATTCTTGAAAACGACTAAAAGCCAGTTTATCTTCTTATAATATTTTACAACTAGAGAGGACTTCTACGGTAATTCACAAATAGTTATCATCTGGACAAGAACTCTCTTTTTTCTTGCCTTTGTCTCATGTGAATCTCTTCTCATCAAGAGCTCAGTTGGTACAAGCCAAGAGGATAAGAGACTGCCCGCACTCTCGAACTCTTAATGAAACAAAACTTCTTATTAAATGTTTCCTTTGGGATGAGACTTGTCATTGGCGAGTGAAAATATCTTCTCACCAAGAGCTTGGTCCAAGCAAAGAGAGAAAGAGACTGACAGCAGTCTCAGACTCTTGATAAAACAAAACTTATTAATGTGTTCTTTGGGGCCAGAATTGTGTATGTTAAGTGAAGTCTCTTCTCACCAAGAGCTTAATGCAAAGCAAGAGTAAACAAGACTGCCAGCAGTATCAAACTATTGATAAAATGAAACATTTTATCAATGTTTTCCTTTGGACCAGGCTTGTTGTTTCAAATCCAATTGGTCCAAAACAAGATAAAAAGAGACTGCCAGCAGTCTCAGATTCTTAAACAAAATAACTATTACTGTCCATGCCGACCATGAGTGATATCATACTCACCAGTGTATCTGATATTCCTAATACTTCCCTTTGATCTGTAGGAACTGATGTATGGGTCATTATTGCCCTGAAAATAAACCAACAAAAGATCCATTATTTTCATGAACTTTTCTTTCCATTCCCAAGTCAATATCTTTTCAGCCAATCATTCTAACAGTCTTTGCTAGTTGTTTTAAGTACATGCAGAACTTACGTTACCCTTGCAAACTGAATTCCCAGTTTTCTGGGAATTCCTAGGAATTCTCAAAAATTCCCAATTATGCAAATGACCCTTGCAAACTGAATTCCCAGTTTTCTGAGAATTCCTAGGAATTCTCAAAAATTCCCAACTATTTACAAGCTGACGTTCGATCTCACTCAATTAGAATTGTAAACCGCCTTGAGACAGTATGTGATATGTGCGGTATATAAATACGTTCATTCATTCATTCATGCAAATTAACTCTGATCTAAAAAGCTTGGAATTACAGGGAATTTCTGGGAAAGGAAGACTCCAGTTTTGTTAGGACTTGGAATTCCAAGGAATTCCTAGGAATTCTCAGCTATACAAACTACCTAAAATTTAAGAAGGGTGGAATTCTTGGGAATTTCTGGGAATTTAATTTGAGGCAATTTAAATACCCTGAGTTCCACATAAATTCTAAGAAATTCTCAATACCTTGAATGTGAAGGTTTTAAAAAAAGGAGTAATTTCAGAGGCTTAAAACTTTGGCTCAATAAAAGGTATGCTATACAAAACTTACCAAGAGATATACATACATGTATATGTTTATAACTTAAAGATCATGAAATTTATTAATCAAACTAAGTTTTAGTAAATCATTGATATGGATTTTCTCATGAACCAGCAATCAATTATGTTAAATGGAAATTGCCAATTAATCCAATGTACTCTGTCACAGATTTGCTTTCTAACCTCAAAGGACTCTTGGATTCCATGATCATAAAATATTTTTTTGTGATGCAAATTAATGTCTCATGTTCACTGATGTGCCAAAATCAAACATTCATTAGCTGTTCCTTGGTACACAATAATTAACAATAATTACATTGTTATCTACACTTAAAGAACTTTGTTAGTTATGAACATCAGTTACTTCCCTAACCTACATTACTGGTTGCCTTTGTTAGAAAAACTTGGAACAGTCAAGCTCAGTTGCCTCAAACACTGTCAGAGACTTTTTGTTGACATTAATTTTAGTAGAAATTTCATGCCTTAGACAAACAAATTCAACACCTACATTAATCTTTCTTTTTTCATGATTGTTGTTGCTGTTTTTTTTTTTTCAGTTTTGTGCTCTGTTTTCGGGACTAATTGCTGTAATTTACTTTGCTGTTTTTATTCTTGCAAAACATTTTTGTAAGAGTTCCAATACTTGTGGATCATCCACACACTTTGCAAACATTTGGCATGCAGACAAGACAGAGGTAGTCAATGTTCCCTTTGAGAAAAAACACCTTTTAAATGACGTCTTCAATTTACTTTATTTGAAACTCTGATCTGAAAATATTTGTCAACAAGACTTGTTAGTAGTGAGAAGTACATACCAAGTTTCCTTTCATAACTTAATTTCTTAAATGTCTCAATCACTGGATCTCCCAAAAAATATTACATCTTTTTATTTTTGGTGCAAAATACAAGTCCTTCTTTATATACAAATGAAAAGTGCAAGTCACACTTCAATAATAACAGCTCTTAAGTTTACCTGTTGTTCTTCTCTGTCTGTCAGCTATCAACAAAATTGTTCTATACTTCGGACAATGCATAACTATTTTTGGACTAGAGTTCCAACACACCTCTATAATCGCATATAGTTACTTCTGTCTCTTGAACAAATGTTTCTCCTTTGTAAGACGCACTCTACTCTGTTGTCACCACTGCTTTAAGTTCAGTGGAAACGACTGACTGAGGAATCGAGATGGCGGTGTTGGAACGTGTTGCTGAACGCTTGCTACGGTCAACCTTTGTAGATTTAGGCACTGGTACACTGGGATCATCTATGTATCTCTTTTACTTCCTAATGTGGTATCCTTCTTTTATAAATGTGAGGGTAAAAGACAATTTGTAGTCGCATTCAAAACTGTGATTGGCTTGTGTTATTTCTCACCTTTGCCATGAACACAACTCAAGTGAGTTTCGAGTCTTTGTTTCCTCGACAACTTTCGGCCACAAATCGTACATTTGTAGTACGATCGATTCTTGTCGATTATTTCTACATAGAGTGAACTCACGTCATTGTTTATATCACCAAGGTATCCATCGTCTAGAGGCAGAGAACCGGTCGGAGAAGTCAGAATGAAGTTGTAACAATTGGCAAGCCAGCGGATTCACTTTGCTAGCCAATGACAAGTCCTAAAAGATCCACGTGATTATACCGGAAACAAAGAAGACTCCATTTGGCGCTCATCTTTGAATGTACTTTTCACCGGTTGATCGCTTTTCTCAACTGTTTTGCTTAGTATAACATTTCTAAAGATAGCTTTTATTTTGGTTCAATGGGAAAACAAGAACAGCTTGAGTATTGTAAACAAATAAGAAAGCCGTTGGCGCCGTGGAGTTAAAAGAAGGGACAACAGTTGACATATTGACTGGTACAAACAAGGGTCGAGTGGCCATCTGTAAAGCTACGATTTTGAAAGTTTGTGGTGAGTAAACATTGCGATGTTCGTTACGTGATCAAAATCTTATAAAAGAATAGATGTAACGGGTTGAATTAAGCTTACATAACGCTCGGTGCTACTGAAACTAGAATAATTCTGAGAATCGAATCGGTCACTTGCATGCCGCAGTTTCTTAAGCTTATGCTTTACAATGTAATAAATCTATCAGTAAGGTTTCAAGATTCCTTTAGTCACGTTTGGGAACATTCAAGATTCATAATAAGAACTGTTATTAAACAAACCTTATTACATAAAGAAGCCCTCCTTGGTAAAAACAAAATAATGTATTCAGCCCTTTTTTTAGTAAAATCTATGGGAGAGATGTACTAACTCCAATATAAAAGTCACTCAATATAACAGAGATTTCTTGATTTGAAAATCCAATGAATGCCCTTTTCCTTATAGCCATCTTAAAGGCCTGGTCTGAGCTTTAAATATATATATTTATATATATTATTTTTTTTCAAATCCAGATGTCATGGAATCCAGATACAAAATGGTCAAGTAGACAACCTCATTCAAGGCCAACTCATTGTGAGCCCAGGGAAAAAAATACAAATAGCAGCTAAGTTTGCAGTTTAGGATAACTTCATTCTAATTTATTGTTACAGTTACAACAAGATTTTAATTAAAAAAATCCATTTTATTTATCTGTAATTAACCCCTTCACTCCTGGAGTGCTTGGTTTTCAAATATAATTTAAGATATTGTATTTTATGGAAAAGAATCAACAGATTTTATTCACAATTTGTGTCAAACCAAATTTAATGATTGATTAGGATATTTTATATGAATAGCTGTAGTTGAGGATTAATCTGTATGAAGTTTTCAAGTAAAGAAAGATAAATCAAATTCCATCCTAATATTACCACATGTTGATGTTAATAATTAATCAAAAATATTTTACATGTAAGCCTTAATTAAGCTTGTAAATAAATTTCATTGAATACTTGAATTTTAGCTGGGTTTTTTTTTAATTTAGAGTATTTATTTTTTATTGTTAGCCTCAAATTTTTGCTTAAAAATTCCTAAAAATTCCTAGAAATTCCTTGGAATTGTTTAGATTTACAGCTTTTCAGGGAAAGTCATTGGTTCTCTGAGCTGGAATTCCTAGGAATTCCAAGTCCTGTTGGCTATAAACTTGGAATTTCTAGGTTTTTGGAACCAAAGTTGTTATGGTTGGGAATTCCTAGGAATTCCCAGTCCGAATTTACTCTGAAAATTCACACCTTTATTCCTAGGAATTCCAAACTCCATTTTGCAAGGGTAATTCTGTCAGGCTTTCAAAACCACCAAGACTCTCGGCAAGTGTAAATAACTGAAAGAAAAGGATAAACAAAGACTCATGGCATTCAGTGACATGAGACATTAAACCTGTAAGACAAATGGGTTTCCTTTTGGATTTCCCGAATGCCACAGGAACTCCAACCTTAAGCCTAAATAGCATTAACTTTATGTAAAAACTATTAAATAAATATCAATAGTTACCTTAGATGATTTGAAAAACTTTCTGGAATTCTCCAAATTCCCTTTGATGAAAAAAAGTCACCATACCACCAAAGCCTGTCATCTGTTTTTTAGCAAGTTCATGCTGTGGGTATGATTCCAGACCTGAAAAAAAGTTTTACATCAATGATGCTGTACCATGTAAATATATCTACCTCATCAATAGTTTTTGAGCAGGTCTGTTTAACCCTTTAATTCCAAAAGAGACTAGTATGTAATTTCTCCTTACAACATCATCCCCAGAATCAAACATTAAGGGCATGAGAATACAGGAAATGATCATCAACCAAAGAAGCTCTTGTTTGTTATACAAATTCTCCTTATCAGCACCTTAGGAAATGTTTAGAAAACAGTATGGAGAATCTACATATTGATTTTAGGGTGTAGAGGGTTAACTAAGAGATATGCTATCTCTTCACACATGTTTCCATATGCCTTTCAATTAGTTCTCCAAACCTACCTTTGAAAAATTTGCATTCACTATAGAACTTATTAGCAATTTGTGACCAAACTAACATACAATTTCTAACTGCCAGTGTGTTACTTCATTGCAGCTGACCTCTTCATAGAAAATACCACCGCAACTCTCCCCTCCCTAACATACCTGGATACATAACTTTCTCTACCCTGGGGTTTCCTTCCAGAAATTTTGCAACAGCTGTAGCATTAATTTCATGTTGACGCATTCTCAAGTGAAGAGTTTTAGCCCCTCCCCAAATGTAAGAAAACTTAATTATTTATTAAAAATCAAAGTGAGGTATCCTACTTAGCCAGAGTTATCACACTCAGACAGCTCAGCAATGGCCTATAATTTCAAAAAGAGACATTATCAAAATGAAACCCTCATGTAAAAGCTCCATACCATTCATGTACTTTGTCACCGAGTGCATGACAACATCAGCCCCAAGAGACAATGGGCGCTGCAAAGGAATATTTCACAAATTTTAATATAAGATAAAGATTTTACCAGTCTGTTTTATTCACTGTGAAAAGGTGCCAAGATAACACCAAAAGGTATTCCCTTATTTTTTTTTTAGAAGTACAAGCTATAAAAAAATAGCTTGTACTTCTCTTAACTAGTACTTGGTAATCCTGTTTTAAATATTATTATACATTCAAGTAACTATCTCTTTTCTAATATGCCGAATCATACAGTAAATTTACCAAATCAGCACCTGAGATGTTATCTAGCTTCATATAATACAATAATCATGTTAAGGTCACTCAAGGTTGAAGGGATATCTTGTCATGTATGATTGCAGTGTATGATTTCTAAGGGTAATCATGTCAAGTTTCTGAGCTTTGTGTTGCTTGCCACCAGTGAAGAGGCAAAAATTTTTTTTTCTGGTTCAATGTATAATAAAACGATTATTAGATTTGGTGTTTGTGATATCCAGAAAAATCAAGGTCTTGGTAAGGGTTATCAGCTTCAGCAGATAACCCTCACTGAGACCTTGATTATTCTGGATATCACAAAAACCTCATCCAATAATTGTTTATTATCAGTTATTTAGTATGTATTTTAAGTCACTGCACTCATTACAGCCTACTCCTCGACAAACACTCTCACTGACCAACTATGCCCATGCCTTTCTAGCCTTTTAATAAATTTATCTCTAGAAAATCAAAAGAAACCTACATATCCTAAGGTAATTAACAGGTAGAAATGTAATGCCACTCAAATACCTGAAAATATGATGACATGAAAGTATTATCCACCACTAAAATAACTTCCTGTCAGATAAAAGATTATGGATATGAGATAATGTTATTATTGAGAAACGTCTGCATCCAGTATGTGGATGGACACTCAAGCCACATAGCTAAGGTCAGAGAAACTCTGAGTTTGTTTCTTAGAGGTCTGTGCATAAAGTTAACTGCTTCCAATACAAGTTCTTGAGAGTCATTTTTTTTCCTGCGGTCATTGCACCAATTCAAACAAGTTTTCATTTGTTTGACTAGTTGGGGGAACAGATTTAAAAAGAAAAGTGTAGTGCAGGTGCAGAGATTGACAGAAAATTATTAACACCACATTAAAGCAAATTGTCGCTTTGAACTAAACCTTTAATGTCTTGCAGCAACCAAATGTACCTCATGTTGATGAACAACCTCAGCAGCTCCTTGGATGTCCACAAGTTTCAGTAGAGGGTTGGTTGGAGTCTCAATCCATACCATCTAAATTGAATTAAAGGCAATAAAATTTAATTTTTTCCTCAAATCTAAAAAAGCAGAGTATGTATATTAAAGTATTTTTTTTGCACCTTGGGAGGGTGTGTTGCCTTAATTTAGCTCTTCCAAAAACGTCTGCAAAAATTGAAAGAATTATTGATAGGTAAAGAGGAGATTTCTCTATCCCCTTTTTCATAAGTTCAATCATTCTCCTCATTGAAGCTTAATTGATTACTATTTAATTTAGGTCAAAAATTGATAGATAACATGTTTAAAGATGAAGTAATTTTAATAATTCCTCTTCTTAATGCTCAATCCTCAAAAAATTATTTAGCAAAATATTTTTTTGAGATCACTCAGAAGCAAACTACATTCTTTTGCATGAAAACTTCTGGCTTACCCTCAATGTATGAGACTTCTGAACTATCATACTAATATTCATCAGTAATGTGTAACATGTAATTATAACAGTTTGCTGAAAAAGCACCACTGAAAATTTTTTTAACCTTAGTTTTAGGTTTAATGGCAGCTTTCAGTTTACTCAAATCACTTGCATCCACCATTGATATTTCTATTCCCATATTTGCAGCAGCCACTTTTGAGAAGTACCTATTGGTACCTGTCAGTACAAAAAAAAATCAGATAAAATGTTTTTTATAAAAAAGCTGTGTATTATAGAAGTTGGGTCCACACTAGATCTGGAAGTCAAAACAAGCACTTGACAGCTGTCTGTACTTGTTTTTAGACATAAATTTGTGGTTTGCCTCTATAAACTTTTCAACTCCTGTGATTTATGATGTTGATGTGACGCTGATGTTGCTTACTTTGATGGCAAACTTAGTGCTTTCAATAATTTTGGGCCTTTCACATAATAAGTTTAATGCATTACTTCCTTTCTTTCTTTCTGGTATAATGATTTGTTGTATACTGTAATAAAAATATACCATACAACTAAAATACATCATGTAAAGAACTCTCTTAGTGACATGTTGCAAACTTGGAATCTACATACTTTACTTTATTATAAGAAATAGTTTTGTGTATGTCTTCTGTGTTTATTCACTTACAACTTATTCAGTATACATAACTTTTGTGTATCTCTCTTGTACTTTTATGATTAGGAATCAGGTTATTAAAACCTTAAATCATCAATGGTAAAACATTGTCTCTACTTTACAACATGGTTTTCCCATGCTTAACCCTTTACAACCTAATATCAGTATGCATGTTCTTGTGTTGTGATTCCTGAAAACAGTTGTCTGATGGTAAAACAATTATGGAGTATCGTAATCTTAAAATATTGCAAATTGTCTGCGTGTTATCAAACAATTATTTTTCCCAGTCAAAAGCAAATGATTTATCAGCTCTCCATTGCCAAATCTCAAGATTTTGCTTGACACTATCCAATAATTATTAAATATCATATAAATAATACTCAATCACTGCATACCTCCATAAACATCATCCACACAAACAATGTGTTCTCCACTCTTAAGTAAGTGAGTCAATAACATTGTGGCTGACAGACCAGAAGAGGTAGCCAAGCCTAAGGATGAGTTGAAATAGAGAGGTCGTGCCATTAGTAATTATTAATATCAACTTGCACATTTCATAATAATTTTGTAACACATACTGGTACTTCTTAGTCAGTTCTCATTATTCATTCTCCCCTCTATACTCCCCTAAGTCTGACTATTTCTAGTTGTGGAATTACCAGACACAATGAAAGTTCTTATAAATAAGCCAAAGTCTGTATTGTTCACTTGTAGACTCAACTGCATAAGTAACATTCATCAGTAGGATTACATGTTCAGGAAATTTCTTGTTACCCACCCCTAGGGACAGTCAGCAGAAACACCAGGTTGGAAGGGGGGGAGTCTCAAAGCTTGCCAGAATCATCAAATCCCAAAAAAGAAACGTGATGTGTTTACTGAAGAGAGAGGTCAGAGAGCATAACAAAGGTATTATAGATTTTTCACAATTGAGGTTATTTGTTAGGGTTTTCTGATCTCTGCTCTTTTATGAAAACGATTGGGATTGCCATCAAACTTTTTCATACCCCGGCCAGGATTGCTCATGAAGCAATTCCAATTAACCCAGGGGCAAGAAACATGTTTGTGCATTTTCCATTAGAAGAAAACCAGTTTGACAAAATATTTCCAGCAATTATTTCTGTTTTCTTCAAAGCTTTTAATGTGGACTAATCGTGATGTCCTTATAAGTAACCAAAACAAAAATTGTATCCACGCGTGGGGTTCACGTGGAGAAGAAAGGCTATATATATTTCCTTACCATGCTTGGCACCCTCCAAAGCCGCAACGCAAGCCTCAAAGCAGTTCCTGGTAGGGTTCCCCGATCGCGAGTATTCGAATCCCTAGAAGAAGCAGAAAGATCAGAGGTACAGCAGCGTTGATCGTTGCAAATTTTTCACGTGAGATGACGAGAAACTCACACGATGAACTCCTGGGTCATCCTGTTTAAATGTTGTAGCCATAGAAATCGGCGGCACAACTGCCCTAGAATTCCACTGTTCGGGTTCTTGGCCAGCATGGATCGCCAAAGTTCCGAAATGCGGAAAAGGTTTGAGATTCGTTTGTTCGGCTTCGTTCGCCATCTTGGAAGAAGAGGAGAGGGTAGACCGGGGCACAAAGTGACGTAATACTCTAAACAACAACAACCTGCTTCGTTGCACAATCATCATGGCATTTGCGGCACAAGATATGCATTGATCTCCCCAAAATTACTCAAATGGACAAACATACTGGCTCTCTAAAAGAAAACAAACGGGCTCCATGCTAAAACAAGTAGATTATTCTCAAAAAGAAAGGTTCAAAGTTCGATGTAACCGCCCCCTCCCCCTAACACACCCCAACAGTTTTGAGCCACGCACACTGCCGGCTCCAGAGCCCCCTCGGATTTAAATATGGCGGCCTCTTAATAGCACACTAGCGTGTTTTAACCAAGAGTTTCATTCAACTACATATATCTAACCCAAGGTATCTTTCTTCACTGGAATGTGAGAAATGGTATGGTACTGTGTGTTAACTAACTTTGTAGGTATAATTTTCAATAGTTTGCCTGAGTATGTCAGGTTAGCTGAGTGAGGCTGATAAGTTACAATGTTCTGCCTTTTTTTTTATCTTAAACAAGGTCATAACATGAAGCAATTTTGTCTTCATTCTTTAACTCCCAAGATCTGTTTGCTAATTCTCCTCTCTAGTTTCTAGACGTTTCCTTGTACATTTGTTATAGGAATTTGTTGTTAGATCAAGATAACGACCTACTCTTTTGTTGGATATTGTATAAATAGTTTGGAGAGAAGTTACATGTAAATCACATCACACGGGAGTTTAAGGGTTAAACAGCGTGATGTGATACACTGCTACCTAAATTTCACTGAAGTTCGAAATATCCAGGACTTGAGCATTCCCCACAAATTTGTTCAAACTGCAGCTTACTAATTCTGCAGAGCAGTTGCAATATGCAACTCTAATGCTTATTTCACAAATTATTTTGACAAGAATTAGTTAATCTTTCATTTACTCAGACTGAAGGGAAAATGAAATTGTTCATCAACTTGAAAGGTGATTGATAAAGAAACCTTGAGACTTCACCTTACCCAGACTGTTTTTTCCACAAGCCTGGTGTAACCAACATGCCAGCAATAAATTTTAGGTGAGTTTAATTTCCTGATGACTGGACTGAACTCTTCTTTCTACATGCCATTGCCAGTGGTTTCTAAGTAAAGTATTACAAACATAATACATCAAGAACGGAATGACGAATTACAAGATTGGAAATAACATAGGAAATACAAATAACAAGAAATATGTATAACATAGACAATACTAATAATATAGGAAACATGGGTCACTTGACAAAAGAGCAATTTACCTGACAATTCTGGAATATGGCTGGCATAACAATGTACTTGCAATTACCTTTTAACTCAAGCTCACACCTTTTTTATTTGCATGATCTGTGGGAAAGTCAAACTTACATGGCTACTTGCATGGACTGGGGCTTTAAGGGGGGGGTTGGTTTCTGCACCTGGTGTCTTCTCTTGATTTTCTGAGCCAGAAGAAAGGAAAATGAAGATTATCAGAATTAAAGCTTGTTTGGAAAATCTGCAGATCCAGTTTACAGGAAAAAATTGTAAAATGCATCCTTTGATAGACCCTTTTACTCCCAAGATCTCAATAGTAATTCTCCTTACTGTCTGCTATACAATTCTTGTAATGTTAGTTTGGAGAATTTGGTCTTGGATCAACTAACAATCCCCTGGTTGACATTTGTGTTTATTCTCATCACTAGTCTGCATGATATTGTATTTATATTGTAAGGAGAAGTTCTGTCTTGGTCACTCATGGGAGTTAAAAGGTTAAACAAAAAAATGTATTTTATCCTTTTACTATCAGTTGATGTTCAAATGTTGGTTCAATGTCAGTATCTGAGAAACTGCACACCTACCCCTCCCTTAATACAACATTAACCCTTAGTTGTAAGCAGTTGACAGTTGTTGGGTTAGGGGGAGGGGTAGGTGCGCAGATGCTGACATTGATCTAAAATGTTTATGGTGTATCTACAGAGCTTTTTACTTTTTTGCCATTTATAACTTTTCACACCGAATCCAGATTGTTTCTTAATTTCCACATTCAGAGATAAATTTTCTTAAAGAGCTGTAACTTATGAACTTTGATGAATTTATTTCACTTGACAGTCACTTATACATGTAGTTAGTATGTTAGTAATGGAATCACAATTGTAAGCATTTTTATTTTGTACAGCTTCCTTTTTCAACAAAGACCAAGATGGGTCGTCGTTTAAGGCAGCTCTTGTGTCCGGTTTCCCGGGAGTTGGTAAAACCACATCAGCGACACTGGTTTGTGAATAGCTTGGTTTTACGTATACTGAAATGAATGCCAGTGACACACAGAGCAAAAAGACCTTGGAAGAACACATTTCTCACTCACTGAACAATTAAACCATGGATGGCCTTCTGACAGGTTGTCAAATTTCTGTAAGATTTGGAATTACTTTGATATTATTAAAGATGCTTCATTCATTCTCCTGTCTACTAAACTGATTTTCCATTGTAGTTAATTTAATTTTAGTCCCAATTTTCGAAAATTCCAAGTTATCCGGTCGAAGAAAATCAGATTTAATTTTTCCTTATATGTTTAGTCGTATTCGCTATACAGTAACTTTTTGTTAAATTTGGCCTCATGTCATTTCTTTTCACTCACCCGTCGAATCACAGCACTATTCGTCAACTTTTCCTGTTTCCAGGCCGACAAATCGCCCGCATCTTTAATAAGAAAATTTCCTTCACTATGCTTTCAGTATGAGTGTTTCTCATTCTCCCCAGTCCTTTCAAGACCTCTCGTATGGCAATCCAGCGCCCTTCGATCAACCTAAGAAGGCGATGGTTTAACGACCATTACATCAGCCAAAAAAAATTAAATTGAAAAAATAGCATGTTTATGTCATTGTGCTATATTCCGGATTAATGAAAATGAAAAGTTAAAAAATGTAATATGAGGCCCTGTCCAAACTTGGCGTATAAATAGTGAAACAGCATAGCTCCAAAATACAATCGTGGATCACGAAATAAACAATGATACACCATTTTCTGTTTCGAGCTCGATGAGTTCATATTCAGCTTCTTCAATACTGCTGGTGTGACCAAGTGCACCGTTTTGTTACACACTTGTGGGGCAAATCACATTTTCATAGGAGTTAAGGTGAGGACAGAATAAGTTCATAGCGATCTCATGCAGTGAATGAGATAAACTGGTATTGACTAAAGATACAAATAGAAATAATTTGAGACATGAGACACTAGAATGAAAGAAAAGTCCATCTTATTTACTCGTCACGAACGCAGGATCGAATCTTAGACCATCGGATTTTAAGAGTTGAAGTTCTCGCATATAGCTATAGATTTCTCGTTAATGAGCCATGACATACAGTGGATACATAAAGGATCATCCTGCATACTGCCTAGATCATCAATGTCGAAAGTTTCATGTCTTAAATTACATAATGATAGAAAGGAAATTTCAAGCTCTTTCGTGACAGAGGAAAAAATCATTTTTAACCAACGACCGGAAAAAAAAACCCTATCCGTCAGATCAGGTAAAACGACATATTAAATATCAATGCTGACATGTAAATAAACATACCAGACCTTGAGGTGGCTTATTTATCTTCCCATGAGGAATTTACGAAGCTGCGGCATTTCTGATTCCAGTATCAAGTGCGTCACATATCCGTAAGGAACTATTATACAATTATTTATGGCCTCGCTTACTGTATCCAAACTCAGCAGACAATTCTGGAGCTCAAAGAAACAGAGAGCTAGGGCCTCAGATTTCTCCTCCAACCTAAAGACAACTGGTTCAGTAACAATTTATCCATAAAATTCCTGCATGATACTGAGGGTTTCTGCACACAGAGATGCATGGAGTACATAGATTTAAAAAATTTTGAATATCTTCCTCGGATATTTCTTTAAGAAGAGTACTTATGGTATTCGCTTTAATTCTTTATAGCACGCGAAACGATTTAAATATGCTTTTCTCTAGATACAACGAGAAGTCAAGTATTTTTCTTGGAAAAGAACTTTATTGGAGTTAAATTTATTGCAAGTACTCTTCAGGTGAGGAAAGCTAATGAAGAAATATGTAGCATATTACAATCGAAAGACATGAAAATTGGAAAAAAATATTCATAAAGAATACATATTATTGATGTAATTTCTTTAGCTTTGTATCTCCCTCCGGTGATGAATATGTGCAACTTGTTATTACAAAGTATACGTAGATATCAACGCAACAACCAGCAAAAAAATTAGTGTTCGTTGAGAGCAGAGAAAGTTATCGCTTATAGCGAAGTATCTTGGTGTAACACTAAATTTTCTTTACATGTGAGAGAAAGCCAGTGAATGAAAACAACTGAGGGATGGATGCTCATTTCAACTTGTTCGGGACTCGACTACACACGAACAAACCCATCTTGATTTTGTGAATCAGCATCGTTTTCATATAAGGAAGGAACAGATTTTATTATTCAAAAACTGATTGTATCGGGATGACATCCAAAGCGCCACTGAATTTCACCGGACACTTCCTTTTGACTGCAAAAATATTAAGTGCAGAATTGGCGAGAGTTGTTTACAGTAAAAAAAAGTTCACCGTTATTATATTTAGAAACGTTGTCACGGTCAAAATGAAAATTTGATAGAACTGTAACGCTAAAGGGAAGATGACCAAAAACAATTGTTTATCACATAAAATACGCTGATTGGTATCGCCAATCAGCTGCTGGACGTCACCCGCCTTTCGCGCCACTTTTATACGTTCGTGAATGAATGGCAAATTCTCATTCGTTAATAAAATCGCCTTTCAAGTTGTCTGCAAATGCCTATGGTGTTTATATAGTAAACAAAATAATGCATGGCTGCTTGTAGATATGGGATTACTATTGTCATAGAGAGCGCATTGAACGAGGGATATATCGAGTTGATAATTTGAAGAGAAATTGCAGTGGTACAATATAACTCACGGTGTGAATTCATCTTTATCGATTCAGTTATGGCAGAATGTAACATTTCCTGCTCTGAAGAGAAATGGGATTTTGCGGATTGCGAGTATTTCGCACTAAAAGAGAAAGAGCTGCATTAAATTACAAACTGAATTAATTAATAGTCGTGCAGAAACATGTAAACAAATAATAACCATAAAAGAATAAAACAAAGAAAAAAACAAGCACAATAACTAAGAAGAACAGCAATTTTGATCGCGAAACTGGGAATTAGACGAGGTTAGATCTTTCAAACTCGTGAATATGTAACCTTCATTTTTTTATCGAAATTGTTGTAAAGCAAAGTATTATTCTTAATATTTTCAGGCATGTAGAATTAACAAATGACATCGTTTGGAGAACAGAGGGATTCAGAGGATGACAGTTTAACAGGTACAAACCAATTTTCATTCTGCAACTGATTATAGCTGTAGAGCTCATGTTATTTACAATGAAAGATCATAATCTTAATTTCCCTGCGACTGACAACAATATTCGAATGGAATATTTTATTTACTAGAACTTATGAATTTGTTAAAGAACCTTTGTCCAGCAGTTTTCGATAGCTTTGAGGGAAATTTTATACATGCGCTTTGTAGAAGAACAGAGATCTTACACTCGCTACCACGGGTCGATAAATGTGTTTTGTTACGCAATAGGCTCGCGGGGTGTTGGTAGAATTCGTGACGGTTACGTAGACCTTCGGAGGTGTTTCGGGCTTGAATAAGTTTTGCGAATTCTCTCGGCCCCACACGCGATGAAATGAAGGAATAAGAGAAAGAGTCTTTTATTGCATAACATTTTATCTGTGTTTATCCATGCTTACCGGGTACAATTGGGTTGTTTATTGCAACTCACGAATTTTGATAAGGGACAGCCTTGATCACCGTTCCTTTAGAAAAGACTAAAAAACAAACAAGTAAACAAACAAACGAATGAAAAAAACAAACATGACACAACTCGCTAAACTTGACTGGAGCTGTCACGCAACCACAATAGCGTGACGGAGGGAACTTTCAGATTCTCATTCATCCTCTATGATTAAGTATACAACGTTTTCTTTAGGTTAATTTCATTTGAGTCTCCTCTTTTTTATTTTTAACGATGTAGCGCAGTGCAATCGATTCAATTTTATTTCTAGCTATGGCAGAAAGCAACCTCCCAACAACGGGAGAAGAACTGGGAGTGAAAAATGAGTCTCCAGCTACAGGTAAGAAAGGGCAAGGAAAGACTTCTTTATGGTAATTTTATACTGTTTGTTGATTAAGTAAACCTTAATTCTGGTGCACAATTTTTTTGATCACTTCGACTCCAAGGTTTTAGGAATCCACTAATGAAATACGCTAGTATTAGAACGTTAGTTGTAATTGCACATAGTTGTGATCACTAATAAAGTTGAAATATCTTCTCGGTAATTTCAGCGACAGAGAAAAGTCAAGTTACGTCAAGTGACGCTGAACTGGATGAAGACGATGACCTTTTAAGAGGTGAGAAAAGATTTTTTGAAAGAAGTCCCCATGAAGTTTTTCACATTCACATCAAAATTTGCGTATGTTCTATGAATAAGTTTTTGAAACAGCAAAAGATTGTTTCTTCAAATTTCAGACTTTGTTACCAGTAAAATAAAAAACAAAGGAAGAAAACAAATTGCCCTTAATCAAAGAAGAATGGGCCAAAATTAGCCCACTAGACTTTGTAAAACTCGGTTTTTCTGAGTTTTAGAAGTGCTTACTTGTAAATCAACACACAATGTTTTGGAGATTAACGATGTATCTACAGTTTGCACCTAAAATGGAGGATATTTGCGTAGTAAGAGTATTATCCTTTTGCACTTGAAAATATTGTAAACTTGGTCATTTTTAGTGTGAAAGTCACATTCGGCAAGAGAGAGCTGTTGGTATCCGTGGGCGAATACCAATTTTCGAAGTTTTGAAAAATTTGCAAACGGATAACTTTTTGAGGCCGCCAGAAGGAAAGCATTTACGTTAACACATTTTTTCCCCTTATTGTTCAGTACGTGTTTGGCAGAAATTTTTACGCAATTTGAGAATTCTACGGAGAAGAGGAGGCATTTTGTCTCAGCCGTATCGCCTGTTTTGGTCCTCTAAATATTTCACGCCCCTTTAGACAGTTATGTCAACACCAGGCCCACGCTGTAAACCATCAGCCAACAAAATGTGGAGCCGCTGACTTTCACAACAGGCAAAATAGTACTTCGCGGGAAAGTGATACTTTCCCAATCAAATTTCTCCAGTTAGCCTCTTCGAGTATGTTCTCAATAGACAATTACATGTATGAGAAAAACCAAGTGATAAGAGAAAAATACAAAAAAAAAACCTTTTTCCAGCGCACTTTTCTGAACTCTTGTCACTCTCAGACTCTCAGTACGATGTTCTTTTTTTTCGTTATCAGAACATTCACAAGTTTTAACTTTTTTCGGTCCTGGCTTTGCTTTTCTTTATGCAATAACTTATGGGGTTTGATATTCTAACAAGAAATTTTGGAAAACGTAGCCCATGTGTAAAAGGGTCTTTGGAAAGTCTCTCGACCTAAATGTAAACCGATCAGACTTGATGTGGTTATAGCCAAGCTACAGCTAAAACTCCAAATAGCTTGCATATTTTAAGAAAAAAAAATACACAGAGAAACTCTCCTGAAGGGCGATTGTAAACAAATTTGAGTTAAGGTAGGATCTTCCGGTGAAACTTGTGATATTTTGGAGGAGTTTGGAAAGCCTCTCGACCTAAATGTAAATTGATAAACTTGTGGTAATAGCCAAGCTACAGCCCAGACTCCCAGCAGCTTGCACACAAACAAAATGCACAGATATTAAACTTTTCTGGTTGTTTTTTCCCATAGCTCTAAGCTCCTTTAACTTAAAAGTTCGTTTGGATATATAGAGTTGGCACCATCCGTCAAGGGTCGTATCACTCATTACTAAATCATTAATACTAAAACGTTGTGTTTTTAGAAATAGCGAAAGCTTGTCTCGAGGAAGGTAACAAAGAATACAGACAAGGAGAAGCTAATAACGCGATAAACTCCTACACGGAAGGACTTCAAGTGAACTGCAAAGATAAACGACTGAACGCCAAGCTTTACAGCAACAGGGCAACAGCTCATTTCCGTTTGGGTAACAATTTCATATGTAAACATAAATCTGTCGTGCAGCGTTACAAGATAACGGAATACACAATCTGCATCAAGAAAAGAAAAAATTGAGCAAATGTAGAAAAGTAGCGTAAAAACATAAATCGCCCTGTAGCGGATGAAAATTAAGCAAAGAAATGATCCTCGTTACATTTTAAGCAACTGTAATTTTTTAAGGCTTCTTTGTTGCAATTCCATATGATGACCACTTTTTAAAGCCTTATTTCCTGAATCTCATAGAAAACTACGTGGAATGTCTCGATGGTGCAACAGTTGTCGTTCAGTTGGAACCCACATTAATCAAAGCTATTAAGAAAGGTGGGTTTTTCAGACATGAGCCATCAACATTCTATTCTCTGATTTCGTCAAAAGAGGATTGTGTGGTTTGTGGCAGGTTACTGCTCTCCAAGTGTCAATTGTATCTGGTAAGTCAATGTCTGTAATGTGGGTAAAAAGCATAAAAAATGTCAATAAGCTCTCAAATACCGCCGCCTGTTTAGTTCACGTTGTAAAGCGCCGGAGGTCGAGTGTTCAAGCCCTAGACTGGACCATCTTCCTTAGTCTTAAATATCTGAGGACAATGTGCTGCCGCCTAAGCTGTGACATCTGCAAATGGTTTGATATTCTAGTCCCGGATAAGAACGGAAAACCGTAAGCCCCGTTTCTTGCATCTTCTCTGTAACTCAAGGAGGCACCTGAAAAATTCCCTTTCAAAAGTTGTAAACTGCTCAATGCAGTCTGCCCGAAAATTTCCTAGAAAAGTGCTGAAAAGCGCATAATAGCACATTAAAATGAAGAATGTGCAAGATAAATTTATTGTTATCATCATCAATTGAAGCTTAATTGGTAGCCGCTTTCCATTAGCTCCTTAATGTTTATTTTCAGTTCTTCTACAAGTTCAAATTTCCTTCATTGTCACAATTTTTGTTCCCAACTAAATGGGAAATTAAGTCAATTTTATCAATACGTTTATACTTTAACAGTGATGAATACTTCGTACCAACAATTATTCTCTCCTTTTCAGGAGCCAGAGCTTGTGTCGAACTTGGCTTGTATAAAGAAGCAAGGAGCTGGTTGCATAAGGGATTGGCCGTATCCTTTAACGAACGTTTCAAACGTGATACGAGATGCAATGCGAGTAATATTTCAAGGGAAATCAATACGTTCCGGAGAGATTCTTCAGCACATAATGGAAGCAATGTTATCTTATACTGCACTGAGCAGTTTAAAGAAGCTAAAATATTCTTAAAGAGTTTTTTAGACTATGCCACGAAACTTTACTCAAAAAAAAAGGCCATATTAATTAATTCCCAGAGTTTGAGCTGAATACCCCTAATTTTTGTCTTCAGACAAGCATCACCATGACGACCGAACCTAAACCAATAAATACGCTTCAGAGCTAGATAAAACTCTCCAATACCTTGAAATCAAATCTCTAAAAAAACCCACGTTCGAATTATCATTCCAGTTTTAAGGTTCTATCTAATACTCTTAGTGTTTTTCAAAAATACACATTTCCATTAAATTTTCGCAAATCTGCTGATTTATCGACCCTTGACACGTTTTAAGATTGAAAATGACGACCAACGTCTGCTTCGATTACTAAGGAAAACTAATGCTAAACTAAAAGTCATAGCAAACAGTTCTTCCAATCGTGGAAACGCTTATCAAGGACGAGGACAGTTCAAAACAGCCATCCAGTACCATCAACGTCATCTAGAAATTGCTAAAGAAGTGGGAGACAAGGCCGGAGAGGGAAACAGTTATGGCAACCTCGGCAACGCTTATGACGGTCTAGGACAGTTCAAAACAGCCATCCAGTACCATCAACGTCATCTGGAAATTGCCAAAGAAGTGGGAGATAAGGCCGGAGAGGGAAAAAGTTATGGCAATCTCGGCAACGCTTATAAAGGTCTAGGACAGTTCAAAACAGCCATCCAGTACCATCAACGTCGTCTAAAAATTGCTAAAGAAGTGGGAGACAAGGCCGGAGAGGGAAGAAGTTATGGCAACCTCGGCAACGCTTATCAAGGTCTAGGACAGTTCAAAACAGCCATCCAGTACCATCAACGTCATCTAGAAATTGCTAAAGAAGTGGGTGACAAGGCCAAAGAGGGAAAAGGTTATTGCAACCTCGGCAACGCTTATCAAGGTCTAGGACAGTTCAAAACAGCCATCCAGTACCATCAACGTCATCTAGAAATTGCTAAAGAAGTGGGAGACAAGGCTGGAGAGGGAAAAAGTTATGGCAACCTCGGCAACGCTTATCAAGGTCTAGGACAGTTCAAAACAGCCATCCAGTACCATCAACGTCATCTAGAAATTGCTAAAGAAGTGGGAGACAAGGCCGGAGAGGGAAGAAGTTATGGCAACCTCGGCAACGCTTATCAAGGTCTAGGACAGTTCAAAACAGCCATCCAGTACCATCAACGTGATCTAGAAATTGCTAAAGAAGTGGGAGATAAGGCCGGAGAAGGAAAAAGTTATGGCAATCTCGGCATTGCTTATGACAGTCTAGGACAGTTCAAAACAGCCATCCAGTACCATCAACATGATCTAGAAATTGCTAAAGAAGTGGGAGACAAGGCCGGAGAGGGAAACAGTTATGGCAACCTCGGCAACGCTTATCAAGGTCTAGGACAGTTCAAAACAGCCATCCAAAACCATCAACGTCATCTAGAAATTGCTAAAGAAGTGGGAGACAAGGCTGGAAAGGGAAAAAGTTATGGTAACCTCGGCAACGCTTATCAAGGTCTAGGACAGTTGAAAACAGCCATCCAGTACCATCAACGTCATCTAGAAATTGCTAAAGAAGTGGGAGACAAGGCCGGAGAGGGAAAAAGTTATTGCAATCTCGGCAACGCTTATAAAGGTCTAGGACAGTTCAAAACAGCCATCCAGTACCATCAACGTCATCTAGAAATTGCTAAAGAAGTGGGAGACAAGGCTGGAGAGGGAAAAAGTTATGGCAACCTCGGCAACGCTTATCAAGGTCTAGGACAGTTCAAAACAGCCATCCAGTACCATCAACGTCATCTAGAAATTGCTAAAGAAGTGGGAGACAAGGCCGGATGGGGAAAAAGTTATGGCAACCTCGGCAACGCTTATTGCAGTCTAGGACAGTTCAAAACAGCCATACAGTACCATCAACGTCATCTAGAAATTGCTAAAGAAGTGGGAAACAAGGCCGGAGAGGGAAAAAGTTATGGCAATCTCGGCAACGCTTATCAAGGTCTAGGACAGTTCGAAACAGCCATCCAGTACTATCAGCGTCATCTAGAAATTGCTAAAGAAGTGGGAGACAAGGTCGGAAAGGGAAGAAGTTATGGCAACCTCGGCAACGCTTGTCGCAGTCTAGGACAGTTCAAAACAGCCATCCAGTACCATCAACGTCATCTAGAAATTGCTAAAGAAGTGGGAGACAAGGCCGGAGAGGGAAACAGTTATTGCAATCTCGGCAACGCTTATCAAGGTCTAGGACAGTTCAAAACAGCCATCCAGTACCATCAACGTCATCTAGAAATTGCTGAAGAAGTGGGAGACAAGGCCGGAGAGGGAGGAAGTTATGGCAATCTCGGCAACGCTTATGACGGTCTAGGACAGTTCAAAACAGCCATCCAGTACCATCAACGTCGTCTAAAAATTGCTAAAGAAGTGGGAGACAAGGCTGGAGAGGGAGGAAGTTATTGCAACCTCGGCAACGCTTATCAAGGTCTAGGACAGTTCAAAACAGCCATCCAGTACCATCAACGTCATCTAGAAATTGCTGAAGAAGTGGGAGACAAGGCCGGAGAGGGAGGAAGTTATGGCAATCTCGGCAACGCTTATGACGGTCTAGGACAGTTCAAAACAGCCATCCAGTACCATCAACGTCATCTAGAAATTGCTAAAGAAGTGGGAGACAAAGCCGGAGAGGGAAAAAGTTATGGTAATCTCGGCAACGCTTATGACGGTCTAGGACAGTTCAAAACAGCCATCCAGTACCATCAACTAGAGATAAGACTGGAGAGGCGTGCTCACTCTCTTCCCTTGGAAGAAGTTTTGAGTGCCAAGGAAATCTTATGATGGCCTTTGACTGTTATTACTCGAGTGTAGAATTGTATGATGACATCAGGGCCAGTCTTCAACTCAACGATCAGTGGAAGATTTGTTATCGTAATCAGCACCAAGGAGCATACAAAGGTTTGTGGCGTATAAATGTCAATCGAAGTCAAGTTGTGAAGGCTCTTCTTGCCACAGAGAAAGGACGTGCCCAAGCTCTGAGAGATCTCATGGTCACAAAATATCAGCCTGGAGATTCTCTAACGCCCAGCGCATCCCGCACTTCTCTGAGGTGGGTTCCATTGAGCACAGTTTTCATAGCTATTAATGGACCCTGCGTTTACTTCTGGGTTTGCCTCAGTGAAAATAATATCCAGATGAGAGAAGTACACGTGAACAAATACAAGTATGAGAATGAATTGAAATTTTTCATCCAGCTACTGAACAAAACTGTTCTTAAGGAGATCAGTAAAGGAGATACTGTTACCATGGAAAATCCTCCGCTTGACTCGCCTCGGACAGACGAGGAAGTGGCCAATGATGTGATCCAAGTTGATGTGAGGCACTCCCAATCAAGTGCTTTAAAGAAGCTGCATGACATCATCGTTACTCCTATTGCTGACCTCATCGAAGGCAACGACGAGATCACAATCGTTCCTGAAGGGCCATTTTGCCTCGTACCTTATGCAGCGTTGCAGGACTCCAACTCGTCTTATCTAAGTGATTCTTTCAGAATTCGTGTGCTTCCCTCTCTCACGACCTTGCAACTAATTCATGATTGTCCAGCAGACTTTCACGTGAAGACTGGTGCATTGCTTGTCGGCGACCCATGTTTCAAACACATCATCTATGAGGGCACACTTTTGATGCAACTTCCAGGAGCAAGAAAAGAAGCGGAGATGATCGGACGTATCCTCAATGTCTCCCCTCTCACTGGAGAAATGGCAACAAAAGATGAAGTGTTAAAACGAATATCATCAGTGGCCTTAGTTCATATAGGAGCGCACGGTAAAATGGAAACTGGAGAAGTTATCCTAGCACCAAACACCACAAGAGATAGCCCTCAGCCGCTAGAGAAAGACTATCTACTGACGATGAAAGATGTCATAGAAGCTGGGTTGCGAGCACGTCTGGTTGTACTTAGCTGCTGTCACACTGCTCGTGGGGAGGTCATGGCCGAGGGTGTGGTCGGCATGGCGCGTGCACTTTTGGGTGCCGGTGCCAGATCTGTTGTGGTAACCTTGTGGGCGATTGGCGACGAGGGGACCCTGGAGTTCATGAGTTTCTTTTACGATGCACTTTCCAAAGGCAAGAAGGCAAGTGAAGCTCTCAATCAGGCCATGAAGTGTATGAGGGAAATTGAAAAGTTCAAAGAGGTGATTTACTGGGCACCATTTGTACTCATTGGTGACGACGTCATCCTGGATTTCAATGAGATTTAGAGGCTGCAGTAAGTAATAATTCTGTTGATAAATTCTATTCAGTACAAAGTTTCATTAAATCATAACCTTTGCTCATATGTAAGCAGTGATACGTGCGTGTTATTTTCCTTTCAGTTGGGTTACGAATTTATTTATTTATTTCTTCGCACACTGAGATGCAGTACAATCAAGTGGACACGTTTACGATAATATCATTCTTTTTTGGAAACATGATAGGAGTAAAATAGAAAATTTCTTTTAAAACAATCCTGTTGTGCAATGTATCGTTTCATGTGCTAAGAAATATTTCATGGCAATGCAACTATCCTCCCTAAACTTAGATTCTTTTATTTTTCAGTTAAGGCAGCGAGCATTGGAATCCCGGGGAGTTTTCGGATACCTACAAATGCTGATATTTGGACCAGAAACCAGTAAGCTACCGATGAAAGCTTTGTCAAGAGTCTTCTTTTGAAAGCAGGAAGGAGCAAAGGACGGCCAAAGTCAAGTTTAACAAGAGAACAGTTTTCCATTGATTTAGAAAGTTGCCTTTTTTGCTTGTCTGAACTGCTTTTACGAGCTTAATCTTTGATATCCTTCTCAAACTACTGTTTGTTTGTTTGTTTTTTTCATATGATGTCTTAAAATTATCATGACTAGCTATGTGAGAAGCTATTCTTGATCTAAGTATTTTCTACTGAGAGGATTTGGGCGTTACATTTACGTCGAGGTTGAAACGTCTTGAAAACGTTTTCCAGAGTTTTTTTCATAGTTTTTCACAGTCGGTTTAGTCTTATGAGTGATATAAAGCTATTACATGCGTGTGTAGAGAATTTCCATAGGAACTGGAGAATAATAAGTTGTCCGATTGTTCGATTATCTTAGTCTATGTCAGATGGAAATTGTGATGAACTTTTCGAAGATTTATACTCAGTCATTGGTACTTAAATTTAGTTTCTTCCGATCAGAATTCGGTTTATCTGGACTTAAAATTACAGATTTTGGTCGTAATGGCAAGGATTTAGTCTTGATATTAGTTAATTTTCTGAGATTTCTCCTTTAATTTTGAATGCGATAAATTGTGTTATTTTTTACAAGCAGATCGATGCATTTTAAATATATTGTTTAAACTAATCGTCCAAAGGCAAAACGAGAAGTTTTATTTCATAATTTTAGTTATGGCTTACAAAGAATTGATGGAAACTCAGAGCGAGTTGGAAAATTGGAGCCAAATGATTTTATTTAGTTTCTCCAATTAGATTGTTTATTTATTATCTAATTACAATAAACTAACATTTGAATGTCAAACAATGAAACAAGTTGCTTTGCATTTTGTTAGAATGGAAGAGGAAATCAATAACAAAGGGAAGAAAATTCCTGCATCAACCTGCATAAGTCATTTCTTGTCGTTTGAAGTAGTGGGTGCACCTATGTCTTATTCGCTTAATAACTTTTGCCCATTTCTTTGAATAGGTTTACTGAATGAGAGATAAACTTCGATATTTTCTGACTCTATAACTGCTAGTATCGATCATTGACAGCCGTTTCTCAGGATGTCACACGACGCACTTCTTTAGCACGTTATGTGACAGATATGATGTTTTGTCACATCTTTTTGTTTGGAGTAGCGAGCGCACCTATGTCCTATTCGCTCAACTTTTGCCCATTTTCTTGGATAGAGTTATTAAACGAGATATAAACTTCGATATTTTCAGATTTTATATCTGTCAGTTTCATTGGCAGCCGTTCCTTGGAATGTCACGCGACGCGTTTTTTTTATCATGTAAAGCGACATGACGTTTAGTCATATATATTGTTGAAGAGGCAAGAAAAAGGAAATTACCTTTCACTTTGGGAGATGATGCTTTCTTCTGTTTATAGAAAGCGTCCTCATCATGGGAGGTACCCTAGGTCGGTGTGGTTCCCCGTGTGTAGAAAATATTTATGATTTTTTTCCCACGATTGCAAACTTAATTAAAAGTCAGTTAAAAAAAACTGAAACTTTCTTAAAACTGAGGGCTGACCGATATAAACTTTTTACGGCTAGCGGTTAAAATTGTGGCCATTTTTCTGCTGCAGCTAACACTAAATAACACATTGTAGGAGGGAAAGATTTTTAAAGTTAATTTTTTCTACAACTAAGGGTTCAAATTTGTCAATTTTTACGCCTAACAGCTAGTTTTTTGACCGGTTTACGGCTAACGGTTAACCCCATGCAGACCCTCGACGGGTGACATGCAAGATGTGAAATAAAAACTGTTTCAGAAGGTGGCATTTGCAACTCGAATTTAGAGTGCTGGTTTTTGAGGAGTAAGGAAAACCGGGAAAAACAAGCCGTGGAAAAATCCCGGAAGTAAGGATCAACCTGAGAGAGACGGGCCTGAGGAGAGCGTTGTCGCTAGGCATTCCTGTTACGTTCAATCTGAGATGCTTAATGAAGTTAACGCGAAATATTCACCGAAGTGAGGGCGAGCAAGGATAAATTTACTTCCTCCTCTAAAGACCTTGTACCAGATCCAAAAAGTCAGTAAGCCCTTATATTTTGATTTCCCCCAGATCTAAAGAACTGCGACAACGTAATTGTTTCATCAGAACATCTCTACTGACGATAGCATATATTACAATCATTTTTAAAAAAGAGCCATGTGGAGGGGGAAGGGTGGGTTGAGGTTCCGTGTTTCCCCCGGGTTGGGAGTGTAGACGGCTACGTGGTTAGAGGACGGATTCTCAAGAATCTTAGAGCTACGATTTCAGAAGCTTAAGACAAGAATTTCCCTGAGTAATTGCTGGACTTAGACTTCTTTCGTCTTCTTGGATTTTCTCTTCGTTGTACATAACTCTACTCCATCTACCCACCTTAGAGCGGTTTTTTATATTATACCACACAGGCGAATGGAGCTCTTCGCGTGGGCTGATTGGCTAATTTGGAATTCATAGTCGAACCTGTATTAAGCGGTCGGTTGTCAAATTCGCGAATTTTTTTCCTCTTATGCATTGTCACTTTCAACACTTTTCAGCAGTGGTCTCATCCTTAACTGAGTCCCATCAGCCTGTTCGGGTTGTATGGAACGGTCACTTAGGGAGGAATCACTCGAATAAAAAGACGAATTCTCTCTGAAGTAAAATTTATTCCATATTTGTCTCCCAAAATCAATGTCAGTATTTAGAGTTCAAATGTCCTTAACGAATTGCAGATTATCATCCTTCTATAGGACTGTTTGTATCTGACAAATATTATACAAGAAAATTACAGAAGAAAAATCTTTTGTTGGTTAATTACCAAGAGGTCTAATTGTTAGAATTCTAATCTATTGTTCTGTTTTTACGCTGTAACATCATTTTGTTGATGTTATTTGATACATTTTTTTACATTTTTTTACATTTTTTTACATAAACGCGACATAAAATAAATGATGAATTATGGAATGAATTAAATGTTGTTTTCTTGTTTGTCTTTTGTCGTTGACCTGTATTAGACGGTGATAACACTCAGTGATAACAATCAGTTATATATATTTTATTAATTAAAACAGAGGAATCTTTTTTTTCCACTAGCTCATGTCGAGTGCTGGACTGCTGTGCAGGTAAAGAGGGTAGGTTTCTTAAGAAACTGTGGTGCTGCAACAGGGGGAGAGTATAGCAGTGTAATTTTGTATTATTAACTGAGTTGATAATGTAAATTGGCCACTGCAAAGAGTTTAAAAATTGAAGTTTTGAGTGTTAGGTGATGAGAATACTCAAACTGATGAGGTAGAGGATGTTTTCTTGATCTAACACAAAAGTTTTCACAACTGATGAATATGCAGATGTGCAGCAGCTACTGAGGGTAGAATTAATTAATAATCAGATCTTGGGAGTTAAAGAGTAAAAGAACTCACAGACTTCAACAAAGAGTAATGAATGTGGTTCCCAGTGTGGTCATCTGGCCTTGTTATCATTTATAGAGGCAATGTAAACCTGTTTTTAAAAGCCGAACTGAGCCAGCCTGTATAAATATTCCAAATAAATAGAGAAATAACTTAATATCAAGTTTACACCCACATCACAAATGGAGGCTAGGTGCCCAAGGTGCCCAGGAGCTGCAACTACAGTCACAACCCAAGGTGCTAGAACACCCGACTGGCCTACCCAACCCGTAATCCAGCTGCAAGCCTCTTACTCCAAGCCCCCTCTGAGCATCTGTCACACTAGAGCCAAATGGTGAATAAATAAAACAGATAAATAGAAATAACCCCATTATAACTAAGAGAGTCATGAAAATGCCACCCAAACCAGCAGCACATCCCCTTGCCTTAAGTATATATTACAAGTAGCAACTTTTTTGAAAAAAGTACATGTAGCTGGGTGTCACTCAGACTTAGGTACAACTACTTAAAAGTACACAATGATCAGACTAGATAGTGTTTACCTCCAATATAAACCTTAACCTTTTTGCTCTATTAATCAATTCTGTACTCACATCAGTAAACCAGGATATCCATTGTGGTTTTGAAGTCCAGATTTGACCCTTTGCTTGACAAAGGCCAGTATAAAATTAATGACAAGCTTAAAAATAACAATAATAGTTATCAATTGTGCAAGCATGAAATTACAGGTGAAGTTTAATTTTCCAACTGCTTTCCAGGCGTCATCTGCAAAAAACCGCTTCAATTTTTCAAATTTGAAAATTTTTAGCTAAAACCGTAGCTCCCAAAAATATTTCTCACCTTGCCTAAAAAAATTTCAAAAGAAATTTTTAAATTTTTCACAACTTTGCCTATTCCTGCCCGTAGGTCCAGCCAAGCGCTTATGATCATTGGCCCCCGCAATAGCCGCTAACAATGGCCTACAAATATAGGCGTTTAGTGTTAACTTGTAAAACTCCCTGAAGAAGTTTACGACAGTTAGACGAAACGCGTCAGAGAATAAAGAAGTTTTACAACCACTGTTCGCACAGCGCTGCTCACTAGTTTAGTTTTAAATTTTTTAAAAATTTCTTTTGAAAAAATTGTTTAAATAATTATTAAAAAATGATTGAAAAACAAAAATTATTAAACGTTTGAGTCGGAGCTATTCCTGTCAGCGGTGAAATACATGAATGACTCCAGTCACTGGTCGTCCGCCTGAACTGACTGTATAAGTTTAGTCAGCGGAGCTAGTCAGCAGATGACTTTTTCATCGCTGAACAAGAAAGGCTGCCTTCCCTTCGCTACGTTAGTAGATAACCATTTCTTGTTTTTACACATCAGTGTTTTCACTCGCATTGACATTTCATTGTTCCGCTTTGAGACACGTTGTTAACAATACTCACGAGCAAGGAGTTAAGATATAACTTATTAACTTTTACTATTTTTATCATCCAATCACAGTTCGGAGCCATTCCTGTATTTAGTCGCTTGTTTAATAGGACTTGAAATATCAGAAACATGAAAGTGTATTTTCCTCTTCATTGCCTGAAAGCAAAAAGTGGCTTCATCTTTGGTTGGAAGAATGAACAAACAAGTACCTTTGTCGCTGCATCGGTCATCCATCCACGCGAAATCTATGACAGTTTTTGCGAACGAGTTTTTGACGAATGTGCTTTGTACCTTGTTGGAGTTTGGCTAAATGAAAACGATGAGAAATCTGTCGGTCAAGTGTTTGCTGTGTTAAAAACCTTATCCAGATCGTTAACTGACGGACTATTCATTCTACGTTTGATAAGGTTCACCGACACTTTTCATTTGTGCCATGTCGGAAACTCGTTGATAACGAATGGATCTGTGGTAATTTTTTACAAACAACCTACTGGAAATGCGTTTTTTACCACCTCACCAGCAGTTCCAGATGGCATTAAATTCTGGAGGAAATCAGAAGCGTTGCTGAAGCAAACATGCCCCACAGAATTATCCAACGTCATTGAACTTCTGAATAACTCCCACAAAGCAGAAGAGAGTATTTATAGATTGTTTGAAACACAAACAGAAACTCTTAGAAAACCAATTCGCGAGATTTGGAGGCTTTTGTCCAACTTTGGCATGAAAGTTGTTATTTTGTTTTATGCCTTGTTTCATCAAAGGCAGCAGGAAGAACACCTAGTTGTAATTGAGACAATCAAATTCTTTTCAGGATTATCTGCTGTGTTTTTGCAATTGTTTACACGTGTTAGGCAAATGAGAGCTCTGGTGCTGTGTTTTAGCAATTCTACAGCTCTAAAGGACAAACTAGATTATACTGGCCACTCAACAGAGTCAAGAAATTCACCTATGAAGACTGGTGCAAGGATAAAGAGCAATGTTTTTCCTGTGGTGTGGTTTGGCAGTTTTCTTAGTGCAGTTGCAATTGATGTTGTGTTGGGACTTTTCATTGTGTTATGGCTCTTTTCAAATGGTTACAACACATGCGCTACTGACTTAATGATGGAAAAGACTGATGCTGTTGTTCAGTGGATTACCTCTTTACTGGAGTGGTTACAAGGAGCCCCAGCTGGGCTCAAAATAAACCAAAAGCTAGCAGAATATTTGAGCATTTTCTTTCTTTATCACCTGTTTCTTTGGCAAATTTACCTTAGCTATATTGAACCGTATCTTCAGATTATCATCAGTTTTATCATCATGTCAGGTTGTTTTGGAGCAACATTCTTGTTGTCTTTGGCATCAGATGTTATGTCTTTGATAACACTCCATATTTACTGCTTTTATGTGTATGCTGCAATGCTGTATAACTTCCAGCTACAGAAGTTGTTGCTGTTGGCTAAACTATTTACAGGTTAGAGATGGTTTGTTTAACCTATTAAATATATACTGACTCTCCCAGATTATGAGATACAAAAGGATTCTTGAGCTCCCAGATTAAAGATCTTTTGTACTAAAGTAGATATGGATACATTTCTTTTCTGTGGAAGAAAGGAAATTAATTTCATTTGTTGTCAGAATTTTTTGACAGGGATGAGGGGGGAGCTGGTTATCTAATCAAGTTGATTTTATCCTCTGTGTTGGCTTATACCAATAGAATTGAGGAGAAAAAAGCTAAATTTAACAAGTTTGAAAATATTTTAAGCAAGGAAAAATTTGAACCACAACTTAACTGTTGTAGCTAGAAATGAAAGTTAGATTCAAATGGTTTTATTTGTTTTCTCCTTTGCTCTAAGCACATTTTGATCTTTCTGGGGAAATACAAATCAAATAAGTTTGAAATTATTTAAACCTGAAATTATTTAAGCAACAGCATAGAGATATGAATTATCTCAATTCTTCCCTGGACAGCTTACAGGACCTGAGTGTGCTGATCAAAGCCTCAAAGAGAGTTTATAGAAAACTATTCGAGAATGAAGATGTCAAGTCCTATATTGAAATTTACTTTTAAGTTGTGACAAACTGAAAGCATGCTTTTCTTTCACTTGTTCATCAGGTAGAAAATGGAATGTTGAAAAGAATCAAGAGGACATTGTTCCATACAGGGTGGACAGACTGTTTTTAGGAACCCTGTGCTTCACCATCCTCCTCTTCTTGTTGCCGACAACTGCCATGTACTACGTTGTGTTTACCGCCCTGCGACTGATTGTCCTGTTTGTGAAGGGTGCTGTCAATAGAATCATCGGTATGATGAATAATCTACCAGTGTTTCCACTGATCACTGCTTTCTTCAGACCAGATCTGATACCAGGTAAATATTGAAATTAGTACTTCCATAATGCAGATGGTGTTTGATCAGTGTATCTGACAATGAAATCCAAACTATCTTGGGATGACATCCTTTCATGTAGAATTTCCCTAAGTTTTCTAACCCAAGGGGCAAAATGTTCCACATCTGTTCTAATGTCAACTAATATAACATTGTAATTTTTATTGATTTTCTTTAGGAGGCATCAAGTTTGAATATGTTAACTCATTGGCTCCTTCAGAAGCAGAACGCAACACACTGCAGGATTTTCCTCTGGACATAACAGCTCCTTCACCAACTGTTCTACTAATTCTTCACAATCAACCACTTCCCATCACAGAACTGTTTACTCAGCAGTTGCTTGAAAAGTTCCCAGATCAAGATGAATACAAACAGGATTGGCTGTTGTTAATCAAGAATTTGGCCAAAGGAGAACTGATTTATCCATGGGTGAAATCAAGGACTTTCGAGAAAGAGGCAGTTCATTAATTGAAAGCAAAAGGGTTATGTTGATGGTCTACCTCTGAACTGTCAGGGCATAGCAGAGACACCTGTACACCTTATGTAGAAACCATCTCTTTGTTCTGACTAAGATGTTACTTCAATCAGAATTATCTAACAGTGTTTGATTACTGACTTAGGATGGCTATTGACAATTTGCCTTCTTATCCCAAGCATGACCGATTCAAATTATTAAATTACTGCATTGCCAAGCAGTCTCAGTCTTGTTGATGAAAATATAGAAGTAAAATAAGCAGAAGAATATAGTTTGATTAAAAGCCAAATTCTCGGAACCCAAACTCTAACAGATGTATTGTTGACCATAAGGAGAATCTTTATTTAAATCTTTGGAGGATAAGGAACAGGAAATTCAGCATGTTGTTTGGGATTTGATTGAGATGTGGCTTGACCAGAGTTTTTTGCTCAATGGCCAAGTGAGCAAAAAAATAGCTGCTATATTAGGACAAGGAAATCTTCTTGCACTGGATGACTCAGGGTGAATTTGATTTAATCCCCATTGTAACCTCAGGCATTTTAACTTGCTCATCTTGACAAAACTCCTTCTGAAGGCAGCTTGGAAATATGGCTTGGCAATGAGACATTTCCAGGATTGAACATTGAATAGATGTATCTGTTATATTAATCCTTTAAACCCTAAGAGTGACAAGCATCTAATTTCTCCTTACAGTAATACTGCGGAATCATTCATTAAGATCATGAGAATAAGGGAAAAAATTGCCAACCAGAGAAACTTTGATTGTTAAACCAATTCTCCTTGTCAGCACCAAAAGAAATGTATAGAGGAGTGTATGGAGAAAATGGATACTGATGTTATGGTGTAAAGGGTTAAGAGGCATCATAGGGACTCCTCATTACAAAAAAATTGTGAAAAACATATAATTATATCAAAAAATGAAGTAACTAAAGTGAAATCAAAGTCCTGAAGCACCTGCCCTGAAGCACACTTTAACCCTTTAACTCTCATAGGTGACCAAGGAAGAATTTCTCCTTACAATATCAATAGGATATCAACTAGCTTAGTGATGAGAATAAAGAAAAATATCAATTTGGGGATAATTAGTTGATCCAGTACAAAATTCTCTGAACTAACATGATAAAAATTGTATGGTTGACAGTAAGAGGAATTACTAATTTGATCTGGGAGTTAAAGGGTTAAATAAGACTTGCATTCAACACTTAAAAGTAAAGCTAGAATCAGAGACCAACATTACACCAACCACACCTTATTTTTATTTAAGAAACCTTTTGGATATAGTTTGTATAGGTGTACTATACTACTTGCCTACAAGACATTTTGCTCTTTACAACATTATATTACAGTAACTACCCTGCTAGAAATTCTAGGTTTATTGTACTGCTTGCTTAAACTACTGCTTGAATTACTTACTTCTGTATTCTTATAAGTAGGCATAACATCAATTGCTGAATGAACTTCACACTTGGTCTATGCATGCCATCTTAATACACACTAAATTTTTCACTCTCCACCCGAGTCTTGCAGCCAACAACATCATGGGAAAACTAACCGATCAGTTAAAATGAACCAGACTTTTTGACCAACAACAACCATTCACTTAATTCTGATGATGACTTCTGCTCAGGTTGTTAAGACATTGGCCATTACTACTGTCAACAGTCCTTATCAGGACAACACTCACCCAGACAATAAGACCACACTATCACGTGTTTCCCACGGGTTACCCTCATTTACTGTGTATTTTTTTCTATGTATCCCAAAGTATAACCACTTTCCTGCAGTCTGTAAATAGCCAACCAGTCTTCCTTTAGCAATTTGTGACTTTTAAACAACTAACATTTACTTAGAAATTTGTTTTATTCTTTATCTACAATGGCCCTGGAAAGCCCCAGGAAGCAAAGAGTCAACAAAGTCATTACAATCAGTTGTTTACTTTTCTCAGTGTACTGATTATAATAATTTTAATTATTAATAACCCTTCAATTCCCAGAAGTGATTAACAAGCAATTTTTTCCAATAATATCCATACATTATCCAGCAAACAAGTAAATAAATGAAAAAAACTCAAACTTATCAGGTAGAAGACATTACCTTGATCTAACACCAAATTCTTGTCACTAATTTACAAGGAAGTATGTAGTAGGTAGCAAGGAGAATTGACAACCAGATCTTGCAAGTTAAAAGGGTTTAATGATGCCCTTAAAATAAAAAACCTGCTACTTCTGATGAAAAAAGGAAAGCCAACCATGTTAGAACAAAACAAGTCTTCCATGACATGTATTCTTAAGTTACAAACTATAATAATTAACCATCATATTTATTACTTTTACAGCAGAGCTTATTATCCAGTTACAGCTTGGCCAGAGCACTCTTAGAAGTTTGTTGCACGCAGGGATGCATCACTTGTATGTACACCATTGGTACCTTCAGGTTTTGGTGTGTATCTGTCAAACTGTTCCAAGGGAATGTCCTCTTCTCGTGCAGTGTAATCCATTGACATCAGGTCATTGCGGGACAGGTGCTCAACAATACCAGCCCCATAGGCATCACCAATGACGTTCACAGCAGTGCGGATACGATCCCTACAGTCATGAATGAGAATTGTGCAAAATTTAGCTCACACATTTAAGTATCAGCTCATAAGATACCATATGCCAAGGAAAAAGAAGATTGTCAAAATGAGGTAACAACCATGTTTATCAGGTCTATGCCTACTTGACAACCTTAGTGGAAGACATAACTTGACTTTGATGATGATGAGTTTTTGATCATGACTGATGATGAAAGTCCTCAACCCTGCTTATGACCACCACAAAGATTTTCAAATAGTCCGTCACTACTGCGTATGATACCCTTTAATGTTTTAATCCACAGATGTTTTGCACTCATTCAATTTGCACCCAAATTCAGTTGATTCTAACCCAGTTTGTGCCAGTTCATGCCTGACCTGCTGGTCAATTCATACCTATCCCAACATTCTGTGGTAAATCACAACCCAGGAGATCTCAAATGTTACCCCTTGATCCAAACCATTAACCCTTTAATTCCCAGATCAAATTTGTAATTCTCCTTACTGTCAACCATACAATTCTTATAATGTTTGTTCAGAGAATTTAGTATTGGATCAAAGAATTATTCCCAAATTGATATTTTTCTTTATTCTCTTCACTTATCTGGTTGATATTGTATTGATATTGTAAGGAGAAATTCTGTGTTGGTCACTCATGGGAGTTAAAGGGTTAACTGTAACAAAGCCAAGGAACTGAACAACTTACTTAAGGTCAAGCCATTTGTTACCTGACTAAATTCAATGTTTTCCAAGCAGTGTACGGAATTATTTTCATTTACATTGCTACCAGAAATTGATGATTTTACTCCTTGTGGCAAAAATTATCTTAAGCCATTTACAACTGGAAGTCACAGGGAGAACCTACATGAAGCAACTTGAATTACACATATTTTCAATGGTAGGCTTTATAAATATATTTCTAAAAAAGGGAAAATTTAACTGAAACAATAGCTTACAAAAACCAGTCCACTGCTAAGATGAGACCAATGTCATCAGTGGGTAGATTGACAGCTTGGAGGACCAGCACCATGGTAACCAGTCCTGCTTGTGGTATTCCTGCGGCACCAATAGAAGCTGCAGTGGCTGTGAAACTACAGGAAGATGGACATAAATAACTTTTAGTAAAGCTACTGTGTACAGAGAGTACATGGTGACTTAAAGGTAAACATTTGGGATATTGAAGAGCAGATCGAGAGGTTCACCTCAAGTTTTGAACCCTGTCCATGTAAATTTTTAGTGCTCTAGGCAATTAACCCTTTTGCCCTTAAGAGTGACTAACATCTAATTTTGCTTTACAATATCCCCCCCCCCCTGAATCAAACATGAAGGTCAATGAAAATAAACAAATTGATCACCAACTAAAGGGGATGTAGATTGTTAACCCTTTACAACCTAATATCAGGAAAGGTATTCTCCATACTGTTTCTCGTACATTCTCTTAGGCACTGACGAGGAGAATTTGTGTAACAATCTACAGCCTCTTTAGCTGCTTATAATTGTCTTTATTCTCATGACCTTACTGCATGATTCAGGGTGATATTGTAAGGAGAAATTGGATGCTTGTCACTCTTAGGGGTTAAAGGATTACACAAATTCTCCCAATCAGCACTTTAGGAAATGTATAGAGAACAGTATTTATCTTTAAAAATTTGGTGATAAATCAAACATTATTTCCCAGATGAATTTTTTAAATTTTTCTCGTCACTTTTCTAGGTGAAAATGCATAGCTGTTGTGAGGAGAATATTTTTTTCTGTCATTCCTAGTTTTACCCCTTGCTTACCATGTTGTTATCAGCTGTCCAACATTCAGAGTGATGCCATTGGCCTGGGCAATAAACACAGCAGCAACAGCTTCATACAAAGCTGTACCATCCATATTTACTGTTGCACCAAGAGGTAGCACAAAACGACTGATGCGGGCATCAACTTTGTTATGCTCCTCAAGACAACGTATGGTGGTTGGCAGAGTTGCAGAGCTGGAAAGATAAAGAAAAAAAACATTTTAAAATTATCAACTTGCCATTGGTTTTCCTTGCTCATCTATTCTGACCCACTCACCAAACCAAACAACTTCCCTTTCTGAGCTTTTAAGTCAATTAATTCAAGACTAATAAAGGAAGTTACCAACTCAGAGTCACAAGTGAACATATGGCTAACTCGCTAAAAGAAAAGCGCATAGCAGTAGAACTTTCAACTGGGCAGTTTTGATTAAAATATGAGGTGATGCAGCTATAAACACTCCATAAATTATTTAGCTAACTTACGTGCAATATAAGCTGCATAGGGTGATCTAAACTTTCTGTACCCTAGTGCTCTCTACTTCCCAGCCTTTAACATTAACTCCTGTATCCTTCATTATGAAATGCAGCAGATTAAGTGTTAAACTTAATGTTGGCATTTGGACATTTCTTTCTTACTTCCTGTCCACAATAATGCCCTTCACTTCCTGTCTCTTGCAACCCTTCACTCCCCTCTCTGGCTAATAAGCTGAATGATCTATACTCTCTACCTATTTGCTGGAAAATATACAGACATTGTGTGGAGAAGTTACATATTGATCACGTCTGGGAGTTGCAACACTGTGATAAAAAAAGAAACATTTGGTTCTCTGTTTCCTACTCTTACACACCTTGAGGAGGTTCCAAATGCTGTGATTATGGCATCTCTCAAACCAAGAAAATATCTCAGAGGATTCTTATGCACTACTATCAGATACAGCACTGGAATAATGATTATTGCATGGATCAGTAAGCCTGCTATCACTGTTGCCATGTACATGCCGACCATATTTAATGACTCAAGGATGTCATTCATTGCTGCCACTTTTGCTGCTATTAGGCTGCAGATACCAATTGGAGAAAACCTGCAAACAAACTTTGACAATTAGTTTATCAACTTTTGAAACAGAGGTGAAGTTATATTGATTTTAATACCAGAAATCTTACGACACAACTCAAATAAATTAACCCTTTACACCCGAACGTCAGAAGGCATATTCTCCATACAGGTCTCAATGTGTTTCCTGAGGTATTGAAAAGGAGAATTTGTTTAACAATCTAGAGCTTCTATCACTGGTGATCATTTCCTATTTTCTGGTGACCGTCATGTGTGATTTTGGGGGTGATATTGTAAGGAGAAATTTGATGCTAGTAACTCTAGTTAAAAAGTTAAATCATTGTAATTCACATTGTATACCTTATAACTAAAATTTATTTTTAAAGACAGTACAGGAGAAGTTACCTCCTTTAATGGAAATATACCCAAAAATCAATCCCTTGTCTTACATGTAATTTGAGTGTGTGCTTATTCATTCAATATTTGGTATCCCTAATTATCAAATAATAGTAGGGTTTAAAACACCAATTAGCCCAAACAGGACAAACAGGTATTTAGTCAGTAATACTTCTAGCGCAGGAAAGAATCCTGGACTTTTTGTGGGAGGGGGGGTACCCCACTAAGGAATGAGGTTAATGATAGGTGATGTAAATAAATTTTAAAAGCAAATAATGAAGAAGGCAGCTTATCACTAGGCAATAACATGATGTAAACCGCTAAGAATTTATAACCCTAAAATTATATGAGAAAGCTGAAGCTCATCTAAAGGGGGGGGGGGTGGGGGTGCACCTTTCCTTCTTCTCGAGACTCATCCTTACATTGACTAACTTACTCCTGACATCAGGTATTTTAATTTTATGTGATATTTTTTAGATTTAATAGGATAATGGAAGGCCATGTAAAGGCATACACTTGAAGATCTAGGGCAAATGTCTTATTTTTTTTCAATAAATTCATTAATACACTCATTGTTAAGTAAACAAACATTTTGTAACCTGGCCTTATCACTTACCACATGACCAACGTCACCATCTTCATTACCACCTCGTTCAGTGCTTCAAAGAAAGCCTTCAGGGGCATGCCACGTTCACCAATTCTTCCCAAAACAATTCCAAACACAATGGAAAACACCACAAGTCCTAAGACATTGATTGATCCCTTTGGATCTACCATCAGCCCGTCAGGAACAGTGTTGGAACTACCCTTGGTCATGACTTTCTGCATTGCCCATGATCCATTTGGAAATGTCGTATTTTCCATTTTATACACTGGCTCACTTGTTGTATATTTGGTTTTTTTCTGAAACAAACAAAAATGTCGTCAATGAGTATTGTTCAAAGATCTAATCACTACTCAGAAAAGTAATTCTCCAAAGGTTATTTGTTTCTAAAACTTTTGAAGGATTTAGGAAAAAGAAGCAATATGGTCAAAATTTTTTATTAATTAGAAAGATGCCCACCATTTTATGAATCCAAGTAGAAAAAATTATCCATGCAGATGAGCAGCAATTTCGGAAGTGACAGGAAAGAAGCTTTAACGAGATTCATGCAAGTCATATGCCTCCCAAAAACTAGGAAAAATAATCTTACCTAGTACATTTAATTGTGACCTAACCCTAAAAAAAGTACTTGGGATGGAGAAGGGGGGTGCTAATGGTGATGGATTAGCATGCAATCCAAGAACACTCTCTGTGGCTTAACAAAAGAGAAAGTGGAATATAATGGCTATTATTTGGCTCACATGCAAACATTGGCAACAAAATTAAATAACCATAAGTTCCAGAAAGAATAATGAAACTATTTTGGGTATGCATGAATAAAACAGACTTGATGCACAGGACAGATCAACAGAAAACATTACAACCACTTAGCTATCATTTCATTGTTAATGAACCCTTTAACTCCCAAAGGTTATTAACAATTAACTTCTCCCTACAATATTCATGCACTATCCAGCAAACAGGAAATGAGAATACTAAAATGTATCAGATAGAAGTTGTCATCTTGATCTACCATTGAATTCTCATAACTTATTTACAAGGAAATGTGTAGCAATTAGAGAGGAGAGTTAACAATCAGATCTTGGGAGTTAAAGGGTTAATTTATTCAATGTTTACTATACCTGCTGAAAGGTTGCTGCAACTATGTTACTTGGGAAACAGCTCCTGTAAAAGGAAATATGTAAGGAAATTTTAATGATCATTAATTTCAAAATTAATGAATACTTTTGATTGAATGATAACAATTAAATTCTTGTAACTGGAACTTTCTCTTTACTTCCACTCAAGTTTCTTTCAGACCTTAAATGTAACTCTGCAACAATTCTTTGATTTGGTGATTTTTACAAAATGAAGTTGTTAATCCTGGGCAGTTGATATATGCTGAATTGTATTCAAAGCAACTTCCTGCTAAAGAAAAACCTTAAATTTTCCTGTGAAAAATCTCTCAAATTAACATGATATTTCCTGCGAAAAAATCTGGAGAGACATTTTCAGCAAAGACATGATTCAAATTAGGCAGAAATTCAAGAAAATTAAGAAAATTGAACGAAATGAATAGTTATTTCCTCCAAAGAATAATTCAGCTCAACAAGAAATTTCCTGCAAAAACCTGTTAGTTGAACGAAAATTGATTCAAATTCGCGTAAAATATCCAGTTCAAAAACCTGATAATATAAGTGAAAGACGAGTATGGTTAACAGGAAATTTGCTACCAAAAATCTGGTCCTTCCTACGAAAAATGTTGCAAATTTTAATTAAATTTCCTGCAGGAAGAGTTCCCACTCATTATATTTATTCACAGGTTAATCCTGACATATTCGCTTCGAATAATCCCTTTCATATTTTAAGATAAAATATGAATAATCTGATATCAGTGTATTTCTTGGAGATCGAAGAATTCTCCAGAAAATGTGCCATTTTGTTTGTTTCAAGTGCTCTTCCCAATAGCTGTAATGTCAACAAACCCACGCCATATGAATAATTTGTTGTGAAAACTGTGCTAAGAAACTATATAGAGATAAAAAAGTCTCGCAAAAAAAACTTTAAGATTCACACTTTCAAAAAATGTTAACTGTTCGCGAGATATAAAGAGAAAGCCGCTAAAAAGTGTGGGTCATTTCAAATTCAATTTAAGTTCGTGACTTTGAACGCCGCTGAAACTTATTTGTTTCTATTTCTAGACGTTTCTGCTCGGAAACTTGTGCTTCCTACCGATATTCAGTGTCCTCATACGACTGACACCAAAGGTTTTCTCTTGCCAAATTCAGATCCAGTTAGGATCGAAAGGATTATATTTGATCGATTAAATCGTGATAAAATTGCGACTTAACGAATAAAAAAAGCTCTTTCGCAACAGGAAAAGTAAACAACTCCTTTACGGACATAAAACAGCAATATCGGTTTCTCCGAAAATTTCAAACTTCTTTCCTTTGCGATAAGACTGTAGCAATAAGTTTATAATGTAAAGATAAGGATCTTTTTCATATCACTTTAGTGGTATCAGTGTCACGTAAGAGTCAGAATACTCGTTTTAACAAACATAAACCTTCATAAACAAGTCGAAACGACATTTCGCACCCTGACGTGACCCTAAGGGCAAAAGAAATAACTAAAGCCATTAATTTAAATGGATAGTTTAATGTGGAAAATTCTAATAAAAATTATTAACTGCGTATTGTGATAAATTACCTGATCAGATCCAAAAATGCATCCAAGGTTCTCACAGGTTGTACTTCTTTCTTCCCAGTTTTTTCCTCGTCAGTTTCCCCAGGCCTGATGGCCACTACCAACACTATTCCAAGAATGACTGCCAAGATGGTCGTCGATAAATAATAAACAAGAGCTCGTCTTCCAACACGGCCGGTAGCTTTCGCGTCAAGAGATGCCAACGCACAAATCAAGCTAGCCACAATTAAAGGAAGAATCAGCATCTTCAGCATACTCATGAAAAGCTCGCCAGCGAATCCGATCAACATCAAAACCGTTTTCTTGTCTTCGACATCTTCGATGTTATTGACTGGTTCGTTGACGAGAGCTCCGATAACAAAACCGATCACGACACCAATGATTATAAGAACAAGCAACAAGTCTTTGCTAACTCGCCGCATACATCCTGAACAACAACCACAGCACTTGCTCCCTCCTGTTGAAAAAACACCTCGGCCGTTTCCTTTCGCCATATCTGCGCCGTACGAAATAACTTTGACTGGTTTCACTACTGTTTGGTCGTGACCTACTGGCTGTTTCAATCCTCTAGTGTAAAAAATACACCCCAAAACTTTTTAAATAAATGCAAATGCACCCACAATGCACACAATTTCAACAACCTCGGAGGCTTTTCGTTGGGCGAAACCCAAACAAACAGAAGCTATTCAGTGATCCGTCACGTGTCTTCATTCAAAGGGAAATCATAAGGTTCGATACGTTGCAACCAAAGGTACAGTGATATGTGAAGTAACATTCACAAGCGCGAAAATGAAAAATATGAAAGAATTTAGCAAAGGAGGAAAACAAACTGAAGCACGTGCAGAAGTTGTTTCAGTTTCCGCGCTCTCTGAAACCAGAGGCCGCCGTTTGGATCCCACCCCCATCCCCAGAGAATATTTCACTCTACCCAAGTCATTACACATTAGTACAACACATCCTAAACAAAAGTTTTTTGAAGAGAGATGCCAGCCCAGCATTCCTCTCACGTGTTTGCCCTTCAGAAGGAAATTTCTTGGTTCTATGAGTTCGAAGAACAAATCTGCAATCATCGTGAAATAATTTGAAAGGATTAACATCGGGATCTTATCCAACGAGCTTCAGCAACAAAAGGCACGTACTATCAAATGCAAAGTTATTTCCTAGGGCCTTCCCCACCCCCTCCCGCTGAGTTCCATCCACAGGGCATTTTAATTTAATGTTACCCAAATTGATACCGAGAAATGTTTGAAGAGAGGTTGAAGAAGACTGTAACTTATGCCTGGATCTCGAATTCAAATTCCCCGATAATACACTCTTATCAGGGCGTAGCCTAAAAGGAGGAAGAGCGTATTTAGAGCAGAAAAAGATAAGACAGAAAAGAAAGCACTCAAAGGCATAAAAATAACCCTGGTTTATCTTTTGTTTTCTTTTCGTCTCTTCATTCAAAAGGCTTTTTTTCGCCGTATCGCTCTGCATGAGAAATTATTTAGATCTGCACCAGAGAATTGGACATTGCTGTAACCAAGAAAATTTTTGGCAAAATTTCCGTCAGGAATTCAACTAAATAAACGTAACGCATTCTTGAGATTCACATAACACAAAATAAAGTTTCCTTTTTTCTTTTGCCCAACTAAAGCATGAACATCTGACAAAATTACCGGAGGCGTTTTAAGCTCATGTCTCGAGAAAGCCAAAAAAAAAAAAGTCCATCTGTTCAATTGTGAAAATACCACGCGTTGCATGTGTGAGCTCCAGCAACGTGAAACTCCAACCGGAAGGTCATCTCCATAACACACTATCTTAGTATTTTTGTGGGCGCTCTCAAATGTTTCCGACGAGCGTCTGTGCAATTTTTACAAGGGAAGTGCCCATCGGAAAAGTAAGAGGGGATGACAACATAGTGCTCATACTTCGCCTGTCAAATTACTTTTGTTTTGAAATAACCTACAAGTTTCCTGTAGTAAAACAAAAGGAGGAAAAAAAGGAGCGTGAACTTGGCGGGAAACGCGCGAGCTAGGCGAGAGTCACGCGAGGGCACCTACCACTCAGGATCATTTCGAAGTAGTTCTCCACGCTCTGATGTCTTGTTTTGCCGGTCATATTTTACCAAATTGTTAGCTATCATATTTATTTTGACAATCACTGCTACACAGATTCCTTTATCTTAAAAACCTAAGTCAACGTGAAAAAACCGTTGCTGTCAAAAATATTTCAATGATTATCAAAGAGTTAGGAAGTTTGAAAAGAAACAATTTTCACCAAGGAGGAACTGAAGCATAAAGTTGAAATGTAAACGTTTTGGTTCATTCGAAGACCCTTCCCTTGTGAGTCCTGTTTTTGTAAAGAAAGACGAGACAAAATGGGCCCTTGTTATTTCGTGTGCAAGTAATTAATTCTACTCTACTATTCAGCCGAATTTTTTTTCACTTTCTATTTTGCCATTCCTTTTAAAAGCAGTGATACATCCATCTTCACACGATCTTGTCTTTAAGTTATGCCGATTTTCTAGAGGCCATAAGTCAGAGAGCGACGTTAAAGATGACGAAAGACATTCTGTGCGTGCATAAAAAGGTTTAGATTTGGAATGTGTGAAAATGCTGGGCCTGAAGATATTTCCCTCTAGAGAGGAAATATTTACGTGGTCATTGCTTTTAATCATGTGGTGGCTCCTAAAGGAGCCGTTTGTGTTTTGTAGTGGTGCAGTCCGCCTAAGCTCGTTCTCCGCGGATTCGGCGGGCCAACTGAATGTCCTTGGGCATGATGGTGACACGCTTGGCGTGGATGGCGCACAAGTTGGTGTCTTCAAACAGACCAACAAGGTAAGCCTCGCTAGCTTCTTGAAGAGCCATTACCGCGGAGCTCTGAAAACGCAGATCTGTCTTGAAGTCTTGAGCGATCTCTCGCACAAGACGCTGGAAGGGCAGCTTGCGGATCAACAGCTCGGTGGATTTCTGATAACGACGGATCTCACGAAGAGCGACCGTACCAGGCCTGTAACGATGAGGTTTCTTGACTCCACCAGTGGCAGGAGCGCTCTTACGAGCTGCCTTTGTGGCGAGCTGTTTTCGTGGAGCTTTTCCACCGGTTGATTTTCGTGCAGTTTGCTTCGTACGTGCCATCCTGTTCAACGACTCTGAATAACTGATGATAGAAAGTTATGTATAGAAATTGATTTATACCTGGCGGGCTTACTTGTGATTGGCTCAAAATGAAGAGATTTGATTGGTTAGGTACGAAAGCTGTGAATAATTTTATGGATCTGCTATGTTATTTGGATCCGAAGTAACATGGAAGGTCGTTTAGGCATAAGCCAAATAATATCCTCATTTTAAATTTAATATATAGTATAGCTAGAGAGCAAAAACAATTCTCAGCGAATGTTTCAAGAAACTTTGGATCAGGAAGTGAGTTGCTTTCCATCGAAAACATACGCGCGCGGGAATACCGTGTGATTTATGCTAAGACATGTTAATAAAACAGTAAAATTATGCTCAGACATTTGACTCAACCAATAGCAACCCTTATTCCCATTCTGTTTTCTGAGAGGTCTCATCTTTCTGTATAAAACCTAATAACGTTCGTTCAATTGCCATAACTCAAACACACGGCTGATAATCAACATGTCTGGTCGCGGTAAAGGAGGTAAAGGTCTCGGAAAAGGTGGCGCCAAGCGTCACCGAAAAATCCTTCGTGATAACATCCAAGGTATCACCAAGCCAGCCATCCGTCGTCTTGCTCGCCGTGGCGGTGTCAAGCGAATCTCCGGCTTGATCTACGAGGAGACCCGTGGTGTTCTCAAAGTCTTTCTTGAGAACGTGATCCGTGATGCTGTGACATACACCGAGCACGCCAAGAGAAAGACTGTGACAGCCATGGATGTGGTGTACGCTCTGAAGAGACAAGGCCGCACTCTGTACGGATTTGGCGGTTAGACAGACCATCCTGCCACAATACAAACGGCTCCTATAGGAGCCACCAAATACAAAGAAAGTCATGATCATGTTTGTTGCGAGCGCTTTTATCTCGCTCATACAGATAATTTGCTTTAGAAAATGACTGCACCATCCGCTCGCGTCACGATTTGGGCTAGTATCTCGGAAAAGGAATCTTGCGCGCAAATGAGGAACAAATAAAATCTCGTCGGCACTACTGGCCAGCTTTCTCTTGTCCCTCTACCTTCCCTTCCTCTAACCTTGTTTCTTCAGTTGAATACTTATACAACCATAATGTTTTTCGATAAGGCTATTCATAATTTAACTGCATATTTCGCTTGTTGCTTGTTAGTAACCTGCATCACTTTCCTCCCTTTCCGAGTGTTCTTTTATGAATCGCATGAGTATAAATTGAACATAAAATCAAAATCAAACCAGCTCACTTGCAAACTGGAATTAAACGCAATTTCTTATAACCGCCAGTAACGTTGGCATAAAAGATTCAACGATAAACGATTTTTGGCGCGCAACTCACATTTGCGTCAGGCAAGGTTAAAGTTCCGACGGCGTTATTTCTAAGATCTTGGTGCGTGTAAACACTGAACAGATTTGGCGGTTAGAAAGACCGCCCTAACACAATACAAACGGCTCTTTTAGGAGCCACCAATTTTAAGAAAAGTCATGACCAATTAATTTGTTTCCCTTTCTGTGTGGATTAAAATCGTATATCCTTCGCTCATTCTGTTAAAAAAAATCGCGCGTCACTGTAAAGTATTGAAGCGCGAAGAACAGCACATCGCATGCAAAGGAATAATGAATTAAGTCGCTCAAACATTCTATCACATGGCAGCCCTGACTTGCTTTCACTGTTCACTCGCAAGCCTTGTTTTGCCATTGTAATATTTAAAATAACCATGGTTTTCTTCCAAGCTACACATCATCAAGCTGTATTTTCTAGGCACGCCTGTTAACACATTTCATCTCCTGTCTGATTTTTTTATCGCGGGTTGCAAGAGATACATTGACAGTACAACGAAATTCACACCGGCTTACCCGCAAACCAGCCCTACTTTCAAACTGGATTTGGGCGCAATTTGTTATAGCCACCAGTGATATCGACATAAAAGATTCAACAACAAAAGATTTTGGCACGAGATTTACAAACCTTTGCGTCGAATAACATATCGAAAGTCGTTATTTCTACGATTTTTGTGCGCGAAAACTGTATGAAGTGTATTTGGTCGTTGGGCGACATTGGTATCACATTTGAAAACATTTGGATTTTCATTTTATGACATAAATTTGGAAACTGGGAAGAGGGGTTATGAGATGATATTTTGACAGTCGTATCGTGTCCAGCTAGTCAAGACTTTTGTATTATGTGGTGGCTCCTATAGGAGCCGTTTTTATGGGTAAAGGCTGATTTATGCCTTGGGTTTCTTCTCGGTCTTCTTGGGCAGAAGTACAGCCTGGATGTTGGGAAGAACACCTCCCTGTGCGATGGTGACACCGGCAAGAAGTTTGTTCAACTCCTCGTCGTTACGGACAGCCAGTTGAAGGTGACGGGGAATAATTCTTGTCTTCTTGTTGTCACGGGCAGCATTGCCCGCCAACTCAAGAATCTCAGCGCTCAAGTATTCGAGCACAGCAGCCAAGTACACTGGAGCACCGGCGCCGACTCGCTCAGCGTAATTGCCTTTGCGGAGAAGACGGTGAATTCGACCAACCGGGAATTGAAGCCCTGCTCGAGATGAGCGGCTCTTGGACTTGGTGCCCTTGGCTTTTCCTTTACCGCGACCAGACATGATTGTAGTGAAATGTTCTGCTGTTAACTGTAAGAATGTAACCTATACCAAGTCTGTTTTTATAGTTCGTTCATTATGCAGGAAGGATCGAAAAGCGCCAATCAACTTTAAGTTTCGCGTGATTGAATATCATTGTAATTGGCGAGGCGAAACAAAATGTAACTAATTAATGAGCAAAGCAATATTAGTCATAGATAAAACGGGTAGGAAGCGAAGAATATTTTTCATGATTTCTTTTAAAATGTCACGCAAGAATTAAAAATTTGAAGAACCAGAGTTTTCTTTTTTTTTAATTATCACCTCTCGGTCACCTTGAGCGTGACCGATCTACAATAGATTTCTGAAGTTCGAAGCTTTTCTCAGCGGCCAAAGTGCTCGACGCTAAAAGATCAACAACTAGCCTGCGAAGCTAATGGTCTTGTGTGCGCTTAAAGCGTTTTTCATTAGTCTCAAGTCTTCTGCGGCTTCGCTGCTTGTTTTTATGTTTCAAAGCGGAGCACAAATGCCGCAAGCTACATATGATACTCGACAAAGTTGGAGGCAAGAAAACAGAAAACTTCGAAAGCTACACGCTGAGACAGTTAACTTTGCTTAGCCTAGAGATATTCTCCAGCGACTGATAGTTGCTCAAAGCGATAAAAGGGGGCAGTTTACTGCGATTAAGTCCTTGCCTTGTTTCTCTTTATGTTAAGCTAGGCGAAGGAACGCGATGTGAGACGAGGGTAACATTGCCATGTAACTGGTGTATCTGTCATGGACTGTCTGTAGGAAAATTGTCACAAATACACAAGCAAAAGTTCACGCACCCATTCCCAAATTCATGCGAAACATTGCTACGCACCCTATGTATCCACATAGTAGCGCTTTCCTCATAAAGGCCAATTTAACTAACGATAAAGCGACCTTTAGTGGGAAAACCTTAGTGAGAGCCATTACCAAATTTATCGCAAAGTTAAACTCGATCATCGAAACAGTGTTTTACTCAGTTGGTCATAACTTTTTCTTGAATGTGGTGGCTCCTAAAGGAGCCGTTTGATTAAACGAGGAGTTGTTATCCTCCCTATTTCTTGGCAGCCTTCTTCGGAGATTTCGAACTCTTCGCAGCTTTCTTGGCGGGCTTTTTAACCACAGGCTTCTTCGCTGCTGGTTTTTTGGCCGCAGGTTTCTTTGCAGCTGGTTTTTTAGCTGCGGGTTTCTTCGCTGCTGGCTTTTTGGCGGCGGGTTTCTTAGCTGTCTTCTTCGCCGCTGGTTTCTTTGCTGCCTTCTTGGCAACGGGCTTCTTTGGTTTTGCAGCAGGCTTCTTCTTGGCAGCTGGCTTCTTCTTTGCAGCTGGTTTCTTCTTCGGCTTCTTCTCCTTCTTTTCCTCCTTAGCCACCTTGAAGGAACCAGAAGCACCAACTCCCTTAGTGTGGACAAGCTTGCCACTAGTAACACCCCTCTTCAAAGCCATCTTCAAGTGCGAGCCGACCTCACCAACCTTGTAGTTGGCTTTGATGTACTTCTCGATGGCTTGGCGGGAAGAACCGTTTCGCTCTTTCAACGCTAAGATAGCAGCTTTGATCATGTCAGAATAAGGTGGATGCTCGGCTGGCTTTTTGGGCGCAGCTGGCTTCTTTTTAACGGGAGACTTTGCTTCGGACATGTTGTGTGCTGTAGAACCTTCGGAACTAAGACTAATAGTGAGTTATTGTAGCGCGCAAGGTGACCTTATACTTATTAAACGGACCACTGAGGAAACATGGTTGCTACAAAATGGCGTCGTTCAAACTGTGTTAGTTTGCTTGACATTCTGGTCAATAACAAGCTAATTCAGGAACTTCAAATCTTTGCCTATTAAATAGATCTTAGCTACGTTATATGGCAAACATTATATGTGAAATATAATTTGATTTACCCAAAGTTAGAATGACATTTTACGGTCAAAAGTCTACAAAGCGGTGTGATTCCAAAAAGAACTTTGGATAAATGACGAAAGAATGTCTCTTTAAATCGCTTTATTATATAATTAGACATTTTAGGAAAGAAGAGGTCCTGGAGTTAGCATGTGTATGAAAAAATGAGCATTTTGATGCACATTCAAAGGCAGAGCGGACTTTAAATTTGAACAAGAAGAACAAAACTAAAATATCCGCCATTTTATACGTGACCTGTATGCTAAATTTCTTGAATGAGCAAAATGACCCGAAAATATGGCTAAATAGCAATCGTTTTAAAGTTAATGTTGATGGAACAAGGTTATCTGCTTAGTGTGGCAGATTTGCCTCGCTTTCTTACACGCTAGTTCTGCATGAATCAGTTGCGCGCTCTCGACTCCCGAGCAGACTTTAAACCAAGAGCGGAGTGGAGTTAGAGAGCTTTATTCTCAGAATTAAAGTTTATTGACAAAGTAGGAATTGCACACCAGATGACAATGTGATATGCTTGCTAAATGCTGCAATAGGTCTCCTATACGTTGTGCTGTGAAGTTCAGAACTACGCGAAATAGCATACTGTTTGCTAGTATCTAGTATATTCTATTGTCGATCGATAGAGAGTCACTTTTACGATCTTCTTTGGCTCTAGGTAGTGGCTCTGGGCTTCCGGACAAACCAAGCACCCCAGAAGGGAAACTTCAAGTTTACAAACATCATATAGTTACGGTCAGAAAGACAGAGTCCTAAGTTAGGCCTATGTATAAATAGTCTTTCGATGTAAATTCAAAGACAGACCGGCATCTAATTTTGAACGACAAAACCTGTTTTACGATACAAACAGGATTGAAGCAACAACGTTCGCCACTTTATGCACAACCTCGATAAGAAGTATGCTTAATTTGGTGAATGAAGTAAAATTGTCTTTTATTGCGAATTGATAACTCTTGAAAAATGCGTCAGGTTTTTTTACTTAAAGAGCCCATGGGAGTAACGAAGACTTACCAGGGGGCGCTGATGATTTACATAATATTAGCGCCAAAAAAAATACACGTCTAGGAGATAGATATAACATGCAAATGATAAACGGTCGAAAAAAGGATATGTTTGACTTATCTTGGAGATAAAAATGAAGTGTTTTCGTATGAATGGATTTAGGTAGAACAACTAGGATTTCTATGCAGTTCGGAGTTGCCACTCAGAGCGCTTTAAGTAAGACAATTTCGTAAGGTTTAATTTCTGATTTCTTATTTCCAGCTTAAGGCTGTTAAGTTGGTTATTGAGGGGCTCATAGTTTAGTCATTGCTTTTATTTATGTGGTGGCTCCTAAAGGAGCCGTTTGTAATTCGAAGTGAAGTCAACTTATGCTCTCTCTCCGCGGATTCGGCGGGCCAACTGAATGTCCTTGGGCATAATGGTGACACGCTTGGCGTGGATGGCGCACAAGTTGGTGTCTTCAAACAGACCCACAAGGTAAGCCTCGCTAGCTTCCTGGAGAGCCATCACAGCCGAGCTTTGGAAACGCAGATCAGTCTTGAAGTCTTGAGCAATTTCTCGCACAAGACGCTGGAAGGGCAGCTTGCGGATCAACAGCTCGGTGGATTTCTGATAACGACGGATCTCACGAAGAGCGACTGTACCAGGTCTGTAACGATGAGGTTTCTTGACTCCACCAGTGGCAGGAGCGCTCTTACGAGCTGCCTTTGTGGCGAGCTGTTTTCGTGGAGCTTTTCCACCGGTTGATTTTCGTGCGGTTTGCTTCGTACGTGCCATCCTGTTCACCGACTCTGAATAAGGGGAATGGGGAATTGTTTATTGAAATTGATTTATACCTGGCGGGCTTACTTGTGATTGGCTCAAAATGAAGAGATTTGATTGGTTAGGTACGAAAGCTGTGCATAATTTCACGGATCTGTGATCTTATTTTGATCCGAAGTAACATGAAAGGTCGTTTAGGGATAACCTAAGTATTATCCTCGCTTTAAATTTAACATACAGCATAAATAGAAAGGAAAAACCATTTTTTAGCGTAGTTCACAAGTGACTATTGGATGGAGGAGACTTGTTTTCCGATGAAGTATACGCGCGCGGGAACACCGTGTGATTTATGTTAATACATGTTAATATAACAGTAAAATGATGATTAGATATTTGACTAAACCAATAGCAACCATTATTCCCATTCTGTTTTCTGAGAGGTCTTATCTTTCTGTATAAAAGCTAATAACGTTCGTCCAATTGCCATAACTCAAACACACGAGTGACAATCAGTATGTCCGGTCGCGGTAAAGGCGGTAAAGGTCTCGGAAAAGGAGGCGCCAAGCGTCATCGAAAAATCCTTCGTGATAACATCCAAGGTATCACTAAGCCAGCCATCCGTCGTCTTGCTCGCCGTGGGGGTGTCAAGCGAATCTCAGGCTTGATCTACGAAGAGACCCGTGGTGTTCTCAAAGTTTTTCTCGAGAACGTGATCCGTGATGCTGTGACATACACGGAGCACGCCAAGAGGAAGACAGTGACAGCCATGGATGTGGTGTACGCTTTGAAGAGACAAGGCCGCACTCTGTACGGATTTGGCGGTTAGACAGACCATCCTGCCACAATACAAACGGCTCTTTTAGGAGCCACCAAATGCAAAGAAAGTCATGATCAATACACATGTATATTTTTTTTACGAACACTTATATCTCGCACCTACAGATAATTTGCTAATGAAAATAACTGCACCATCCGCACGCATTACGATATGGGGCAGTAGCTCGGAAAAAGAACGTTGCGCGCATACGAAGAACAATCGAAATCTCGTTGGCATTACTGGCCCGCTTTCTCTTTTCCCTGAACCTTCCCTCCTTCTAACCTTGTTTCTACAGTTGAGTATTTTTACAACCGTTAGGTTTTTCCATAAAGCTATTCATAATCCAGCAGCATTTTGCGCTTGTTGCTTGTTAGTAACCTGCATTACTTTCCTTTTCGAGTGTTCTTTTATGAATCGCATGAGTATAAATTGACCATAAAATCAAAATCAAACCAGCTCACTTTCAAACTGGAATTAGAAGCAATTTCTAATAACCGCCAGTGACGTCGAAATGAAAGATTCAACGATAAACGATTTTGGCGCCCAACTGAAGAGGGTTGTGCAATACACCCAATTTGAGTCCGATGGACGAAGGCCACGAACAGCCCGACTCACCGAAAGTCAGTTCGCGAGAGACTTAGTAAATATACAGCAAAGTATAGAGTTGCGGACTGGGTGGAAATAGATGTCGGCAAACGGCCGGACTCCATCGGATCCGATGGAGATGGGTTGCCGTGGCAAGAGGCCATCGGACTAATCGCGCGTCAGTTCGCTGCCTGTGACAAGAAGAAGACAAGTTCGCGTATAGATCAAGTGTAATTTTGGTGAGCTAGTGCTCAGTATTTTCCTGGTCAAAATTCTAGCGGCCGTGTTTGATTCTTTGATTTTTACAGCAGCCTAAGGGCGGAGAGAGAAAAAAATAAAATTTTTACTAGGTTGGTGAAAAATGGTCGCAAGGAAGGAGAAGAGAGGGGGTCCCCACGGGAGTATAATTGGCATGCTCTCGCATTTCATTTCGTGAGATGGTTGATTATACAAACAACCAAGTAGAGCAAGATTTCATGAGGAGGTGGAGGTTTTGTTCGATTCTCGTATTTCATGTATGTGACATGTTGTCGTCTCGCCTTAGTTTAGACATTTATGCCTTGTTTTAGATGGTTTTAGATTGTTTGTGAGTGGTTGTTGAAATTTTTGAGGTGGTTGTAGGTGGTTTTAGGTCGTTCCATGTTTTAGTACTTACGGGCTTTATAAATTCAAATGCTGAAATGTTCTGCGAAATGTTTTTATTGCAATTTTTTTTCCTACCGTGGTGCTAACCCACTGAACTCACTCTCTGAAGACATTCAATTGTTTTAAATCATCATTCAAAACCAAAATTAGCACTCACAACTGCTCATTATCTCAAATTCATATGATTATTTCTTTAGACATTTAAATGTACTTTTTAAAATGTTGTTATAATAATTTAGATGTTAAATTCAGTATTGAACTAACCACATGCCCCTTGCAGAAATCAACCCAGTTGATGGGGTAAGTGTGTTTTATATGAAGTCTTTTAAGTACTTCATCTCAGTTTGATGTCAGGCTATAAATGCTTGGTAATAAAAACAGTTTCTAAATTGACAGCTGGACTTGGGTTGCCAAATTTTAGACTTAAAAGTACAAATTTAGTTACCAAGATTTATTACCACTGGCTACTATTGGTCATTCCACTGTTTTGACATTTTACCCGGGCTTGGAAAAAATACTTTGCAACTTGCAAATATCCACATGTATCATATGTTAAACCATTGAAAAAGGAATACTTATCACATGATGTTTTCTGGTTCTTATCAGTTATTCGCCCATATTCTATTAAATTTGTTAATATTGTTTTAACAGGGTCAAAGCCTCGCTCAAATTCAGCTGCTCAATCTGTTATAATTCACTGTGGAAGAAACCTGAACATTTGAAAAATATTTGATAAATAGTGATGCTAAGGAGAAGGAAGTGGGCAAGAGAGTGAGACTGAGAAGAATGGTTAACCCTTTAAGTCCCACTAGCGACCAAGACAGAATTTCTCCTTACAACATCAATACAATATCAAGCAGGTAGGTGATGAGAATAAAGAAAAATATCAATTATGGGATTATTAGTTGATCCAATACCAAATTCTCTGAACTACCATCATAAGAATTGTATGGTAGACAGTAAGGAGAATTACCAATGAGATCTTGGAAGTGAAAGGGTTAAGATAGTAAATGTAAAATGTGACTGGTTGAATCAAGGGATGATGACACTGATTTTTAAAGTTGTAGTGTTTGTGAATGTTTAAGTCTACCCTCCCCACCCCCCTTGTTTGTATATCGGCGCATGCATGTTGCAATGTTGAGAATTAAAACAACATGTTGGATTCCTTTTCAAAGGTGTTCTTTACTGTTTGTGTTAAACCCATAAATACACTACAAAAGTGTGGAAAACAAAAGAAACATTTGCCTGTGAGTGATGATTTTGAGCTACAAATGAGAAAACAAGTGAAAACTTCAACTGCATTCCTGTTAGCTGCTCAAGCATGTTGTCTGATCAGACATTGCAAACAATAGGAAATGATTGATCAGAAGCTGAAATCAGCAAACAATCTCAACTCATATTAATAACTGTTTGATTATAAAGCAAAATGGAGTTGTGAACACTGACCTAACATCTTAGCAAATGTAACAAAAAAGCTTTATTATATAATGATTACATATTGTTTAATTAATAAACATGTTGAATGTTGATGTTTTTATTATCATGTTTTACTCTTTCATTGTTCAGTTCTCAGCAATGCCCCTCAAGCCTCTGTCATGGAATATAAAAGACGTAAGCTGAAGTTATTCAGCTGAGGAAAGATCTACAGGTAAGAATTAGACTTGGCCATCAATGGCTGGTTCTTATTGTGGACATTTCTTTTCACCATGGTGCAAATATCCTCTTCTCAAATATGAGAGGATTGTGTAATGAACAAGTAATGGGATCCTAGATTTTGTGTCATTTGTAGCAATAATGATCCTCCTGATTACTTGGATAAAGTTACAGTATGTTTCAGTTGGATGAAAGCAAAAAAAATACAAAATACCAAGGAAAGCAAACACACAAAGAGCAAACAAACAAACAAACAAACAGGATTGGTAACTAGAGAAAATTATCAAACTCAATACTTGAGGTCTGCCAACATGACAGCCAAAGAAGTTGGTGTACAAAAAGAAGACAAAAATAGAAAAATTAGTGTGAGGTGGGGTGGGAGGAACTTGAGAACCTGGGGAAAAACAGCCAGAGCATTTAAGACAAGAACTGAAAACAAATTCAATCAAGAGATCTAGGGGTTAAAACCAGGCTATAGCATTTGAAACTATGAAACTCTTTCACAATTATAGCATACTTCCTCTCGCTGATGTTTTCACCCCATGGATCTCAACAATAATTCTCCTTACTTTCTGCTCTCCATTTTCCATAATGTTGCCTCTGAGTTGTTGTTGTTAAGTCAATACTGATATTATTTTTTATTCTTATCTCCTGCCTAGTTTGGAATTATATTTATATTTTAAGGAAAAATTAGTTACAGATCATTCAGAAGAATTCGGGAACATATCTATCTTACTCAGGATTACTAATTGCCTCCTGAATTGACAGTTTTGTGAACTTTAAACTGCAGGTGACACAAAGAGGAAAAACAGCAGTGCCTTCAGTTCAAGAGACTGTTAAAAGAATTATTTGTGAGGAGGTAAGATTTCAAATCTTATTTTTAAATAGGATTCTTTCAATAACTAGACTTCTTTCAGATAGATTTGTCTTTTCAAAGCTGTTTTTCATTAGATAGTTGTTAGTAACCTACTTGCAGAGAAGTATTCAGTTGGCAAGAACCAAAAGTGGCATTAATAATGACTTTGAAGTGTTCGTATCTTTGAATTTTGGGAACTTTACTTTCATCAATCAAAAGTTAATTTTGTGGACATGGGCTGTGCCTGAAACAAATAAAAAATTTAACTCTCGATTTTAAAGGAACTTCTTGTTTATGCAAACTGAACTTGTCTCCTCTGGTCCCATGTATGGTGCCATACAGTCCTCAGGAAAATTTTTTCAAAATTGTTTTTCCTGATGATAAATAGGCTTTCTCCTTATTATATCACACAAGGAATGTGGTGTAGAGGGGGGAGGGTGGGGGAGAATTTGATGATGATCTGACGCAATAGTACATCATTGTTACAATTGCCTTTCTTTTTTTCTTCTCTTTTAGCCCTATAACATTGGAGTTTATAAGTCTCTAAAAGTCAAATTGGATCTCCTGGACTATTAAAAAGCAGGATGGAAATGCAATAACTGCTGTTAGTAACATTATTACTTACTAATTAAAATCTTTATTATTTGCTTCTTACCTTAATAAAACCCTTCTTTACTTGATCATTTTCTCTGAAGGTCCTTTAGGGCATAGAAATTTGTTGGCTTTCCTCGTGTGCTGGATGTAATGATAGGTATTTATGTCAATCCACTACCACTCTGAAAACAGTGAAAAAAAATTTTTTACAAAATTTTTCCAAAAAAGTTCCCTCCCCCCCTCTATGCTCCCCTCCTTTACCCACAAAATATGGATTTTCCTATTATTCAAAGGTAAGGAACCTGTGGTTAAAGCGGGATTCCTGTGGTGAAGATCACTGTTCCTTTTATTCATTTTTCAGACGGTCTTGTTCTTCAGGAAATCACCACCCCCACCCCTTCGTTAAAGATTTTATTCCATCTCTTTGTGGCACTGAACAAGACAATTTACAGTACAACAGAAGATGATATAAATGGTCTTTCCAGACAACAAAGTTTTAACTAATCAAACGTGATCAAGGTCATGGTGGTACTCATCCACCTATCAGGTGGTCAAGGTAACACGTGTAGAGCCAAGAGCCTCAGGAACCCGTTGTCGACAAACAAGATGAGAAACAGGCTAGGAAAATGGCCATGTAAGCCACTATAGCTAACTCAAGGGGACGTGGAAAAAATGTCCTCTGGTGACATTAAGGCAGAACAGCATAACAGGACAAAGAGAAGATCAGGTTTACTTTCTATGATATGTTATGACCATGTTTTTATGTCATCAAATTTTCAAGGCTTCCAAATCGTATTCTCTTTCTCAATGATCTTTTACCTAATCAACCAAGGTAAGCAAGATAGAGTTTGCGCACAAGCTAACTCAAAATGGCCCCCATTACCGGTCCACGGTAATGTTTTTGTCGCGTGAAGGCACCAGGACTTTGGTTACCCCCCCTCCCTGGTGGGATGCTAGTTTATCGTAGCTTACCCCCCCTCCGGCTCAGAATTTTCGTAAGGTTTCCTAACAGGTTACACACCTGGCTTGAAAAGAGAAGACAAGAGGAAAATTAGTTTGATGGTAAACTTCGCGGGAAAATTAATGCACCATCCGGGAGTGGTCTTTTGACCTTTAGTTTCCATTATAAGTCCCTTCGCGCAAATTTGGATCGTTCGGGGATTATAAAGAGGAAAAAAATGAGAGAAAATAAATGGATAGAGTCAAATTTCGGAGGAAAACATTTTTCTCATTTCTTTTTTCGTCTTTTTTATTTTCTGGGAATGGCTCCTTCCCGTGGGGAGTCAATATGCCAGCCTCGACGGTATTAATTAGACTACACTTTGCCAAAGTGTGTTTGTTTGTCGCTGTCGAATCTAACGTGGAATTTCCCTTGAAATATAATGGTACCAATGTTCTTCATCTCAATCTACTAAGCTTTATTAAAACAAATTAGGCTGCTAAGATTACAAATTTTCCTTTTCTCCTCTAAGTATGTCATTTTGACTATTAAAAATTAACTTAATAAGCTAACGTAAAGCGGTCATGCAAAAAATTACGTTTAACTTAATGGAAATGAATTGAAACTCTGATGCCCTTCTTTTGTCGGTGTACACTTTCTTCAATTGCAAAACCATCTTTAAATTGAAAATACTTCGATTTATGAAAATTATTTCAATATCTTATTGTTCGAACAATCATGCATATCTTTAAAACAACGAAAAGAATCACAGTTATGAACTCTTTTTCGGGGTTTCGAATCCCGTGGAAGCCTGGCGTTTTTCAGGCTTTATTTCTTTGATTTCTTTACTTGTAGTTTACCTGCAACGATTATTTCTTTGCATGCTAGAAAATATTCAAAAAAAGAGAAAAAAAATCAATACTTCAGCCATTCTTGCCCTCAAGCTTTAGTTTGCCTTAGTAATTGTGCAACACTAACAATCTAAAATTCGGGCTAAGAGGTGACCTGTAACCTTTGCTGTTCTCTGGTACTTTTACAGGTCGAGATAATTAGCAGTTGGCGCGAATCTCAGCCAGATTAAATGGGTCAATTTTTATGTGTAAAAAAAGTAATTTATTAAAAAAAAAAAATTAAGATTTATCATTGATAACACGCCCTGTGTCCTGGCTTAAGCCAAACATACACCGGAATAATTGGTATTGCAATTGGAAACTTGAATTTGACGGTTAGACTTTCGCATCAAGGAATTAAGAAATTCTTGATTTACCTTTTCAGCAATTCTCTGACGAATTTTGACCCGGGTAACCTACCCACGAGACCAACGTGAAGCCGACAGATTTTTTACGTATTTTTTCAGTGTTTTTCTTTAGAGACTTTACTTTACTGGTATTTACTGAACTGCATCAGTGCAATTTCCTTTTATGGCATCTGTTCATCTTGACTCTCAACTTCAGTTGATGATGCTTCTTCTCCTTGGGATCTGAAATCAAAGGAACATTACAGTCATTGAACTAAACAGCGTTTTGATGACGTAAAGTTGTTGGCGTGAAAGGATTTTATAGGTTTTGTTTTCGCGGCTAAAAGGAAAGACGAATAAAGCCGGAGCAGAGAAAATCAGATCACTTGCGTAAATTCATCTCTGAGAATGATTTTCATCACTCTTTAAAAAGTGAAGTTTACCAACCTTTTATATCAGCTTATTGCAGATAATTGTACGGTAACATACATTCATTAAAATTCTGTATAAATATTGCTACTTACGATTCTTTACAGATTTGTCCAAAATCGATTGTGACGTCATCACCAATGAGTACAAACGGAGCCCAGAACCGCGGGGCATTAAACTTTTGTGATTCTCGCAGACATTTCATCGCCCGGTTGAGTGACACACTGGCGCTGTTTCCATCCTTCAGATGTTGGTAAAAGCTTCTCATAAACTCCATGGTGGCCTCGCCATCAATTGACCAGAGTGCGACCAGAACAGAACGAGCACCAGCACCGAGAAAAGCCCGTGCAATGCCGACCACACCCTCACTTGACACTTCGCCCTGTGCACTGTGAGGACAGCTTAACACAACAAGCTTTGTACGCAACTTCGCTGCTTGTACATCTGAAATGGTTAACGTGAAATCTGGTTCTTCCGGTCTTCTGTATTTTCGTTCTGGATTTGGAGCCAATGCAATTTCCCCATTGTCGACTTTTCCGTGCGCAGCAATGTGCACCAAAGCAACCGAACCGATTCTCTTTAGCACCTCAGCCTTGGTTGCTGCTTTTCCGGTGAGTGGTTGGATACCGAGCATCGCTCCGATCATCTCCACTTCCTTTTTGGCGAAAGGCAAGGATGAAAATTTGTCCTCTCCCAGCAAGGTGGTAAATTCTTCTGGATTTGGATCTCCTACGAGTAACGCCCCACTCTTTTGGTGATAATCTTCAGGAGAATCGTTAATCAGTTTCATACACATCAATGACGGAAGAAACCGCAATCTCACGGATTCACTGAGGTACTTTGATTCGGAATCCAAAAATGCGGCAAAAGGGGCGAGGCACAGTGGACCATCAGGAACGACGACCAACTCACCATCTTCGATGAAATTTGAAATAGGACTTATGATGCACTCATGAAAGAGACGTAGAGGATTCTTGTCAGACTGTAATAGGTTTCCTGTTTCTTCACCGGCGGGTGGCAATTCTTGTTCGGTGCTTGTCTCATCTAATGTGCGGTTTTCACTTACTACACGGAATTGATCTCGTACTTCTTCATAAGCCTTCTTCCTTAAACTATTTAAATAGTCGGTCGCATCTCCCAAGCGATATTTTACTTCCTTCTGTGTAAACTGTACATTTCCGTCTTTCCCGATTACCCACAGGTTAACTGCGTTTTCTTGTAGTGCAACAAAAAGCGTCGGACCAGAGATATAAGTGACCATTTCGAAGATCCCTGGTTGAACCTCAGCTGATCCAGAAACTGGCAGTTGGGAGCCATATCGTAGTTTGATGAGATCTAACAAGGCTTGGGCTCGTCCTTGGTCCGCAACACACAACGCCTCGTCGAATTTTGACAGCTTAAGCAAAGTTCTCCAGAGAGCATTATAACTGCATTGATGTGCATTGCGGAAGGTTACTTTCAACTCATCTTTAGCTTGAAGAACTCTTAACTGATTGAAAAATCTAACACTGCGTTGATAATAATCAACCGCTCGGTGCAAGTCACCAGAGCTTTCAAAAATAAGACCCATTTTTTGGAATGAAAATCCTTCGCTCATTTCCTCCCCTGTTTTCTGGCGGAAGTTACGAGCTTTCTTGTGATACTCCATGGCTCGTTCAAAGTCGCACTTTTGGAAAAAGAAATCGCTGAAGGCCCACAAGGCCTTTGACTCGATGGACCGGTCTCTCAGTTCTTTGGCAAGGGTAAGCGCTTTCTCAAGGTACTCTTTTGCCAACTTAAAATCAGCGCGTCGAGCATAAACCATTCCAAGAACGGAATAGGCGGAAGCCTCTCGTCCCTTATCCCCACTGTCCTTAGCGAGATCAATCATTTCCTGAGAAAATTCCGTAGCTTGAAACAATTTACCCAGGCTGAAATAACTTGAACCAAGGCATTCTAAGGAGGTTAACCTGTCTGCTTGATCTTGGGCAATGTTTCTACATAACGTGGCGTACTCGATGGCTTGATTGAGATCACCCAGCTTGTAATAATCCATACCAAGATTTTTGTAGGCCCTTCCCACGCTTGTTCTGTCTCCCAGTTCTTTAGCGATATTAAGATACTGCCTGTGGTGCTCTATTGCTTGATTGAAATCATGCAGCTCAAGGTAAGCCAAGCCGAAATCTTCGTGGGCTTGTCCCTCGCCTGCCCTGTCTGCCAGTTCTTTAGTAATACTAAGATTTTTCCTGGCATACTCTATGGCTTGATTAAAATCACCATGCTTGTGATGAGCCGAGCCAAGGTCGTGGTAGGCACGTCCCTCGCCTGCCCTGTCTCCCAGGTCTTTAACAATACTAAGATATTGTTTGTAGTACTCTATGGCTTGATTGAAATCATCCAGCTCGTGATAAGCCGAGCCAAGATCGTGGTAAGCACGTCCCTCGTCTGCCCTGTCTCCCAGGTCTTCGGCAATGGTAAGATGTTGTTTGTGGTACTTTATGGCTTGATTGAAATCGCCCAGCACGCGATAAGCCAAGCCAAGATTGTGATAGGCCCTTCTCTCGCCTGCCCGGTCTCCCAGTACTTTGGCAATAGTAAGATGGTGTTGGTGATACTCCGTGGCTTGATTGATATCACCCAGCTGGTAATAAGCCATGCCAAGATCGTAATAGGCACGTCCCTCGCCAGCCCTGTCTCCCAGTTCTTCGGCAATAGTAAGATTTTGTTTGTGGTACTCTGTGGCTTGGTTGATATCACCCAGCTGGTAATAAGCCATGCCAAGATCGTGGTAGGCATGTCCCTCGCCAGCCCTGTCTCCCAGTTCTTCAGCAATAGAGAGATGTTTTTTGTGATACTCTATGGCTTGATTGAAATCCCCAAGCTTGTGATAAGCCGAGCCAAGATCGTGGTAGGCATGTCCCTCGCCTGCCCTGTCTCCCAGCTCTTTAACAATACCAAGATGTTGTTTGTGGTACTCTATGGCTTGATTGAAATCATCCAGCTGGTAATAAGCCGAGCCAAGATTGTGGTACGCATTTCTTTCGTCTGCCCTGTCTCCCAGTTCTTCGGCAATAGTAAGTTGTTGTTTGTGGTACTCTATGGCTTTATTGAAATCATCCAGTTTATGATAAGCCGAGCCAAGATTGTGGTAGGCCCGTCCCTCGTCTGCCCTGTCTCCCAGTTCTTCGGCAATAGTAAGATGTTGTTTGTGACACTCTATGGCTTGATTGAAATCACCCAGCTGGTAATAAGCCAAGCCAAGGTCGTGGTAGGCATGTCCCTCACCAGCCCTGTCTCTCAGTTCTTCGGCAATAGTAAGATGTTGTTTGTGATAGTCTATGGCTTGATTGAAATCACCAAGCTTGTGATAAGCCGAGCCAAGATCGTGGTAGGCATGTCCCTCGCCTGCCCTGTCTCCCAGTTCTTTGGCAATACTAAAATGTTGTTTGTAGTACTCTATGGCTTGATTGAAATCATCCAGCTGGTAATAAGCTAAGCCAAGATTGTGGTAGGCATCTCTTTCGTCTGCCCTGTCTCCCAGTTCTTCGGCAATACTAAGATGTTCTTTGTGATACTTTATGGCTTGATTGAAATCACCAGTCTTGTGATAAGCTAAGCCAAGATTGTGGTAGGCATTTCTTTCGTCTGCCCTGTCTCCTAGTTCTTCGGCAATACTAAGTTGTTGTTTGTGGTACTCTATGGCTTGATTGAAATCCCCCAGCACGTGATAAGCCAAGCCAAGATTGTGATAGGCATGTGCCTCGCCAGACCTGTCTCCCAGTTCTTCGGCAATAGCAAGTTGTTGTTTGTGATACTTTATGGCTTGATTGAAATCACCAAGCATATGATAAGCCGAACCAAGATGGTGGTAGGCATGTCCCTCGTCAGCCCTGTCTCCCAGTTCTTCGGCAATAGTAAGATGTTGTTTATGATACTTTATGGCTTGACTGAAATCACCAAGGTTGTGATAAGCCGAGCCAAGATTGTGGTAGGCGTTTCTTTCGTCTGCCCTGTCTCCCAGTTCTTCGGCAATAGTAAGATGTTGTTTGTGGTACTGTATGGCTTGATTGAAATCACCAAGGTTGTGATAAGCCGAGCCAAGATTGTTGTAGGCATTTCTTTCGTCTGCCCTGTCTCCCAGTTCTTCGGCAATAGTAAGTTGTTGTTTGTGGTATTGTATGGCTTGATTGAGATCACCCAGCTTATGATAAGCCGAGCCAAGATTGTGGTAGGCCCGTCCCTTGTCTGCCCTGTCTCCCAGTTCTTCGGCAATAGTAAGATGTTGTTTGTGACACTCTATGGCTTGATTGAAATCACCCAGCTGGTAATAAGCCAAGCCAAGATCGTGGTAGGCATTTCCCTCGCCAGCCCTGTCGCTCAGTTGTTCGGCAATAGTAAGATGTTGTTTGTGGTACTGTATGGCTTGATTGAAATCACCAAGGTTGTGATAAGCCAAGCCAAGATTGTTGTAGGCATTTCTTTCGTCTACCCTGTCTCCCAGTTCTTCGGCAATACTAAGTTGTTGTTTGTGGTACTCTATGGCTTGATTTAGATCACCCAGTACGTGATACGCCAAGCCAAGATTATGGTAGGCATGTCCCTCGCCAGCCCTGTCTCCCAGTTCTTTGGCAATAGTAAGATGTTGTTTGTGATACTTTATGGCTTGATTGAAATCACCAAGCTTGTGATAAGCCGAGCCAAGATCGTGGTACGCATGTCCCTCGCCTGCCCTGCCTCCCAGTTCTTTGGCAATACCAAGATGTTGTTTGTGGTACTCTATAGCTTGATTGAAATCACCCAGCTGGTAATAAGCCGAGCCAAGATTGTGGTAGGCATTTCTTTCGTCCGCCCTGTCTCCCAGGTCTTCGGTAATAGTAAGATGTTGTTTGTGATACTTTTTGGCTTGATTGAAATCACCAAGGTTGTGATAGCCTGAGCCAGGATTGTGGTAGGCGTTTCTTTCGTCTGCCCTGTTTCCCAGTTCTCCGGCAATAGTAAGTTGTTGTTTGTGGTACTCTATGGCATGATTGAAATCACCCAGTTGGTAATAAGCCAAGCCAAGATCATGGCAGGCATGTTCCTCGCCAGCCCTGTCTCCCAGTTCTTCGGCAATAAAAAGATATTGTTTGTGATAATTTATGGCTTGATTGAAATCACTAAGCTTGTGATAAGCCGAGCCAAGATCGTGGTAGGCATGTCCCTCGCCTGCCCTGTCTCTCAGTTCTTTGGCAATACTTAGGTGTTGTTTGTGGTACTCTATGGCTTGAGGGAAATCGTCCAGCTGGTAATAAGCCGAGCCAAGATTGTGGTAGGCGTTTCCTTGGTCTGCCCTGTCTCCCAGTTCTTTGGCAATAGTAAGATGTTGTTTGTGATGTTTTATGGCTTGATTGTAATCACCAAGGTTGTGATAAGCCAAGCCAAGATTGTTGTGGCCATTTCTTTCGTCTGCCCTGTCTCCCAGTTCTTCGGCAATAGTACGTTGTTGTTTGTGGCACTCTATGGCTTGATTGAAATCACCCAGCACGTGATAAGCCAAGCCAAGATTGTGGTAGGCATTTCTCTCGCCAGCCCTGTCTCCCAGTTCTTCTGCAATAGTCAGATGTTGTTTGTGGTACTTTTTGGCTTGATTGAAATCCCCCAGCTGGTAATAAGCCAAGCCAAGATCGTGGTAGGCATGTCCTTCCCCAGCCCTCTCTCCCAGTTCTTCGGCAACAGTAAGATGTTGTTTATGATACTTTATGGCTTGATTGAAATCACCAAGGTTGTGATAAGCCGAGCCAAGATTGCGGTAGGCAGTTCTTTCGTCTGCCCTGTCTCCCAGTTCTTTGGCAATAGTAAGATGTTGTTTGTGATACTTTATGGCTTGATTGAAATCACCAAGGTTGTGATAAGCCAAGCCAAGATTGTTGTAGGCATTTCTTTCGTCTGCCCTTTCCCCCAGTTCTTCGGCAATAGTACCTTGTTGTTTGTGGCACTCTATGGTTTGATTGAAATCACCCAGCACGTGATAAGCCAAGCCAAGATTGTGGCAGGCATGTCCCTCGCCAGCCCTGTCTCCTAGTTCTTCGGCAATAGTAAGATATTTTTTGTGGTACTCTATGGCTTGAGTGAAATCATCCAGCTGGTAATAAGCCGAGCCAAGATTGTGGTAGGCGTTTCCTTCGTCTGCCTTGTCTGCCAGTTCTTCGGCAATAGTAAGTTGTTGTTTGTGGTACTGTATGGCGTTATTGAAATCCCCCAGCTGGTAATAAGCCAAGCCAAGATCGTGGCAGGCATGTCCCTCGCCAGCTCTGTCTCCCAGTTCTTCGGCAAAAGTACGTTGTTGTTTGTGATACTCTATGGCTTGATTGAAATCACCAAGTTTGTGATAAGCCGAGCCAAGACTTTGGAGGGCATGTCCCTCGCCTGCCCTGTCTCCCAGTTCTTTAACAATACCAAGATGTTGTTTGTGGTACTCTATGGCTTCATTGAAATCATTCAGCTTGTAATAAGCCGAGCCAAGATTGTGGTAGGCACGTCCCTTGTCTGCCTTGTCTCCCAGTTCTTTGGCAGTAGTGAGATGTTGTTTGTAATACTCTATGGCTTGATTGAAATCACCAAGCTTGTGATAAGCCGAGCCAAGATTGTGGTAGGCATGTCCTTCGCCTGCCCTGTCTCCCAGTTCTTTAACAACAATAAGATGTTTTTTGTGGTACTCTAAAGCTTGAGTGAAATCATTCAGCTGGTAATAAGCCGAGCCAAGATTGTGGTAGGCATTTCTTTCGTCTGCCCTGTCTCCCAGTTCTTCGGCAACAGTAAGTTGTTGTTTGTGGTACTGTATGGCTTGATTGAAATCCCCCAGCTGGTAATAAGCCAAGCCAAGATCGTGGCAGGCATGTCCCTCGCCAGCTCTGTCTCCCAGTTCTTCGGCAATAGTACGTTGTTGTTTGTGATACTCTATGGCTTGATTGAAATCACCAAGTTTGTGATAAGCCGAGCCAAGATTTTGGTGGGCATGTCTCTCGCCTGGCTTGTCTCCCAGTTCTTTAACAATACCAAGATGTTGTTTGTGGTACTCTATGGCTTCATTGAAATCATTCAGCTTGTAATAGGCCAAGCCAAGATCTTGGTAGGCACGTCCCTTGTCTGCCTTGTCTCCCAGTTCTTTGGCAGTAGTGAGATGTTGTTTGTAATATTCTATGGCTTGATTGAAATCACCAAGCTTGTGATAAGCCGAGCCAAGATTGTGGTAGGCATGTCCTTCGCCTGCTCTGTCTCCCAGTTCTTTAACAACACTAAGATGTTTTTTGTGGTACTCTATTGCTTGAGTGAAATCATTCAGCACGTGATAAGCCAAGCCAAGATTGTGGTAGGCTTTTCTCTCGCCTGCCCTGTCTTCCAGTAGTTTGGCAATAGTAAGATGTTGTTTGTGGTACTCTGTGGCTTGATTGATATCACCCAGCTGGTAATAAACCATGCCAAGATTGTGGTAGGCATGTCCCTCGCCAGCCCTGTCTCTCAGTTCTTCGGCAATAGTAAAATGTTGTTTGTGATACTCTATGGCCTGATTGAAATCACCAAGCTTGTGATAAGCCGAGCCAAGATCGTGGTGGGCACGTCCCTCGCCAGCCTTGTCTCCCAGTTCTTCGGCAATAGTAAGATGTTGTTTGTGGTACTCTATGGCTTGATTGAAATCACCAAGCTTGTGATAAGCCGAGCCAAGATCTTGGTAGGCATGTCCCTCGCCTGCCCTGTCTCCCAGTTCTTTAACAGTACTAAGATGTTGTTTGTGGTATTCTATGGCTCGATTGAAATCATCCAGCTTGTAATGAGCCGAGCCAAGATCGTGGTAGGCATGTCCCTCGCCTGCTCTGTCTCCCAGTTCTTTAACAATACTGAGATGTTGTTTGTGGTACTCTATGCCTTGAGTGAAATCATTCAGCTGGTAATAAGCCGAGCCAAGATTGTGGTACGCATTTCTTTCGTCTGCCCTGTCTCCCAGTTCTTTGGCAATAATGAGATGTTGTTGGTGGTACTGTATGGCTTGATTGAAATCACCCAGCACGTGATAAGCTAAGCCAAGATTGTGGTAGGCCCTTCTCTCGCCCGCCCTGTCTCCCAGTTCTTCGGCAATAGTCAGATGTTGTTTGTGGTACTCTGTGGCTCGACGTATATCACCCAGCTGGTAAGAAGCCATGCCGAGATCGTGGTAGGCATGTCCCTCGCCAGCCCTGTGTCTCAGTTCTACGGCAATAGTAAGATGTTGTTTGTGGTACTCTATGGCTTGATTTAAATCACAAAGCTTGTGATAAGCCGAGCCAAGATCGTGGTAGGCATGTTCCTCGCCTGCCCTGTCTCCCAGTTCTTTAACAATACTGAGATGTTGTTTGTGGTACTCTATGGCTGGAGTGAAATCATTCAGCTGGTAATAAGCCGAGCCAAGATTGTGGTACGCATTTCTTTCGTCTGCCCTGTCTCCCAGTTCTTTGGCAATAATGAGATGTTGTTGGTGGTACTGTATGGCTTGATTGAAATCACCCAGCACGTGATAAGCTAAGCCAAGATTGTGGTAGGCCCTTCTCTCGCCTGCCCTGTCTCCCAGTTCTTCGGCAATAGTCAGATGATGTTTGTGGTACTCTGTGGCTCGACGAATATCACCCAGCTGGTAAGAAGCCATGCCGAGATCGTGGTAGGCATGTCCCTCGCCAGCCCTGTCTCTCAGTTCTTCGGCAATAGTAAGATGTTGTTTGTGGTACTCTATGGCTTGATTGAAATCACCAAGGTTTTGATAAGCCGAGCCAAGATCGTGGTAGGCATGTCCCTCGTCTGCCCTGTCTCCCAGTTCTCTAACAATACTAAGATGTTTTTTGTGGTAATCTATGGCTTGAGTGAAATCATTCAGCTGGTAATAAGCCGAGCCAAGATTGTGGTAGGCGTTTCTTTCGTCTGTCCTGTCTCCCAGTTCTTCGGCAATAGTAAGTTGTTGTTTGTGGTACTCTATGGCTTGATTGAAGTCACCCAGCACGCGATAAGCCAAGCCAAGATTGTGGTAGGCCCTTCTCTCGCCTGCCCTGTCTTCCAGTACTTTGGCAATAGTAAGGTGTTGTTTGTGGTACTCTGTGGCTTGATTGATATCACCCAGGCTGGTAATAAGCCATGCCAAGATCGTGGTAGGCATGTCCCTCACCAGCCCTGTCTCCCAGTTCTCTTGCATTGTGGAGGTCTTGCTTTATTATATCGATTACTGTCTTCGTCTTAGGTTTGAAAAAAAGGGAAAGACAACCGCATAAAAATTGCGTAACTATTTCGGTTCTAATGTGTGTTTTTCAAATTTAAAAATGAAAGCTGCAACTGTACCTTGGTTTACCAAAGGCCAAAGGCTTTTTAAGTGGAAATAAGTGTGTTTTATTAAGATGCAGTCCTTTCACAGTTAGTGAAAATCGAGTTTTATCAGTCGTTTCCAAAATCATAATTTAGTCCAAAACTCCAAAGTACCTTATTTTTTAAAAAATCCAAAAAACAAAAAAAAAGAAAAAAAATTCGGGGCTATTTGCTTGTTCCGACCTTTTAACGCTCATTTTTGTGGTCTCGATAATCAAACGTCGAACAAACTGCCTGTTGTTTACTACATAGTTTACAATTTCCATGTTTAGATATACTATTCAATGGCGTTGTCGGAAAACCCCATGTTCTTGGATGGTCAACTACGATGTATGTTATAAGAATGACATACTTTTTCCTGGCGCCTATTTCAACGGCACATTAAGGTATCACTATACACTGAATGACCATCGTTCGTTTCCAACACTGTAATTAACTTAGTTCATGGGTAAAGAAGCATAAAAATATTTAGCAAAAATCCTCCAGCTAAAGGAAGTGTTTATCGATTATGTTGTTTTTATAACATGTCAAATCGAATTTTCAACTGTTATGTTCTCGTGAAGCCCGAAATCTTTATTTATCTCGAAATGTGGTGTCAATGGTACATTATCAATAAAAAAATTTTAGTTGTAAAGGTAAAAGTCGACCGAAAGAACTTTACAACTTCTCGAGGTGTTTTCGGTCTCTCTTCGTTGGAATTTTAGGAAAACTTCCGAAAAGTCACGGAGGGATCCAGAATAACAGATGCCATGTAACATTACTGAATAGTTTTTTAAATAATCGTGTATCATTTCAGAGGATGCTAGAATTTTTTATGACTTCTTACGAGAACTAAGATGAAAAAGGCAAAGCCATTTACTTGACCATACACTTACATTTCCGGATTTGGAACATTCCCAGAATGACCTGTTTCTCAGTCGCCGCAGGGTATCGTTTCTTTCAATCTACATACAGTTAAGGCGCAAATAACACCGGCAAATGAGAATGTTGCTTTAGGACTGCATTTATACGCATCCGAAATTTCTTAATTGTAGTCTTTTCAACAGCTGGCGGGAATACTAGTGGTCAAGAAATTAGGCTCTGTGTTTGTGGCTTTCAACATTCAGTTTCTAGATTTATTGTTTTGTATGTGATCGATGACGTTCATTCCGTTATATTGGAGAGCGTTTTTCATTTGAACACTCTGAAGAGGCAAGATGTTTTCAAAATTCCGAAAAGCTTACATTTGGTTTGCGTGCCCTAAGTCTTAATACTAAATATTTCAACTTTGGCTCTTGGCATACTAAGAGAAACCACACTCTCTCTTTAGGTCTGACAAAAAGATACAGCTAATCCTTGAACACACCATCTGAGCGCTTCTTCAGGCTTATTCAGCGCAAGACAGGCACTTGCTCCTATTTAAAATAACACAGAGAATCCTGTTAGACCAGATTCATACGAAAAAGTGTTCTCTAAAATACAGTTTCCCTTCGCTTAGGTGAAAAAGAGATTTTAGATTTTTTTGGCTTGTCCGCTTTTAAAACAGGACATCTTGCGAGGGAAACTTTGAAAAGAGCTGTGCGTCATATGGAAATATGATTCTCAAATTTGTCCGTAAGAGATAGAAATTTTCCCCGTGCTCTTTACTTCGAAAGATGAGTATCGGCGACTTTTAATTTACAGTTTCACGTCAATTTCTCGTTCTGAAATGGAAAATTTAAGCCAAAAAGAAAAAGTATGTCGGAGGAACAGCGCCTCATTCCATTTACACTAGTCAAGTGATGTCCAACTAATCCATGCACCGTATGGCGTGGGGTAGTTTTTTACTTTTCCCAAAGAAAAAGAAAAAAAAATACCTGTAATAATTGCCTTCAGATATGTTGGGTGTAGATGATGGGCGGTTGTTGCATCTCCCAGTGAATCCTGGTAATTGCCTTTTAAAGAGAAATGTATAATTTTTTTAGTCAACCGTAGTTAACAAAACCAAACATAAAGAAGGAAACAAGGGCGTAGCTCGTTAATCGAGTTACATGGCTGACTCTCTGAGTGACAGAAAAGAATATATGGGTCAACTAAGCACTACTTTATAAAATAAGAAATATAATATAGTATTTCGGAATGCAGAACTCACACTTTCCTTTCAGAATACATAAACATGTAGCTATACATTTTTAAAATTATGTTTCCAAAAATCAACTAATCAGTTTCTCTGAGTGTAAATTGTGTTGCTTTGAGTATTATGAAGTCGATTTGAGTATCTGAGTTCAGCGATGGAAAGCGAAGAAACAGTAGAGAAGTTCGGCCGAGAAATGATTATAGACGATGGAGGAAACAAAGGAAATTGGCTGAAGTTCTGTGGGAGTAATACAAGACATAGATGCCGTGGAGATCTTCTAGACACAGACGTGTGTTCATGACTACCTCAAGAACTCTGTGAGGCCGTTTTCCAAGTTAAATGAAAAGAAAGTGAAAATACTTAGGCTAAATTCTTACCTAATTTGAAATAAACTGTTGCCCTGTCGTTGTACAGTTTGGCCTTCAATTCTTTGTTTTCGCATTTCTCTTTAATTTCTTCCGTGTAAAAGTGGATGGCGTTTAAAAGATCTTCTTTTGTGTGAACATCGTTACTTTCATTCTTGTTAACTTCAACTATTGCTGAAACAAAAGAATTTAAGCAACATACATTAAACTGAAAATTTTTATCGACCGTGATCAAGGTATCAAAAAAATAATATAAAAAGAGTATAAAATAATTTGATCTCAACTATTTATCAAGCTTTCTTCCAGAGTGGCTCTGTTACATGAACTGTGACAGCTCTTCCCAAGAAAACATTGGGAAATGACAAATCTCGTCCCTTCAGAATTCAATCCAGTACGAAGTGCCATCGCACAAATAAATGTTACCCGAAAGAACTTCAAAAAAAGACAAAATTGCTAACGAAAAGAATTCAAGCAGCGTGTTGATAGTTTCAAAGACAGGAAACATGATTACGAAGCCTCCTTTTCAAGAGAAAGCCGCATTACGCTCACCTGTCAAAGTGTCTTCATCAAAATCAAGAGTTACATCTTTTCCTTCTTCTTCATCTTCTCCAGAAGGTGGTGTGACGTCTCCTAGAGCTTTTCTTGGACCTTCCGCCATGAATGCTGGGAGTGTACCTCTCAGCGAACTATAGCTCCTTCTCAGTTCCTGTATGTAGTACCTGTGTGTGGAACCTGGCCCTTGAATATAATAATTTATTAATAACCTAAGCAAGGCCGTACTATCTTTACAGCTCTCAATGGTTATTATGGGCAGCCTGAACTCTCTCCATTTTCCGTATTATATATATATATATATGTACTGTATCATGTAATTAATGTAGGGTACGAATAAATGAAGTTGTTGTTGTCATTGTTATAACATAGTCTCGTTATTTTAGTTACCAGCGTTACGCGAGCGTGACCGAAGGTCACGCTATTAGGGGACAGTGTTATTGTATTTTAATTGAGTCCTCTAAGGGCGTAAAAAACCCTTGTGGTGTCTGCTACATGTACAGCAAAGATGTGCACAACATCAGTCAGATCACGGGAAAATTTGAATTTACTTTTTCGTTCTAAAATTTTTTTTTTTTTACAGGAAAAAAAAGTAGGTTTGCGTTTCTGACCACAGGATGAGACGATTGTGTAGAGGGGGACACCACGAAAAGTCCGCAAGAAACTTTATAATGATCTATTTTATGAATGATTATTCTCGAACAAAATTTTTCTCGTCGAAAATATATCCCGCTTGGGTTCGTCACGAAACACGCTTCTTCTTAGTTGCGTGACGAGCTCAATCATAGCTGTGATGGAGACATGTAACAAACCACGTGCTATCCGAGTTTTCACCAAAATGATTTATACACTGAGTAAGATTCGTCTAATTCGGTAATTAACCGCGCTTTCACCGAATTTTTAGGTCTTATTTCTTTGTAATTTTATGGTTTGTTGATTCAACAGCGCTTTACGAAATATGGGAATATCCGATAGTCTGTCGCAGGTAAATTAAAAACCACTAGCACACAATAATTTTTATAAGTTAAAGGCTTCTGTAGTGCTCATATTCCCAACCTTTTTTGTATTAGTTTTAAATGATAATATAGGCTTATCATCGCCTCATCGTTGTCTTTGAAAGCTTCAGTTTCAAACTTTTTGCCATGTCAGTCTCGATACAAAACACTCAATTTGAATGACAAAGTTTTTTTGAGATTTCTAGTTTGTGATTTAACAACAAATAAAAGCATTCTTTGGGCTTAGAATTAACTCCAAATACTCAACGCCTCGTGTAGTATTTGAATGTTTCACTTCTGTCATCCAATATACATTGATTCCTTTATTTATTTTTTTTACCAACCACTGAAGTCAATGTCTAACCATGTAGAAGATAATTAGAGAATGAGTGAGTGAATTTTCATGATTAACAAGGATACGACATTGATTCAATTAAAGTCGTCTTTATTCTAGAAGACGTGTTTTTATCAAAAGTTGAAATTTTTTTCCTTGGATGCATACTTCAACTTCGTACCTGACAAAGTCGGGGAATCGGCTCCGGCTACTTCCTGCCACAAAAATTCTTGCGATGATCAATCTGTCAGCTGTGACATGAGCAAGGTAAACAATTTATCAAACTAAGTGTGTAACGATATTAAAATTTTAGATATCAGTCTTCGATTGCTTTTCATCTCATTCTGAGAAACGAAATGTTCCCTTTTAAGATGTAATGTTTGTTGGAAACAGCACACGCCGTCAAACTTAATACTTGAATGATAATTATTAAAAATGATATTTGCTATCATTGTAGAACTGCTTATGAGACTTGAAAAAATTCAAGCTTCGACTGGGCTTGAACACGTGCCTGTTAGATAGTGATTACGATAGATGCTATTTCCAAGCTAGTTTCTGTACAGGTTTTCAATTTGTTTTACTCACAATCTACTTCATTGCAGTGATCAATTCCACAATCATCATCCATGACGTAATATGATTTTATTCATATAATTTTTGAGACTAGAATTGAAAATTCTTTCAAAAATGGCATCTCCAACCGACATCTTTCTTACATGGATGGTCGTTTCCATCAACAACGATTTATTATCCGTACTTACTTTCAGAAGACGCTTGTTCGAAAAAGATGATGCTTTCAAATTATTGAGTTCTGCAATAGAATAACCTGAAAACAGAAAAATTCGAGAACAAAAAATAATTAGTGTGGGAACGATCACATCTTCGTTTTGTTGTCAGGTTGCTCAAAACGAAGCCAACACCGATTTCATTTACATATTCTATTATTTGGAAAAAATGATTATTTTGTCAAAAACTGTTAATAACGAGAGAAAAATTTAAAAAAGCCTTGTCCGCTAACCTTAAGCCAAAAAAGGCAAACCCCAAAGTCAAGATCAGTCACTATATGTATACCAAGTTTGTTTTCAAATGATTGTCATGAGGCAAAAAAATTTATTTAAATATCAGGGGTGTTATTTGAAGATCTTGACGGGAGACAAGTTTTACTTTCCAACGCAATTTCTCTTTCGGTTAAGCTAACATCAGAAATGCCTGAAAAACGTGAAATTGAGAGCATGTATTTTAATCAACCTTCTTCTAAACTTTTTTCGAAATTTTTTTTAAACCTCTTTATTTTTTTCATCACCAACAATGATTTATCAGGTATTGACTCCACACATGTCCAGTACACCCGACTTGAGTCGGGTTGTCTTCACTAGCGGGCGGATTGAGTCCGATTGCGACCGGAACCGGAAATGGGCGCAAGGCGCTTGATCAGTGGTACCGGAAGTAAGAGGTTAACAGGAGCGAGAGGGGTTTAAGATGTTGGCAAACAGACTCGACCGGAACCGGTGGAGACAGCTTGTCCTGGCAAGAGTCGATCGGACTCCTCGCTGAATGCAACTTACATGTCCAAAGTTATAACACTAAGATATGAGCTTCAAATTTAAGGAGAAAAATCGTTTAGTCTCCTGAACGTAATGGGAGCCACGGGATATTTAACACAGTTGCATACTATAGGATGGGTTGTTCATATGCTCCGTGATAGTTCTCGCGCGCTTGCTTTGCTCTCAATTTCAACTAACACTCAGGATCTCATACCCGATTCTCCACTCTATATTCAATACAATTCTCATAATTGTAGCTCTGAGAATTTTGAGTTCAATCAAACAAAATTTCTAAGGTGATATTTTTCCTTCGTCTCATAACCTTTCCGGTTGAGAGCGCATTGTACGGAGACGTTGCTAATTTATCATTCCCCGGGACTGAAAGAGTTGTAAAAGGTTGAAATTAGACAAAAACTGAAAAAGGAGTGCCAAATGGGGAGAGAGGATGGTCCACAGGACACCTACTCTTCAAAATATTCATAGTTTACCCAGCAAGAAGATTCACGCAGGGTGCATTTTAACACTGATTTTATTTTCTACAAAAACATGCAAGCAAGAGACAATTTCCAATAAGAAAGGATACACATACAAGTTATTTATTTTACACAAAGGAAGGTAAAAGTAGTTAAAAGAATATCTAGAAATATAGGGTAATTCCATCTGAAGTTCAGTCTCTTAACAGAAAAATGCATATCTCTACCTTTCATAATATACAACACTGGCATGTATTCTCATTTTTTCATGTTTAGAATGACAAATCATTATCAACTTCAAAAACAAAAAAGCTTTATATTGACAAGGTAAGAAAGGAACTCTCGGTTTAGTTGTTACACAACACTATGTTGCCTTGGAGGGAATGATTGCACAAATGTAAGATGAAGTATTCAGTGATAGGCCCAACAAAGGCTATTGAAAACTAAGCAAGATTCCACAATATCTTTGAGGGAAGCATAAATATTTCCAGTTTCAATGGACTGCTGCCTTTTTCTCAGGCTGACCACATAGTCAATAGACAAAAAAAGAATGAAGTAACACTGATAATGATACAGTCTGATACAGAGTTTGTTCATGTGCCATTTGACATGTCTTCCATCTCTTCATCAACATTATTATTCGGTTTGTTTCCTCCAGGCACCTGACCTGCTTTTAATAACATCTCAAGTCTTTGCACTTCATCCAGAGAGCGTGCATTTGCAATGGCAGCCTGAGGGAATGAAACAATAACTACAAATTAGTTACACAAATGACAATCGTGTTTGCCAGCAAAATGTTCAACCACTTAGAAAAGGAATCGTCTCCCATGTAAAACATATTAAATTATTACTTGTAAAAAGGGGTATTACTAAAACACTTGGTACAGACTTAAATTTACTTACCTTGATTGCAGCAATGTCTTTAGTGGGTGATGGAAGAGGTTTGCTTGGTAAAGGCCTTGTTCCAACAGGTGGTCCCCCAGGAACAAACCTAAATCAAAAAATTAAAAAAAAAAATCACTCATAGTTCAAATCTTATTGAATTGTTATACAATGTCTTATCATTTTGTCTCTTGACTGAGAACTGGTTTGTACCTCTCCTTCACAATACCTTTCCCTATTATTACCTCAAAGAATTTTGTGTAATATGTATGTTGTGGTTCAATTTTATCCTTGGTTGAAATTTTATTTTCCTTTGTTTCAAACTCAGTATCATACATTATGATACACCACAACAAAAGAAATAAAATTTGAACCAAAGATAAGATTGAACCACAACATGCACAATGGATTAGTTTGTCAATTTTTATCACATGCTGGGTAGACAACAATTTGAAATTGTGAGGAGTTACAGTTTTTCAAACCACTTCTGCACACTCATATAATGAGCTAACAAACAAGGAAATGGAATAAACTTACGTCTTAGCCTTTCTTCCCTTTTGACTTCCTTCTTGTCCTCGTTTACCGCTGAACATTCGCTTGGCAGCTTCCCTTTCCTAAAAACAATAGCACAAAACATCTATGTTACTCAGCTTTTCAACCCTTTAACTCCCAAGATCTAATTATTAATTCTCCCCTTCTGGCTGCAACACATCTTGTAAATTTGTTACAAGAATTTGGTGTTAGATCAAGATAACAATTTCTATCTGATAAGTTTGAGTATTCTCATTACCTTTTTGCTAGATAATGTATGAGTATTATAGGGAGAAGATTACATGTAAATCAACCCCAGGAGTTAAAGGGTTGAGCAAAACAATTTTTATTCTTACAGCAACAATAACTAATACTGGCCAATGGTAAAACCTTTATCATCTCTAGCAACAAAGAAAGAAATTATATTGGAGTAACCCTTTACACCCTAACATCAGCATGCATATTCTCCATACTGTTTTCCATACAATTCCAAAGGTGCTGACAAGGAGAATTTGTTTAACAATCAATACTTTCTTTAGTTAGTGATCATTTCATTTGTTGGTGTTGCCTTAATAGGTGATTTAAGGGTCATAATGTAAGGAGAAATTAGATGCTGGTCACTAGGTCAAAAAGATGCTAGATCTAACAGTCTTTTTTTATTACCCGTTGTTTTATTCTCTGAAAGTCCAACACTCTTAGCTGCGGCAATTTGTTGATGACATATAATCTGTAGTGAGGTTTGTTAGTTACTGGGTTTCGAAGCAAACTGAAAAAGATACCAAGAGATTTTTAACATTCAGTTACAAGTTCTGAGATAAAGTACACAGAATTAACACCTGCATCTTATCTCTTAGCAAGGAGAAAAAAAGAGTTAAAAAACCAGTGGCTGAAAAGTATTCAACAGAGTGAGAAAAGAAATTATGGTGAGCAGTGTTTTCCTTTTCAGACAATAACTGGTAAATGCATGTAGTACCCTCTTATTGCCGCTAAGAATTGTTTGGAATTCTTGAGATTTCAACAGGTACAACAATTTTTCTACTGGTTTCATCATTTCCTTAATTTGTTGTGCTTAAAATCAGGGAGAACAGGGGGAAATGTTCTAAAGAAAGGGTTAGATAAATATGCAACATGTACCTGAGGTACTGGAGACTTTTAACAGACTTCAATGGATCCAGGTCTTTCTACAGATCAAAATGAATGAAGAGAATGAAATTACACAAGTAAACAAGAATTGTGACAATCCAGACAATAACCATGCAACCAAAATATTGTCAAGGAAAAATAAATAAAATAGGAAAAAATACAAATTAAATAAAAATAAAAGATGAATTAAAACTGAAAACAAAGACTAAGTAAGACATACCAATTCTTGCATGTTATTTGATGTCATTACAATAGTTTCTAAGTTGGGTAGACTCTCCTCTAAATGTTCTGCAATACGACTGAAAGCAACATGAATAGTGTTAGAAGAGAGAGATATATGTCAAAAAAAAAATGAGGCAATGATGATGATAATATTTATTGTAAAATTTATTATTAATGATAATATTAGTCAAAGACGATACAGGACAATAATGACAAAAAAATCATGATTTGCTTCATACATGTGAGAACAAAGGGGTCAAGCTTTCAAATATATTTATGTCTTGTTGAAGCTATTTTTTCAGTAGCTCTTGGTAACAATAAAATATTGCAGTAGTTTACATTTCACAGCTTTAAAAACTTGTCTAAATGATGAACCAAAAAAGTTACAATTTCTGTCTGACTATGACCCTGGTATAAAACTTGAGGAAGAATAACAATATAATTAAAAAGCCTCAAAAAAGGAAAAAAAAAAAACAAAATGTATCAAAATTCATTTAGAGGGTAACAGGCTAAAAACGAATAGTTATTAATTCTTTTCACACAGGTAATAGAATTTTTGAAGAATGAGTCTTTTGCTCTAAATGACACCTTCTTTGTATCTTCTTTGAGCATCAAAATGCTACTAAACTAACTAGATACATGTACACAGTAGTTAAGGATGTCTGAGAATCTGGGTGACGCCTTCCAAACTCCAAAGACAATTTACAGTACAGTATCAGCTTACCTCTCTCCATAGATTGTCCACTGCACTTACCAATTTTCAATGGGATATATATATATATTTAAAAGTGTTAGATACTGCATAAAACACCACTGCACAACATTTTTGTCATGCAAATTACCATATTTTATGCTAGGGGTTGGCTATTAAAACAAAGTTTTGCCTTTGTTTAACAAAAGTGCTTCCTAAACAATCCTCAATTTTGCTGAATCTTTTGTCTGAACATTTATTTTTGTGAACAGTGTCAAGAGAGCTGAAAGCTAACACTGGATGGACTTCCCTTTAGTTAAATCGACTCACTTAAAGAGAAAGCCTGAGACCCACTAGTTACTTAAAACCATGATTTGGATTGGACTCATGCAAATAACCAGCCCTAACAGTTTAATATCACATGGATTTACTGACACACAAATTTCTATACAGCACTTACAAACTACATAAACAAACGACCACATAAACAAACAAATGACTCCATGAACAAATCATACACAATTAAAAATTGTCAATTTTAAAGGTGACTACCTGTAATTTAAAAGTGACAATACTTTTAAGTCTGGTACAAATACAAGATGCTATCATCTAGAATATGTTTAAAAGTTGAGAAAGATACTGTAAAAAATCAGGAAGAACAGTTTATAAAAATGTTTTAACCTAGACAAGTTTAACAAATACTAGGAAATCAAATTCTTGCCTATAAATTATCATAGCAGAAACACAAAAACAGTGACAAATAAAGCAAAGGTGGACATATTGAACAATGTAAGTTGATCAAAAGACCCAACATTGTTTTCAATGGATTCTTAATTTCTGGAAAAAAATGCTAGTCATGCAGCATATGCACACACGTGTCTGTCTGTGCAAAAGAAATGTCCAGGATGAATCATTGAAACATACCATATTCTGTTGTTGTTTAAAAGAAGGCTTTTCAATCTCTTGAGTAATGCAAATCCCTCCAGTTTGCGGATGTCATTCTCTGACATATCAATGGTATCAAACTGGTCCTAAAATCAATCAAACAACAGTTATCCCATTACCTTCAGGAGCTGATAACAAGTAACTTCTCTCTATAATATCCAAACATTATATAGCAAACACGTAATGAGAATATTCAAACTTATCAAGTAGAAATTGTTATCATGGTTTAAATCAAAATTCTTTTAACTAATTTACAAGGAAATGTGCAAAAGCTAGATGGGAGAATTGACAGTCAGATCTTGGAGTATAAGGTTTAAGACATTATTGCAGGCATCAGGAATACAAGCTTGGCATGTAGGATCATAACCATGCACACCCTAAGATCAGTGTAGATATTCTCCATATCCTTCTCTATACATTTCGTTTGGTACAGACAAGGAGAATTCATTTAAGAATCAAAGCTTCCTAGGTTAGCAATCATTTACTTCATTCTCATGATCTTTATGAATGATCTACTATATTACAGTCAAGAGAAATTACATGCCGGTCAATCTTATGGGTTAAGGAGTCAAAATGCAAACAATGAATCCTAAATTATATATTTTTTATGACTGAAGACTGTTACTAAAGATTAGCATCATTTAGAAGGTGGTCCGTTGCTACTATCATTTATCTTCCAATTTTTCTGAAGCATTTAGCGAAATAATCGAGTAATGGAAAAAAAAAACTTACCAAAGTCGCTCCAAGATTTTCAATCACGGGGATTTTATAACCTACAGTGTAAAAGACAAGACAATGTAGAAAATAATGCAAGATGGTCAACAAATAGGAAATATGTACTGCAAGCATCTCCACATAACAAACAATACACTAGATTTCCAATAACTTCGTCCAAAGCAACTCTCGTTTCAAAATAAAATTCCTAAATAATTTTATTTTTTATTCAAACCGCAGAATAAATGTTTACTTACCCCGCAAATCCAGTTCTCTATCTCTCAATGCATTTGTGTACTGCGGACTTTGCAGTATAAGATCTGCTGTCAACTTCATTTTATCGGTCAACTCCTGCCGTTAAATCTCTGATGAACAATTTAAAAGGTTCTCTTATGTCCTAAAAATGTTCTCTGGTCTTTTAAATTTAGCTTCGACGAGTATTTTATGAGATAACTAGCTTTTTTCATGCAAACTTCGCGTGGTGGTTGCGAACCGCCATCTTTGTTCCCTCGACACGTGAACATTGCTCGCCCCAGGTCTTACTAGAGCACTCGCCAATAACGCCTGGTGGTTTTGATGTTTCTTGGAGAAAATGTCAGCACGTTTTGAGAACGTTCCTGTGGTCGAAGTTTCAGCGGACAATTTTGCAGAATTATGGCCTTTTATGATTCGTGCAATAAAAAAATCTTCATTTGTGGCACTGGACACGGTACGTGAGTGAGCATTTTCGAAAGAAATTTCTTCTCAAAGGTTTTCTAAACGTACCATCTTGATTTGGAAAATGTTTGGGAAGAAGAGTATAATTACAACTGTATTTCCATTTTAATCGAATTTCAGTAGTGTAATCTTTAACCCTGTACACCCTAGCACCAGTCTTCATATTCTCCATACTGTTCTCTATAAATTTCGTGGTATTGACAAGGAGAATTTGTTTAACAATCAAGAGCTTCTTTTGATGGTGATCACTTCCTTCATTCTCGTGACCTTAATGTTTGATCCAGGGGTGATATTGTGGGGAGAAATTAGACGCTAGTCACTCTTTATGGGTTAAAGGGTTAGAGAAAAGCCTAAATTTGGGCAATGTTTGGGAAAATAAATGCATCTGTTGTTTTTTTTTCTTGTAGGAGATGAGTGGAATTGGTGAGAGAAAGAATCTAATGACACAGTAAGCAACAATGTTCTGATATCATTTTCTACTTTTCAGTCTCTATAACTGTCTGAATAATTGGCTTTTTGATTGCTATTCATTTCTATTTAATCATAACTTATCTCCAATTTTATTTAATATTTGACTTGATTGGAGTATTTTCAATACCACACCATACAGTCTTGGTTCACTAAAATTTACGGAATGTTGCTTTTGGAACTCTTTACCTGCTATTCAAAAGATCCCAACTGGCTCACTACCTGGGTTTATAATTATTATTTATTCCTTATGTACTTTGTATTGTTTAAATAATCATGATAGTAATGTTTATTGAGATAATTTTTTCATACCAGTATGGTTTTTAAAAAGGAACTCATGAGATTAATAAATATGGAATACACCAAATCAATGATAAAATTGAATGCTCAAATATATAAAAACTATTAAATGTACGATGAATTTTTTGGCAGCTGATAGGTAGTATGTATCAATTGCTAGGTGCAGAGGTTTAACCCTTTAACCTCAAAGTGTGTCTGGCTTCTAATTTCTCCTTACAATATCACACTTGAATCAAATGTAAAGGTCATGAGAATAAAGGAAATGATCACCAATTTAAGAAGCTTCTGATTGTCAAACAAATTCTCCTTGTCATAACCACAAGAATGTAGAGAGAGCAGTATGGAGAATACAAATACCAATGTTACCGTAATTTCCGCCCATTTACCTGCACAGCAGATTACCTGCATTGGTCAATTTTTGCAATAATGAGAAAACAATTTCAACAGATTACCTGCGCTGGCAGATAACCCGCCCCCAAAAACAAAATAAAATGGTCAACTTATGCAAAGTTCCTTCATTGTTTTTGTTGACATGATATCCTTTAGCGTGCAATTGATAAATTTTCACACTTTTTGTCTTTGCTATTTCATTGAGAATGATACCAATTGTAAAAATCTGTTCTAAAAAAAAATCAATATCACAAGATCTACTGGGTCAGAGAAATCACTTGAAATGGGAAAATACTCTTTACCTCAAGGCAATGCAAGAAAAGAAAATTTCTCTGATGCGTCAAATATTCTGTTGCGCTAATTAATTATGTAGTGCCACGAAATTAACATGTTGGTATCATTTTCTGTGTGAATTGCCCTGAAGCTAGTCTTTTCACAGTAGTTGAATTCTTTTATTTCCAAGTTCACTTCCCGTGTAAGTGAGAATTTTTTTTTTAACTAAACAAAGAAACAAGCTGTGAAATTGACAAGGTAAGAAAGTAAGAGTACGAACAAGATGAAAGCTATGTTATCGAGTTTTGTATATTTTCGATTTGCATTGGCTTTCATTGAGAGCAATAAAGAGAAATCTGCGAGAAATAAATTGAGTTATTGCACAAGTTTTTTGAAGAGTACTTTAGTGGATCTTATCACCTGTTTTTTTCCTGTTTATCATTTTTAACTACACTGGAAGCTTTAAAAATTAATGTTTTACCTGCATCTTCCTATAACCTGCGCCAACAACTGTTTGTGGAAAAATTAACAGATCACCTGTGGGTTATCAGCTGGAAATTACTGTATTTTGTCAAGGGTTAACCCTTTCGCTCCCAAGATAACATTAGTAATTCTCCTTACTGCCTGCCATATAATTCTTATGATGTTAGTTCAGAGAATTTGGTATTGGATCAACTAATAATGCCATAATTAATACTTTTCTTTATTCTTATTACCTTGGTCACTTGTGGGAGTGACAGGGTTAACAAAATTGTATGTCTTATTCTTCAGATTTGTTGAAGACCGGTATAAATACATGTGTGAAGTGGCACAATCCAGGGCCATTCTCTCTCTTGGCATTTCTTGTTTCAAATTGAAGAAGAAAAAGATGAATAATGACACAGAATGCAAAGAATCTGAAACAAAACTGAACATCAGGATCAAGACATTTAACATTGTTGTCCTTTGCACTGAAAACTTTGTGGTAGAACCAATGTCTTTGACATTTTTGGTCGGACATGGCTTTGACTTTAACAAACAGTATGCCAAAGGGGTTCCATATTCAAGAGGAGATGATAAGTTACAGGTAATACTGGATTGAATGTTACCTTAATGATAATTTGTACATGAAAAAATTATGCACTTCTGATTGGCTGAAAAAAAGTGCATTCTCATGTAACACAGGTGCAAAGTTGTCCCACGCTTGTGACAAGATGAAAAAACATCTTTCTTAATTCTTCATTGAGCTCAAAACTTACCATCTTTACTATTTCTATCAGGTGCAAAGTTGTAACACAAGTGAATTACCAATAGCATGTACACGCTTTCAAAATCTTGTCCCTCTCGACTTTCTGTGATGTTTTTTTATGTAAATTATTAACAAGTAATAACCTAATTTCTCTTGCAATTTGGTGTAATAAGCACTTGCAAAGACTACAAATTTCACTTGCCCTACTGGCTTGTACAATTTTGTTGTCTTTGAAAAATTAATGTGTGCTTATAAACAACAAATTGCACTGGAAGTCATGTTATTACCAATACTTATGGGAGTGGGAGACTCCCTAGTGCACTGGATTGAAGGTTGGTAAGTTTGAGACCTGGTGGGTCAATGTGTGGTGTTCTTGGGCAAAATGCTTTACTTGCACAGTGCCTGCCTCTCTCCACCCAGGAGTATATTAATGGGTACTGGTAGATTAACAGGGGGGAAGTACTTAATACCCCTAGTTGCTTCATTGGACAGAAACTGGGATAAGCTCTAGCTTGTTGGGCTACTTAGCTCAAGCACAAACTGTGCCATAATTATCAGACCATACTGTGGTGGTGTTAAGACCAGAATTTAAAACAGTAGTCCATCAAAGCTGGGAAATGAATTAATTAGCGAACAAATAAATGTGATTTAAAACCATAGAGTGAGTATTGAAGAAAATTTGATGGAATTACTGTTACTCATTCCCCGTTCTGTCAAGACAGTGCCTGTATTAAGAAACCTAATTTCAAAAAAGCAGAAGTTTCATTATTCTTTGATATTATAGCCCAGAAGTTGCATTTGTCCAACAACCTCCCAGATCTTCAGAATTTAAAGCAACAGACCACAACAGCCAATTACCACAGAGCACAAAAAATATCATATATTTTCCCTTATTTTCCAAAAGCCTTTATAGTCTCCTCATAAACTAAAGTACTGTTTTTGGTTATCCTTCAGGTAAAATCTGGCACACCACAGTACTCTGTGAGAAATCTCTTCAATCAACTTATTCTGGCCAATAAACCTATTGTCGTTCACAATGGTTTTTTAGATTTGGTGTTTTTGTATGAGAACCTCTACTGCAAGTTGCCTGACAAACTACAAGTGTTTACTGCAGATTTAGCAGAAATGTTTCCAGCTGGTGTATTTGATACCAAGTTTGTGTCAGAGTACAGCGTGAGGGAACCTGCGTCATTCTTGCTCTATATTTTCAAAAAATGGTGGGTTTGTGAGAAATTTTTTTTATTCAAAGTCAAGGAGAATTTGTCAAACAATCAAAGTGTCTTTGGTTGGTGATCATTTCCTCTGTTTTTATGATCTTGTTCAATGATTCTGTAGTATTACTGTTGGGAGAAATTAGATGCTGGTCACTAAGGGTTTAAAGGTGTATAACATCATGCAATTTGTGTTCACTTCTGCAGTACTCTTGTTTATTCTTAGAAACTAAGGGGCAGTTATTTAACATCACTTTGACACAACTGCTAGGAAAATGCTTTAACTGAAAGTCCTTAACAAGACTATGCTCCTGCTGAGCTTGCTTCCCTAAAGCCACAGATTTTTGTCTTTGGGTGGGTAGTTTAGCTTTTCTTTAATGAAGCTTTCATGAGCAGGGCACTTGAGATTTCTTAGACAAAAGCCTTCAGGCACTCCCAGTGATTCCCTGAGAGAACAGCTTTGATCTTTCAAACAAAGAAAGGGTGAATTTTGTAATCTAAATAGTGCTTAAGAAATAAAATTACAAAAAGAGGTCTGCAGAACCCTTTTGAACTTAGGTAATGAATACAAGGCAAAGAAAATTACGGTAAATTTTACTTGAAGAATTCCAGACCAAGAAAAAGATGGAACCACAACATAGTTACATCCAGTATGACCTATCTTCAGGTTGAGCTAATAGCAAGTGTTTGTTCTTTATTTAGCCAAAGGACCAACATTCATCATCAAAACCAAGGAAGGAAGTATGTTTGTCCAAAATTTCGCGAAGAAGCCTCACTATCAAGTTTCACTGAGCACATCTATTGTGGGGCACGAGATGAAAGCGAGGCTGTCAATGTTGACGTCATGGTCTGTGAGAAATTTGCGGTAAGCTTTGCATAATGGTTCTTGTCAGCTCTGATCGTGCGGCTGATGTTGTTTCTGTGAAGCAATGCTCTTGGAGTTTCCGGCCTTAGTGGTGGCCGTTATTTTTGAGTTGTAAACCGTTGAATGTTTAGTTCCATACTTCTCCAAAGTTGTACCTCTCAAATGATCTACAAACATAGCTATGAGCTCACTCGTGCGGCCAGAGGACCTAGAGAGCGATTTTGGAAAATGAAAAGAATCGGAGCCACAGACGGAGACATCTCTTGGAAGCAATTTTAAAATGAGCTTGGTTTATTTCGCTCTGTGATTGGCCCAAAAAAACTCGCATCACTCTCTCAACCAAGAACGTGTAAACCTCAAACCAGTCGCGACTTGTTTCCCCGCATTTTCTCGTGCTCTAGACACCTAAGTTCTAATAGGCTCCCTGTGACATCTGTCTTATTGGCTCACGGCTTAATTTGGTGTTGGTTTTATAACCCTCAATCAAGATGTGCTCATTACCGACTCGTTCAGCTTTAATCCCCTTTACACCCTTACATCAGTATGCATATTCTCCATAATGTTCTCTACAAATTTCCCAAGGTGCTGACGAGGAGAATTTGTTTAATGATCCACGGCTTCTTTAGTTGATGATCATTTCCTCAATTCTTGTAACGTTAATGTTTTATTCAGGGGCGAAATTGTAAGGAGAAATTAGATGCTAGTAACTCTCAGGGGTTAAAGGGTTAACCAAACCGAATCTTATTTTCACGCTCGCTCCCATTCTCGTCCTCAGGGCCACTCGTTTTTCTTCACTCTTTCCCCCAACCACCTAACCGAAAGAAAGGGAGGACCCTGCGGACGATTCGCTCCGACCTTTCATTTCAAACAGGAAGCATGCACAAAATATGCTACCGTTTCGTTCTCTCCAACATTAAAGTAAAATCTTTCCTATTAGCTTCTTTAAAATCACTACATTCAGTTTTTTTGCGTTTCGCTTTGTCCGGACAGGCTTATGGATTTTGTCCTCGGGAAAAATCCTGCTCATTTTCACACGACGTCGATGATGTTTTAGATCGTGAGTGGAGAGTGAAAGAAACCAAGAGGCTGAAACGAAAACGAAAACGTCACAACTCTGGTAAGTTTAGGAGCTGGAAGAAAAATTTCACCTTTCAATTCTTAAGTCCCTAGCGAAGATTCAAATCCCAGGCGGTAAACTCTTGCTTACAAGGGTTGGATTTGTAAGAATGTAAGGTTAAATGTGAATCAAGATACAAAGTCAGCACTCGAGCTAAATGGCTCATTCTCCTTAAGCTTAACCAGATTTCCTTGACATAAAGCGACTCGGAGTATTCCTTCACTCTCCTGTATAGAATACCAGTCAATCGCAGGTACCCCTCTCCATAATTTCCTCAGGTTTCCCTAATTATCAGCGCTTCAGCACAAGCGTTTCTTCTACCGCCGCAAAGTATAGACCTTGAGCTAGGTGAGCCAGCGAGAGGTCTGCAAGTGGTCTACCACTGTTTGCTAGTGCTGGACCCCCGTCAAACCTCTCCACGACTCGTCTCTAATGTTCCCGTGGGCGGAGAAACGTGCGTCCCGCTCACAGTTTTTTTCCGGACATTTTGTTGGTACTAATTTTTCATCTGGGTGGAGGGTAAACAACACAATGACTCTCGACCGGAGTCCAGAACCCTAACTGTGAGGCCACAACGTCTCCCAATCTGAATCACACGAAGTCTAATTATTTAGCAACTGTTTTATTCATTCTAGGTAATAATGAATGCGATGTAACTAAAACACATGGTACTGAAAATTCGCCCCAAACAGACACTTCGGAGGTAGTGGGTGCACGTGATAAACAGGACACTCGCGTGACGTATCTGCGTGATGCTCACGTGAGTCAATCCAACGGCGTCAAGACACGTGACTGTGGTCACAGAGCAGGTTTCGATGCGTTTATGACCGGCTATTGTATGGCGACTTATCTATTACAGCTTGGCAAAGAAAGTGTTGATAACGAACTCAGCCTCTCCTCCCTAGTGGATGTTGCGAACAAGCTAAGCCTTACAAGGAAAGACGTTCCATTACAGATCACTCGAAGTCATTTCACTCGACCGTCAGCTTCGCACGCTGAAAAACTTAAACGACTGAAAAATCAGCCTGAGTCGTCGGAACAGACATAGTGGAATATTTAGCACTGCTAAGTTTTTTTGTAACATTTCAAAATGTCAATTTTTAAACTATTCCTCTCCAAAACCTTTCATTATTAATTTTTTCATTTTATTGTTGCATCCTTGCTTTATTTGCTCTTTCGCAAAGTAATCATTTTTTATTCCTTTTTTTTATTCAAAATTAAAATGATTTTTTATCCTTGAAAAGTGAGTTTTATACATGTTATCACGGGTTTTTTTCTTCTTTTCCTAATTATTTTCTCTTTCCTTTCCTGTTATTCCTGATATATATGGATTTTCTCCGCACCTGTTCATTTTTAGTTACGTAATCGTGAACTCGTTGATATACTGTGCAGAAAATTAATTCTTACTACCCGCGCGAGGGCTCTACTGGAGCCGTGTAGTAGGGTTTGGATGCAACGAGGTCCATACGAAAACGACCGAGGGCCAATATTCTCCAAACTGCTCTAGCAAGTGAGGTTAGCAGGTAGTTTATTACATTGTATTCGGACCAAACTTGTTTATTTTGAATTTGCCGGCTTTCGCGAAAAAAAACGCACTACTTATGACCGTTTCGGTGGAAACGGTTAGTATTGCAAAGTACTCTCTTAGAAAGAATCAATCAGAACGCTCAAATTTACCTCAAGACTACCTTGCTATATAATAGAATTGTTTATTTCGTCGGCACAAGTTTGAGGTTGCAAAATAAACTTCAACGAGCAAGTTCTTAAGAGAGAATCGTCAGTAGTTCAAATTCTAATTAATGGGCTATTCTACGGTACTTATCTGGCCCAAAATTCGCCGTCATCTTCACAAAAGTTCATCCTGATTTCTTGCCTAAATTTTACAATAGGACCGCTGTCTTGAATAAGATGCTTGCTCTCCCCAGACTCCTAAGGCCATGCTAACGGCACGAAATTTGCATATCGAATCCTTCGCATATTCAAGAGTAAAAACGAGTAAGGATGAAAAGGGAAAAAAGACGATTTAAATTTTTAAAGATGTAAAAACTCTGATATAGCTCCTTTAAAATGATGGACGAATACGTGTAGAATGGAGGGAATTTTCCTTTGCTAATAAAAAATTCATGTTAGATTTCCATAGTCACGTTATTTTCGTGCCAATTGCCAGCTTTTATTGCCAAATCTTGAAGCATTGTATGGACAGCTGGATTCTTGGGAAGAAATTCAACCACGATTGATCTTTGTTCAGTTGGGATACAACTAGTAATTGTCTCATAAAACCAGAGGAATACAGGCCTGCCATTGCACGCATGGATTATGAAATGGAGTAGGGGGAGGTCGTAAGGTGTAATATGGCCCCACTTTGGTATGAAAATATAATAATTTGTAATAGTGGAACATCCTAGTATCCCCCTAAATTCTACTTAGACGCTGATGAAACATCCCCCTCCTGAAAACAATTTTATCTCATGCTACTTTGAAAGAAAACGAAGCGTTGGGAATTTCCATTTTAATGCTAATCTATGCATATTGTTTTTACCGATGCAGCAGCTGCAGTAAGCAGAACTGTTGACGATGCTAAACTGAGGTTTCAGTAAGGGAAATAACTAATAAATATTTTGAGCAAATCTGACCTACAGGTAAGTAGATTCCTTTGTTTTAAAGGACTGCTTCTCCTGCATGGGTATTACATCTGGAAACTTCGTTGGGGTGTTTTTTTACTATGACAAAATGCTACTGATTAAGAAGTATTGTTTATTTTTTAATATTTTAATTTTCGTTCTTTTGTGAGGAGAAATTTTTTAAGTGTGAAGCAACTCACGAAAAATTAAGAAGGAATTCTCTCGAATTTTTTTCTTGTCTTGAAAGGAGGATGTTTAATGGATGTGCGTGCCTTTGAAGTCTGAAATAATGTTAATATATGCACAAAACATCAACAGTCGACTTCTTTTGTAATTGGCTTTTTTCCAATTAGGAATTTTGCAACCTCTGCCGGCAACTGGGTATCATAGCAACGCCAACTGGGCGCTTGGTTCCTGTCCAATCTCCTTTCATTCAGTAATTGCAGGACGACAAAATTTCTAAAAGTCGTATCGACACCGCATTGATGTCTGTGCTCTCTTAATGAGCTGTCAACCAAAGCGACTGAGCTGGAGATGGTGAGTCAATCGAAAAATTGTTTGTCTAAATAAATACTTGGTGTAGTGGAAAACTGCATTCGAAATAAGACATGCGGTTCTTTCCCATATGCGAAACAATACCCAACGAGTGTTGGGTAAAATGACAGAAAAAGTGGGTTGTTACAAGGACAGTCACGCAGGGCTGTCTTCTAATGATGCTCGATCAACATTTTAGCTTTCATCCCATCTCTCAATCGTAAATTTAAAAAAATGGATAGAAATAAGGAAAGAATATATGAAATAAACATTTAGTTGAGAGTGATGTTTATACAACGAATATTTAAATTCAATCGCGTTTTAGCGAACGATTATTTTCACAACCGTGGCTTTTTATCTGTTAATATGCCTCCAGTCTTAATTAAAGAAATGGGGTTTTTCGAATTCGCACTTTACCTTAACCCTAAGGAGGTTAATTTTTAATCGTTGAAATTGCGCTTTTGGAGATCCCTTTACACATAGAAAGAAACCCAGGATTAATGAACTTTTTAAAACAAAAATGTCTAGTGACAGACCTAGGTATGTGAATAAATAATTATAGTCAATTTGCATGTATATATGGGGGATATTTTAATTTCCTCACGTTTTAAATATACGTATTTGTAATCCATAGCTAGGACGTACCTTGTCGCGTCAAAAATTACAAATGTTGTCTCTCCTTTATTTTTGACAACAATTACGGCACATTTCTTTATTTTTGGCTCAGAGAAAATACAAATTGGTTTTAATAATACGGCTTAAAGTCGTAAATGAAGACAATCGTCATCGAACACTCACTGTGAGCCCAAATCCACAATTGAAGTAAATCTTCCAAGAATTACTCTCAAAGATGTCCTTTCAGTTATGTGTGATAAAAATATCTTCCGCTAGTTTATCATTGGACAGTTATAATCCATTATCTCGAGACACCATCTCTGTTAGAAGGAAAAGCACTTGGAACCAAAATTTTGCCAATGAATAATAAATACTGTTATCAAAATATACGTTTTTTTTTCAAAAGAGTGAGTCTGAAGTGGAATCTTTCATTTACATGCGAGTTGTTCAATACGACGTAACAGTGAAAATCCTGTACTGTTTATTTGTATTATTATGGTGCATTGTTAGCGGAAATGTTGTTTAAGTAAGCCCATTGAAGCTTTGTCATGAAGAACTGAGATCGAGAAGGAAACGCTTATTTTATGAGCGGAAGTAGTTTCTGTGTTAGTCGGGTTGCTGTAAGCAACCGAACCCACTGTCTTGAATGCAATACCTAGGAGACGGGGGAGGGAAAGGTGATGGGGGGGGGGGGGAGAGGGAAGATAAGAAGGGCAGGGGCAGGCGGAAGGATGGAAGTACGGGGGGGAGATTTGGGACGGGGGGTGAAGTCAGTGGAAAGGTTAGTGGTGTGGGGTCGGGGTAAGATAGGAGATCAGGGGGATGTTGGAGGAATATTGGGGACAGGGAAAAAATGGACAAAAAAAATTATAGGGGGTTGATAGGGGATCAAGGATGAGTTGAGGGGAACGATAGGGCTGACGAAGGGCGATAAGAAACAGGGGAAAATAAATTAAGAGAGTAATTAAAACAGAAGCCCATGTCATGATTCTTTGTAAGCTTATTAGGGTTTTTCAGTTATGTTTTCTATTTTTCTTCCAAAAAATTAACAGGAATCATTGACTCGAGAGCAAATTGGAGGTAAGTTTGTGAAACAATAAATACTGAGCAGTATAAGACGCGTTTTAAATTTCTGACTAGACCGCCTCAGTGTGGCAAATATGGCACCTCAGATTTAAGCTGTGTAAACAAACCTCTGAAATGAAAGAAAGAAAATTTCTACAATGTTTAATCAGGCTCTCTGTACAGATTTGGGAAGTTGATACGTTATAAGGTAATTTCAGCTCACTGAGCCAATTTGAATTCCTCGAAGAAAACAAGATCAAATAATATTACGCCACCAGTTTAGTCCCAAGCGATCTCTATACAAGATTTAACAGATAAAGTAAGGTAATGACGTAATGTTCTATAATAGGACCCAGGTTTTTTCACGTCCAAAACTTGATAGGTCTGGCTCTAGTCAGCCACCATACAAAGAGCTAACGCATGTGAAAACAGCAAACAACTGAATCAGAAAGACAGCGTTCTTGTTTATTGTAAATTGCAAAAGCTGTGATAATGGAATCGCACAGCGTCATTTCAGTCGTTTATCAGTCCATTCATCCACTGCATTATTGGGTCCCACCTAATTTTGCTTACTTTTTCGTCTGATGCTGTGTACCTTTGTAGAATACCGGGAAGCCTTTAAATGCTTTGATTTGAACGAAAATGGAACATTATCGACCAAGGAGTTGAAATATGCCATGCGCATGCTCGGATCAAACCCAACCGATTCCCAAGTGCAAGAGCTGGTGAATGAAAAAGATTTTGATGGTAAGACACTCTGTTTGTTAATCACGCTTGTTGTTCACTTACTGATTGGACCTGAGTCAGTGTCTCCGTGCAGTCCTTAACACCGAATGGTTTTCGTGTTGTACTCGGCTCGACATCGAGTCTTATTACCTGCCCTACATTTCTATTTCCATGGAGCAGAGTAAAAAGCGCACGACGTCAATCTTCACAGTGCTCGCATTTTCGTAAAAAACCGATCTTACCCGAAGACATCTGAAAATTTCCGACGATTTGAGTGCATTTTATGCTATACACTTTGGCGTAAGAAATCAGTTGGCAGGCTTGCGCAGGCACGGGCTATATTTTGACTTTCTTTGTTTTTTTTGCACGCTGATGTGTTTATTAAGTTTGCAGAAATTACTAACTGGTCCCTCCTGGTAGTGAACAGATCAAAACGATAATAATATTTTCTTAAAATCTGGAGAGAAAAACGTTTGCACTTATCCTCGAATTTTTTTTCTTTCCTTCCAATAGGAGATGGGACGATCAATTTTGAAGAATTTGTAAATATGATAGAGGATCAAAATAGCGCGGAGGATGAAGATAATTTATTTACGATATTTAGTGTATTCGACCCTGAACATAACGGCTTTGTTGAGGGAAAAAACATAAAGAAGTCTCTTCTTTGTCTGGATGATGTTCCCGTAGAGGAACTGGATGAAATTATAGAAAAAGCCGGAATAACAGATGACAGGAAATTAACAATGGAAGGTAAGATCTTTAATTATTAACCCTTTGACTCCTGAGATCAAATTATTAATTCTCCCCTCAAGTTGCTAGACATTTCTTTGTAAAGTAGTGATGAGAATTTGGTGTTGGATCAGGATGACAACTACCTGATAAGTTTGAATATTCTCATTTCCTATTTGCTGGATAACGTAAGGATATTATAGGGAGAAGTTTCATGTTGATCACCTCTGGGAGTTAAAGGGTTAAATCGTGTGGCAATTTTCAATTGAGAGTCGAAAGTAATCCGAGTCTGCTTATGGTTTTCTTAACTTCGCTCTGTGATTGGTCATGAAAATTCGCGTCACCTCAACCAATCAGATGCAAACTAAAACCATTCAGCACTTCGTCGCCGGCGTTCTCTGGCGCTTTAAGCAATTTGGTCGTACGGTTCTCTCATTTTAAATTTAGTTCATTTAATTAAATAAGTCAAATTTAGTTTGGTGTTTATTGTCTTTTAAGTGAAAAAGATCGCAAATCATACTTTCTCTTGTGATTTTATTTCAGAGTTTTCTACTCTTCTCGTACCACTGATATACAAGTCGGGAAGAATACTACGATATCATGAAAAAACCTGGAGAAGAAGCAACAATTTTGAAGCGATCTCAGAGTCAAACGTTGAATATATTTAAAAGTATTTAATTTATTAGACCATTACAAGTTGACTGTCAATTAACTGGAATGTGGGGGAGAGGGGGGAGGGGTTGTAAAATTTTTACCGAACCTTATTGGGAGATCAGGTTAATTTCATCGTGACTCAACCAAAATCCTCCCACCCCTCCCCCCCTTCCCTTTGGCGAGAAATATTGACCAGTCCCTTTATAATATTATTTAATAGGAGATTATTTTATAGATTATGCATTGAATAATTGAAGTTTTCCATCATTTTTGTTATTGTTTTTTTGTTGTTGTTTTTTTGTAGTAAAAAGCTTACAATGACTTAGTCCAATGGTAGCCAAGAATAGAGTGCTACCTGATCTACCAGTGACGCACTGGCAGGAAAGCGAATAAAAAGGCCAGACTCTTTCGCACATATGTGAGAATACTACCTCCCTTTTCTAAAGGTGATCATCAAGTAATCATGTGGGGCTTTCATCGAGAATGACCAGCTTCTAGTTTCTCCTTACAGTATCACCCATGGGTCAGATGTTAAGGATATGGGAATAATGGAAATGATCAGCAATTTAAGAAGCTCCTGACCGTCATACAAATTCTCATTGTAAGTACCACAATAAAATGAAGTGAAATCAGTGCGGAGAATGTGTATACTAATATCAGGGTGTAAAGATATAGATGAAAAAAGATCTAGCCAGTTCACATCGAAAACTGTCTCAAGCATTACACAGTGTAACTTCACGTAGTAGAGGAGAAACTTGAGGTTTTGTGTGCGCAAAGGCTTTGAGCGTGAAGCCGCGAGAGACTTGGGACGGATGTTGGTTGTAGTGACTTCACTGCTTATTCCTTAGCTAACATAAAACGGTAAAGCGCATGTAAAAACCGCCAGCATTTCAGGCTAGTTATCAAATCTTGGTGGTATGTTAAGCTTTCTTCAAGCAGGTGAATACTTCTTTGTCTATTGTTGTTCACTATGTAAGGTCACGTAATTTTAAGAAAACAGTCCTCCGTGACTTTCGACTAAATCGAGGAATTCTGCGGAATAAAAATAAAAAAGAATCAATAAATGAATAAATGATAAATTCATTTGCCGTTTCCCCAATCTCCAGGACCAGAAAACCACGCAACTATTTCTTTTTGCGGGATAAAAGCGAGCATCCCGTGGCAAGATGCAAAATTTTAGGGAACAATGTCAGTTACTGGACAACTGCACACTTACCCCTCCCCTAACCCAACTATAATCATAATTTGTTATCAGTTGACTGTTGTTGAGTTAGGGGAGGGGTAGGTGCGGAGTAACTCACGATACTAACATTGATCCATGTTATTAATTTTTAGTAGGGCCAGGTTTATAATGTTAGGAAACTCTCGAGTACCTTGATAACTTATTTTTCTATCTCGTTCTAAATCAGCAATCTCCATCAGCTCTTTAATCTCTTCCTGCGGAATTCGTTTGTCCATATTTAGTAGTATATAGCGTAACTCCGCTGACTCGATGTACCCCTTATTGTCGGCGTCAAAAATTCGGAATGCTAACATCATGTCTGCCTCTCGTTCATCTGGTTTTTTCTGAATCTCCATAAGTTTGACAAACTCTGGAAAGTCTATGACGCCGTTTCCTAGGAGGAAAATTGAGTTGGTATTAAAACTTTCAATCTTTTAACGAGAATCTTTTTTTAGCGCGTAATTGATTTAAACTTCGTAGAAAATGATTGATGGCATATTAGATAGTCTAAACAGTAATAAACAAATTCTGACTCAAATCGTATCATTTTATCCCCTTCATCGTAATCTCGTACCCAGATCTTACCGTTGAACTGTGGAAGAAATGGAAGGTCTGGGTACGGGAGGGACCAGTGTTATTTATCACCTCAGGGAGAGTGGGGTGGGTCGGAAGATTTTCAGGAGGTACATGATTTTCAGGGGGTACATGATTTTCAGGGGGTACATGATTTTCAGGGGGGAACGGAGGGCAGATCAGTCGTCACTAACGTAGTTGAAAGGGGGGGAGCTACAGAAATTGATTGAAAATGGGGGGGGATCATAAGAATCCTACAGAACTTTAGGGGTGGGGGGTGAGATAAATTTATTGCGACACAACAAAATCCTCCGTCAACCCCCAGGCGATAAAAAAAATGCCCAATCCCTTATTACTCATCGCACAAATGCACCTACAGTTGCCATACCGTCATAATCCACCGCATTTATCATTGCTTGTAATTCTTCTTCAGTTGGGTTAAACCCAAGAGATCGCATTATGGCGCCCAGTTCCCTGGTGGTGATAATGCCGTTGCCATCACGGTCGAACAAAGAAAAGGCATCCTTGTATTCTGGATGAATATTTAAATCTTTAATTTAATTTTCGGGCAAACGCAAATCGAAGTTTTGTACCCCTCTCCCAAAAAATAACACACAAATAGATTAAAGGTTTCCATTTTTAATTTTACAAAGGAAAATAAGGCAAAAAACGAACCAAATTATTGTATCGCATAATTTCTCTCATTATCAGGAGCCCATTACTTTAAGTGATGGTCTCCTGTCATTATTAATTCTCTTCCTGTGCATATGTATTTTCGCTGAAAGGATAACTAAAAAAAATGTTTCGCCGGCTTGAGTTGATGATGAGAGGAGATTACCGTCCCGAAAAGGGCGTTCCTTGTAAGCTTAAAGGATAATGGCCTCTTTGAGTGTTTTAGAAAAATCTGTTTTGAGAACAGGCCTCGTTTTTGAAGCATAATTATCAGAACTGAATAGTTGATCATACCTGCAATTTGTTCGTCAGAAAGGTTTTCCTGAGGAAAAAAAAAATACAGTTGAAATGAAATAAGTTGACCCATTAGGAGGAACAGACATAAATATTGATAACACTGAAGCTAAGGTAAAGCTGATTTCAAAAGCATTATATTTGTTATAGGATGAGAGCTCTCTCCAGCACATTTGTTTGGCTGAGAAGAGAAACTAATAATTAAGCGTTGCCGATCCAAAACAAAATTATCGCAGACAGAATAGAAAAAATGTCCCTCCCTTCCCCTCGAAAAAAAGCTTACTTTTTGTCCTTAAAGAGATGGAATACACGGATACCCAGGTCGCTCTAGAAAGTAGTGTAAACCGACCAATAACAAAGTGAATAAAAAAACCTTGTGTGGTGACGGAGATCGCCGTTTACTTCCGACATTCATTACCTCAGCCTCGTTTGCAATGTTTTAAGAACGAGGTTGATCGACTGATAAATATCACTATTTACCACAGTTATTAGTTTTCTGTCAATAGCTTAGATAAATGAGCAATTTTGCGACCTCTCCAATCATTTGAACAACTTAAGCAAAAAAGTTTCAAGTGCTCTCCTATCAAGAGGCAACAAAAAGTGTACTCGTTTCTTACCAATCGAGACAAATTTGTTTGCGCTAAAAATAAACGTGGAAATAAAATTTTTTCAGATGTTGAAGCATCTGCTACTTGTGCGTCACTTATCAGCAAATAAAAAGTGGTGTATTGTTTAGATCAAAAGAGAATTTGAAAACCGGGCAGGTGGAATTTTATTCAGACTGACAGAAGAGGGGAAATTTACGTCTTCATGTCTGCCCGACATTTAGATTCGCGACAAGTTCTGGCGAAGAGCATTAGCAATATGAATGATATAGAGATTTTGAAAATTTTTTGATCGCTCCTTAAAAGACGTTCAAAGTTAAAGATTATGCGATTAGCCCAGCCTTTAAAAACTGAACTGTTTGAATTTTATTGGTACGGTGCAATTGATAAAATTGAGCAATTGTGTGCCAATATTGATGTTGTTGTCATTTTATCTCAAAAGTTTTATTGAACGCGTCGCCCTTACGCGAAATTTTCCCTCCTTCAAAAGTAAAATTTTAGTTTATGTTCCATTTTAAGGTTGATTTAAAAGTAATAAAGAAGCCATCAAGTGATCTGTTAACGCTGATGTGGGAATCAGCTTCACCTTTTCTACGGTTTAGTTGTGTTTTTCCATCTCTTTTGGAAAAGCGTAAGTCTTCTTTGAATTTTCAGTTCCAAAGGATTTAACAAGTCCAAATCGCTCTCCAAAAAATTACTTAACGATAAAAAAAACTGCTATGTGATTAAAAATGAAAGGAGCAACTCACCATGTTTTATAGCGCCTTTCTCATCAACAGCATTTTCACCTTCTTTGAAAGCAAGTTTGTCAAGTTAACGCGTTTGCAAATACACTTTGCATATCCTTGGGACCGAATGATTTCATTGGGCGCGAAAAAAAATTGCCGCCGACAGAAAACTGCAGCTGCTGTTCATGTAAGACAATAAGTAGCTGAAAACGTAACTTGTTCTGTATTTTAGGATCACAAAATAACTACTGTGTTCTTGTGGTGTCTTAATTTTGTGTCGTCTAGCTAAAATAATGCCAACACAAGTGTCATCACTTGGTTGAACTTACTTCATCTTTTCATTGAAATTAGTTTCCTTTATTATGATCAGGTTAAACGGAGATTTTATTTAGATGGAGTTTGAACGAATTGAAGCAAGGAAATGCCGAACGCCGAGCTGAATCAATCAAAACTGAATTCGATAGAAATTCTACTCTTGCAAAATACGTCAAACTTAGAAAAAGATAATCAAGAGAAATCATAAGACTCTATTTTAGCTTGTCGTGATCGGTTCGTCTAGCATGAAAAATGAAATTTGAAGCTTGAATTTCAGCCGTTCCTAAATTTAAAACTTCACCACCTCCTTTCCAGCTGATCTAGACGGAGAACTTTTATTTTTCGCCCACGTAATTAAAAAAAAAAAGGTTTAAAACCTGAATTTTCCGTGACTACATTCCTCTTTATTTACTGCCATAACTTGGATTGTTTTTCATCTCTGAATTTCAATTCGCCTCTTGCTATCTTACCTACGGGTATATCTTGTATACCACAAGGGATCCGTTTGTGAAGTTAGAATGTCGAAACTGAATAATTTCCACCATCAGTTTCCGTTTTTTGTGCTCTTTGAATTAGGACGTTACTCGTAACTTGAAGGGACAAAACTTTTAGAATTCAGACCCAGAAATAGAGTCTTAAATTACCTTTTTATCCTTTTAACATAGTTAACTTCTGAATAAAATAAATGTACTTTTTTTGAAACTGATGAGGTGGCAAGACAAGAGATTACACCTCAATTTTCAACAACTCCCGTTTTCTATACTCTGCTATAGTTACAGCCGAAGATACACATACATGAAACTTGCTAACTAAGCAAGAAATATTTCGCGATGTCTCTTTGTGCAATTGGTAACTTGATAAATTTCCAAACGAGACTGACTACAAACAGTAAAAGTAGTGGATTATATTTCATTGTAACTTAATCAGAAAAGAACATACAACAGCCATTTTTGCTTCCGTCAAGTCTCAGATCTGCGCTCTCTATGGCCAAGCTGGCGTGCGAATTTCATCTAAATTGCTAATTTCAAGTACGTTCTTCGACTTTATATTGGATCAGAAAGCGACGAAGTTATGTAAAAAGAAGGCTTACCTGAATTCAATTCTCTCAACTCTTACAATCTAGAATGTTTTTCATTGCTTTGAATTGCTTATTCTAAAAGGCTGCATTTTGAGCAATTTTCAGTGCTAAAGGGCTTAATTTAGAGCAATTTTTATTTTAAAATACGAAGCGAAACATATTCCATTTAAAAATGGGATTTGCGACTTTGTTTGCCGCCATCTTTCCCGTTGTTTTGCGGTCGATTTAAGATCGGTTTTTTCGGTCATTTCCCACCGTCCTTGGTAGGTTTAATAGCTGTTACTCAGCAAGCAAGCGTGATACTGAATTTGGGCTGAATGAGTTCCGCAGCGTTTGAAATATCAACGTATACAGCTATTTCAATTTACGTTGTCGGATCAAAGCTTCAAGGGTACGGGACAAGACCGAAAGGCGGTTCCATAAAGCAGCTGTAACCTCATCCACTTGAAACCCCAACATTTCTTTCATCCAAATGGCTCGCCATCGGAGATCTTTGCTGTATGGACGAGGCATTGTTAATTTTGCTGATAATTATTCATTAAGATCCCATATTCCCCTTCGGTCTTGTCTTGTAGGCTTGAGGCTTTGATCCGACAACGTAAATTGAAATAGCTGTATTACCAAACGAAAAGACGTGTTACACCTCGTGAGTGGGCAGGACGAAAAAGGAAAACAATTCAACATGCATTTAAGAGTTAAAGCAGAAATTATTGCTGGCAGTCTGATAACATAATTCAAATTAATTGCCGACGAAAGGACCTAATAACCTTGGCTATATATTTTTTGATCACTTGGCTTGAGTAATATGCGGGATCCGTTTTATATAAAGACCTAAAAAGCTTCTTGACCAATTGTGGCGTCTGCGGCTCTGTGGAAGAGCATGAGAGTCAGCATCGAGAGGTCTGAGGTTCGAGTACTCATGGGGTGCTTTTTTTTATTTTTCTTACGCCTCAAACTTAAAAGTTTGGCTTATTTTACGAAACTTAGTTTATATTTGTTTTTTTTCCTCGGAAAAATAAAGCCTCACATGATGCTCATCTAAACTTGGTAAAACACTGCTTATTGCTTCTAAACTGTGTATAGCACCAAGCAAGGGTAACTGTCTCTTTCCCCTTCCACCACCCTACTCCCCTGATTCAAGTTTTGTCATTTCCCACTGTTCATTGCAACCGCAGTCTACTGTGTGGAGGCGACGTGGAAGTTGTTGAGGAAATTTGAAGTTCCGACCGTAAGCTTTGTTTAGGTTTGTTTTTATCGTGATTTTGGTTGTGTGGCCAGTGTTGCATATTTATATGAAGCATTCGACAACTTTCTTGCATGTCTATGGCTTTGTTGGCAGCCCGTGGTTTACTTTGCACTAAAAATATCGAAGATCACTTACAAGAACTTCAGTTACAGATTAGAGTTTAATTTGAAACAGAAGGTGGCAAGTTAAATGAGAACTAGATTTTCTGCGTTTTTAGAGGCAATGCGGGTTAAAAGTGAAAATAGTGAAATGCAAAATTTTCAAATGCTTCTGAGTACATTCTCTTAAAAACATTGGGTCATTGCGGAATTACGTCGGGTGACTTCCTCATTCAGTAAAAAAGGTTGGGTTAAATGAAAAATCTCACGACAGATCGACCCAAGAATGTTTGATGGAGAAGAGGGAGGGGATGAATTTCAAGTTAAAATAAAAATACACACTTTTTTTGCACTGGAACCTGAATAAGGTAAGGCAAGGAATATTTCAAGTTGAATGACCATAAAATCTTCAATTGACGTAG